AACAAAGGCTTAAAAGGCATCAAAGCAGTTCTCCAACGCCTATATATGAAGCGCTTGATCAGCTGACCAAGGGAGCTCAGATAATGGCTACTTCAGCTGCGATCCTTCAATCGCGTGTTGTGGCCCTAGAAGAAGCAAACAAGGCTATGCATATACGCAAATCAAGGAAGAGGAAGGCATTCACTACAGAGAATGCCTTGTCCTTTCCTGAAATGCAGTACGTTGTTGAACAAGAGGAGGTAGAAGCACAAATCCAGGAGGAGATGCCGAGGCCCGTGAAGCGTATTAGAAAGTGTAGCAAGTGTGGCCGTCCAGACCATAACGCAAGAACCTGTGTATCATAAGAGTTAGTATTGATCTACCATGTTTTTCAATTTGAAGGTATTTCAACAATAATTGGTAGAGCAATCAATTGTTGAATGCTATGCTCTTTGATGCCTTGGACCGCGTTGGGGTATGGACCGCGTTGGGGTTCCCCGCGTTAGTCTATGGAAATTCTGATAAAGTAATAATATCTAATGCCTGAAGCCACAGTCAGGTGACTGTCATGTGACTGCATGACTCGTGCCTCCAGCAATAGTAGAGCGCAACGTGCGCTTGTTACGCGGCGGACGGGAGCTGACTGATATTGTCTAAAAATAGAATAAATGTTCTCGCTGAACTGTGAACGATGGTTCCCAGTCATACTTTGCATGTTTTGCACCGTGCATTGATGAGTTTGATATATGGTGATCAAGTACACAGCGGCGGGAACTAGCGCTTTCAGACATTTCCCCGGTTATGCACCGGCCAGATGGAATCCGTCCATGGCAAGATGGAATGGCCAGGACATCGACCGAGACACTCCGATCATGATCAACGACCTCGGACCTTCTGCAAAGATGCCGCGTCTGGTGCTAGAATTCAGGCGCTGGGGGTTCTCCAACAAGGATGTGGCATGAATGGCGCGTAGAAGTTCAACGCAGAATGCAGATAAAGGTTTGGATGCAAAACGTGTCTCGTTCGGCCTTGAAAAATGACTCATAAAATCTAAAATAGGCGGCCCGGACTAGCGGCCGCGAGAGTATACTGTGAGCTTGCCTGATGCGTATGGCGCCGTGAATCCGGCATGCTCCGTCCCGGAGAGAGCGTAGCATCCGTGTTCGCAACAATTCCTCGGCCCGGCAGCGCCGTGGCACCACTGTGTCAGCTCATGCTGAGCTGCTCAAGTGATTGGCGTCCTCGTTTCTTCACGATTCCTGAAGGTTTTGACATGACGCCTTGAGTATTATATCGTAGCTATGGACTAATGAACATCATTTTAACATCTGTGCATCCAGCATGAGGGTTTCCCCGACCAACCTCGAAAGCAATCTGGTCCTCTCAGCTGTTCTTTGGAGGATGTGCAGGAGTTCCAATACAGGTAAACCGGACACCGTTCCCACTTACTGAGAGCGGTAGGTGTTCTACTTCCGGCAGAACAGGAACACCTTCATCGAAGCGAGAGTTGTTCCACCATCGTGCGGCCGCCGAAGTCATTTTGGTCAAGCTACCAGGTGGACCGATGGCTCCGCTGTCGACTTCTGCAGCTGTCGCCACCCGCCACCAGGTGACTCTCGTCGCCGAAGGTAATCGAGCCTCGTAAGTCTTGCCGGTTTCCAATCCAGCAGTCGAGATCCAGAAGCGGACGTCAAATTGGTCACTTTCAAGCGGTCGGAGTGCACCGAATGGAGCTTGGAAAGACTTGGGCACTCCAGGCTCCAGCACAGTGAAGTTCTCGGCGTTCCATCCTCGCCTGGATCCGCCGAGCGTGGATATATGAAGAACACTTTGAAGCAAAGGTTCATCTTCTCCCTCTGGAATTAGCTCGATACCTCCTTCCCGTAGTGCGACGTCTGGCGGGAGGAGCGTGTCTGAGATGTAAATTACAAGCGCCTTGCCCGCATGGAGTGTTGCCGTGATCTGGAAGTCGAAGGCTTGCTTTCCTGAAAGGTTGAGTTCGTCTTGAACGGCATGCAGACTAATCGTTATGTGAGGACGTGAGATCGAAGAATCTGCCATCATAAGCAATAGTGCCAAACTGCAAAGGCGAATTGTGCGGGGAGAACTGTGAGAAAGATTCTGATGAATTAGAAGTCAGAAATGAGATCAGCGGACGATGACTGCCTGGCGAGGAGGCTGAACATGCCAAGCTTGACGCCAAGCCCATACTCTACCACAGCCCGCGATGGACCGGATCTATCATCCTCATCTACGTCACTTCGATAAACGCGAGATGCGCAACTCGCATGAGGCGAGTCCCATAAATCGACACAGCGGCAGATTGTAGGGAGCAAAGAAGACAAGTCGAGGCCCTCAACATGCCAAGGCCTGCGCCAAGACGATACCTCAGTACTTGACTGCAGATCGATTCTCTAGACATGCCATCAAGGTTTGACAACGCCAATATTAGGCCCCTAATGACTTCATCTCCAGCATTCACAATGCAGATCGTCATCTTGGCCTCTGCCGCCTCGCGCGGAGTGACCAACACACCTGCAGCAGGTTGTGCCGCATCTTAGTGCCAGACACCTTGGCTTGCTGATCGTCTCGTTTCTTTCACCCTCGCGCGGAATGACGACGTGCCTCAAGCGCAGTCATTGAGTGGACGGGCGAAAGCTGTGCCGCATCTTAGCACTAACCACCTTGGCAGTCGGATCGTTTCGATTTCTGCGGCTGTGCGCGGAACAATATTGAGCCTAATGACACGGGGCTATTGAGCGTAGAAGAGCTAGAGTTGCACCGCCACTCAGCATCGACGCTTTGGCTCGCTAACCCATTCGTTCCATTTTCTGACGCCTCGATTGGATCAGCGACAGTCTCAGGAATGTATTTCCGGAGGTAACCGGGGTGAAGTTGTGCTCCATCTCAGCACTAAGAAGTTGAGTTTGCGCCGATGTGCTGTTTGTCATCTCTAGCAGCCAATCGATCAAATCCATTCTCCAACGCATGTGTGATATCTTCGACTACCGCATTGGCTTCTTGGCATGCGCCAGGGCGCTTATCTTTGAGTCGCAAGACAGAGGCGTTACGTGACGTGCATGGATATCTTTCACGCTAACATACGGCGCGTCCCGCAACTACATTAAGGAATTCAACATCGGCGAACACCTACCTTCACTACAACTAATCACACAAACGGACAGCCAAAAATCAAAGATTCCTCGACGAATTATACTGTTGGAAAATAAGATTATGTCTCGTTACTGACAGAGGTGAAATCAGGAAAACAAATAATCTCATTGCACTTCAAGCTGTTGGCACGGATTGTAATATCGATGATGAAGACTTGAGCTGTGACTATTCAGAAACCGTTAGCCTCATGCTCGATTTCACGTATCTCGGCACCTACGAGGTAGCAGGTATGAATCATCCGAGATCTTCTCCAGCTCATCCATCCAACTATTAAAGTAGTTTGTGGGGTGTGCACGACATGCATCGTCGCCTTGCTATACTCGCCCGGCATTAGTATCGACGGGAAAGGATCATTATTGTCTCGCGCAAGCAGTTCGAATGGTCGGAAATCCTGTGCGCCGCTTAATTGGATGGTGCGTCATTGACGTATAGCTTTGGCATATGACCGGAAACGTGATGTTCTATAACAACGGACGTCTGCTCGATAGTGGCGAAGTTTGTTCCTACCGGATAGGCTTTCCACACCAAGGTCAGTCCGAGGGCTTGTAAGTATGAGCGAATCACGCTGAGGCCGTCTGCCATCGCCGGGATATTGTTGAAGACACCGGCTACAACGTAGGTGGACGATGGGTCGAATAACTATTCCGAGGCGTTGTAAAGGTTTGCGAGTTCTCCCATGAGACTTGCTATGTGCTGGCTCTGCAGATTGGGATTGTTCTTCAATTGCTCTGCTGTCGTTCCCGGTGGTAAAGGGGCGATGTGCGCGAGGATGGCAGCTGCTGGAGATATGATAGTGACCGCTGTGCAAGCATTCAAATGGGCGGTTGCCAGAAATATCTGTAGCGAAGCTGGCGGTCAGGTCACCATGCTAACTTGATTCATATGGACAATTGTTGCTCTGCCCAGCGCATGAGCAACTGTGCATCGCTGCTATGCTGTTGTCGATGCCATTTGTGTACGTTGGAATACAACAAGTAGTCTATGTGGCTGCAGAGAATGAGGGGAGGAGCTTCCTGCGGCTTATTTATTAATACAGGACTTTCTTGCAAGCACCGAGATCGTTCTGCTCACAAGATGCTGCAGCTACCTAGTTTGGTATTCTGATGAAGGATCTGTTCCACTGTTCTAGTAAGAAATGCGAGACTCATTTGAATCGGCCCGCTTTTGACGTACAATGGGTTCTCTTCGACCCAGAACAGGAACATTGCACGTGTTTGTACATGATTGCGCGTGGGCGTGATCGATTGTGATAAGTAGCGAAAATAATACGCTAGACAGGCAAGTGACAGACCAATTGCGTCGCAGGGCCTTAGGGCATCACACGAGCTTTTGATGCGGGCTCAAAGCGTCCCTACAACTCTATGCGTATGGCCCGTCTATGAAATATCAATATTCGTGTACCAGGATCGCGCTACATTAATGACTCATTCTCCGGCCTGCACAAGGCCATAGTTATTCTGTGCTTCTACGACTTGTCCTAGGAAGTGCAGGCTACAACATCGTTGAAAATCACGGAAGCGGAGAATCTGCGCAATCGATACGATTACGATGAGTCACACTGCCCATCACGAACCCATTGTCTGGAACGGCATCGTGTTTGAACAGCTCGATCCTCCCCAGAAATACCAAGTCAATCCATTCCCCATTATTCTCGAGGCCAAGGAGTATTGTGAAGCTGGCGATGTGACAAGGACCCTCGATGCCGTTGAACGAGGCCTTACGGTCGAAGCCCTTTCTATCGTCGACCTCTATCCCGTTTTCCTTCTCGCCTGCCGGACCGGACCTGCTGCGCTGGTGAGCGAACTGCTTGTCCGTGGCTTCGAACCGACATTGTTAGCAGCCCGAGAAGCGATAAATGGCAAGAATGTGGAGATTTTGGGATTGCTCAAATATAAAGGATGGGATCATCTCGGTCAATCGACAAAGGAGACTGTGCCTGGCCCACTATAGTGCGTGCTGAAATATGGTCCACGCTTGTGCCACAAACGCTGACACGTCTTTCTACAGTCTTGCAGTCTCGAAAGAGGATGCCGACCGCGACGTCGTACAATGGTTTCTCGACAATGGCGCGGATCCTGATCGTCGCTGTCTGATAGACAAGACAGCGCTCAGCTATGCTGTGAGCCACGCACCCCTCGACATCATCGAGCTCCTGATCGAGCATGTGCATCGCCCCCAGCATGGCGAATTATTACATTCTGTGGCTTTTCGCCCAACCAGCATGGGCGACCATGCAGCGCTTATAGAGCTTTTGCTTCGCCGTACACCTTTCGGAGTAAACAGCTTGATTTATGGCGGAGACGTCTACTCCCGTGCATTGATTGCGTATACAGGTGCAGGAACGCCACTTCATTTTGCCGCCCTCAACGACAGGCCTGAGGTGGCCAGTGCCCTGATCAATGCCGGAGCAAATCCAGCTATCTTGGACGATAAAGGGGATTGCCCGATTGACATCGCCCGCAGACAGAATTACGGGGCGGTAATCGAGGTTCTATTACGCGCTGAGAATCAAGAGCGAATTTAAAGACAAATAGCTCTTGAAATATACATGGATTCCAGAGTTTTCGCCATAGAATCGGACAGTTGTAGTGTGTGCGACATGATCGACGTTTGTTGACCTTCGTCTGGAGAGGGATGACTAGTCCCGGCGGGCACTACCAACGGTTGGGTGTGGTATCGCTGCTAAAGAGTTCTGCGGGTTGGGGCTGCACTTGCCGCCGTTGTCCGACTGCATCGGTATGACGTAAAGCATGTAAGGAACAGAAGATTCTGGCGGTTCTATTGCAGAAAACACATCCACGCACACACGTGTTCCTATCACAGGGCCGGGCTTTGCTAAAACACCATAGCAACATTCTAAAACACCGCGGATAAATTTAATCGACGAGACAATATATATATATTAGATTACTTATAAAACGTACTATCTAATAATTTTCGTTACCCGGATCTCTTTAATATATTAGACGGGATAATGACTATATAAAATTAAGTATAAAGCATACTATCTAATATTACTAAGAATCTACTAGTATTTCTCTTATTTCTATAGAAATTTATCCGACGGGATAATTTATATACTAGCTTACTTTATAAGCGTCCTATTAGATATTCGTAGTACTAAAAATAGCTAGCGGTACGAGTCGCTAATAAAAGTATATATAAGTTGTCTCGTCTGTTAAATTCATCCGCGGTGTTTTAGAATTTAGCTATAGTGTTTTATTAACGCCCCATAGGGCCATGCATGAGAAACGTCAGCCAATTTGCCCTGCATGATCGATGCCTCCACGGCAAGTTGACCGAAGCGGGAGAATCTCGGACGGTGAGGGCGCGCATGTGTCTCCAGGGCTTACCTGTCGCGACAATCGATCGTTATCGTCGTATATTGAAATTACCGAGAGTTTCTCACGGAAGCAACGGGCGCAGTATGAAATCGCTCGCGGCGAGGGATGAATGTGAGGCAGCGTTGCGGAATGTGAAGGATCCAGTGCTGCAGTACCTACCACTACCCAGATACCTATCTAGTGACCTCGAACGAAAAGTGTCTGTATAATTTTTTTGGTGACTAATGACAGCTACTATATGCAGATGTCTCACTACCTAGGTATATGGAGGTCCCTTTGACAATTCTCTTCACGCATTCCAAAACAACTGGACCGACTCCTCATACCGTTGTTCTATATCATTGTCCAGGTGCTCGTCCGTTCCATTTCCAAAAAAAAAAATCCATATCTGCCGCAGCTATACAGCGCTCGCTCTCAAGCATTTGAACGTCCATAGCTACATTCAACACAGCACATAAGTTTCCACCACTCATCATTCAGTGTGATCACCGAGTGAGCTATATCGACCATGTCTTCCACGACGGTGAGCTTGCAACTCGATTTCGGAGGTGTTACCGGCGGTCTCATGAACACTCCTGATAAGCAATGCTAGTTTTACGCCCCAAACGTTGCATTGGGTAATCGTGACAGCGTCGAGGATTGGCGCATTCGCGGCATCACTCCACTCACACCACCAGATTTACTTCAGCATGAGATTCGCCAGACTGAGAAATCGAAAGAGACGGTCATACAGGGGCGCAATGACTCTGTTGCAGTTGTTCATGGCACCGACGAACGCCGCCGACTTTTGGTCGTCGTAGGGCCCTGCTCCATCCACGATCCGGCCACGGCTCTGGAATATTGTGACAGGCTTCTAGAGCTCAAGAAGAAGTACGAGGACGACCTGGTTATCGTCATGCGATCTTATCTTGAGAAACCACGGACGACGGTCGGCTGGAAGGGTCTCGTCAACGACCCGGACATCGACAACACATTCAATATCAACAAAGGTCTGCGCCTCGCCCGTCAGATGTTCGTCGACTTGACCAACAAAGGCATGCCCCTTGCGTCGGAGATGCTTGATACCATCAGCCCACAGTTCACTGCGGATCTTCTTTCCGTCGGCGCCGTCGGCGCTCGCACGACCGAGAGTCAGGTTCACCGCGAACTTGCTTCAGGCTTGTCCTTCCCAGTAGGCTTCAAGAACGGCACCGATGGTACTCTCGGCGTTGCCATCGACGCAATAGGTGCGGTCAGGCATCCCCACCACTTCCTTTCCGTTACCAAGCCGGGAAACGTCGCCATCGTCGGCACCGACGGCAACGACGACTGCTTTGTAATCCTCCGAGGCGGAACACGTGGAACCAACTACGATTCGGCCAGCATCGCCGAGGCCAAAGCGGCGTTAGAAAAGAAGTCTCTCAGACCGAATATGATGATCGACTGCAGTCACGGCAATTCGCTCAAGAACCACATGAACCAGCCCAAGGTGGCTGCAGCCATCGCAGAGCAATTGCGGGCAGGTGAGACAGGGATCATGGGCGTGATGATTGAGAGTAATATCAACGAGGGTAACCAGAAGGTGCCCCCGGAAGGCAAGGCGGGATTGAAATACGGCGTAAGCATTACCGACGCATGCATCAACTGGGAGGACACGGAGATTGTATTGAAGGATTTGGCAGAGGCAGTCGCCGCGAGGAGGACACTGCTGGGCAAGGTGGAGCAGGTCAACGGCCACTAGTCGCGGCATTTTGTGGATCGTATGCAGCATGAATTAGAAGCAGTGGAATGCCATGTCCGTCATTGATTGCGGTCACAGTGATAATGTACATTTTCGCATGTCGTTGATTAGATTGATGTTTATCCACACAATGCTCGACCCTTATCTTCAAGGCTGAGCGGGCGCTCATATTGTACCTACCTGGGCGAAAGATAAAGATGATTCCAGCAGCTTCGAGTTTTGTAGATCGCTTCACGTGCGTCATTCGCACTCGGCTGATATTTGTCGTAGATTCGGATTTCCCACGTCGCTGAGATTTAGTAATTAATGAGCAAAGATCCATGAATAGCGCGATGAATGCTGCATACCTAGGTATGTGTAGATTATCGACTGGCAAGTAGTTCCCCAAGACACTCCCGTGGCAACAGCTATAACGATTGAAATGCAGATTGAATAAAGCTGCAGACAAAGCTCTCAGCCCGAGCCATTGGGGAGAGCTCCAGCTTCCTTCCGATGAAATTTGGCCGCATAATTCAGGGTCCATGAACTCGTTTTGCTCGTTGTCGTATCACATTTGAGATTCATTCACCACTCTTGACAATCGCTTCATCATCTGTCCATCGTTGTCCCATCATGGCGGCAGATCTGGGCGACGCTCACCGCAATCCGGGAGCCTCACTCTTGGAGGACGACTTCGAATTTGTCGAGACTCCCAAGGCGCCGCAGCCGAAGAACTCAACAACCAACTTTGGTGTCAGAACGACCGCGGTATGTAGAGCACCAGGACGGAAACCTCGACTTCTTATTGCCTAGTTTATCATTCGTCTTCAATCCTCTCCGTACTGACTTCCTTTCTAACACACAGTATCCAGCCATCAAAAACGCACCACTTCCCGCCGACGGTCCCGCCAGCGATACGTTCAACACACTCTTCCTTGTCACCTTGCTCGTAATCATTCCCGGATACTTTGCCTGGCAATGGCGCGGTGGAATCTTCACCTTCCTGTTCTTCGCCATCTTCACCACGATTCCCATCTTAATCATCTTCTGGAGCACTGCGTCAACAATGTCACCTCGCCTGAACGAAAAGGCTCGCTTTCCTGGTGCGCCAATCGAACACTACTTGACTTTTCACAAAGAGAGCGACCGTCGCACGTATCGCGGCAAGAACAAAATCCCAATGGAGACCTTCCACGAGAAATACTTTGCTGGCGACGTCGACTTCAACGGCGACGCTCTCGAGGTTATGGAATACCGTCACGATTGGGCCAACTTCCGCTTCACCCTCAGCTTGTACTGGTTCTTCTTGACTGGTATGATTCCTGAGGTGATCATGCACACGCGATCCCAGGACGAGGAGCAAGTCCGCGATCACTACGACCGCGGTGATGACTTCTATGGCTGGTTCCTGGGTCCGCGCATGATCTATACTTCCGGAATCATCTCCGATCCGTCGCACGAGGAGACTCTGGAGCAACTACAGGACAACAAGCTCGCGATTGTCTGCGAGAAGATTGGTCTTCGCCCAGGTGAGAAGATGTTGGATATCGGTTGTGGATGGGGTACCCTGACCAAGTTTGCATCGGCCAACTACGGTGCTCACGTCACTGGTGTCACCCTTGGGCGCAACCAGACTGCCTGGGGCAATGGCGGTCTTCGCAAAGCCGGCATTCCCGAATCACAGTCTCGCGTCCTCTGCATGGATTATCGTGACATCCCAGTGCCGAGTGGCGGCTATGACAAGATCACCTGTCTCGAGATGGCCGAGCACGTCGGTGTGCGCCACTTCAGCACTTTCCTGCATCAGGTCTACGACATGCTCGACGACGACGGTGTCTTCTTCCTGCAGATCGCCGGTCTGCGAAAGAGCTGGCAGTACGAGGATCTGATTTGGGGTTTGTTCATGAACAAGTACATCTTTCCTGGAGCAGATGCGAGTACTCCGCTCGGCTGGTTCGTCGATCAATTGGAAGGAAGCGGATTTGAGGTCAAGGGTATCGACACCATTGGCGTGCACTACTCGGCTACCATCTGGAGATGGTACCGAAACTGGATGGGCAACAAGGACAAAGTCATCGCCAAATATGGCATTCGATGGTTCAGGGTGAGTCGACAGTCTTTCAGCTTGACTTGCTCTCGTGCGGTGCCGGAAAATGCTCAGTTTATGAATTTGTTGAGTGCTGACATTTGTGGCAACGCCACTTTAGATCTGGGAATTTTTCCTCGCCTACTCCACCATCATCTCTCGTCAAGGCTCAGCAACCTGCTACCAGATCACTCTGGTCAAGAACATCAACAGCGTGCACCGTATCGAGGGTGTTCCTTCACAATACAGCCTATCCGGCGCTTTGGAGGCAGCCAAGGCGGCGGGCAAAGCTCTGTTTCCTGGCAGCAAGTACTAAGCACGCCTGAATTTACTTCGCAACATTTCCACAATCGCCATGGAACAGCACTGAAAGACCTGAGTGCGGCATTTTGTATTATACCTTGGCTTGGTCTTCATTTCTCACGTAACCACATGTACACCATTGCTGTGAAACATGTAAAGTTGCACTTTTCTCCGTTCTGGTTCGGTGATGCTTGAAAGTGCACCCATGGCGAATACTTCTTGCAGATCTTGAGCAAGAGATACAATTTCATATTCATGGTTTGACCTCCTTCAGGGTGTGCATCGCAGGTTAAGTCCTCTCTTGTTCTCACTTTGCAGCATTGCCTGAAGGTGGGCCACGGGGCGGTGGCCGCTCCACCACGACACCGTCAATCTCGATATCGACCTTCTCGTTGTAAAAGCAGCACAAGCCTGCATATTGGACGCGAAGATTAGCGGAGTTACGCACGATACTCTGGGGATATGGACTCGAAAGACGGAAACGACCACGTACCTTCAATCTTCGCACATTCAATCAGCGGCTGATCATAAAACCACACGATGTCCTCATGGAGCTTCCCATCCACCTCGACCGAGAAGTATTCAGCGGAGCCTTTATACGGACAATGCGTCACCGTCGAACTCGGCCGCAGCACATCCTGTCGAATCGCTCTTCGCGGTAGGTAGTACCGACACGGCAAACCCGTCTCGTACAAATGCATCGAATGTGCCGCTTCGGCAACGATCTGCCCATCGATGATGATGCGGATTGGACGCGAGGAGCTCAGCACGTCGATGCGCTTGAAGGGGTCTTTGGGATGTATGAAGATCGGCGTATCCTCTTCGAACCATTGATCCATGGCGTCGAATTGGATTCGGACAAGTCCCGAGAGTGATGCGGCTGGGCCGGAGAGGTTGTCGGCGAAGATGAGGATGCTCTCGGGAGCAATCCGGTCGCCGGTTGTCACGTTATATGAGGTTCCTAGGACGAAGCCAGTTTCAGGGTGGTTGAATTCTTGGTTTTTGATGAATTTGATGTGCTCGCGATCGGTCGGGAGGTCCCTGCTGTGTATGTAAAACTGTGGATAGAAGGGATGTTCCCAGACATAGAGAGCCTCTACGCTCGATACGAGATATTGGCCATCGAAGAGGGTCGAGATCTTCCGGGAGGTGGCAAGAGTTTTGTGTGGGCCTGCAGTGCCGAGATCCAGGGCAATATCTTTTGCTGGCAGACTGAGTGCACGCATGCATCAGCATTGGATCTCATCATGCTGGTAAAAGATTATCTTACGTTGGCGGCATATTGCCGTGATTGAGCATCTGTATTCGACCTCTGCTAGTGATATATCGCACTTTACGGGGGGATTTGCAATTTCGAGATGACAACGAGCTCAGTATCAGCGACGGAGCCTGGTGTGAAAAGGGACTTATTTCATTTGCACTCTCAAGATGAGTAATTTGGAAGGTTGAGGCATTATTCAGGTTCACGGAGTCGTACGAACGGAAAGGTGGAAGTAGTTGTGCTCTCCAGCTAGTGGGGTCACTGAATGGGTATGTCTGGAAGCGATCTTACTGTTGACGATCGCTGGAGGTTACAGTTGACTTCTCGCTCCGAAAGGAATGGGTTTTCATTATTAGAAACTACAGCTATTAAATTTAGACCATGGGAAGGATAACTTGATTCCTGAATCAATGCATGACCAACTCCTTTCAAACGCTTTTCTAAACTCATGACGTGGGTATCATATGCAATTCTTGACTCTCTTTGCGCAAAAGCTGTTCCCTCACACAGTCTCTTCGCCGTCAGCGACCACTTCGATCGGATCCGGCGATCGGGTCTCAGTGCTTGTGGCACCATAGCCGCTACTAGAATCCTGTGGAGATAGATGTCCCTCACCAGCGATCCAGACACCTCTCAACGGCACAACAAGACTAGGATTGATGAACTTCGTGTCCGTATCTATTCCCTCGTCATCATCCTCTCCCGGCCTATGCCACTTCCGTCGTCGTCTGCTGCGTGCTTCCAGATTTGCGCGTGCGCTTGGGAATCCTGTGATATCGGCCCACACGTTTCGCTCCAGGCCGGAGAAGATGGCACTGGCTGACAAGCTGGTCGTTGTGCTGGATTCTCCGGGCGGGCTTATGATCCCGTCCGCATAACGCTCTTCTCGGCGCACGCTAGACAGCGCGATAAACTTCATGAGCGGTTTATAGGTCTTGCCATAAACCACTGACATGCCCATTGTGAAGGCAAGCAGTGGAACCATCAACACTGAGCGACGTGGAGCTTGTTTGAAAACGAGCTGGCCCGCAGTGGTCAGCTGGAAGAAGATCAGACCCATGAAAATTCGATCACATATCATTCCCCATGCACGACCTGTCGCTTGCTGTCGGTGGTCCATAGCATACAGAAGCTGGTATTTGTAGACGAAATGACCGAGCATGAAATAGAGCAGACCAGCGAGAAGAACTTGCCAAGATTGTCGCAAGACGGAGTAGACCATGCAAATGATGAAGATTAGGAGTGCGTTTGGCAGATAGAATCCATAAACGAAGATCGGAGGCTGAACCAATTCGGCGTAGTCTCGAGGTGTCTTGGCGCCCATGCGATAGATCGGATAGAGACTCACAGAGCCCATTTCGAGCAAACGGAAGGGAAAAAGACCAATCCCCTGAAGGATTATGAAGTTCACGTAGAATGACAGTAGAGCTTGCAGTGACAAGGCAAGTGTATAGGCGACTGTGCGAAAGTCCTTCAGTGCGTCGCCAAACTTCTCAAAGAATCCAGCGATGCTGAGATAGGTCGACGCCGTGCCAAGAACCATGAACACGACAAAGAAATTGAAGAATGTGAAGAAGAAATTCTTCGAGATGGAAGAGAGCTCGATGTCACCCTTCGAGATTTCGCCCTGACACCATGAGAGACCGTAGTATAGGTATGGCACGAGAACCATTAGCAGTGATGCTATCAGCGTAGGCACTTGCGTATTGATGAGGGATCGAATGTTCTCGTGGACTTCTAGGGCTTCGGCAAGTTGCGGTAGAACCTTTCGGATGGCTTCAAGATTGAGTAAACCAGCGATCGGAATGAAAATGACCACCCAAGTTATCGTCAACAGACCAATGATCAGCGTGACCGTCCATGCACGTATCATGCGGCTGCTTCGCGACATGTATGTGTTCGGCCAGATAACATCCGTTGGTGTAGGACTTTGATTTGCGATAAGTTGCAGCGGAGAGGGATGTAGCACTGCCTGAATGGTCATTTGGCAAGACGCGACAGAGTCCATGGTGATGAACGCCAACGGAACGGGATCGAATTCCGATTCCCTTAGTCGTTTGATGCGATCATCAATCTCCTTCAGCTGTGTCTCATAAAGTTCAATAGCATCAACGCGTCGCATTCTTAGCTTCATGAAGCCATAGCGTACAACAGCTTTTGGCCGACTTTGCGTGTATGGCCACCGTGGAAGCCGCGAAGTGGGCTGTGTGAGCCCGCTGGTCTCTTGATCATCGCCAATGCTGTCATCAATGAGTATTGGCTGTGGGGGGTTCTGTTGAATGACAGGCAACGCCGCTTGAGCACGCTGAATCCCTTGATATCCCATATAGACGGTGTATGCCTCCTCTAGTCTTCGAAGAATGTCCATTCTCTTATCCATGGCCTGGTCTAGCTCTTTCCAGTTTCGACACAACGTCACGCTTTCTACCCTGCCAATATCTAGGCTCTCCACGAACTCTTTGATCTTCGTCTCATGCTGCATGTACTTTGGAATACCAGAAAGTCGGATGGTCCTGTCGGTGACGGTGGTTTGAGACCCCAAGTACTCCTGTCGAACCTCGATGACCTTGCGCGTTGTAGAGATGATGAGATAAATGGCGATGCCGGAGAAAAGGTATGCAAAGATCACGTACATCCAGAGCCAGTCGTTCTCAAAGTCCGGAATGTAAGGCAGCGTGAAATTGCCGTGACTGCTGTTGTAGGCATGTATGCCATCATTAAAGAGCAGATTGACCTGTTTCGAGCTTCCAGCATGCTTCGTGTGGTTTCCATGGTCGGTCCCATTGCCTGATATAGGGTCATCCTCGGGGTTTGCATCGTGAACTGGCTTAATCACGATGAGTGAGAAAATCAGAGTCAAGAAGAGGAACTTCATGGCCATCTTGAAAAAGGTAAGAAAGACATATGCGTCTAGTCCGGCCGAGGCAAGAATCTGTTGATCCGTGATCCTCCACAATGGCATGATCCATCCGAAGAAAGAATTGGGCAATTCTGGCAAGGCCGTCTCGTCATTCTGGCGTTTTCGCGCGGCATATAGCCCACCCCAGCGAGGTCTAAGGATGCAGAAGGATAGAAAGGCACCGACGCCCAAGGTGAGCGAGAAGAGGATTTGGATAGTCGTGTCCCGTGGATGAGTTGTGCCGAGAAGATCTCCTAAACTCGGGGGCTTATCATCCTCCCATATACTGAAGTCAACCATGTCGACTGCTGGCACGCTGCTGCTGGATTGCGGCGCGAGTGCATCTATGCAGGTAGACAAGGGTCGAGAGATTGTCCTCCGAACATCCGTTTCGAGACTGCAGTTCCGCAACACATGGACTGTAGTGCCGGATTATCTCCGTTCCCCGGACGCCCAACGACATCATGAGCAAATCGTCACATGCGGTTTCCAAATGTCAAATCAAGCTTTTGGGCTTCCGTACAGAAATCGGCTCAATATCATAGGGTTTGGGTAAAGGACTCGTCGAACTTCATGTGTATGGGTCCAGGCGTTTGCTATTCCAGATTACTATACAACTAGAAGGTGACGCTTGAGGCGAGGATACAATGCGATTGTGACGAGCAGCCCCGGCGACGGATTTTGTCTACCTCGACGCCGAAAACATGTGCGTGTCCATCTCAGGAATCTCCTTTGATGGTAATGCAAGGTTAAACGACTAAGTGACTTTTAGAGTGTTAGGGAGAGATAGCAACGAAGCCATTCGAAGATCCACATGAGTCTTGGGCAACAATGTTTCGTAGTTAATTACTACAACCAATGGTGCTTAAATACTATTCTGCCACCTTTACGAGTGCCATGACTGTAGGGTGTAGAAGAGGTGGTGGTCCCGAAAAGAGGTGCAGCGCATGAAACTATTCTCATTACGTTCACTGAAGGCCACGTGGTCTTGCACAAGAACCGTTTCAATGTTCTTGGTGGTCATATAGACAATGATCCGCGATCCTTGACTGTTTGAAAACCGGTCTCGTAGCAACCATCAGGACGTTGGTTGATGTCACACTGGAGAGCCGCCCTTGCCACCAGAGCAATCCGCATTCGGCTGAGATACCTGTCCGTTCTCGGCCAAAACTGAAACTGCAGGCTTGACCGCAAAGGAGAGCGTCGTCTGTCCAGGTTCAACTATGTGATCAAGGGAAACTGTCATCCAGTAGGTATGCCATGCTCGGACTTGCGCTCTTGATGGTCGAAGTACTCGAACGACAAGTGACAGCATCGTGTGGTGCAGCTGGTTGAAGTCGATCCTAAGCACCAGGTGTACGAGCAGGATGCTCAACAGATGAAGTGAAAACACTGTGCGACCGCATCCTTTCGAGGGCCTCTCTTGCACTATCGCGCACGTGTGCATCTCCTGAATAGTGGTGGTTCATCTGGATTCTCGCGATCGGTTTTTGGCACGGCCTTGTGCTTGTGCAATCATCGGTAGCATCGTATTCATGGACCTCGGGCTATGCGCAGGATCCTGAATAGATGCACGGACATAGAGCGCGAGCCGCATTAGTGATGCAAAGACTTCTGATCGTCCGAGAGCATTCCTTCCGGAAAGTCCGACTGCATCATGTATGCTCCGATGCCTCACGCGCCAATTCAGCCACCTTAGCCGCCGCCGCCTCCCTCACGTCGAAGATCTTTCGCACATTGCTCTGAGCAGCCACCCATTTCTCAATTTCCAGGTCCAATTTACCGAGCTCATCTTTCTTCTCTGTCGTTTCCTTCACGAGGACATCTTTCTGCTTTGCCAGCGCCAAGCGCTGCTCCTCTAGTGCCTGGCGTGCAGTGTGCTCGTCCTGAATGCGCGCAATTGTGAGATCGTGGTCAGAGGCTTCGGCGTGCTCGGGATGCGCTGATAGAAACTCGTCGACGGGTACCATCGGCAATTGCTGATATTTGTGGCTAAAGATCAAACCGTCAATCGTCCGCTCTCCCACATAAGATCAAAGCGCAAAGACTTACTCGTAGTCCTCGCACGCAGCGATCTCTCCGCGCAGATGTCGCTGCTCGTAATATAGGTTTTGGAGCTGAAGGTGTAGACTGTCGATCTCCTGGCGAGCTTCGGTGGTTTCTTGCTTGGTACTCCTGACACCCAGAACAGCCTTGCGATTGAGTCCACGAAGCGTGGCTAACTTCGCATTCATCTGCTTGCGCATTCGAAAATTGGCAGCCTCCAAATCTGTGCCAGCGCTTTGACTCTGCAGACCAAGCTCATCAATAATTTGTAGACATTGCTTCCGTGCCTCGATCGCGGCGTTAAGGACCTCCAACAGTGCGGGATCAGTCACAAGTTGTTCTGTGGTCATGATTGCTGAATTCGAGGCAATAATGTTGACAAGGTGATCATTGACTATTTCCCAGACTCAACACAACATTCTCGCGATGTCGAGCCTGAGCGTCTCGAAAGTTTGGGCTTCGGAGTCCATCACTCTGTTTATGCCTGAGGCCAAATATAGAATGCTCGCATCTCCCGCAACTCGATTTTCAACCACCACCTGGACACCTGCGATGTCTGTCCCCGATACTGACTTCACTTTCGGCAGCAGTTTCATCGTGATAATCATCGTATGATGAGAGCAGAAGCTGGACAAATTTCCACAGGGCCGAGCTTGTGTGGGAACCATTTCTGCATGTCTAAAGTTTGGCTGTTTCCATCAATGCAGGGAAGCCTGTCCGAGAGCTTGAATTGTATCAATGCTGGCTGCGCATTTGCATAGCGGACATGACAGACCATTGAGACGAACAAAATATATTCTCTTGCCGGGTCTCGTCGCAAACGATAAATCGGGCTCGTGGATCCATAGTAGCAGGATGATTAAAAGAAGGATGCATACATGTAGCTGTACAGCATCATGCGACAAACTCTACGTCATCATATGCTCATCGCTCATAACAACAACCTGATGGCCGCACCGATAGGATCCGGTCGATAGTGGAACGTCTATTGAAAGTGTGATCTCATATATATCGAACTGGACTCGGCATCTAGTTTCTACTACATACTCAATCTCACAACGACAGCCCATCATTCGTTCGCAGGAGGGCTGCAAAACACTAAGAATCACACACGCACAGCGATTCGACAACTATCATGGCAAATATGGAAAGTCTCGGCCAGATTCCGCTTGCTTACGCTTCGTGCTCCATTGGGTGTCGTGATGAACATACAATGCCCAAGAAGCTCGCCGCCATCTCTGCAGCCGGTTTTCAAGCAATCGAATTGTCCATGTCCGACCTCGTTTCTTTTGCCAATCAACATCTCGGCCGCGCCGATGCCAACGAGATAACGGGAACTTCCTATGATGCGCTCTGCGAAGCTGGCACCGAAGTCCGTCGTCTTTGCGCCTCGCAAAACCTTTCCATCCTGGTTCTCCAGCCTTTTGAAAACTTCGAAGGTTGGCCGAAGGCAAGTCCTGAGTATCGTGACGCATGGGATCGCGTCAATGGTTGGGTACGAATAATGCAGGCTGTCGGGACCGACCTGCTACAAGTTGGTTCTTCAGATTCGCCTGCAGAAAAGATTGGTACAGACCGCGCGCGGTTCGTGGAGGATCTCCGCGACTTGGCCGACCTCCTCGCCAGCAAGGGCTTCCGCGTGGCGTACGAGAATTGGTGCTGGAGCACGCACGCGCCGGAGTGGAAGGACGTATGGGACATCTGTCAAAAAGTCGACCGCGAAAACTTCGGCTTGTGTTTGGATACCTTCCAGTCGGCTGGAGGTGAATGGGGAGACCCGAGGACGAGCAGTGGGCTGAGAGAGGATGCTGGTCGCTCGAAGGAACAGGTTTTGAAGGATTGGGAGGCTTCCTGTAAAAGCCTCGCCGAATCGATTCCGAAGGAGAAGATCTTCTTCTTACAGATCAGTGATGCTTACCGGCCAAAGCAACCCTTCGAGGACAAGGAAATCGATGGTCTTCGACCGCGCGGGCGCTGGAGTCACGATTTTCGTCCACTACCATTCGAAGGATATTTGCCTGTGGTAGATTTCACGCGAGCTGTTCTTGCAACTGGTTTTCGGGGATGGTTCTCTTATGAGGTTTTCGACGGTGGTCCAGACGGAAAGGGCAAGGACTATGAGCTTGATGATCTCGCCAAGAGCGCCATGGCATGTCAGAGGAGGCTCATGGACGCATGTAGAGCACCTTCATGATGGATATGCCTTGCTTTTCGGATGCAGCTGCATCGGTAAGACGCTATCATGATAGCTCAATGGTTTCATTGACATCTCGGTCGCATCTTTCGCGCACGAGTGTTGCGCTGGATTCTAGGCCTACTGCTGCCGGCAATGCGCAGTTGGTTGAGCTGCCTCGCCAGCATGACCGTCCTTGAGGGATAATCTAGCATGCAAAGGCAGGACTGTGCTTGCTTGTCCCGCGATCGACGCCTTGCGGTCCAATGACCAAATGATTACTTGCTTGCATGTACTCTGACATTGCGGGTGACGTGCCAAGCTGCAGATAGCACCGCCGTGTGCTTGAGACTTTGAGACTTAAGACTTGCGTTCATTAAGACTTGTCGTCAAGTAGCGCGGAGTTCGATCCAACACAGCTGCAACGATGTTCTTTGTGCCGTTGTACCACCTCGGGAGTGCCAACCCGCGCCTAGGGTACACCCATGAACCATCCCATGTTTCTCATCTTCCGGGCGCACGAGCGTGCATCCCTTGCGTGGTCGTTGGTGTTGGTTCCTGCATTCATTCCACGAATCGCTACGAAGGGCCGTTCCTTACCCGCAGGCTAATTTGAACGGCGTGTTGTCGGACGACATCTGAGGGTTGTCGACGTCACGTCTTGAAGTGAGCGTCGTGATCCATTCGAATCGAGCATGTCAAATGATGATCTCAGTCGTACACAATGCGTTCGTTGTCGATATTGCATGGCGTACTCGTGATGCGAAAGTTCGTGGTGTCAGCACGCGCGACGAAGATTGGGACGGGGCGCATTGGCCAGCAACTTCGCGATCATCCATTGATAATCGACTCGCTGCCGTCCTCATTCAGCCATGTGCGAATATTCGCGATACAAAGCATTGCTCTTGAAAAGCTTGCATAGTAGAACTCTCTTGAGCGCGGGTGTTTCGAGTGAATGGAAAAAGGCCGCGGACGAATATTGTCGTGTTCGAGTAGGACGATCAATTCTGCGGGCTGGACACTAAAGACTGACCGACAAAATCAATAACGTGATCAGACAGCGACCCCGGGTCTATCTGGACTGCTCCTACTTTAATTACGCGCACTCACCAATACTCTATACTCTTCCCACAGTGTCTCAAGACCGCTATCATGGCTCAGCCAAGTCGGCCCAAGAATCTGTGTTGAAACACGCGGCCTGCATATCCCTGCTCACCGGGATGATCATGGGCGCTTGGCTCTGCTTCAGTAGTGGCGGCCTGCTCCCATCATTTCTACTCCGCATTCCGAAGTGACCGCATGAGCTGCAGACAGTCCCGGCGGTATCGTTTCACCATCCATGTTCATCGTCGCACACCTACGGCCAGAGTGTAATTCAAGATTGTCGGTGAAGCAAACCAAAACAAAAAACCAGTCAAGTAATCACATTTGAAATCGCGATCCACACTGATCGACAAAGTCTGTCCCCAGAATGCGTGGCTTGAGGGGGGCATATGGTTTGATCCACACCAGTGCAGCCACGAATTGTGCTCACCGATTAAATTCCCGAGAGTTATGCGTTCACGCCGTCCGTCTGCTCATTTTACTGGCCGCGGGCATCACTTAACATCTGTCCGAGTTTAGCGGCTCCTCAAACATCACAGAATGGTCCAATGACGGAAAGGTCAGCCAACAAGGTAGGTAACCACGTTGCTTCTGTAGCAGGCCCGTGGAAAACACATAACATAGGTCTTTCGCACTCGACTTCTTCTCCCCGCCCTTCTTTGCTCGAAACTCGTGCAACATTCGACGCATTGACCACGCAGCTGCTGCTACTACCGTTGCCGCTGAGGCCTGCTCGTCGCCAGCAGGACGCACCGGACTACCTACTATGCATGGCTCCCTCGCATCTCCAAGCTAGCGGTCCGCGGCCACTAAGCGCTCGATGCTGATGGAAGAAAACGACTGTTGCTGAGGGTGCCCTCCCATCATCGTGGTCTTCTGGACCTCCCCGATCCACGCGTTCATTTGCTCTCGATGTCTGCGCCTCCCTGGAGGCCCCCCCAACGTAGTGTGGGCCGGCAGGAAAGTCGGAGATTTCGTTACGGCATTTTCACTCAAATCGACTTTTGGATGACTGCGGCTGTCATCCTCGTCGTTATGAGTGGTGCATGCACGGCGTTCCGCATCCGCATAGTTGGAGCTTCTCCTGATGCTTTGACAGCAAACGTTCTGAATGGAGAGAGGAAGAAAGATACCTCCGCTGCTACACATGCGGTGCCCAAAGACTGGTCTGCGCCTAGCTATGGACTCTATTCACTTCGATAGATTTCCTTTCTGGTTAGCCGCATTCCAGCCCAACATCAGTCAGTCCGTTGAAAGTCACACAAGCACTGCCTCTTTGGTATATTCCACCCCCTTTGGAGCTCTTGAAGCGCGATGCGACCGCCAGTGGAGTCTCTTATCACACGCAGGTCAGCAAAATGAACGCATAGTTCCCCATCGTGATCTCTTGGCACCAGGATCCTTGTGTACATCGCTCTGCTTCGATTTTTAATTGACATGAAGTAACATCAAGTACCATTCATTATTGCAATTTCGGCTTTGGGCTGCCACAAGACGATCCACCTTTCTTCATCCCTTGCGTCGAGGCTTCGCTTTCTGTCCTTTTGTGTCACCACATCTTCAGGACGATTGGCCATCATCACGTCTTCAACGACCACATGTCTCGTCGTCTTGCCAGTGCTACAGGGATTATCCACGGCCGTCTCCGATAGCATCACAAGCGTGGAATGTGACTGCGAATATTTGCTCGCAGAATTAGGCTGTGTGAGCAATTTGTCGACGTCCTCCCTCCTGGAGTCGACGTTTCCAGAGACATAAATTCTCGAACGAGTCCGCTCAACTTTCTTGAGATGGCTCATAATTCCAGCCCTGTTCTCCAACGAGCTTCATCCGCATCATCCGCATCATCTTTTAGCAACGGCGTTACTCCATTCTTACCCGCTGAAAACATGATTGATCCCACCTGCATTCATGGCATTCTGCACCACGAATGCCAGTACTGCGACTGGCGGTTGGCCCCTGGGTTGATCGAGAATTTTGGAGCTCACACATTCGACCCGACGGCATCGACTCGAGTCGATTTCCGCGCTACATCATCTAACGCCACAACCGTTGAAGAAGGTATGTCGATCATCGGCGTCAAGATTTCACACGAGAGTCGTCACAACAAAACTGACTTCAGTAGCTGTCTCGAACAACAATGGCGACGAGACCGATGACGGGGAAACTTTGTTCCAGATCGAATTCGATCGCATCGCGCCTGGCGAGCTCACGTTGACGCAGGAAGCCGTCGGGGACAGTCCCTTGGGCGGGACAGGCTCCACCCAGAGCGGAACTGGGAAGGTGATCATTCACCAAGAGAAGGAGGAGAAGACGAAGAAGTAAGATAGAAGCCGGGGTGAGACTGCGATTCTGTGTGGAGCGGATGTTCTCATCTGCGCAACTGTGGCCTTTATAGCTTTTCATGTGCTGTACTAGAATGGAATCTGATCTACCACTGTACTTTCTCCTCTCTTGGGCACGCCTGGCGTGTATATTGCGGAATCGTGACGTGTTCTCCCACTGCTCACGTGCTCGAGACCACAGCCCAAAGAAGACTCAATCTCGCTGGCAAAAGGAAGTATGTGTACAAGCTGAGCCTCTGCTAAAATCCTGCGACGTCTCCTATGGTTTCGCATGGGCGACATAATTATCAATATTGCTGCTGAGCCCGATTAACTTAATTAAGGGCTGAAGCGCTGTTGCACCACGACCAGCCAGACGTGTCCGAAATCTCAACTCTCGAATATCTACCTTGTGCGTCCCTCCTTGATGACTTCTTATTTCACCGTGCACGAGGCGTCGCGCCTGCAACAGCGTCCTCTCTATGGGTGTTGTGATCGTCACTTCATGCACGCAATACAGCGCCCATGCTTCCTTCGCGCATAGTGGCAAGCTGTGCTTCTCCACAAAATTGATCCATTCCGGACTCTGGAGTCCCATTGGGCATCGCCCACGCGACCGCAATCAATCTCTTGCCAATCTAGTTCTTCACCGCCACCGTGGCCAATGCGGGTAAACGAGGGCAATATAATCCACGTGTCTTGCGTGTTCTCGGAGCTTCTTTGCCGACACCAAGAACATGGCTCTTCTCATGGTTACAAGGTTGTGGTGGAAACTGTAAGTCCTTCGTGCTGGCTCGAGCGCAAGTGCTTACTTTGCCCCAGAATCGATCGCGTCGCTGTTGGGCACTGGCGAACTTTGCGGCCACTAGCTGGGCCTGCCACGCCTCGGCTTCAGGCTAAACGGGCACGCCAGGGAATCCTCACCCTAGCCTCACGAGCATGCGTTCTGATGGTTTGGGGTTGTCCTTGTAGGTAACAATGCCCGCGCAGGCAGGAAACGGTGTTCCACAGAATGGCCCATGCTCCGTTGCTGTGGTTGGTGATCGGTCGCCAGTCCGTAAGAGCAGATCTGCCGTGGCTCAGTTTATGTGAAGGGTGTCGTTCTGCAAAGGCGAGTCGCTGTCTTTCAAGGAGCCATCGATAGATCCGCGACGCACTCATCGTATGTTGTCAAGATTGTCGCGATGTACCGGTAAATCGGTATCTAGCCCGGCGATGCGGGGTCTGGGTAAGGCGAGCTCATCCGCGACGTTGCCATCTGCAGATAAGCATGCCGATTCGATCACTGCTTGTACTTTCGGATCCTAAAGGAGTAAGTGTGCTTGCTACCCCAAGTGCTGCATCGCACGGCTAACAAACATACGAAAGACGCATTGTTGTTTGTTGCAGGCTTCGAATGAATGCGACTGCGAGCAATGTTGGGCAACACTCACAAGACACAAGAGCGGCAGAGATGAGCGAAGTTTAGAAGACGCATAAAATCCACCTTGACAGTACCCCGGGCGTGTTCGTTATCTTTACCGACCACGAACAGATGCTGCGCCACGTGCAGCAGGCCGCCTCCCACCCAAACAAAAAAACAATGATGGAACCGACAACGCATCATGAGCGGGCTTGCCTGCATGCGGGGCGAATGTTTAGCTTTTTCTCATCAAAACTCGACTACAACGCTGACAAAACGGACATGCTATTCCTCCCACCTCCCAACAACCACCGCCCGGGCACAACCACCTAGACATATGATCAATCGAGCCGAATGCAGCATGCCGCATTCCCATGTGCAATTTCGGTGCTCCTACTTTGGCGACTGCTATATTGGGCCTGACCGTGCACATCGCATTTGCTGAAAATGCACCATCCGTGGGCTCTGTCGAATCCGGATGTGTCAACGGGGAGGACTTAGCATCTCCCTCGACTATCAGGGTGTGAACCTTGTCACAGCTACGCCGATGCAGCCATCCTTCGCTACCGCCCTGGCGGGCCGTCATTGTGGAGTGTATGCTCGCTCTGCAGGATCTTTCTAGCCACTGATTCCGCCATTTCCAACAGTCCCGAGATTCCCAATCTGGACCTCAAATGCGATGCGGATGGACCTTTTAATTTCCAGCGACGTCAGCGGACGCCGCACTTTGCCCTTATCTAATTGCGGCTGGCACGATTACGGCGATCGATCCTACGAATGTGCTTGATGGCGGCGGTGCTTCATAGCAACCGGCGCAAGGCTCTAGCCGCCAGCACGACCTCCGCCTCAGACGGCCCACAGCCCGTTCGCTGAGATGCACGTTGATTCCCAACACTGCTGCCTGTCGACTGCACGTCGTTGGTTCATGTGGTCGATGCCGAGCATATGCTCGAAGTCCCTGCTTCAGAAGCAGGGATGGAACGCCCTTTTGTAGGTCAAATTCATCAAGTACCCTCCCCGATGGCCTTAACGGAGGCACAAGTCCTGTCGTTCATCTTCCCTGCACTTACCTCCGGCTGACCCCTGTCCGGAAGGCGCTCGAAGAGGCTTTCGATCAGCCCTTAACATAGTGCGAGGCATGCGCTACGAAGGCCGGCAGGGAATTCCACCATGTGGATCCTCTTTACTGGAAACAGCTCGTGCGGCAAGATCGGATAGCCTCGCATATTGTTACAGTCAATGGAATAATTCGTTTCACAGAATAATCCGCTCTGAGCCCCGTCTGTGCTCCAATGTAAGCCGCCGAATTGGCAGCAGCTTTGGCCTCGTGGTCATGGCTTGCTCTTGGTTTGTGCGAGCGATCGTCAAGCGATGTGGTGCGTTGATTGCCAGCGCATCCTCTGTTGATCATTGGCATAGCGATGTCATCACCAGAAAGGATTCGTTCCATGCCCAGACCATCCATCTACGGCCCGGGCATTGATCTTCCTCACACCTGAAAGCTGCCAAACAAGGTCTTTGGCCTGCATGCTGAGTGAATGGTTGATGAGGTCGTGGACATGTTCAAACGGCCAATAATAAGATGACATGCATACGCTGTACACCCAAACAAAGGACGCTCAAGCCACGCACTAACAGTGTTTCTGTCAGTACACACATATGTCGTTCGCTCCTCGATATCCATCCTCAACAGAAATATTTAAATCAATCGACAACGCCGAAATTTTCTTGATAACCGACCACTCGCCGGTAAACCTGCGTTATTCCTTTTCCTCCCCGCACATCATATCGCTCCCATCACCTCGAAACCACCCGAGACAACGTCATCATGGACTCTCACGACTCAATCTGTGAGCACCAGCGCCGGGGTAAAGAGTGTGAGCCATGCAAAAGCAACGAAGAGAAGACATCTGTCTCCCATACCGGCGGTTGGAGTGATCAATCGGTCAGAGTCGTCTTAGCTGACCACAATCCGGGTACTACCCGAGGTCAAGGTTCGTCACTCGCCGGCCATCATCGGAACATTACTTGCAATCGGCTCTTCTCTCTGACGTCGCAACTGTCCATAGATCTAAAGAGCACGACAGGATATGCCCCTTTCCCAACGTATGACCATCCGTCTTTCTCAACAACCGAACCTCGCTCTCAAGTTCTCATTGAGAAAGGTTGCTCGTACGAATCTCCTTATCCGAGCCAAGTATCCTGGCACGGCGATCCATCGCACAGAAAACATCATCAAGCTCCTCGTGGTACATTCGAGCAACTTGGTCAAGCTACCAACACTCCTCAACGCAGCGATGAGATTTCGGCCAGAAGACACCGCACTTCCTCAATGTTCTGCCAACCGCCGGGATCTGATGGCTCTCAAGGACAGACTGTCGACCTCAACAGCGGCTTATCACACATTGAGCCTGCTGGTCAAGGGCGTGATGCTGAAGAACGACCGGAACGGGGATGATTGGGCCTAGACAGCGGTATATTGTGAGACTACAGCTCAATACAGTCGACACGTAGTGTAGACTTTATGCAAAGGCATTGATCGAGTAGGTCTTGCTCTTACTTGAGCCCGCGGTATCTTATATAAATTCGTACTATTACTTTTGTAGAAATTAAGCCAAAACTGCTTTCCTGGTGCGGAATCCACATTCTGGTGCGTTTCTTCAGTGTTGCATACAACCATTTGAAAGAGTACACATACTGCAAGGGCGAAACTGCCCCACGCTTCTACGATGATGAATATTCCTTCACACAGGCTTCGCCGAGGAGGTAGACTTCGGGGCATTGGCGATCCTGTCCGTCCAGGTGGGTGTCTTGTCGAGAGCCGCACCTCAGAAGCATCTCCGACGCGTCATCCAAATTTCAAATGGCTCAACACATAATCATGAGGAAAAGCTCAAAATGCTCGATTTCTTTCACCGCTTCTTTACGGACGCCTTTTTGGTGCCTGAAAGCGATCTTGGGGCGAATCAAGGCGAGAGGGACCAGCCGAATAACGGTGGGTGTCCAGTCCACCGTCGCACGACGGTGGCGCGACGGCGGGCTGGATGGGCGGTGAAGACGAAGGGATTTCTTCCGTAATTTCTTTCTTGCACGATGTCATCCGTCATTAGAAGACGGGTCGTCGCTCTGGGGTACATGTACCCTAGTTCATGCGTCGAATAGAATCGTGTGAAATGTCGAATTTCTGGAACTTGGAATTGCAGTCTGCCATTCGCTGATGACAAGCTATTAGCCCACATCTTGAATGTTGATTGGTTCGCTCGCCAGAATCCATATCCTTTCGTGCATGTTGCCAAGGTATGGAATCAAATCGGGTGAGAATCATCAGTGGGGCAGTGCTGTACCTGCCTAGCCAACAATGCGAGCAAGGCTGTGCATATGCAGCACCACAATCTTGACGGCGAATTGCCATGTAGCCGCGATCATTGGTGCGCGGTACTGTCATGGTTATCAAAAACGAAAAAGACTTTGTGCGTCAGAGCTTCGCTTGACCTTGGAAAGTCGGGCCCGTCAAGAATCTCGTGACGCCGTCATCACGTCGGATGTGCAAGCCTCAGTGGGAAAAGAGCCGTCCACGGTGGACATCGTACATCCAGTGATTAAGCAGACACAGGTCAAGACTGCTGAGTAATTATTACGCGTTTGCCCAGGTGCTGCATTCGGGCAGCACGGGAGAGTGTTTGTGTTGCAGGGACGAGACTGCGTCGTTGTTCTTCACAGATGTGTTACGCTTCGGCCCGCAGCCTTGCCTGCCTAAGTCCACTGCATGTGGGCTGATCCAACGACAACACGGATGTCTTACTGACAAACTCGCACGTATCAAAATATTCAATCTTCTCGAGCCTACTAGGTCTGAGCCAGGCCTTGCCACAGACTGTATATATACAGATCTGGCGTTCCGAAATGCAACATGCGAATGGAAATAATCATCCCTCCCTCAGCCTCCACAATATAATATTTGCCGAGTGAAGAGATCGTAAAGGTTTTTACTGTCCAGGAGGAGAGATCTTCCGAACCTTGATCGTATGACATCAGTGGCCAAAGAAATGGTCGAGCTTCTTAGCAACAAATGATCCGTGATCGTGCTACATGATTTTGATTTCTGGCGCATGCCATCCATTAACGTTTCGGTCGCGACCCGTACTAGCTCCTGCGAGACGGGAGGCACGCATGCACGTAGCGATGAGATCTCGTTAAGGTGTCTGTTCGCAAGGCTGTGATGCCAGTGTATAAGCCATTTCCGAAGATGTCGTCGGATCTCGTTTCGACGTCAAGAGACCGAATTGGGGAACACCGCATGTCGTCAAGCTGCCCGACACCGGCGCCATTCGCTGGCGGCAGCCAACAATGCTTATCTGTTGGTGTCAACGCTTCAATCTCGATCTCGGGGGCCCTGCTCCGCCCGGCGCATGACATTTTCGTGGCGACGCACAAGCCTGGCGCCCGCTCTTCCATCCGTCTGCCGTCCGTCGGCTCGTGGCCGCGCGATGCTGTGGTGTTGATTTGTTGGCTGGGAGAATGCCGTCGACCGATGGCACGGCCCGTTGTCTCACCGCCGCTACCAAGGGAATCCCTTCCAAGGTTGTCACCATTTGTCCATCACCAGGCTCTTCCCAAGCAACTTTAATTATCATGTATCGTCGACTGTACACGTCTCGCCAATGAAATCTCTTCTCATTGTGCGCTTGCAGCCATGTTGGTCAGTGCCCTTTGGTGATTCGAAGGCGAAGCTGTAGTGGGTGCGACAATCGATTCTGAGGAGCGCCTCCGCAATCTATCTGGGATTCCCCACATCCCATCCTATTGGGCGACGCTTGCACGACGGTGTCGGTCCTTCCGTCAACCAGTCTGAACCAATGCTACCAGGATATACATGGGGCGCGTAAGCGAGTGATGAACTGGCTGGCACCTGACGATTCGGAGTTGTGACCGACGTCAGTCTCCTTCGGCCTCATTCTACGATCCCGGGCAGATGATGTGACGCTCTGCCAGCTCAAGCCGACGCTATTGACGCATTGTCACGGTGTGTCGAGCCCTGAATATTCTCAAGCCTGAGAACGGTCGCATGAGCGTCCCTACTGATCGACGGTGTGGGCGGAGATCCTGAGTGCCTCGACTTGGCGTCATTGATTCTGCACCTTACTATGTTTCTTGTCCATTTTGTCTATACGACCGGGAACACCGCTGAGACGTATGCAGCGCCTGGTGGTATCTCTTGCAATGAAATCTTGGAGGCTTGCGGACTGATCATGTCGCGGTCCCGATGGCACGATCAAATCGAAACTGCGGCAAATCCTTGTGTGAGGAAACTTTGTTCGCAAGGGAGGCAATCTCCAACCGGAGTCGCGAGGGGGCATATCGTTGCATTCAAGTACACCCGCAATTCCATCTCGCACAACAGCGCAAAGAACGACTTGATGACAAACTCGAAAAAACCGAACAGAATCGACTTAGAATTATGTATGCGGGATTGCGCTTGCAATTAAAGCCCGAATGCAGCCCTTATCACTGGTGCTTGATCCCGATGTGGTTGACCTGCAGCGATGTGTGCGCTTGCTTCTATGGCGACAAGGAAGGCGCCGCAGATCTGTACACACTCGTCGCGCATACTGTCCAGATGCAGATGCTTTGTGTGTGGGGTACCAGCTGTGCCGCTTCACTGATACTGCTCGAAATTTGTGGGTTATTACTCACTCGACCGCACCGATGAATTTCCCGGCGCTCACACCGGCCACGACGTCCAACTCCACAGCGTACCTTTTATCTGTATCCTTGATGGGGATGGACGATTGGCTCTGCATGGCTCCCTGCGAGATCAAGCGAAAGTCTAAATTCTCAAAAGGAAAACAAATCGACGCCAGTGCCGGCTGGGACATTCTCTACTTGCTCTCACCTGTCGGGCGACGCGGCATGCTCTGCAAAAAGAGCGTGCGCCTGCTGCGAATCGAGGCCCTTGGCCTCGCTCAGTCCGGGTCTGCATACCCACCGGTGAAGCTTAGCGTGCGGGACATCACAGAATTTACCTAGATTTGAAATATTCGCATCGCATGATAGTTTGGGAGGCTCGCCTTCGCCAACACAGCAAGCCCGGTGACCATATCGTCTTGTATTCGCCTATCTGAACAAGCACAACCGTACGGTACAGCGTCACACCTTTTTCGAGGTGGTGTGCTCTCTGCAGACTTCCTTCTCGCCTGCATATTTTGTCGTATCGAGCACACACTCGTCTCGAACCCTTGGCATAATTTCCGCATCTGCCGAAAGATTTCTGAAACGAGGCAATTTGCATGCCTGAAATTTACGGAACCGGCACAAGCTACCTGGTTGGCCTCAGCATTGCAGCAAGTTTGGCAATTGACAGTCTAACGCGGACAAGCGTGCTGGACTGGAATCGGCATGGCCGAAGATTGCTGATCCGGTTCGATGGCGATGGTACATTTAGCTCCCGCATGTATCGCGCTTCCTTCTTATGCAACGTTCTTTCGACGAAAATGCTGGAGCAGTATCCATAGCTTTCCACAATGCTTGGCCTGTCTCTCCAAACGTATTCGTACGAATTCATCCTTCGGCACCGCTCTCGGAAAACGCACCTCTAGCCTGGATTGATCTGGCACGAATTGCAGTGCCTGATAGAGGACCTAGAAAGAGAGGAGTATGTGGCACGTAGTGTTCCTTGAAATGACTGGATGACAGAACCTCTTCGCCATCCCTGCCTGGCCGAGTTCCGATTCTGGTCACTTGGCACACCATCCTTGCTACCTCGTGGCTGCGCACTTGCCGTGTCCACTGCTGACGACCTTTCAATACTGACGACCGCCTTTCTAGGGTGACGTCCGCCGAACTGGTACCTGTTGTGACGCATCTTCGCTATCGCTGCCAAGCTGGTGCCGCTCACGGGTGTTGACTTGTGTGTCATCACGATACATCTGGTTGGTCTGCCGATCTACTTCTGAAATTGTCGAACTGCCACACCCCATGCGCCTGGCGTGATCACCCAGAAACTAGTGGTGTGTTCGTTGCAGTATCTTTTCGGCAAGATGGGTTAGCTTGAACTTTCTACGTTCCGATCCGGCAGTTGTTGCACAATCCACCGTGGGAAGATGGGCACACATAGTTAAATCCTGGCCCGTCCACGAACCGCCGAAGAGCATACGTCGTAGCCAAGAACATAAATTGTTAGTAGTCCAAGCGTCGCATACAGTGTCTATCCCAAGAGACCACATCGGGACAGAGGAGCGCTTCGAAACACTATAAAAGAGCTTCAAGACAGGCTGTGAGCTTTTCTCGTCCTCCTCTTCGTGCTCGCACATCCTCAGCTTTACCCCGAAGTCACATACGTTCATCGTGGAAGCACTAGCTTTGACATTCCAGGGCTCTCGCACAGCCCATTCTCTGTCCTCGCGCTTATCCGTTCTACCTGTCACGGAGTATTCGAAACGATGAGTGATTCCATGGGAGGATCTTCCCCCTCAGCATGCATTCATCAGCGTCCACTGTTGACATGCAACCATTGTCACACGGAAGATGGCATTTTACACATCGGCACGAACGATGATTTGACAATATCACGCTCGCTCGGTGGCCCCTTACCACATATGCATCCGCCCTCGCACCTACAAGGTCTGTCGCCCCTTAACCCACTGTCATGATCCTTTGATGAAGACGTGAAAGCTCACGTTGGAGGTGAAATAGCAAAGTGTGAAGTCGAAAAATTATCCGCAGCGACCAGGGACAATCCGCCTCGACCTGGTCGCGCCAACTTCCATAACTTTACAATTACGAGTTCTCCACACAACCCGGGCATTTATGGTGATCCGGACGGGCTCCTGACACTGGATCAGACAGGTTCAGGGCCTGCCAGCGTCTCCAGCAATCCTCAAAACAACGTGCGCGCGATGTAGGCATGCCATTCTTACCCTTATTCTTCTGACGCCGATTAAAGCATCCACTCGAGTACCGGCGTCGTGCATATGGTCGAATACGATAACTTCGAGGCCAGCTTTACCTTACGCAAGAAGCGGGACGGCCGATCAGATGAGTGCCAGTGTTCGTTCATTGAGAATGTCATGCGTATGAATTATGGTCGTGGGAGCGTAGGATGATTTTGAGTATAATGTATTATATTGTCCAGCGGAGACGGATTTCCTAATTCAACTTTGATTTGATGTGTAAGATGAAGCACAATATATCTCGTTGTGTTACAATGCAGTGTCATGGCCTGAGAATACATATGCGCGAATTGTAGCTGTGGATCCCGGATTTGTCTGGCCGAAAAGCAGACGAAAGGGTGGCAGCAAGGATGCGTTGCGGGTGTAGCTGGTGAATACTTGTGTGAAAATGTCTCTGCACTTGTGCATGCGTCTGGGTTGTGGCAAGCCTGCATGAACTGTACGCAGGTACCGGCCAATGTCCATGAAATAATGGCTTTTTGCTTCACGCCGATGTAATGCACATGCGGATGATCGCAATGGCATCTCACGGGATTCATCATCCTGGACGATCTCATGGTTCCTGAACTCATGTCAACATGTATCGATCTTGCAATAAAAAACTCATCTTCGCACACACGAACGTCGTCGCTCCAAGACCCGATGGGGCAACGTAAGCAGCTCGCCTCCGAGGAGGGAGGACGGCAAATGTGCGGAGTGCTGCGAGGGAGGCGAAGCGCAACGAGCCTTGTACCGCAGATAGATTCCACTCACCGCTACTGACCATAGACGCCTCTTCCGTGGTGCAGCTAAACCTGGTTACTATCCTCAGCATGGTGATATGAAGGACCGCGCACTCCTGGACACACAGACACACACAGGTCGACACGCTATGGCGTCATTCAGCTCGTCGAGTATGAAACACCAATGGGAGCACAGACGAGCTGGATATAATGTAGTGGTTTACCATATCGTGATTGACTCGCGCTCTGTTTGCTCGGCGAATTTGATTGCACGGAAGCTTCTCACAAAGCCTATGTCGCCTTTCTTCGTCGGGAACAGGCAGATGCAGAGTGAGGACATCGGTATTAGCGGCCGGTGTTTGCAGCGTTGCCACGACGGATTCTTGTCACCGTAAGGGTAGGGAGTCCAAAGCAGCGTTGTGGTCGCAGGCGTCCACCCCTGTGCCACCCTTCGCTTTAAGCTTTTATGCATTTCGCGCTAGTTGACGTGTCAAGCCACATCCTGGGAAATCACCGTCTTTTGAGATGAACCTAATACAGTGAAACGACGTGTGTTGTCTTCATCTGCCTACCGCCTCTTGACGCCTGTGCTTCACCAGTGGAAGATTCATAGTTGGTTAAAATGGATAAAGGAGGCCTGTTTCAAAGTGCGAGATGAGCCACAAAAAAGGATTTTTATGCGCCGAGCAACACCCGCCAATGCGGTACCTGCAAGGCATACAGATCCTGAAACGTGCTCGGGCATTACTCTACTCGTAAGGATGAGACGCGTACCGATCTTGCCCAGAGATCATGCCATGTTGAACTCCAAACGCGATAAGGACACGGATATGAAGAATTTTCAACGACTACGCGCCCGGCCTTGTCCGGTCCGGAAGGGCATTCTTTGAAATCCTTGGCCGAACCTGCTGGACTTGTTGGGCAGCCGTCGTCGTACAATCCTGATGATATCTCTCCAGGTTTCGATGGTTTCGTTCTAGATCTTGACAAATCAGGCCACCCTGGGGAGACTCATGCCAAGGCTGAGTGATTACGTATCCCCGCAATATGTTGTGAAGGCGCCGCACGGCTCAACACTCCTAAGAGTGCCTGAAAAGCGCATCGCTAGCTGGCGTATGTGAGCCTCGTCTCGCGCCGCACGAGTGATATCGAGAAAGAGCAACGCTAGCAGGAACTTGGTGTGCTGACTGTATCTTGAACATTGGTTTGCGGAAAATTAAGACTCCCGCACCAGGTGCTCTGACGTATTTACAGACCACGCACTGACCCCAGAACGAAATTAACTGGCTCTCCAGAATAGCCAGCCCGGAGAAGGTGACCAGATGTACGTTGCCCACAATCGCATAGCCGCTCGTCAAGTTTTCGCAACGAAGTCGTCATGGCAAATCTCTGCACTGCCCGGCTCGCAGGCTACCGATCACATACATGTCCAACAGCAAACATGGTCCCTGTCTTGGCTGTCCGATCTGACAGCAGGCACCGATTATTACATCAGCTCATCCAAGTTTGACTTGAGGCTTTTTATGCACACGCACGTGCGACCAGTTTATACAGTCCCAGGGTTTGACAAGAGTTGAGTCACTTTGCGTTGGTTCTGTTTTTGCCCATGGCGAACAGCTTCGATGTTTCCAACAATGGCCGGACGAGCGACAACAGCGCCGAGAATACCAACGACCATGCTGAGCGCAATATGACAAGTACGAAGTGCAAGTGTGAGCTGTACGAATTGACGGCGCGATGAATTAGAAACATGGTGCCTCAGGCAACGGACTGCAGTTGGTGACCTGCTTTTGAGTGTGCAGAATGGACATGCTCGGAATCTAATCATTCATCTCTCTGCCACGAGAGGCGAATAGGCCCTGATATCGTTACGCATTACCGTCACGCAATATTAAATCGTTCGTGCCCGTTTCGGGCATGGATTCCTTGAAAGCAAATTTCACCTTTTATTTTATTTTATTTTATAATATTCCGCATGATCACTATATCAATGCGCCAGCCAAGTCGACCGGCATCTCGTCGCCCACTTGTAGTACCAACATCATTTCAACAGATCCTGCAAGATGGAACTGATGTCTCCGCTGGCTCCAGGGGCGCCTGCCAATGGTTGCACCGAATCGACACCCGCTGCAGGCGGTAAGAAGCCAAGGGCTGGTTGTTGTTGTAGCAGCTCAGAGTTTCCTGGTGGTCGAATCGGACCCATTGACTTGCCACCACAGCCCTTTTGCAACGCTTCATCCATAATGAGGAATTGCGCACGCAATTGCTGCATCTGCGCGCGCAGCTCATCACATGTGCTGCCGTTGGCTTGACCGCCTTGGCCAAGTCCGCCCTGTCCGAGCCCGCTCTGCCACGACCAGCTCTGTCCAACACCACTTTGTCCAACACCACCTTGTCCAATTCCACCTTGTGCGGTTCCGCCTTGAGTGGTGCCGTCTTGTCCAAATTCCCATCGTCCACGCCCACCTTGTCCGAGCCCGACCTGTCCGGAACCTCCTTGCCCGACACTACCTTGCCCAACACCACCTTGCCCATTACCACCTTGTCCGAGGCCTCCGTGTCCGAGGCCACCTTGTGTAGTGCCGCCTTGTCCGAATTCCCATCGTCCGGACCCGCCCTGTCCGAGCCCGACCTGTCCGGAACCTCCTTGCCCAACACTACCTTGCCCAACACCACCTTGCCCAATGTCACCTTGCCCAATGCCGCCTTGTCCAAGGCCTCCTTGTCCGAGCCCAACACCACCTTGGGTAGTACCACCCTGCGAAGTGCCGCCTTGGGTATTACCTCCTTGCGTTGTGCTGCCTTGGGTGGTGCCGTGTTGCCAGGTGCCTTGTTGCCAAGTGTTGCCTTGGTTGGAACCTCCCTGGCCGAGTTGAGTCCGGGAGTTTTCGGCCTCATCCTTTGTGACCTGAGTCCATGACCCGAATCTATTCTGGATCCACCATCCATTCGAGCCCTGGACCCATGTGTTTTGAGCGTTCTGATAAGAGTAGTCCTGAGCGAACTGGACCAGGTTGCCGTTGGTGTTCGTGTATCGTTGACCACGGGTCACATATATCCAAGATCCCTTGTCATCCTGGAAAGCACCAGTGTACTCCTGTCTGCTATCGGCCTGTCCAGTCTGCGTTGCTTTGGCTTCATTCTCGGTAGTCTTGGTCCAGCTTCCCGAGCTGTTCTGGTACCACCAACCATTGGACTCTTGCACCCAGACACCTTTGGCATCTTTGAAGGCGTAGTTTGGCACAAAGTGTACGTTGGTACCCTGGCTGTTCTGGAATCTCTGACCCTGAGTGGCAAAGATCCATCGGCCTGTGGATTCTTGGAACCAGTATCCTTGCGCAACATATGTCGGCTTGCCATCGGATCCCTGTGTCTTGCCTTCAGGTGCAGTAGTCCATTTCCCAGACCCATCTGTCGTCCACCATTGGCTCGAGTGTGTCCAACTCGTGCTTCCTCCATTTGTGGAGCCTGAGGTACCATCAGGGAAGGTGATTCCACCCACGCCTGTGCCCGATCCAGGGCCTCCCTTTTGACCCGGCTGCAGACCACTGCCTGCAGAAGGGGGTTGGAAGCTAGAGCCTGAGCCAGGTGGCCACGCAGAGCCTATCGGCCAACCGGGAGGAGGTGGTGGGAAAGTACCGAAGCCGGGCGGGCCCTGAGGCGGTTGAGTTCCGCCGCCGACACCTGAACCAGGTGGCCATGCAGAGCCTAGTGGCCAACCAGGGGGTGGTGGTGGAAAGTTTCCGAAGCCTGGCGGGCCTTTAGGCGGCTGGATTGGGCCACCGGGGCGTTCGCCGTCAGGACCTTTGCCAAGACCTGACTGTCCTCCATTGTGGGGTACTTCAGGAATATTAGTATCCAGGGGATTCGTTGGTTTCTTGCTTTGTAGACACTCGTCCCGCTGTCTTTCCGTATCGGTGAGACGTTTGTTGAGCTGGAGTCCATGCTCGCGGCATTTTCGTAATTCGTCTTCGGCTTCAATGACCCGAGCCTTGGCGTCAGTGACATCCTTTTCTCGTTGTGCACTCTGTCGACGGAGAAGATCTAGATCAGTCCTCAGCTTTTCGCCGTTCTGTCTGCATTCGTCCAGCTTGCGTTTCCAGTCGTCGACTTCGGCGCGGGCTGAGTCAACTTGTTCGAAAGCTCGATCACGTTCACGTTGGAGGCTTGACAGGTTTCCATCGGTAGCATCCTTCCCACGTCGTTGCGCTTCTGAGAGTTGCGCTTTCAATGCTGCCTTCTCAGCCTCGCAATCGCGTTCTTGAAGGTCTTTCGCCTGTTGAAGCTGTGCCAGCTTCTGCTGCAGGTCGTTAGGCGCCAAGGCGCCCGCTCTGGCATTTTCGAGATCGCGTCTCAATTGTGCCTTGGCAGCTTCACATTCACGCTCTTGGAGCTCTTTTGCCTGTTGAAGTCGAGTGAGTGCTTGTTGCAGGTCGCTTGCTGCATTAGAACCAGCTTTGGCAGCTTCCAATTCGCGCCTCAGCTGTGCTTTAGTAGCTTCACACTCGCCCTCTTGAAGTTCCTTTGCTTGCTGCAGCCGGGCTAGCGCTTTTTGTAGATCATCTGCTGCGCCTGATCCAGACTTGGCAGCCTCCAGATCGCGCCTCAATTGTGCTTTGGCAGCTTCACATTCGCGCTCCTGGTCTTGCTTAGAACTTTCGGCGTCTTTGAGCTGTTGCTTGAGTCTGTCAACCTCGGCTTGAGCGTTGTCGAGTTTATTCTTGGCGTCGGTCAATTGTTTGTTCAGAACCTCATCGGGGACGTTTGAATTGCTACCGGTGTCGGTACCTCCTAAAGGTTGAGTCGAAGTCTTCGGGGGTTCCGGCTTGTCATCCTCTTCATCAAATTTTGGCTCTGGACGAGTCGTAGTCAACGGTGCTTTGGGCTTGTTGTCGGGCTCGGATTCATCGGGCTCACGATGTGTGTTTTTCCAAGCTTTCAGCTGCCGCTGCTTAGGTAAAGCAGACGGCACTGTTGGCTCCTGGGACGACATGTTGTAAAGCCGACCGAAAGTGAAGTCAGAATAGAGATTCAGCGTTGGAGAGTATAGGACTTGGGCGCGAGCGTGAGCTAGAGCTCATATATGCAAGAGCGAACGAGCTGTACTTGGAAATTCCACTGTGCCTATGGAGGGAGCGTTTGCTTCACGGCTGATTTTGCACGGTTGCATCGTCTCACAAGTATGCTTGATCTGCATGTGACCGAGGACAGTAGCACGGCCTTGATGCGGCATCAACTACCCAGCCAGCCCCCTCTACTATCGACGTTTCTGAGCTGCATGAACATCGAGATCGCGTACAACGACATCAGTCGGATCTTCGCAAGCCTTCCCAAGCGAGGAGGATTTCGTTGAGATGCAGGTATGCAATCATGACGCGGCCTGAATGCTATTGCGGCATCGCAGATCTAGCTCCAATGACCGTATGTAGACGTGTGTTTGCACAACAGCCATGTAGGCAGATGCGTGCTATGGTCTCAGCATGCTTTAGCTACTGATTCGTCATTGATTGGCCAGATGAATTCCCGACACGGGCTTGGACGTACCAAACTGTACCAGGCAGCACTGTGATGAAAAGAGTCGTGATTTATGGTGTCGTACGCAATGGCCACGTCGGATGATCGCATGCTGCTGTAGTCTCATGTACTCAAGTGGATCGAGGGCGATATTGAGAGTATCCACGGCCGTCCACTCGCCCATCGTTCCGGTTCTCTTGGATGCATGCATCTTCGAGTCGTCTGGTCTAGCTGCATGTACATGCCTCGATTCGTCATCCTGTTCCTGCCAGATGTCGCAGTTCCAATGTGAAATACGTGACGATGTGTTGTTCGATGTTGTCATGTCACGAACACTGTCCATGCATTGCCCCAAGGAAGAGTGACTAGCTCTAGTGCGAAATCTGGGGTCCACCCATGAACTGGTCCGCACGCACGCACATGCCGAGCTTCATCCTTCCCGGCCCGCGTTCCTCAGCACAGACTACACGGAAGTAAACTTCGATGATGCCGCAGTACCTCACCAACCCCATCCCACCATCAAAGTGTCCTCCGTTGGGACCTCAGCCCTTAGCCGATCATCAGAATCCAGCAGTCGAAATGTTGGAGCTCGCTAATGCCAACCTATCGACTGCGCCTGATCGTTCGAGAGTTGGTGTTCTGCAAGACGCTGCTTCCGACACTCGAGGTCAGGAAGAGAAGACGATCCGATTCAACGTGTATCAATGCTCAATCCGAGGAGACATGAGCTACTTCAGTCCTGTGATTCAGCGATGTAGTTTCAACGCGTCATAATCTGCTATTCCGTCGAATCGGGCATAAAGTTACGCACCCCTTCGAGTCTCACCGGCGATATATGCTTCCTTTGCTGTTTCCGTACTTCTCAAGCATTCATTGATTCGTCTCTCCTCAGCCTGGTACTTACTCGGTTCTCACTCAAACTCCAAAATGGCAGGTCTTCTTGGTGGACTTGGTGGCGGCGGTGGTCCTTTGGGTGCCGTCGGAGGCCTCACGGGAGGACTGACTGGTGGTGGTGGTCCGCTCGGCGCTGCTGGAGGTCTCACTGGTGGTCTCACTGGCGATGGGGGCCCTCTGGGAGCTGTCGGCGGTTTGACCGGCGGACTTACTGGTGGCGGCGGTCCTTTGGGCGCCGTTGGGGGCCTCACTGGTGGTCTGACTGGCGATGGGGGCCCTCTGGGAGCCCTCGGTGGTTTGACCGGCGGTCTGACCGGCGAAGGGGGCCCTCTGGGTGCCATTACTGGCCTGACAGGAGGGCTTCTCGGCGGCGGTGAAGGCCTTAACCTGATCGGCCTTGTCGGTATTGGTATGTTGTGAGCTTCGAGAGAACATTATCTATGCGAGACTAATATGAGGGTAGGCTCCGACGATCCGGCCTTGCTCGACCTCAATCCCGCACAGAAGAAGGCGGTAAAGGCGCAGAAAGCTGCTCAAGCGAAGCAAAATGAACAGAAGCGTCAGGCAGCTCTGAAGCAGCTCCAAGATCAGGTCAACGCCCAGGGCGGACGTGCCAGCCCGCAGCAGCAAGCTGCCGCCAAACAGCTTCAAGAATCTCAATTCTTGGAGAACCACGAAATGCAAAAGCTGGACCATGTCCTAGGACCAACAGATCCCTACGCGCTGCAACAAGCATTGGCCCAGCCTTCTTCTGGAGGAAACTATTCCACACAGCAGCAGTCAGGCCGCCTTCCTCCAGGAACCTACCAAGCTTACATTGTAGACCCCCAAACACGACAACCAACCCATCTGGTGACATTCCAGCCGATCGATTCGTCGAGCTCAGCGCCCGCCCAAACCGCTGGTGGTTACCCATCTTGGCAAGGTAATAACAACGGATCATCAGGATCCTTCGGATCCGGAGCTACTTCTGGAGGTGCAAACAATGGGCAAGCTCCCGGCGGTGGCAGCGGCGGCGGCGGGGACCTTCTCGGCGGACTCTTAGGGAGCGGCCAAGGTCTGAACGTTGCTGGAATCCTGGCGATTGGTGAGTGAACACTGATTATTCTGCTTATGCGCGGGTCACAGCTGACGCTCGATAGGCTCTGATGAGAAGGCATTGCTGGACTTGAATCCCGCCCAAAAGAAAGAAGACCGTATCAAGCAAGCACAAGAGCTACAAAGACAACAAAAGATTCAAAAGGCTCAGATGCAAGCCTTGCGCGACCAAGTCGCCAAACAGAACGGCCAGGCCACAAGCGCGCAGCAGGAGCAGTACACCGCCGTCCAACGCCGCGAACAGGCTCTCAAGCAAGCAGCTTTCAAGTTGGATGCAGCTGAGCGAGGCACCGGACAAAACACGAGCGCATATTGGTGATCTCCGTGATCTGGTCATCAAACTTTGATCTTCAATATTCGAGAAAGCATCGCTTTTCTCGTTCGCATGAACGATTAACTAGACGTATCAATTGCACGCAGTCCTTGAAAATGCAAATGTTGCTGAGATACCTCAATGTGCCTTGTTCGTGTTGGAACCTATTTTGTTCGAGGTGTCGCGTGTAACGATCGAGCACGTCGCCTTTTCTGTCCCTTTGGCGTCGACAATCAGACCCGTGCCTGTTCGGGAGTATGTATTGGCATAGATCTCGTTGGGTGTACAGTGGGCCTGAGCAGACACACAAGCAACGATTATGCTTGCATACCGCGCACAGCTACACGCATAATCCCAGACCGTTTGACCGGATCGCGGATCGATTCATGCTCGAGTACGGGGGTCATAGTTTGTAATTTCTCGAAGAGGTAGCGACAGCCAGGCTGGACGCGGGCAAGTAAGTGGTTCTCGGTTGAGCAGAGTGCAAAAGTTGACGCCTGCATGGCGCGTTGATAATGCCACTCTATCTTGGCCAGCGCATCCGTGCAACGACCGAACCAAATAATCGATCAAACTCACGTGGGTACAAATTGTGGAGATCGGCATCGGACATATCCGGCGGTGTTTATGAATGCGTAATCGTGACGGCAAAAGTAGCTGCGTGGCAGACCAGTGCTGTCATTGTCTCCACAATCATCATGATACAAGTCTTGAGGCGGAACGCCGGGATGATACCGTCTCAGTATCCGATGAACGGTGATCAAAGTACCTCACGATTCTCGTCTGTGTGGGATTCGGAGCGAATTGCCGAAGCAGTTCGTGCGGAACGGCAGTGTGGAGTACATCCGAGCTTGGTCTAGCGTGGTTGTCCCGAGCTTTCTGTGGATACACCCGATTAGTTGCATGATTCCCACTGCTTCCACTGTCGGGTACGAACTGTGTGCATAAGAGTACCACTTACCTAGGTATTCATAATATACTTGGGCCCCAAAGATGCGATGTTCTCTCACCTTGCTGAGCACTAATAAAATCCACCAATGCAAGGCCACCTGGCTGGACGGCATTGGTATATGCAGCGACCAAGATAATTGTTGATAATGCATCTAAACACCTGAGCCGTGTTGCAGCGAGCCACACCGGCGCTATGAAGATCTGTGTGCTGTCCAAATGCAATTGAGAATGCATGCTGCATACACCATACGGGAATGACGCCTAGAGGCTCTGTGCACTTACACCATAGCACGGATGTTTCATTGTCCACGCCTTCCGGCAATGGATTTGTGATTGCAGGCTCTGTGTATTTGCCTAATACGGATCTATCAAACAGCTCAGTATTCGTGTAATTATCGGGCTTAATTGGTTTCCTTAGTGCAATGCCAGGTACATCTAGGCAATGTACAGATCCTCGACACCAAGAATCCTGTCGACGTGTCGAATACGACGCGGAATACACCTATGGTAGGGCCGTGCCACCTACGACCAGACTCGGCATGATCATGTCGTTTAGCATGATCATTGACATCACAGCTTGCTGCAGAATCATCAGAGGTCTTTGGCGTGTGACAGGATTCGCCATCCCGAGGTCTACGCCGGACGGCATGCGTACGACCCAACGCAGCCGAGGAGTCCCACTGCCATTCAAGATCCTAGCACCTGGACAGGCTATGTTGCATCAGGTGGGAATCCTTCATTGAATGTCAGGATGGATCCGCACAGGACAACGAAGGTAATCTGCAACTGCATCGTCGATACTCGAAGTACCTGGGCGAGTCTAGCAGGATGCTCGAGCTTTCGGAAGCTCAGACAGGTTTCTTCCATTCATCTCAGCCGTATGTTGAGTTGCCCAAATTTTCAAGCTTCTAGTCGTTCTGTTGACCAGACTCAATGGTCACAGCTGGCGAAGACTTGATTGATGACAAGCGGACAGCCCGTTCGTCTGCCCGATGACCAAGCAGACATCACCCAAGCTCCATCGCACCCAAGCTCCTTTGAATGACGCAGCAAGACGCCGCGGCTTCTCGGAGTTCGCTTAGTGATGCACATCGCGGGTCAGCTCTCGCGGTTTGCCGATAGCTACGTCAACAACACAATGCATGCGTAATGCACATGCAGTTCTGAGGGTCGGACTTAGAGTGAATCCCTCTGGCGTATGCAGAAAGCTACGAGAGCTTCTTCGAAACTCGACCTTTGTGTCACTGTGCAGCTCAACGGCATGAAGGACAATCTCGCGGAACAACAGCCACATTCTGAATTTGTTGCAGGCAAGACAGGATGGATCGAGGAGATCACGTTACGCATCGAGTAACCATGATGCAATGAGTGGGGATTCCGGTTGACCAGCAGAAATTCTTATACCAGCAAATCATCACACTTAGTCCTGCCTTTTCCGTACTGCACAATCGCTTCCAAACAGAATTCTAGTCCAACAAAACCTTCAACAAATCTAAACATGGTTTTCTACGCCTACGCAAAGAACGTATGACATTTCCGAGTCTCTCAGAGGCGTATGACAAGCTAATATCGACGACAGAGTAACGACGATTGGTCATGGCGCTATCTGATCATCGCACCTTCCTTCAAGGAGCTAGACGACTGGTACAAGACCGTCCGCACGCGAGTAGCAGACAACGTTCTCGTTCGCGTCTCGGATGACTTCTACGTGTTTGACCGCTCCAAGTTCGATCTCGGCTCGAGCACGAAGCCTGGCAAGGAGGCACCAAACCACATGAACAAGATGATCTTCCAATTGATGAATGACAACGGAGGACGGGGTATCTCAACATTCATCAACTTGGCGGCGGATTAAATCATGCTCTTTGCTGCATCTCGAATCATCTGCATGATTATGGCCCGACGACCTGGTTGTTGCGTGAGAGAGGCCCTATGCCCACGATCGCTGCCAAAGGACAAACAGGAGCGTGTCGTGTCGAGGCATGAATGCCCAACTCAATTGGGACTATTGGCCGAAGAGCAAACCGGCAGGACAGTGCTGCTACGAAAGCTATTCAGACGGTATGGATGCAAGGTGCTTGGTGATTCATGGATAACGAATAACAATTCATATTGCTCAAAATATTTATAGCATGAGCTTTCTTCATAATGGTCGTAGCCAGATGTGGGCACGCAATGCTGCCACCCTCATGTTCTCGCACGTTATAACATACACCAGCTCTTGCAGACTTCAGCATTACACACCGCAATGCACGATCTCTCACACGGACGGGCCCTTCGTGAAATTCCATTCTCATTCCAGAATATTCCCACGGACCTCCAGACAGCGGAGCGGGGCATGTGTTCGTCAAGATATAGTCCTCCTGAGCCATAGCATTGGCACAGAAGGGTGGATGAGACGGGGAGTTGTCTGGCTCCCATGTTGTTCGATCTTCCACAATTGATGAAGTAAGCTTGGCAGGCTATTGAGAGCCAGGAAGCAGGCAAATCGTGGAGCCTACGGAGGTCTCGATGGTTGTCAAATGGCCGGTGACACGAGGAGGGACCACTCCATCGCGTCCGCCGCCGATAGTTTGCATGCTCATTTTGCTATAATGAGAGCACGTGTTCGGCGTGCGCTCTCGGCTGGCCATGCTGCACAAGCAGAGATATGACTGACAACATCATGCGGATGCCGCACGACTGGCGTGCGCAATAGACTCATAGCATGCCCTGGCGAGAAGGCGGAGCCCATGAACTCAAGTCGGCGAGAATGTGCCGATGGAGTAAAGTGAGAAGAAGGTAAGAAGTTAGACGAAATTCTCGCGAGCACAAATTTTGAGGGCGTCGAATCCCGTTGGTGTCGAAGGCAAAAGGACGCGGCCCGAGCCGAACGCGTGGGCCGCTCGTGAGCGACCTGAGATAATTCATTCCTCGTAACTCATGAAATTCTTCTTCCTTCCCTCACACTTTTTCAAGAACGCATAATCAACCGACGGATTCCATATTCTCATGGGCCGGATGGTCATATTGGCGTACGAGAGCGAAGGGCGGGATTTGTTTTCCGTTCAGAGGTGCTTATCTGTAGACGTTCCCGCTGAGCTTTGCCTGTATGGGTGTGGTTGTAGTGGAGAAGGTCAAATACAGTATGCCTTATATACTAGAACTTTGCCGGTCAAGCGATGGAACTGCCATCGTCTCTTTACAGAGTGAGGCCGTAATAGAGAGATGCCATGGCAGGCGATGCACATTGCTTTGGTCAGACGATCTGGTCTACATCGTATTCACCTGGTCTCGAGTCGGATGATGATAGATTCTTGAACGTTATTGAATCCAGCGAGAAGTCCAAGTGATCACGCTGTCTCGTCGTACACCGCAACTGTAAATGTCGCGTCTCTAATACTCACTTGTTTTGTACCCGACAAATGATCAGATCATCAAGATTCATGTCTTACAAGCGTGTGCCCTTGACGAGCAACCACAAAGCTATTGGCACTACGACATTATCGTTCGCTCCCGTGAGCACTGCCTCCATGAAACTTGCGCCACATGCGCAGAAGAATGCCTTGAATAGCGTGACCGTCCAGCCAAACAGCAGTGCATCTGGAGAACCGCCCGTGATGGCACGACCACCATCTTTCCAACCTCCCAGCACAAGCCAAGTCTTGACAGCCATGAGGCCGATGGTGACAGCAGCTGCAAAAGCTGCGCTCCCCTCAAGACTCTTGCCGCCGACCCAGAGCCATTTGTGCCTCCCGTATCTTCGTCCGATCAGACTAGCCGCAGCATCGCCCATGCCAACGCAAATGACGCCTGCGACCATGGCCGTCTCGCGAGTGCCGCTACCAACCTCCCATCCTACCCATGGCAATCCGCCGGTACGAGGCATTGAAGCAAGCGAGAACCATAACGGCACTGCACAGCCGATGAGTAAGAAGATGTGACTGACAACGACTGGACCTCTCAGGTCGCGGCCATCGACGTACGGGGCCACGAAACGACTAATCGCGCTTCCCAGCGGAGGAATCTGACCCGCACGGATAGCTTCGAGAAGCAGAAAGACCGTGAGGACAAGAGAGAGTGCCAGAGCACAATAGCAAGGATCCACAAAGATCGTGGGTGCAAGCATGGCGACCATGACGCCATGGAAGACTTTTCTGCGAGTGTCTACTTCCACGTACGCGGTCAAGCTGAAGACGACCAGGAGGCCTACGAGCAAGACAAATGCCCAGTATCCAAGCAGTAGAAGCCTGACATTCGAAGCGCCGATCACATCGCGGATGGCGTCGATGTCCAGAGGCACAGTTTGAAAGTGTTGGAGTAGACTTGTCCAATCACCCGCTTGTTGTGGTAGGAACGCCCAGGTCTCGATGCCCAGCGTCTCAACAAATGTGCGAACCAACGGTATCTGGCCGAACATATAGCCGAGTGCCCAACCGATCGGTTCCTGTTCTGCGAGTGATCGCCATGTAATGTACGAGCGGACAGGGCCGAGGATGGCGATGAGCACACAAACGTATGTGAAAGTGGCGTAGATCCACTTACGCCTGAAGGCTTGATCTGGTGTCAATTGAAGATACCACTGTGCACGACTGGTCCTGGACTTGGAGCGCCCAGGGCCACCCTTTGGTTCAAAAGTCCCCCTCATGTCGTGCTCAGGGACCGTACTGCTTCTTGGGCGAGTCGGTCGAGTGGATCCTCGGTCTTCCACTGCCGAGTGTGGACCATGCGTGAGTGTATCATAGAGCGGGAAAAGGACGGTGGTGTTGATGCGACGCACGATGGGCTTTGCTGCGAGCTTCATCGAAATCTTTGGCTCGTCTTCATCGGCATCGCTGTCGACCGCACGATCCGATGTTGAGGCACGAAAGGCAGAGGTAGCTCGCTGGATATTGATGAGGTCCGCTACGGAGTCCACGAGAGATCGACGTTCCTCTTTTCCATGCCCTGGCCGCCTCAGCTTCCACTTGGGCACTCTCGCGAGCGTGATGTTCCAGTTCAGTACAGGCCCGCAAAATACAAGGAATATTACGCCACCGATCCAGAGACAAGATTTGAGGACCACAGCCTGGGGGGAGGCCGCAAGCAAAAGAAGGTTGATCAGAGTCGCAGAAAGCAAATGCAGCTCGGATATTAGTAGACTTGTAGTAGTGAGATAATGCAAGGGTGAAAGTAAGGCGTTATGCAAAGGGTATAATGAGACGAGCGTCTCGGTAGAAAGGCCTGTGATGGATCCGCTGATTGATCTTTTAGGGCCAGCGATATAACTTGAGATGATAAGTGGGATGATTGAAATCAGCCAATGAACGGCGTTGATGCCACCGAGACGACTAGAACGTGGAAATAGCCTTTGTGGAAGAGCCGACAAACCCAGGATGATGTTGGGCAGGATCACGGCCGGATTCAAGGGTGCAACTGACAAAGCAACGAGGAGAGGTAATATCGGGGGATAGAGTACCGTGGCTGGATCGAATGATGCAGGCACACGGAAGCGTTGCCATAGCCTCTCTGGCCGCGCATGCTCATCCACAATCGAGAGCTTGATCGGATAGGCCACGATCAAGGCCACGACGATGATGACGTGTGTCAGAATCTCCAGACTCCACTGCCATGCGACTCTTGCGACTCCTCGGCCGCAAAGGACGACCAGCACGATGGCAACCATGAGTGCGACCTCTGACAATCTTCGCAGGAACTCAGCGAGACGGCGGCGACGCAAGACTTCCAGTTCCGCTGCATCCTCAGATTTGGATCTCACATGTACCGCATAGCCTTGCTCTTCAAAATTGTCTGGTAGACGCCTTCCTTCATCGTCGAGCTGAGAAGGGGTGAGCAGTGCATCTTCGTCATCCTCGCCGGTCTTGAGACCCTTCCTTGGCCGAAGTACCGATGGTGGCAGAGCTTTCACAAGGGTGGGTCGCTCATCGTCAGCCTCTGATCCACTTTCAATGCCAGGCCTAGATGGTTGTCGGATCCGATTGTGCCCGTTTGTGTCTGAGATACGACGGTTGGTTGTGCCATTTCGGCGCTTCGAATCATCAGCGTGGCCGTCGGCCTGAGTTAGGTTGTGGCGGTCGCGAATTTCGGTTCCATCTTGCAGAACCTCTTGTCCCTCCAGTAGGTATGGTCGTGGTGTGCGGGAACCTTGTTCGCGCAGCTTGTCGATGTCGGCAGCCAATGCGCCGGCTGTCGTCTCGCCGGGCGACATTTGTTCAGCGTCGGACATGCTGGCGAGCAAACTCCGTCATGCTAGGATTTTGGCACTTCTCAAAGGCAGTCGGTAGGTCAGATAGAAGTTGCATTGTTATAGGACCTGAGAAACTTGTACAGCCAAGCCATGTCGTAGCAGCATTCGTAATGAAATGACGCTTCAAAATATTGTTGAACTCTGGGCAACTGCCCTCTGACGTCGCACTGTGCACGGCCGACTTCGTCGCGTCCCCGCTGACTGTCCTCTTTCCCTCGACAGCAAGCCCACGGCACACATGTTCAAAATGACAAACATCAGACGAGCTCCGTCGTCGAATCAACTGCGTCGCGATTCCCCCCTCTTAGCATTATCGCCTTTACACTGGTGCAAATGTACTTGACTTATTATTCCTCAAAATGACCGTATTGCATTTCTAACTGCGTTTTACGCTCGTAATGTGTCATTTTGACAAGGTTGCGATGAACGAGATTTCTCTCGCCTGCAATCAATGTGGTCGATAACAATTATTATTTACCGTGAATACAGCAGGGCTCGAACAAATGACCTCGCCGATGTCTCTCATCATGAGTCATCATCATTCACATAACATTACTCGTGCCTCTTATTGAGACTGACGAGTTCGAGGTGGGAGGGTACAACATTGGAGTGAAGAAACCAAACACAGTGTCACTCCACTACCACAAAGAAAAAGTAAGAAGTAATTGATACCCCAAGATGTTTTCATATTTGGCAACAACCTATGATAAGACGCCGTAGAGCGCCATGCTAGCTAGGGGCAAAAAGACGCTATGAACGGAGATACAAGAGAAGTGGAAACAAACATTCAAACAACATAAAGAAAAGTTTTGTGCGTGAGAGAGGGTTCAAGTTCATGAGATAGACACGATGGTCAAAGGGGCAAAAAAAAATCAAAAATCCCTGGAGGCCGCCCATGACCATAACGTACGACGAGTTTGAGAGATGAACAGAATGTGGAGATTGCGCGAGAGATCGAGATTTCAACTTTCAAGCGAAAGACAAAGGCGGAGGAGGTGATGTGTTTAGTTCGCATCCTCCATGTCGCGATCCTCCGGGATGGTCGGAGGTAGTGTTGACTGTTGTAGTGGGTGTGATGGTGTTGGTGGTGGGACGATGTGATGAGAGCCGCTAGTAATCGCCTCGATGGCGGCAGCGGCCGCGGACTCGACGGTGTCGTAGACAATGGGTGCTGCAGGAGCGCTCGTAAGCTGCGCGGAAGGCGTAGTGCCAGATTCTTGAGTCTCCTCGGGCTTATTGTCTTCGGTGGTCTCAAGATCGACGGACAAGCGCGAGAGCGAGGAGACGACCGACGAGGATGAGGAGAGTGATGACTCGTCAAGTTCCTCTTCAATCTCCATCTTCTCGTCGCGTTCCTCTTGAGGTTCGACCTTCTCCTGTTTGAGTGGAAGCGGGGGACCGAAGAGTTGCTGTTGCTGTTGGTGTTGCTGTTGTTGTTGCAGCTGTGAAGGAGATCGCTTGCGGTGAGAGAGTGTGGTCCCTATTGACCTGACGCTCTCGACCTCCTCCTCTGCAGACTCCCTGATGACATCGCTTCGTTCGGTACCGCTGTTGGTGGAGCCTGGTCCTCCGAGACGTCTTCGCTTTCCTCGAGGCGCGGGCTCCAAAGGCATGGTGGTCGTCGGTGTGCGGCAGTAGGTTACTGTACGAGTGATGACATGGCGCACACTAACGCGTCCAGGTGTTCCAGAAAGTGCAGCGTCCTGGCGTTCCCGAGGTGAGAAAGAGGTGCTGGCGCTCCATGGCTGGGCACTCAGAGGCGTGCCTGTGTATGATCGTGGGGTGCTCGCATTGTTTCCGGATGCAGAGCGCGGCGCGTTGGGTCGAACAAATGGCGAAGGAGGAATAATGAGGCGCGGCGACTCTGGTCGGTTGTTAAGGCTGTTCTTTCGGATGAGTGGCAGGTTGAAGGTCGTGGTGACTGTGCTAGCGTTCTTATCTGAGCTGGCGGCGCTAGTGGAGTCGGTCGTCGGGATCTCTCGTGGCAGGAAAGGTGAAGAGGTCGGTTTTGATGAAGGGAAAGTGCATGACTTGGGGTTCAATGCTTCGAGGGAGCGCTCAAGGGCGTTCGCGTAGTTCTTCTCGTTGAAGCTGAACCGAGCACTGGTCGCCGATGCGGCAGGACTCATCACCGCGGGCGACATGTTGCGAAGAAAGTCGAGGTAGGCAGATGGTGGAGTGATCGGTGTCTTCAGAGCATCTTCCCGGCGCATGAAACCAGGCGAGGTGGCCATTGGGCTGAGCAACTCTGAGGGGAATGTTCCCGATCCAGGAGTCGTAAGAAACGATGAGTTGCTCGCGCGCTTGTCGTAAGCTGACGAGGCATTCAACGCTGATGAAGCAGACATGACAGGAGCTGTCACGGTGACAGCGGCCATTGGAGCGGTGGTCGAGCGACGTCGTTTGTGCAAGCTAGATACGGCAGGGTGAGGCAGTGGAGACGTGGCAGGAGGAGGTCCAGATGGATGGCTCGTTGGGGATGCCAGCTTGACGGATGTTCACCTCTAATGAAGAGGGGAAAAGAGGAACGAGAGATCGGTGAACGGCAGGACCGGGTATAAGGTGTTGCGGAAGGATTGGAAGGCAGGCCAAGGGCGTAGAAGCTCAGGCAGGTGTAGGTGTTTCAGATGTTGGCGGGAAACTGTTGACCGGCAGCAGCAAAAGTGTTGGTATAGTTGGTCCCGGACGAGACGATCCGAAGTGATAGACGCACGATGCCGACGCACAGCGCAGCAAGCACACGGCAGGAGTTCACGAACAGGAACCAGTCGATTAGGCCAGGCGAGGATATTTTCGAATAAGCTTGGATATTGTTCTTGCGGCGTGAGAGGAAGTGCGTGTGAAGGAGAGGAAAAGAAGAGAGTAGTGTCTATTCTCGGAATAGATGTCAGGCCCGGATGGGGCGCGGGAGGTAGGGATTAGCGGGCGCGTATTCTGATCAGAAGGAGCCGTGGTGAGGTCGCACTCGTGGCCGGGGTGTCCGCGCGAGGAGAGTACTTTTACGTGCAGTAGTGGGTGTTTGCTGCAGCTAAGCCGAGCTGAGGGAGAGTAGGGATGATGATGGTGGTGGTGGCAGTGTTGCAGGAGTAGCTGGTGAGTGCGAAAGTGTGCAAATGTCGTCTGGAGTAATAATCGTGAGAGGTTGTTTCCACACTGCAGGAGACAAAAAAAGAGGTGCCCAGGTGTGTGATGGTGGTGGTGGTGGTGGTGGATTTCCCTGCCAATGAGGCGATGATGACACCGGCGCTTCGGATCAGGCGCTAGATGACGGGCGCCGTTCGTTTCGTGGCTTTCCTGCCTTGCCGCCCGCCGCTTTCCTCTGCACGTGCCGTCCGTCGTTCAGCTTGTGTTGGGTGATGAATGGAATGATATGCGCTGCACAACAACACGATCCTCACAGGATGTACTGTTCTGACGAGATGATACTTGAGAGGTAGTAATGCGACTGCTCTGTTCGTCTCACTTTTTTCTGAGGGAAATCCACAACGGTCAGCTCTCAAATCAGGAGTTTGGGCCAAGGCTGGGGCGGCTTACCTCAGCAGATCGCCCGCAATTGCGGAGGGAGAGCGTACCTTTGTTCGGGTAGCTGGGCTCGCCCGCCAGGTGCCTTTCCCAATCTTTTGTTAGCCCCAACTCTCCCCCTGCTGGGTTGATGTACGAGGAATCACAGAGAGGGCGGCTACTCGTCCAATCAAGTCCACGGGCGCTCTCACCTTTCCCTCTTTCCCTCCCTTTGTCTCCCTCTCTCTCTCCCTTTGCTCGGGACTGTCTAACTGTCGCCCACACAAGATGACCGGTAAAAATAAAATTGTGAAAATGGCCCTTCAATTTCTTTGTTGGCCTGCGGGCTGCTTGCTGCAAGGCTTAGTCGATTTTTCCTTTCTTGGCCGCTGTGATACAGGTCGAAATGCGATATAATGGAGATCTCTCGCACGATAGCAGACAAGATATTTTCGTCGTCGTCGTCCTCAATCGACCCCACAGGAGCGGTAGAAGGAGCAGGAGGATGACGCTGCAACTGAAAATAGCACCCACTCAGGCTTCGTCTCCCTATTGGAACTGTTCCGCGCACACGAGGCAAAGGACAAAGGGTGGGGACGGGGCAATCGGGGATCGGCGTGTCTAGTCCAGCGCTGCCTCGTTCTGACTCGTTACCGTCGCCTTGGTCCGGTCTCGTCAGCCTGGCCGTCTGCCGTTGCCAAAGTCGCGACCCCGATTGGTGGAAGGACGACGGGTGATGGCCCTGATGGGTGGGTGAAGACGTCAACGAGGAGTGCCAGTCGCCTTAGGCCTGCCGAGTGATTCTTCCAATCGGCACGAGAGTACGCTCTCAGTGTGAATGACGGCAAGGACTGTCTGTCACAGTTGTTGCGACTGTACGTATGCGCGTGCGTATGAATGTGCGCGGTTGGTGTTGGTGTCGCTTGGCGTAGTTTCTTGCGTATGAGGGTAGCCTATCGAGAAGCCGTATGCCGTTTCTGTGACCTGTAGATCTCTGTGTCGTTGGTCGCGTGTCGTTGTAGTCGTCGCTCTCTCCGATGAATGTAAGCGTGATGGCGCAATGAGAACAAGACGCAATGGTATAGCAGATCTACTGAACAGAATAGCGATACGGCTACCATGACTTTTATCCCCTTCCTTACAAGCGCCGAAGTCATAAAATCATCAAAGTACTGTGTGTCCAGTGCAATGTTCTTGTGTTCGCGAATTCTGTGCGTAACGCCCACGCGGCGTCAACATGGGTTTGCCCTCGAGGATTTCATTCCCATCGTGTCATTCCACTTGAGCGGACATCACTCCAGATGCGCACCGACAAAGTCAATACGCGCGCGTTCTCTTGAACATCAAACCGCCATCTCTTTCCCAATCATCTCTCAAGTTGCGACGGCACATTGACGCTCTTCAATATTGCACGGAGTGTATACCAGCGTGACGCTGGTTGTGGTACGACCTGGGGTCCTCGTGTCCACTGATGTACGCATCGTCTCTTAATCGTCCGAAACTTCCTGAAGAAGCAGCTCTCCAAATAGATTTTCACCACAAACGCGTGCTTAGAGATCGTTTACTACGGCGGCGTCCTGTCTCCGCCCGTATCGACAGCATTGTCCGTATCCTCTTAGACAGGTACGATGAGATCCAGACGCGCTGTCCCAAAATGACTTCCCGGCGGCACAGAACCTAATCGACCACCATCGTGACATCCCTCAACGATCACATTCAACCCGAAACGACCTTCCCGTTGGATAAATTTCGTGCCACAGAACTCTGCCTACCCGTAGCATACGGCAACGAAAAAGACCCCCATGCGACAGGCAGGTGACCGCCGGCCCTGCAGGTCCCGGCGGCTGCTGGACTATGTTGGTTTCCTTTGGGCACAATAGTCACTCTATTGGCAGCAGGAGGCACAGCATAACACCCCCATGTCTTTTGTTGTTCGCCCGTCCAACACGCCCGCATCGCTGCGCCCTTTTGCTTCGTGCGCATACGGGACGGCCGTATGTGCCATTCCTGTCGTCGTGCACGAGTGAGGTCCCGCAAACAGTTCTATGGGCGTGTGGGTCTACCTTCGGCGCCATACATAATCTCGGTCGGCGGTAAGCTTGCACCAACTTGGAGGTGAAGTATACCCAGACCGATCTACGATGCAAACACTGCTTTATGCACTTCCGTTATCGTCGAACCACGTTTCTCCAGCGAATAGTACGAGAGCTTGTAGAATACCAGTGCAGTCGGCAGCATCCATCCGCCCGACGTCGGCAACATACCGATTCAGATATCTCAAAGATCATGGGCCTTGAAACACCCGTCAATGTTGCAAAGAAGCTTGCGATTTCCCTCATCTATTTATATGATATATTTATGATTAAATATCCTGCAAACAAGAGCCATTGAAATGCGGCATCCAAGCAAACCCCCGATCATCCCTAGTTCTGGCCTTTTTGCGGCGTCGTACATGATGGATGCGCCGCCTGCGCGTTTCGAATTGTCTTGTTGGGGCCGCTCGAGCTATTCAAAGTCTCCCAGATGAATCGTACGGCGCTGTTCTGGAAAAATGCGGCGGACGATTTCTTCGCCCGGATCTATGTAGAGCTTCAATTTCGCCGCGCCATCGTGCAAGATCTGGTCGAATCCAGGCAATGTGGCGTCCCGGAGATGCTTCTGTAACGCCTTGCCGAGGCTTCAGATACGTGACTGTGGCAGATGCGTGTATGGGCTTCTCGGACGCATGGGAATGACTCCAATCGCCCTGAGGGAAACAGACGGATGAAGTTCCGTGCCATCCAGGCTAGAGTCCTCCGATTCCAAAAAGAGGGATGGTGATCGCTACCAAACTACAGTCGTCGGCTCTGAGTCAAGTTGCAGGCGTGTGTCTCGTCTGGTCCCAATGCGCAGGAATCCACGCCTAGACGGAATAGCTGTAGACAAAAGGTTTGTGTTTTCAAGAGAATCAATCACCATTCATCTTTACCAAAAACGTCCTTGTAGCACGCACCCATTTGTGGACAGCTAAACGGCTCGAGGTTAGCGAACTTGCGTCGAAATATTAGAAAGTGGATCGAAGAACTTACTGAACAGGCTCCTGCCCAAAGATGATATGCCACAAGTACTCCATGAGCGTTCCGCTCAGCTGATCGGAGAATTCCGTCTCCATCAGCCACCGATGCATCCGGACATAATCGCTGCGCGGGCGTTGGAGGACCTGCTCCCTGGTGACCGCAAACTGCGCACAGCATGCCGCGGCGATGACTTCGGGCACCTCGGAATCCTCGCCGAAGAAATGCCGCCAGACATCCGGAAGCTTGTTTTCGACGTTCTCCTTGGCGTTTTGAACATCCAGAGTCAGATTGCCGGTGGTTTTCTGCTCGCGCTTGTATTGGAGCTCGTCGGGACAACCGGGGATCCAGTTGCAGCGGAGATTGACGTAGCCTTGGCTGCGGACGTAGTCTAGTTTGAGCGCGTCCAGAACTTTCACGTTGTCGTAGGCGGGCGCATCGTTGTGCCATGCTGCGGGCCAGGTATCGCGATGCGCGTGCAGGAATACGATTATGGAAGGGAGATTATGGTAGTGTTGGATCAAGAAGAGGAGATAGGCATTTGCTTCGCGGCCCTTGTTGAGCGGAGTGTGGAGAGCTGCGGAAGTGTTATCGACGTTGTAGATTGCAGAATGCCAGCTACGAGATTGAAATTGTCAGTCATTGGTCCGATCTTGCTCTTCGGACTCTTGATAATAGTATAATAAAAATTCGAGACTCACCCAGAGAGGTTCTCTGCTACCCATTCCGTATGTTCGCTCTGGGTCCTGGCCATGACAATGACCTTGTCGTCTGGAAGCTTGGCATCTTGAGATTGTTGTATCCTCGACCTCTCAAATGAAAGCGGAGTCTTCGCGTAATAGGAATCCAATAATGTCGCGGTGTTGCCGTGCAACCTATAATTTTGCGCTGAAGGCCACGCTAAAAGTGAGAAGACAAAGAAGCTCGCGATTGCCGCCGCCCACATTCGTCGAGAGCTCGAAAAGGAAATCATGATTGCGCCTCTCCCAATGCACACGATACCAAAGTTCCGTTCAAATGAGAGTATCCAAGGTGGTTTCGCATCATTATCATGGCAAGATACATATTTCGCAATTGTTCTGGCCCAGGCATGGGCCGTTATCGCCAAATCACGTTAATGTGGCGCAGGCGCTTGCAATCGCCTGAGCATCTCAGCGAAATCGGCCAATCACAAGCCGCTCTGAAATCACGATGCGAGTCGCGAGATCTCACTCTCAGTTAATACAATGCCTACCACAACCACTTTTGCAATGGGGCATCACGAGTAGTCGTCAATGCAACGTGACGGCAGGGACTTCATACGTTCTTCGACATAAACTCGACTTTGCCGTATCCTTCATACAATGTTCCCAAAATCTCCCACTGGCTCCCGTCCCTTAGTGGTGGAATAACCGAGTGTGCTGCTCCACGAAAGTGATACCCAACTCAGCCGCGACATCCATACACGCCTGATCATTCTGGCTACCGGTGGGAGCAGCCAAGTACTTGACACCCGAGCGTCCGACACGGAAGACATTGTCAGTGAACGGGAAGAAAGCGTCCGAGCTGACGGCGACTTCGGACAACTTGTCCAACCAGGCGCGACGCTCCTCGGCGGTGAAAGGCGTGGGCACCTCAGCGAAGTTCTGCTCCCAGGCCTCGCGCTCGGGACCCGCGGCCGGGACAATTCCAGAGGTGAGGAGGTCGATGGCGTTGGATTTGTCGGCGCGGCGGGCGCCCTTCTTCCATGAGATGCCGAGGGTGCGCTCGTGGAAGCGCATCCACCAGTTGTCGGTCTTGTCGCCGGCGAGACGTGTGCAGTGGATTCGGGATTGTTGGCCCGCGCCGAGACCGATGACTTGGCCGTTGAGAGCGTAGCATACGCTGTTGGATTGAGTGTACTTGAGAGCGATGGTGGCGACAGTCAAGTCGCGGAGCGCGGACTCGGGGAGAGGTGGCGAATCCTTGGGAACGCGGATTGTGTTGAAAGTGCTCGTGGGGGAGATGGTCGCGTCGTTACGGTGCTGGGTAAGGGACACGCCGTAGAGTGTTCGCACTTCTTGGGTCGGGGGAATGTAGAGCGGGTCCATCTGGAGGATGAGGTACTTGCCACCCTTCTTCTTGCTCAGGATCTCCAGAGCTTCGGGCTTGTAGCCAGGGGCAATAACACCGTCGCTGACCTCCCGGCTAATGATCTTAGCTGTGGGAACATCGACCTCGTGCGAGAGGGCGACCATGTCTCCGAAGCTGGACATGCGGTCGGCGCCACGAGCACGAGCGTAGGCCTGAGCCAGGCCTGACTCCTTCAACCCCTCAATGTCATCGACCATGTAGACCTTGGCCTCAACATCGCTGAGCGGGACACCAATGGCAGCACCAGCAGGTGAGACGTGCTTGAACGATGCCGCTGCCGGGTAGTGAAGTGCAAGGCTCAGCTCGCGAACCAAAGGCCAGGCATTGAGCGCATCCAAAAGGTTGATGTATCCGGGAGCACCGCACAGCACCTTGAAGGGCAGAGGAGCGCCAGAGAAGTAAGCAGAGGCAGGCTTTTGGTGAGGGTTGGCTCCGTAGCGAAGAGCGAGCTGTTGATCACCCTCTCCAGCATACTTCTTGCGGAAGAAGTCTGCAATTGCGGTGTCGTAATCGGCAGTGTGAGTGAATGCCTTCAAAGCGTATTGCTGGCGTTGCTTCTCCGTGACGCCTCCCTTCTCCAGTGATTGGACGAAATCATGGTAGTCCTCCGGATCGCTCAGAATCGTTACGCGGGTGTGGTTCTTGGCAGCGGCACGGATAAGTGTCACTCCACCGATATCAATCTCTTCAACGGCCTCAGGCATGGTGACGTTGATCTTGGCCACGGTGTCTTTGAACGGGTACAAGTTGCAGACGACGTATTCAACCTTGTCGATCTTCTGCTCCGCCAGATCCTTCTCGTCCGACGCCAGGTCACGGGCAAGAATACCAGCGTGTACAGCCGGGTGGAGCGTCTTTACGCGACCAGAGAGCATCTCTGGTGCTTTGGTGATGGCAGACACATCTCTGAGATCCGATGTCAGTCTCGGGATGTTTTACGCGCGCACCCTCACAAGTGTATCGTGTTGCTTCTTGCTTACTCTACAGGGAAGCCGGCCTCGCGAATGAGCTTTGCGGTTCCTCCCGATGCCAACAGGCGAATGTTCTGCTTGACGAGGCCTTTCGCCAGGTCAAGAAGGCCGGTCTTGTCGTAAACCGACAAGATGGCTTTTCCGTCGTTGTTAGCAGCCGCATTGGTATCATTCGGAATGACGAAAATCGAAGCGGGGACATTTCGTTGCGCGTCACTCACCAATTTTCTGGGGTTGTTCGGAAGCCATTTTGAGAATGTGCTTTGTTGATGTTGTTGTTCTCCTCAATCACAACTACGATCGGGAGTCAGAGGAAAATAAATGGAGCTAGGCTAAGCCATTCAATTATCGTCTATAGAGGTATGGTCCAGGAATTTTTTTCTCTTCGCCTAGACAACCGACCACCACTGAGAATAGCTTCTTTTTCGAGTTTGGGCCGGTCTCGGTGCAGCGCGCCGAGGGCAGACCCTTGCCCGCAATCGCATCCTGAAGACATTCACGTCTGTAAATTCATCTCGCTATTACGAGTCTCTACGACTCGTCTGGGAATCGGGATGCTACACGGGACGCGCCTTGTCCAGGACTCGACGACCTTTCTCAACAGTGATAGTACAATGCTGGGCTTTGCACGCCTTCTGTCCTTCAAGGACCATCGAAAGAACAAAACCAATCCCCGAACCGCGTTCGGCAACCCCTCCAAGACTACGTCACTGTTGAGTTCAGGGCTCACACCCCGCGTTGCCCTTATTAAACGGAGCGGTTTGGGCAGCCCTTGATAATACTGTCCAAGTGCCTGAGCACCTGCGACCCCTCAGGTAAGAGGCACTAGGGTTGTACTTCACGATCAACGGCGCACACACGCCGGCGAGTAGTAATGATCCACGGATGACAGTCCACCTGACGACCAGTCAAGTCGGAGAATGCGAGGGGCAGATTCAATTAGGTATCACGAGCAATGGTCGAGGAGTCATCGTTTTGCTGTCGCTGGAATGCTGTACATTGCGATTTTAAAGGACGCTTTTTTCTATGAGGCTGACTCGGCCAATGCCCAGCTTTTAATTTTGTCGAGGGGTCAATTGTCGACCAATATTACCAAAGCAAACCGAGCTCACAAAGAGCACACTTGCTATCCATGTCCAAACACCGACAGTCTCTGAGCTGAAGATTCCCAACACCAGCTCGGTGGGTGGCACCACTGGTGAGCCTGTGGTGTTGCGTGCCAAATCGCTGGCTGCGGATGCCAGTGAGCTTGATACATGGATCAGCGCAGGATTGAGAGCGATGAGAGCTGTGGTGCCGACGATGGCGATCGCGCTCGGTAGGACGAGGCCCGAAAATGAGCGATCAATGATATACCAGAGCGCTGGATTTGCCAACGCAAGTGTGAGGGAAAGCTGCAGACTTGACTCCCAGGGCAATTTGCGGATGGCGAAAGAGATGCCGACGAACATTCCGACCGCACGGACAATCTCGTTCCAGCCACGTGGCATCTTGCTCCGTCGCGCATCCTCACGTTGTCTTTCCTCAGCGGTGGAACCCTGGGTGCTACGCCCCTCCTCTTCGGTGGTTGGTGTCAACAAGCGATCAAGCCATGGCAATGCCTCGCCGAGAACGAGCCCGGCGATGGCCCAAGAACCGAGATACTGCCATGACAACCGATTGATTTCGAGTTTGACGGGTGCGATGTGCTGTCGATCGTGTAGGTGGCTGACCAGCAGCCCGTATAGGACACCCGTTGCCAACAAGACAACTCCTTTGATCAGCAGCGGCACGATCTGCGCGGATAGCGATTGCTTCTTTGGCTTGGGCTGTGGTGGTCGAGGCTGGTGGGTCTTTTTGAAGCTGCCGTTGTTCAATGCGGAAGCGATATCCGCTGCTCGATGATTGCGTGTAAAATCGAAAGAGCCATTCCGGCCCTCCACGGCGGGCGTTTGGGCGCCGGACCCATAAGGGGTGTTCTCATCAGTAGGCTGATAGATTCCGAAAAGCGTGGAGCTGGTCAGGTTGAGAATGCTGCGGGTCCGCGCTGGTGTTGTAGACCCACTGACCGTCTTCTTGCTGGTATCGAGCTTGCCGGGGAAAGCGCTCGAGTCTGTCGAGGGAGATGAGGGAGTAGAGGGAGAGGTTGGAACTTCGGACGGCAGTTCAAAGGGACGCCTAGGCTGTGGCCGATGTATGTGCACATCCTCATCGCGTGTTTCGGACATAGCGAGGTTGGAAGCCAAAAAATGGGCGGTGCAGGATGATGAAAAGAAACGCGAGTCGGGCTTGATGGGTGCAAAGTTCGCGGTGATCAGGGAAATCCAGGGACCAATTGATGAGCCGGCGTGGTGATGAGTTCTGCACCCGTTTTTTCGCGGAGTGCCGAACTGAAGGTCGAAAGAGAGCTGGACAATGCAGCAGTGAAAGCAGCAACGATAAGAAAACCAGACTGATCAGACGATACGATTGAAGATGGTGCTGGCCGGTACTGGTACGGATGATGATGATGGTGAGTTAAGAGATGTCATGTGAGATGGAGGAGAAAGAGCCACAATTTTGCACGCGTTGCATCACACTGCATACGAAGAGCCGTGAATTTGTTGCACTAATTCCACTGTCCGAGCATGTGAAAAAAGGTACCCGTGGACAGCACACAGCACATGCCCTTTCTCTTTGTTGCTCTGGAGCCCCCCGGCCGAGGCGTCGCTTAGACCCCAGCCCGTCCGAGAAACTTTTTCAGGGTTTCTGGGGTAAGCACTGCCAATCCTACAGTATCACAGCATCCAGTCCACATTGGCCAGAGCAACAGGTAGCCCCTCGGGTTCCTCATTGAGATTTCGAGTTTCTCGCATCATATCCTGCTTGCGGGGTTTGAGCGACCTGACTACAGCATGACTCCATTCCGACTGCCATATTTCGTACGCTGGAGCGGGAAACTTCCAAGGTTGGAAGCGAACTCTCTGTGTCCGCGTGATGCAGTCGGTGTATGCCTAGTACGAGCCCTGGAGTGAAACCCGCCAAACGGAGCGGCACGTCAACGGTTCGGCACGCGCTCATCAGTGATCAGCTCACAATGAGCCATGCCTCATTGGGCCGCGTCCAGCTTGAAAAAAGTTGAACAGGCTTCTTGACAAGAAAAGTGTTGATGTAGAACTGAATGATTGTGAACAACATTGGCGTTTCGTTTGATCTATAACCCTGGCTTCTGCGACATTGTCTTGAGGGTCATAATGGCAATGGAAATTGACACTGCGACTGTCGCTGTTGCGGCGCGTCCGTCACAAGTTCGTGTGCAGCTAAAGTCCAGAAGCAGTGATATCCAGTTACCGCAGGAGACTGGACCGATCCTTGTATCGACGGGTGAGAACACATGCAATCGGCGTCATTCTAAGACCCGACATAGCGGCGCCAACGACATCTGCTAATAAACTATTCAGAGTTGCGCCGATATCAACTTTCCACACTCGTCAACCGATTGCTCGAAACAGAGGCCCCGATTCCATTAGAATTCCTCATCAATGGCCAGTTTCTGCGGACATCTCTAGACGATTTCTTAACGCAGAATGGAGTCAGCGCCGAGACAACACTCCAAGTCGAGTACATCAAGGCCCTTATTCCTCCACAGCACGTCACTAGCTATCAGCAGGATGATTGGGTTTCGTCCGTTGATGTCCTCTCTCCGTCATCTGTACATGCTTCATGGACCAGCAGCAAGGATGCCGGATCGATACAGAATCGAATTCTCTCAGGCTCTTATGATGGCATCTTGCGAGTGTGGAATATGAGCGACGAGGTCATCGCCACAGGCCAGGGTCATAGTGCTTCCGTCAAGAGTGCCAAATTTATCACGCCGACTCAGGTCGTGAGCTCAGGTGTAGATCGTACTTTACGTCTTTGGAAATTCGCAGACGCTACCACAGGCCAAGGTACTCTGACACCCACACTCGAGCTCTTCGGTCACAAGGCATCTGTGGACAATCTGGCTGTCCACGCGCCGACCTCACGAATCCTTTCCGCGTCCGCAGACTGTCGTATCGGTCTTTGGAGTACGAAGAAAGCAGACGCTCCCGCCGCGCCTGAGTCTCTCCTTCCGAATGCCAATAAGCGACGCAAGCTCTCTGGACCCAACACTTCTACCGCACAACGCGGCGCGCTGTCGTTCCTCGAAGGGCACCAACAAGCCGTCGGCGATGTCTGTTTCGATGCCCGAGATCCAAGCGTAGCATACAGTGCGTCTCATGACCATGCGGTGAAGACCTGGGATCTGACCACGAGCAAATGCGTCGACACGCGGACAACGGCACAAAGTCTTCTCGCCATCTGCCATCTACCAGCCCATACACTACTCGCCACAGGAGGTGCGCTGCGATACATATCCCTCGTTGATCCACGAGCAGCGGCCACGACCGTCAGCGCCATGACGCTCCGGGGACACACAAACACCGTGACGGCATTGGCACGCGACCCCGACTCCGAGCATCAATTCGTCTCCGCAAGCAATGATGGTACATGTCGAATTTGGGACATTCGTTCAGCACGGACAGAGGCCGGTGCAGAGAAGGTTGGAGATTCCGTATTCATCATCGACCGATTCAAGCCTGCGGCAGGAAGCAGTCAAACAAAGGCCCTCCAGGGTGATGAAGATCGGATATTCTCGGTGTGCTGGGACCGCGAGGTGGGCATTGTCAGTGGCGGGAGGGACAAAGAGATTCAGATCCACAAGGGAGCCTCGTCATAAGCACTGCGAGTAACTAGGTATCAATGTGGATGATTAGATCACAATATCGTCGCAAGGTTACAATCCTTCCCAGGGCCGTAAAAGTCTTTTCCAGTCAATGTTCAAAAAGCATCCATGTACCGCGAAACCTTGACAATCACCAACGTAATTCACAGTTTGCACGGAAAGATGGATCAACCCGTTCGCAGGGTTCCTGCGTGGACTGCACGGAGCTTGTCGAACGTCGACCGTTATTCCGACGCTACAGAGCTGTTAGACTCGAGAGACAGACATCATTGTAGCAGAAGCAGATGCTACATTTGATCGCATGTACGATTAACTTGTGGTTTGGAAGAGACTTGTCTTTTAGCTAGCATTATCTTCGCGTTCTTTCTCGACGCGCGACAATTATGCCGGCAGATCTCCGTGTTCACTGTAAGAACGATTGGCATCGACACAAGAAGCCCTGAAGTCGCGTCTCGAGACGCGTCCGAGGTCCCTACCTGCCGAAATGTCATCGTGCTCAATTCCGAATACATCACCTTTCCCAGTGCTCTCAACCTCTGAGGGTCCATTCCCTTCTTTAAATCCTCTGCCGCAAAGGAATCATCAGCAATGGGCACCACGACGTGTACGACCCCCGCTCAGAGCGCTTGCGATGAGACCTCGAGAGCTTGCGATAAGTCCGGATGAGCTAAGTCCTCATGCTGCCACAATGCTACTACTTCAACAAGCCGATCTACAAGCTACAAGCGCGAATCAGATCCCCTCTCCTCGATCGTCCACGAGGAAGCGACGTGCCATTCAGCCGCGAGCTGTCCACCCACCGGCACAATTGACATGGGTCTCGCCTACAGTCTCTGCCAACCGTCAGGCTTCTCAGACAGATCCGAAAGCGCAAGATTGGAAATTCGTCACAAAGGCGCCAAAAGGCAAGAGCTGCAAGACTGCCACGATCTTCCTGCCTCGACACGCCGGCCTAGAAGCTCCAAGCTCAAACCCTAATCGGATCCGATCTACTCGATTGTCTTCGAGAAGACGATGCACTGTCGAATCACAGGCTGGCCAACCACAATTGACGTGGGCCTCGCCCTGGGTCTTAGATCGCCGCCAGGCTGCTGTCGAGCCGCAGGCTGTCCAGCCACAGATGACATGGATTCCCTCTGCTGATAAGTCCTTGTGTAGGCGACACGCTGTCGAGCCGCAGATTGTCCAACCACAGTTGACACGAGCATCGCACACGATTTCCAATCACCATCGAGCTCCTCAGACATATCCAAAAGCACTCGCGCAGAAGTTTAGAACAATAGCGCCAAAGGCCCTGAGCTGCAAATCAGGCAATGTTCAGGCATGAGCCCAACGGTGGAGCGCAACCTTTGAGGCCTACCACGACCTGGACTCATCATTCCTAATTCCGAGTGTACAAACCATATAGATTCAGATGAAGGATTGGCATCGAAGGATTTAGTCACCATAATCGCCCATGGGGAAATCCTGCGTGGACTGCACGTGTCGATCATCGACGCTTGTCCTGACGCTACAGAGCTGCAAGATATGCAATAGTCATGCGTTAGCTCAGCAGTAGAGCTTGAAGCTTCAGGCCTACCACGACCGGAGGACGCTTCTTACTGTACAAGTGCGACACATTCCACGGCCTCTTCGACTTACTGCTTGCTCTAGGGAAAACTCCGTCATCATTCGCATCATCGGTCTGCCTTACCTCTCCCGGCTCTGCCGATGAAAGAGCTTTTGGTCCAGCGTTTCTGTGTGCATTTCTGGAAAACGCTGACTTCAAGATCGTCATCGTGCGGCATCGAGGATCTAGTGGTTCTCGTGTCGTTATGATGATGAGATCCGTCTTTTTAGTTTGTAGCAGCCAATGACCGATAGTGATAATGTCACTGATGATCAGATGCCAAGATCCTCCAACACTGAATCTGAGGATACGGAGGTGCTTCCCACGACTACCATGTAGTCCAGGCATCATACGAGCGAGTGATTGGTCCAGATACATAGACTCGAGGTATCACCCATTTGTAATATAAAAGACTATGTCCTCTGGGTGAACGATGATATCTGAGCGCACTACCAAATACCGTCTTACCTCAAATCGATCATTCCATTCGTTTCTTCTCGAAATTCAATCAGACATTCAGTCACCATGCGTACCACTATCATCATCATCAGTGCTCTCCTCTCTGCTGTCACTCTGGCGGCCCCGCTACCAACACGATCTGGATCTGCGCTTCGTGCTCGCCAGTCTGGATCTTCGAATGGTGCCGGGTCAACCTCGACTTCGACCACGAACGGCGGCTTGTTGAGCCTGGGACTTGTTGGCGGTATGCTTCACCACAAGGCTCCTCCCTGAACGGCCGCTTTGACAGAACAAACCCTTTTTCGAAATTCACAGGAGATGGAGACCGGCGATGTGATCATATAGAATATCGTGGCTGACCATGCTTGCCATGCTTCTTTGCCTTAGGTTCCGCCGCTGCCGCCGATGATGCCAATGGAAGCACCTCATCGAGCACCTCCGAATGCGGTCAGTAATACTTGATATCAAGTTATCATCGTGCAGAACGGAACGGCGTAGATCTGACTGTTGCCGTCGCTTTTTAGGCCTCCTAGCATGCACGAGCTCGTCTGCGGCTGGAAGTCCCAATGGCAGCCAGGCCTCGTCAAGCAGCTCGAAGATCCTCAGCTCATAGGGATAGAGTGGAAGCGAAGAAGCTTAGAACAGATGAGATATGGATGAATCATTGTGTCCGGCGTTATCAGTGATGTTGAGCTGGACACATTGCACGATGCTGGACTTGAATGCTGTTGAGAAGTTGGGCTCACAGGCGTGTCAGGAGGAACACACTGGTATCGAAGGATGGAACTGTCCCCATTTAGGAGCTTTTCTGTCGATACCACTCTAAATTCTGAAGAAATCGGTTACACTCAACCTCGTTACGAGTCCTATCCTCTTCCTCCCGCGTCGCTATCAGGGTGGAGGAACGACTTTGTCATCCCGGCGCAGATCACAACATCGGTGGGACAATTCTCGATCAACCACGACTGTACCGTGGACTGCCTCCACCGCCTTTCGAGCCCAGACGTGATTTCGGTGAAGTTTTGTCCTGTACTGCGCCACAAGGGAGCTTCTATTGTTATTGTCCAAAGCCTCCGGGTATAAATCGAGGTGCATCCGCTGCACCAATCGCGTTGTCTTGCTGGTTCGATGTGCAAAGACGTTTTGGAGAGTAAAGACCTTGTCTCTCCTCTCATCATGTTAGCTCAACTTGCTGTGACGACGAAGGGTAAAATACTGTATCTCGAACGCTTCGACTGTCACTAGTCTACTTCGATCGTGACACCTTTCCTTGTGTGATGCGAACTATGCCGATGGTCAGCGCCGGGTCTCCTTTGTCATACAATTTTACAAAAATCTCCGCTCGCACGCGCGGATGTTTCTCCGAGGTCCTGTGATGGCCTGCGCCAGAACTCCGGCTCGGAAACGTACATCCGATCCCAGCTTACCTCCGCGAAAGTCCACGAGGCTCGATATCTCACAACAATGTGCAGATACTCGCGTCAACCGACATCCGTGGCAACTTACGGAGGGCAGTCGCTGAGTGTAATTGTGATGCTGGTGCTGATGATGATACCTCGTACTCAAAGTTGAATGAGATTCGCCATCCACGTCAAAGCGCTGTGTGAGGGCAAAATGACAGCCTATTTGAAATTTACTTGCATTGTCCCACCCACCCGAGCCGGTGGTATGGATGCTAGTAGTATTGACAGACGCCACCGCTGATGGCGCATTACATCCGCGAGGCAGGCATGGCCTTGAACACTGCCGAGAAGACATGGTGCTCATAATCATTTCCATGTGTTTCGTAGATGACGATCACCATGTGTATAGCACAAAGAACTTGCACTTCTCAGCGCAAGCAAGCCGTAGTTGGAGCCATGAGTGGTGGGCATGGAGTCGACATTGCACTGACTTCCTCAGGTAATCTTTACAAAGAACTTTGCAACAGTCAGGAGCAAATACAGCATGGGAGCCCCAAGGACCAGTCCAGAAAAGGAAGATCATCGCTCTTCACATGAGCTGCGAAGAGACTTTGGTCGCTGGGCTCGTGCGTGATGATGTATTTGGTTGTGACGGCCCACCTGCATGGCGGCTTCTATTGCCAATGGTCCGGAGCATCAATTGAGGATCTTTCCGGATATTTTCCGTTGACCCTGTTGTGCCTTTCGATACGAGCGGCAGTACACCCTCTCAAAATGTCGCCCGCAGATGCTTACACTTCAGTGCTATGGCGGTTGCGTACGACGATGATGGACGTAGACCTGGGTATCTTGTGGAGACGCCAGCATGGCGGCACCAGCGACAATCGTTGTGCTTATTGTAATCATCACGATTACTGTATCAAGGAACAAGAATCTTCGATGTAAAGGAGGTGCTCCATGATGGAGCGCTCTTCGGAATCCCCGCCGGGAGAAAGGCGGTCTGGTGATGAACAGTACATCGTCTGCACGGGCGTTAACTCTTTTTGATTGATACGCATGTGCAGCGAGTGAGGAATCCAAAGTGTATCTCGGAGTCGGGATCCCGCCATCGCGCGCCCCGCCCTGTTGCCCGCGGCCAAACATACGCACGGTAACTGCACACTTATCAGATAGACCTGAAAGGAGCCGCGATATCTCATTCGAACCAAACATCATTATAATCTCGTCGCCATCATCATCATCATCTATTTGATGTTCTCTCTTCAAGCTCTCGACCAAACCCAAACGCCGAGGAGGAGCCACCAATCACCGTGGTACGTCTGCTAAGCTTTACCCATACGGCCACGACACGGCATTCAGGACCTTTCACCACCTGGGCAGTCCTCAATATTACCATCGTTACCCGCATGCCTTCCCAGCTTTGTTCGTGATTTGTTCCTGGTGGGTGGCTTCACTTATGGAATGCTGAGTCCTGCACTTCGTCCCGATCCACCCATACCCATGGGAGAAAGGAGATGAATCCCGACGACTCCAACACTACCAGGTATTAACGTGTGATTCGGACAGAGCCTTCTCCATCTGGCGACGCATTTTCACTGTGTAATCACCATTTTTATTACTGCATTGATCAGTGCCCAAACTCATTGGGCTCGGATTGTCGTCGACCACCCGCCATTTGCATTTGCTTGCCTGGCGCCTGCCAGAACGCTTGAAAATACGAATACCCCGCCAAGCTGGAACTTCGGGCAAGGGCATCTGCACGACAGCATTACGAGCATCAATTTTGAATACAGTTGCAGCTGGGTGAATCAGAACTCAATTGTAGTCTGAAGAGCATCGTCGCCAGCACATCGGTTTCGATTTGACAGGGTGGGACGAAGACCGGACGCAGGAAACTGTAGCCGAGTCCCATTACCCAGTCGCGGCCTTGGCTGTCTAGCGCGCAAGTGCATCATCGGGGTATCTACCTCCACTCACCAATTTGCAATACATCGCTCTACTTTTCAGGTCCGATCAACATAAAGAAGTGATCTGGGAAGTCGCAGTCTATCCACCGACCTGCGCGACCATTGGAGGCGGCTGACTCCCACGTCAACTCTCTCAAATTCCGTGTTCCAGCGGCATCATCATGATCTCACAACAGTCGCCCTCACATCCTCATCAATATACGGCACATACTCCAGCATCTCAGCCAGCATACCCTCCTACATCTTCGGCCAACATGGCGGCCAGCGATGGTCGCTCCGAGTCTAGCGAATATAAAAGTGAATTCAAGGGTGAGTTCAAGAATGAATATGGCACTCCACAAACCAATGGGCACCACCCGAACAGCGGGAACATGTATTCGTATCAGCATCAGCAGCAACATCAGCAACAACACCAGCCGCAACATCAACAGCAACAGCATCAGTATCAGCAACATCCACAACAACAACAGCAGCAGCAGCAGCCACCTCTACCACCAGCGCCACAAGCTCAATATGGGTACGCTCCGCCGGCGCAGCCACAACATCAACAATATGCGCAACATCCTCAGCACATGTCACGATCGGCCATGCCAAACTACCTCGACCGGAACCACAATCAGCTCCCACCATTGGATCCAATGGGACCGCGTGATGACCCAGCGATTTCTAACTTGCGATCTGTCAACCCCATGAACCCACCTCCATTCTCATCAGCTGGTGCAGCCATGCCGCAACATCCTTTACAACAGGAGCAGCAACAACCCTTGGCGCCTCCGCAAGTGACAAATCCTGTCACCGGGCGAACTCGTGTCGCTGGTACTCCTCGTGAGGCGCGACCAGTATCTCAAGTCTACCAAGGGTTCATCTGGTCGCTACGTGTTGTACAGCAGCCAAAGCGTGCGCGCATGTGCGGGTTTGGAGACAAGGACCGTCGTCCAATCACCCCTCCTCCAGTATTGCTGCTTGTCATCACTGATCCAAAGACCGGCCGCGAATTGAGCCCTGATGATCCTCAATTGGAAGATCTGGATTGCTCACACTTCATTGTTAATGTTGACCTGTGGGACGAGAACAAGGTCAGCGAAGCCATCCTCGTGCGGTCCAGCTCCAACAGTCCTTCTACCAGCATCAGCACCGCTACCACCACTGCCTATCCTCCAACTCAGGATAACCCTCACGCGCAGCGGCCCGGGCACATGATGCTCGTAGGCAGTGACGGCTATAATTTGCCCCAGTACGGCATGCATGGCAGCTATGGAATGCCGATCGCGGCTTCGTACGGGCAGTACATACCGTCGACGGGATATGGTGGCGGCATCGCCGCACCGATGCCCTTTTATCCTCAACACACTCAGATGCCGAACTACACCCGGAATCTGATCGGAAGTCTGTCCGTCAATGCTGCGCGGCTGAAGAACGAGCAGGGCGAATCGGGCTTTTATTTCGTCTTCCAGGATCTCAGCGTGCGCACCGAAGGGTTTTTCCAGTAAGTTTTGAGCCTATTTCCATTTGCTCCACAATTTGGATCGGAACCTCATTTGTCGGGCTTCCGTCTGCGCAATCGATACCTATCATTTGTGGAACATTCTACTAACAAATCCCCGCACACAGTCTGCGCATGAACTTCGTCAACCTGAGCGACGGCAAAAGTCCGCCTAGCCTGAACAAGAACAAATGCGCAATCCTCGCCTGGGAGTTCACCGATTGCTTCCAGGTCTTCTCCGCGAAGAAATTCCCGGGAGTGGTCGAGAGCACGGCGCTGAGTAAGTGCCTACAGGGCCAAGGGATCAAGATCCCCATCCGCAAGGACAACGGCGGGAAGAACGATGGCGCGGGTGGTGGTGGCGATGACGACGACGACGGTGGAGACTAGAGGCCGCGCCGCCGGCGGAAGTCCGCTCGTGGAATCTAGGATATTGCTGATGACGACGGTGGGGATGATGATGATGATGATGACGATGAAGTGCTTGCTGTGAGTGAAGGTGATGCGGCTGTGCTCGTGAGCACGCGGGATTCATCTGCCGATGACGATGAAGCGGATGAGAGAACTTACGGTGGTTAGCATCCATGGAGCGCCAGCGAAAGGGAAGTTCCGTCAGAGTTAGAGCAGAGAAGCGAGCGAGTCGAGGAGGAAGCGGAGGAGGAAGTCGAGGAGGAAATGATGGAGGATGAGAGTGAGAATGAGAATGACGGAGCCAGAAGTCTTGGTCTTCTTATCGATGCTGCTTCTTTTCTCGATTCTGCCGGGAATTTCCCGTTGAGAGGTCCCGTCGTCAGGCCGTCGTGGATGATGTTCTTCTTCTGATAGGCACGGCATGCCGACTGTTGTGCCCATGACAGATCACTCGTTTCTCAAACTCATGTCGGACTTGCATGCATTCTTTTGAAACTTTCGAATTGATAAACTACCGCTTCACGCACTCTTCGGTTCCATTCTTTCCTCTCCCTTCCAGTCATAACTATCCGATAACTCCTCGTAATTCCTAAAATCCACGCATGGGACGGATCTTCATACCAAAGCAAAACTCCACCATCGCGACTCAACACGACTGACATCACTGCGCCTTCCCGCTCCTCTTCCTCCCCGACACCTGCTCCACCACCCTCCTGGTCCCCTCCACGATCAGCCTATGCTCCGCCTCGTGGATCCTCCCCTGGAGCTCCTCCAACGAGGCACAGCCCTCGATGCCGACCTCCCGCTGCACGATCGGCTCGCCGAGGTCGACCTCGGCGATGACGTGGTGGATCATGATGCCCGTGCGCGTGCGTCGCCCCGCGGCGAACTCCTCCCACGCCCGCTCGATGCACCCGGCGCCCACGAGGTCCCCGTGCAGCGCCGGGTGCAGGTTGATGATCGGCACGTCCGCCCGCCGCAGCGGCCCCAGCAGCCCGTCGGTCACGATCCGCATGAACCCCGCGCACACGACCAGGTCCGGCCCGTCCGCCAGGATGAGCTCCGCCAGGCGCGCGTCGTAGGCCTGGCGCGCGGCGAGGAACGTCGGCGGGGAGGTCGAGTCCGGATGGAGTTTCTTGTAGGGCAGGATGCCGTGGTGCGTCGTCGGGATGCCGGCGGCTCGGGCGCGTTGCAGGCCGTAGGCGTCCTTGCGGTCGGAGATCACGCGCGTGAAGCGGACGTTGGGCAGGGAGGGCGTCTGCGAGGCGTCGATGAGGGCTTGAAGATTGGTGCCCGAGCCGGAGATCAGGACGGTGATTTTGGTGGGTGATGAAGGTGATTGCGCCATGATTCGAGAGAGACGGTCTTGTTGCTGATGTATAGAATCCCGACCGTTGTCTGTTCTTGACTCGCCCTTTGGACTCGGCTGTTGCAGGAAATGGACTTGTACTTCGATGTTGGAGGGTTTTGAAATTTCTTTCGGGTGCTTGTTTGATATCGCCTTGTGATTAGACGATGCGTGCAGGTTAGGTCGTCGATACCTCTTCTTCCACTGTTCAATCTCGAAGCTTCAATTCTGGACTCAAATGTGTTATCTCAACGATGCGTTGTGAAGGCGCGGGATGAACATTTAATGAGGATATTCAGTTTTCGAGCTTGGCCGATCTGGCCCTATAAAAAAAATCATGTTGGAGACGGGATCTGGTGGCATGACACTTCACGACGACGATGATGACGGCGGTGTTCTTTCACTTGATGGAGATAAGACGAGCAAGCGGTATCCCAGTCTGCTCCTCAATGAAAACCTGCTATATGTTTATTATGTGAGTTCGGCACTCTTATGAATCCTCGATCGCCATTGACAGTGGAAATATATATCTCTACAACGTCTCCATGCCCGTAATGAGTGGGTGTGAATTGATTGACCCCACATTGGATGGACGGACAGCGCCTGGGTACGTCATTGGCGGGTTATATACTAGAACATGCCCATACAAATCAACGCTGGAGGGAGAATGGAAGTCCGGCGCATGAGTGCAACGAACTGTAACGACGGCGCAGACATTAGAACCACCTACACCTACCTAGTAGGTACCTGGGCACGCGGATACTCGAGGCTCAACTTCCGACGGGATCGCATGAAGATGACCATGTCCTGAACTGAAGATGGAGAACCGCAAAACGAATACCTGGCATTTCACGCCGCTTCGTTCTCCTCTTCTTCATTATTCGGGAGAGAGCAGCCTGAGGCGCGGAAGGTCAGCGGCCGAATACTCTCTTTATAGGTTACTGGATTGTCGTACCGTCGAAGGTGAAGGTTTGGACGGGACATAGACACAGTGGGTATACGTACAGTCCACAGTAGCAGTACCCGGGGAGTCTCCTGGTTGATCCAAGGACAGTCAGGTTGAGCTTTGTGCACATGCGCGACCAAGATGTTCTCATTTAGCTTCTTCATTGAAAGGCGGTTAACATGCTGTATACCTAGTGAATGGTGTATACCATACATGCATACATACCTAGGTACATGTATTGATAAACAGATGAAATGTAAGGTGCAGGTGTGAATGCAGGTACCGACCGCGCGACGGGAATGGATGGGATTAATAGCATGGGACCGAGCTGCAGAGATGGACGATTGATTTCAGTTATCCATCAGAGGACTTATTCAACTTTAGCCCCCCGCGAACGGTTCCTTCCCTTCCTTTCATCGCCCGGTAGATCGATGACATCCACGGATCGATGACGATGCGAACGCCCGATCGAACAAACTTAGAAACATACATTTCTACCTTTCCATTTACATTACGGGTTGCGGGTTGTTGTTTACACGTTGTCGGTCCCTTGCACCTCCCGAAACGTGTGTGTTCACATCCATACATCATGGCCCAAATTGCGTACTTGATGATTTCATCGCTGCCGAGGAGGATGCACTGCGCTTTCGACATGTAAATACCCAGGTAGACAAACTGTCTCTGCCCATCCTTCTGTGTCTCTTTCCATACCTTACTCTCTGTCTATCTTCCTTAACAACGAATAATATCATCATCTTGCAATCACGAGAGACCTACAGTCCTTCACAACCCTCCGAACACCTGCAATCATCCCTCACCTTGATCGTCTCTCTTCATCACCGTCAACATGGCCAAACTACTTAGCACGAGAAACATCATGATCGCTGGTGGTGTTGGCGCTGCCCTCTACCTCTTCCCTCGCACCGTCGCCAAGGTCAACCCGATTCAGTATGTCCTTGCCGTGGCTGTCCCGACTGTACTTCATCGTCAGCTTTCCTTCGACTGACCGGTTCCTCCTTCAGAGACGGGATCAAGACTCCTGGCACCGAGGCCATCGCCCAAAGATTCGCCTCAGGTGGCGGAACCACCACACACACTCCCGGCTTTGCAACCAAACGAGGTAAGTTCCTCCTGAGAAACACCATATCCGATTTGGGGTCACGACGAAACTCCTCTCGATCACCCAGCTATGGAATAAAACCCCCTTGCCAGTCGTCGACAGCTGGTCCCATCCTCCGACAGCAGCTCAGAACCTTTCCCCTCTAGCCAGCATACTCAATGTTTTTCCTCTCCACAGGTACCTCCGAGGAAATCTACACCCAATCGAATCCCAGCGGCGTCAAATCCCAAGAGTTCCAAGATAACCACGCCGATCAAAAGAAGGACGATTACGGCGCGCCCGGCCGGACATGGAACAAGACGCAGTACGGCACCGACAAGGGCAAATAAGGCGATCGCTCTATCCCAGAATGGTGGTTTCCAGCAAACGAGGAGAAGAATGATGAGGATCGATTGAGATTGACGGTCGATAAGTCAATGAGGGAATGGAGGTGTATGGAAGAGCATGGCCTTTTATGGGATGTATTTGCCCCGACGAGGATTGGGCGGAACCGAAAAGAAATGAAAAGAAAAGCGTTTGCGATCACTGTATTTATATGAAAATATGAGCGGGATGGCTGGCGGTTGATGGTGTTTCGAGTCGGAGGACGTCATCGTTTCTACCTTTGCAGCCGGAACAAATCCTTTCTCCTTCCGATAATCAACATCAATGGTTTCAAAGGGTCCAAGTTCATTCATGCAGTGTGAGGAGGCATGGATACATCTTCTTCTATCCTTCTCTTTTTTCTTCTCTTCCTTTCCGTCGAGGTCTCGGGCACACGCATGCAAAAGATGTGATCGCTGGACGTTGAAAAGATCACCTGGGCAGGTTTGAAAACGAGCGTCGACATGCGTTGAGACATACACGAATACAGTGCGGCTAACAATACTTATTAAGACATGTTCTGTAGAGAGCGAGATTTCGAATCTTGGATTCGCATGGCGGTCGATATGATTCTGCGCGCAATTAAATTTGAGCACAGTATGAAAAGCGTGTGGTGTTCCACTAAAATTCATGAAGATACCACCTCATGTACCTAGGTAGGCTTGCTTGCTGTTGTTGCGGCTTGGAAAACGCTCCGTCTGCTGTCGTCCAAAAATGAAAGTGATGGTTGACCGCCACTGGATGGAGATGGCGTCAGATTTCTACCCATCAAGTTTCACGACTTGAACTGGGAAAAGATCCAAATCAAATGAGACTAGCAACCAAATCAGAGAGATAAGAGCCACCACAAAGGAAAGGGCACATTCCTAAGAGAGATTCGCTTCATCCATGAGAAGAAAATAAAAACAAGAGAAAAAACAACCCCCCAAAAGTCCTCTTCACCATGAAAATCAACGAACACACCGGTACGCCTCCATTCTTCACTTCCCCAATAACACCAACCCAACCCATCTCCAACCTGGAAAACCACTACCACCACCGCCTCCCTCCCTCCCTTCCATTCTAACAAAGAACCCCTCCCCATCCAGCCCTCTCGACATCCAAAATCCTCTTGGTCCCCTACACGTCCTCCCACGTGCCGCAGTACCACACCTGGATGCTGGATCCGGAGCTCCAGAGCGCCACGGCCTCGGAGCCGTTGAGCCTCGCGGAGGAATACGCCATGCAGAAGAGCTGGCGCGCCGACGGGGACAAATTGACCTTCATCGTCTGTCTCCCCGAGGCCTCCTCTTCGGCCGCCAGGGAGGCTGTCGTGGAGGGAGATGGGGAGGTTGTAGTGGAGGGTGATGTGGCCATGATTGGGGATATCAATCTGTTTCTCTACCCGTTTGAAACTGACGACGACGATGACGACGGAAATGACGATCGAGACATTCCAGCGGCGAAGCAACAACAACAACAAGGAGGCGAGGAGGAGGAGGAGGAGGAAGATCTCATCGTCGGCGAAATCGAACTGATGATCGCGCGCAAGGACCTCCACCGTCGGGGCTACGGCCGCGCGGCGTTATTGGCCTTTGTCGACTACACCTTTGCCTTCTGGCAGGGCATCGGTGAGGCATATGCGAGGTCTACGCATTCGTCTGACCACGGTGATCAGGAGGGTGGGACGGCACGGTCACCACGGGCTCCGTTGCAGAAAAAGGGGAAGCTGAGATATTTACGGGTCAAGATTAATCAGATGAATGAGGGCAGTATCCGATTGTTTGAAAGTGTGGGGTTTGTCCGTGTGGGAGAGGAAGCGAATTATTTTGGGGAGGTGGAGCTGAGATGGACTGTCGATGACGATGATGATGATTGTCAGAGTAGCGAGGGGGAGACTGCTGGGTCTGCGCTCGGGCGATGGAGGCGGACAAGGGGATGGGAGCAGGTATCGGTCAAGCAGTATCAATATGCATCATGATAACAATTATTAAGCAGAAGCGCCTAACTTGAAGTCATTCACCCTCCGGCGCAGAAGGTTAGACAGGTCGTGTTGGCCATCCTCGACAGGCAGGATTGATTCTCATATATTGCGGCCCGTCTGTTCGGGCGATTGATCTCATGGGATCGACCAGCCATAACCGTGCTCTCGTATTATACAACGACGACCTGGCAGCTTTGTTCGTCATTCGTAATGGTAGAACCACCACACGCCGGGCAGGGACTGGCCGGAATGTATTTTGCATAGCCTCGCTCTATGAAGCAGTAGGAACGGCTCACAGTTTCTGGTACTCCAACTTGCCCTCCAGCTTTTTCGTCTCCGTGACCTTCCGGACCGCCTTGTTGAAATCGTCCTGGCTGATGGCATCGCGGTAGTCCTTGATAGCCAACAGACCTGCCTCCGTGACCACGTTTCGCAGATCCGCACCGTTCAACCCATCGCTCATCTTCACCACACTCTCAAAGTCAATCTCTCCCTCCTTTTGCACACCCGCAGCGTGGATCTTGAGCACCTCCAGTCGTCCTGCTTCGTTGGGGAGGCCGATCTCGATCTTTCGGTCGAGTCGCCCAGCACGCAGCAACGCCGGGTCGAGGGTATCCGGTCGATTCGTCGCCATGATGATCTTGGTCTTTCCGAGGTAGTCGAAACCGTCGAGCTGGTTGAGCAGTTCCATCAGCGTACGTTGGATCTCACGGTCGGCGCTGGTTCCCTCCGAGAAACGTCGGCCGCCGATGGCGTCGATTTCGTCCATGAAGATGATGCAAGGTTCGTGCTCTTTTGCGTATCCGAACATTTCGCGAATGAGACGAGCGGATTCACCGATGTATTTGTCGACGATGGCGGAGGAGACGACTGTGTCAGGTCAGTAAGCAGCCCTTTGCGGAAAAGTGCGCCTGGGAATCGGAGAGTATCATACCTTTGAGGAAGTTGGTCTCCAACGAGCTCGCCACTGCTCGAGCAAGAAGCGTCTTGCCGGTACCAGGAGGACCATATAACAGCACACCTTTCGGAGGCTTGATACCGACTCGCATGAACAGTTCCGGGTTCTTCAGCGGTAACTCAATCACCTCTCTTAGCTCTCGGATTTGCTCGTTCAAACCGCCGATTCCCGCGAACGACACCTGTCCCGGATCCTCCAACGACATGTTGTACACCAACGGGTCCACCTCTCGCGGAAGCATGCGCATGATTGTGAGCGTCGTCATGTCCAGCGCCACTCGCGTGCCTTGCTTCAGTTTGGCCTTGTCGACCTTTGATCGACATCCGACGACATATCTAGGCCCCGACGAGGCCTTGACTATGAACCGCTCCTCGTCCAGCTGCTTGAGCACCTCGCCGATGATCTGCCCGACACTCTGTAATGCTTTGATGTTGTCCTCCGAGACATCAAAGTCGTGTTGTAGGCCCTTGATCTCTAATCGTAATGCCTTCAACTTGGCCTCCCATTCGCGTGATTCTAAGAGTTTGTTCTTGTATTCTTCGAGCGCGTGCTCCCGCTCTGGATCGGCGCTCATATTGGCGTGGCGCACGTGGTGAATGTGATTTGTGGTTTAGCGGATGATGAGGAGCGTGCAAGCTGAGGATTTGTTGCTTTGTTGTCAAATCGTCAAGTGGAGGGTCACTGGCTGGTCGAGAGGCGGTTGTGAAGGTGGATGGCGGAAGGTGCGATGCTGGAGATATGATCGTCTACAGCTGTCAATCAGCGGATGATGCCCATAGACAGCCCAGGCAGTTGACAAGTCGTATGCCTGTGACATAATACACGGTATATATGATACTGTCACGGAATATATGATCATGTATCTCAACCAGACTCACCTGGGCACTCTACCACAGCACAATCACATTCATCTCAAAGTCTTTGCCCAGCACCAAGCTCTTTCACCATTGGGACAAATTGCTGGGTGAAAGTGGCATCAGCGAGCAGAAAATCGCAGTTCACTTGTGCGAAACGAGCCCGCAACCACATGGGCACATTAAAAATACACATGGATCGCAAATTTGGGAGAGGAGCGAGACTTTTGTGTCACCGTAACTGTTCATTTCTAGATTTTTGTTCAAATACATATAGATAAAAAAAGAAAAGCATGAAACATCACATCAAGTGTGTCGAGGATATCATCATTATCACAGCCAACGCCTCCGTGTGCCAACATGAAACCAAAAGCCCGCTTGCAGTCTGGAAAGCCACGCCAAATCGAAGTAAACAGTATCATCCCGCCGGAGAGGAGAAGAAAAGGGGGAGAAATTGGCCGGCAAAATCCCGTAAGAAATGTGAGGTCGAAAGCGGAAAAATCGCTCAGAAGCGACTTTCAATTTCACATCCGCGGGAATTGCATGTGCCTGTTTTCGAATCCTGGCGAGAGCGGCGCTTCGTACGCACCGGGAATAGGCACTGCCGCATAGACCTGTTCACCAGGCGCTGCCGCAACATGCTCCTGGATGGAGGCTTCCTGTGCGGCCATCATGCGTGGCGAGAGCGGGCCGGCGGCAAACGATCGGGCAGACATCGGTGGCGCTGGGTAGCGTGCTGACAATGGCGGCGCGTTGATGACCAGCGGCGAGCGCGCGTCGACCTCTGGCGAGGGTGTCCGCGAGCGTTGCTGCACGGTGACGGTGGTCACGCGGGGAGCAGGACGGTCTGATACGCTGGTGTCGAGGGGAGTAAACCCGAGTTGTTGGACCTTGGGAGTGGCGTTGGTGACCTTGATCGGTGGCGCTTGGAGCTTGAAGGGTGCCGGGACATGCTTCTGGTCGGCGCTGATGTAGCGGACGTCGCCCTCCTCCATGGCACCAGCCTTGTTGAAGGACTCGTCAGATGGAGCACGCCAGCCGCCATCGCGCGGGCTGAATGGCGCGGGAGTGTTGGGCTGGGTACGCATCTGCGCCATGTAAAGCTGGCTGCGAGCCTGGTCACGCACTTCCATAGTCTTGCGAAGTTGACGCTTCGAGTAGAAGCGGTAGAAGATCACTCCGTAGACGCAGATGGTGATGACTTCGACGACGATCTCAATGATGGCGCAGACCAAGCTCCAGTTCTGCAGGCGGCAAAGGAGACTGTAACCGACATCGGCCTCGAACAAATCGTGACGGGGATTGTCGACACAAGCCCAGCCCCACATGTCTTTGTTGTTGCCGTTTTGCTTGGAGTGCTGGAACGCGACCGTTGCAATAACCCACATGACCGTACTGAAGATGAAGAAGCCGACGGCGAACAGAGTGTAGTAGACGGAACTCTTCTGTGCCTGCTTGTGACCGCCCTTCCAGTAGCCGTAAAAGACGATGAGAGTCGTGAAGAGAGAGATGCAAGCGAGGGAGAGCAGAAGAATCTGGGGCCAAGTCTGTTGGTTAGGAGCCCAGGCAGGAAGGTTGTTTCGTGGAGGCAGAGCCTTGGTTGCGTTGAATACGGCCATGGTCGTTCCAAGCATGCCGAGTACGACCAAAGCGCAGGAGAAGTTGACACCACGCAGGAGGAACTTTACAACACGGACGCGAGTTTTGACTTTCTAAGATTGGGTATCAGTAATGTTACGTGCCAGGTTGGCAGATGGGAGGCGATGATACATACCACGTCCTTGACTTGCTGATTCTCGGTGAACTTTTCGGTCTTCTCGACGATCTGCTCCTCCTTGAAGGTCGGGCTGAGAATCGCCTCACCAAAGTCTCGTGGCGGCGCACCAGGAGTCTTCATGGCGCTCTTCAAGGGCATCGTGGGACTTCGGAGCGCTCTAGCAACGACAGGTGGTCGGTACTCGGTGTCGGGCATCTCGACGGATTCGTGCTTGTTGACATAGCCGAAGCCGACGTCAGAGACCTGAGGTTGCGCCATCAGGTGTACTGTCTTCTCTCGCCCAAAGGGTAGTGCTGCTGGAGACGGTTCGATGGGAGAGTGAACAGCAGTGGCCTCTGCAAATCGTGCGGTGCGCGGCGACTTGAGTGATGGTGCTTTGATATGTGATTGTGTTGAGGATGTTGATTCTTCGGAAGTTCTTGGCAGGACAGTGACCTTGAGGTCTTTCTTGAGGCCTGACATAGTCGTGTTAATTCCGAACGACGAATATTTTTGAGTCTTTTTCGTGAAAGTTGTGGTTTGATCAAAGAGACCAGCTCTTCGGAACGCAAGTGAAGCAATTAAGGAAATACGGTGACGAAATGGAGGCCGGCTGAAGAAGAGGAAAAGGGAAGAGAGGTTGGAGAGGAGAGATAGAGTGGTTCTTGTGCTCGGCGCTTCGCACGGTGACGCCAATGGTGAACAAGTGGAGGTGGTGGGTGTGGGCTATGTGTGTGACTGGGGCATCGAGAAGGCAAGTGATTCTTCCTTCGGCCGCGTAGCTCGGTCTAGGCACTTTATTTCTCGAAGGCGAAAAGGACGAGCTGTTCCTCTGTGGATAGACTATCGAAATGCAAGTAGCTGCGTACTGACCTTGGTTTCTATGGTGGGAGCGCCGGGCTCGTGAGATTTTGAGGTGGCGCTTCTGTGATAGGTGGAGATGCCGCTACCAGAGCTGCAAACAAGATACACCCTTTCGATGTGTGTGGGCTTTTACGCGCCGGGTGGCCGAGCTGTGCGATATTGAAGTGTCCCAAGGCAATCCGGTCGCCAGCTGGAAATTGGGTTGCGTACAAGGCCGGACAAATCTGCAATGCGAATGTGATACGAAATGTCAAGAGGAAATGAGAGATGGAGAACAATGAAAAGCGCAAGGGAGGATGTGCAAACCGGCAGCAGGAGTAGAAGAAGAGGTTTGAAGAGGTGTGCGTGCTCTCTCACCCTCGTCTCCTCTCCTCTACCGCCACCATTGGGCTATATTGGGAGGGAGACCTATGTTTGCTCAGATCACAACCGTTTGTCTTATCACGACACTGCAGCAGCGCAAAATTTCCGAAGCAAGGTCCGAAGCTTCTCGGCAAAGAGTGTGCGCACAGCCTGCCACCACAGTCGTGCCGCTGGCTGATCGTTGCCAATCCGAAATGGATATATTTGACTGAATGGCCCGGCTCGGTCTTTCGAGTCCATCTTCCATTTCCTCTCAGCCTTTTGATGATCCATACAGGCCACGAGCACTCATGACCATTGCGCAAACCAACGCGGCACGAAATCTGCCGGCGGGTTGAGGAGCTCTCGGACGACACGCAAGTTTTAGGCGCTGGGGACGGGACAAGTGAGGTATCACAATCACACGCCAAAAAAGGATGTGACAGAAACGATTGGTGGTGGAGCCCTGTCAGCTGCGAGTGCCCACCTTGAGGGTCGAGGGCTTATGCACGCTTGATGCTTAGAACGGTCAAGCAGCTCGGTCCGGCACAGCTAGCACACAGCAAATCACAAACCAGGGCGCCAAACAGACTTCATCTCGCTTTTCCTTGCTTTCCACGCAATATATTGTCTTGCAGGGTGTACTACTACTTCACACACCTTCGTGGGTGCCCAGGTGGTGTGTGGATGCGCAACAACGTGTGTCTCACTGCTCCTTCTCTGGTTCTGGTCCTCACGTGTCGTACTTTCCACGGTTGCTCGAGCTTGTTCGGAGAATACATAACAGATGGTACAGTACATACTGAACAGTACATACTGAACAGACCGACATTTGATGTGTGTGATCCCACCGTGCCCACCTCGAGCCGCGAGCGGAGGGTCTGACCATACACTGTACTACTCTTGTCGTGCTTGGGCCATCGCTCGTGCTCCGGCGTCGAGAGTACCGTCGGACGAGTCGCACCAATGCTCTCTATAGCCTTTGCATGCGCACACACGTGATCATCCATTCGAGACGTCGCGATGCGCGCTCGTGGGAAGTTTGCGTCTCTGTACACCAACGAACCATTCGATCTTGGATGGAACCGACCCGTGAATAGCTTGCTCTGTAGGTCGTGGAGCTGCGACCGAGTCGCTTCTTGTGGGCGTCATATCAATTTTCAACCAAATGACAGATGACTTGTGAAAAGCTCGCCGCTCGGCTTGATCTTGATATTTACGATGTTTCACATTTCGGTGACATGAGGTATCGGTATCCCGGTGCGAACGAGATCTCACCCTCCAATCCGTACCAGGAGACCTCGGTCGCGGTCATATACGTCAGTCATATTGTACGGGTTGTGTGTTTCCTGTTTAACTAGGCGGAGACTGAGGGACACTGTAACTCACCGAGAGTACTGATGTTTGTGGAATGCACATTGGAAATGGTGGTGAGGCTGGTCGCAGAGGAGCTTGCACAAGCCAAAAAGAGTTTGGAGCCTACGTCCAGCAAGTATCAACATCTTACTCTAGAGCCTTGACGGTCGACGATAATCATTATGTACTGCCCTACAGTACAGATCGAATGTACATTTTCACCCCAGCATCAGGTTTGAACCATTTCAGATCATGCCACCCGTGGACAGCTTCCAAGGTGCGTGTTATATTCACCGATTGCTGGGGCAATACGAACCCTAATATGTCAATAGGGTTGTAGCTGGGGCAGCGTCAGCCCGGGCAGATGAATGACCTCAGATATCTCACCGGCGGAATTCGAGTGGTGATGCCCCACGCGACAAGCATCCGCGGAATTTAGAGACGCGAATTTCACTAGATAGCAAGTCCGCAGGGAAAACTGTCCACACAGACTGCTTTTTACACAAGTCCGGGCCAGTAAATCTACTAAGAACTTGTGTCGAGGCGTGAAGCCACAATGCTGGGCTCGCAACCATTGCTTCGGAGACAGAGCGCCTTGGTCCGATATACGGAAGTACACCAACTCGAAACACGGTGATGGAATGATCGGCGGGCAGCTTCAAAATGTTCGAGAAGGACATCTACCAGCTCATCCGTGGGCTACGTGCCCACAAGGGCAATGAGCGGGCATACATTCAGGATAGCTTGCGAGAATGTCGGAAAGAGATCAAGAGCCAGGATATGGATCAGAAGGCGACGGCCCTGCTGAAGCTGGTATACCTCGAAATGTTCGGCCATGACATGTCGTGGGCGTCTTTCAACGTCCTGGAGGTCATGTCATCGCCAAAGTATCTGCAGAAGAGAGTAGGCTATCTTGCAGCGGTGCAGAGCTTCCGGCCAGACACGGAAGTGTTGATGTTGGCGGAGAATCTGTTGAAGAAGGATTTGAATTCGCCAGATAAGATATTGATGAGCCTACCGCTAGTTGCCATTCCGCATGTCATTAGTCCGTCCATGGCCAACTCTCTCCTCACGGATCTCCTGCCGCGCATGTCACATTCAAATCCAGCCATTCGGAAAAAGACCATTGTCACGCTGTACCGCCTGGCGCTCGTCTACCCAGAGACCTTGCGCCCAGCTTGGCCCAAGATCAAGGAACATCTTCTCGACGAGAACGAGGATCCCAGCGTCACGGCTGCCATTGTCAACGTCGTTTGCGAGCTAGGATGGAGGCGACCACAGGACTTCTTACCACTTGCGCCACGGCTGTTTGAGCTGTTGACAGCAGGTGGAAACAACTGGATGGCCATCAAGATCATAAAGCTATTTTCTGTTTTGACACCACTGGAGCCGCGGTTGGTGAAGAAGCTACTGCCGCCATTGACCTCCATCATCAAGACCACCCCGGCAATGAGTCTTCTCTACGAATGCATAAACGGCATCATCCAGGGCGGCATCATGGAAGCTGCTGGAGGGACGACGGAGGGAGATGAGATTGCTCGGCTGTGCGTCAACAAATTGCGGGCGATGCTTGTAGTTCAGGGAGACCCAAATCTTCGCTACGTGGCTCTACTGGCCTTCACCAAGATCACAAACTCGCATGCCGACATTGTCTCACAACATCAAGATGTCATCATGGAGTGTATCGACGACGGTGATATTTCAATCAGAACGCGCGCCCTGGATCTTGTCGTTGGCATGGTCAGCGCCTATAACTTGCAGATCGTAGTTGAGCGGCTACTAAAGCAACTTCGCACCGCCGACAGAGCCACTGCAGCTGAAGAAGCGACAGAAGATCGTGGTATGCACAGCGAGATTGTCCCAATGGCAGATGATGAGGAGGATGCCGCGGCGGCCAAAGTCAAGGCCAGGCAGAAGGCAGCATCACAGACGCCTCCCCTACCTGACGATTATCGTACATCAGTCATTGAACGCATACTGGAAATGTGCTCAAGAGACACGTACACCAACATGAACGACTTCGAATGGTACATTGGCGTGCTCGTTGAGCTCGTCAAGCAGTGTCCGTCAACAGCATCTGCTGGGCGCTTTGGCTCTAGTCAAACGACAAACCTTGATCAGTCAAGTGTGGCGAATGCCATTGGTGCAGAGCTTCTGAACGTCGCGGTTCGTGTAAAAGCAGCTCGTCCAGAAGCCGCCGCCGCTGCGCAGTCGCTTCTTCTATTTGACCGTCGAGAGCGAAATTTCCCTGCTGGCAGCAGTGGCGGACAAGACGTTCTTATCGCTGCGGCTTTCATAGCAGGCGAATACGCAAACATGCTGCCCGACCCGGAAGCCGTACTCACATCTCTGATTCACACATCCAGTGCGCAGTTACCAGCGAAGGCTCTGACCAGCTACCTACAAGCAGTGCCGAAAGTCTTTGCTGTATTGACAGGTAGTCAGGAAGCCTCCTGGACGACCACAAGAAGGTCCACCACGACGTTGTTCATCGCACGAATCATTAATTTCGTAGAGCCTCTGACATTGCATCCGAATCTAGATGTTCAGGAAAGAGCTGTTGAGTATCTTGACCTCATGCGGCTTGCATCAGAGGCTGTTGCATCGCAACAAACCGAGTCGGCTGACGAAAATTATGCTGAGCCACCTCTCCTCCTAACGCAGGCGATACCGGCGCTTTTCTCAGGCACAGAATTGAACCCAGTCGCCGCTGCGGCGTTGCGAAAGGTGCCACAGCCTGACGAGCTCGATCTCGATTCGCCCATCAACAGCAATCTACAGATGCTCCTAGCGCAAGCAGAGTACGACACGGATTATGAAGACAGCAACAACGAGGTGTATCGCTTCTACCACGACAGAGCTGCCGGCATTCCGGTCGTCGTACAAAAGTCCGCCGCTGAACTCCTCGATGATCCGGCCTCCAACAGAAATGCTTCATACCAAGATGCTGGTGATGAACCACTCACAGCAGAAGCTATTGAGCGAAAGAAAGCTGAGCGTCGTGAACGATATCGGGACGATCCATATTATATCGACTCCGATCGAGGCTCGGGAATCTCGACCCCAATGCACAACATTCTTCACGCCGCGAACGGAGACGAGCTCGACGTCGACGCCATCCCCGTCCTCGAGCTCCAGCTCGATCCCAAGGACCTCGCCGGCACCGCCAACCCGCGCTCCCAAGCCATCGGAAAACCCAACCGGCGCCAACCAAAACGGCACTTCGAAATCGCCGGCGACGAAACGTTCGACGACAACGACAGCAGCACCCCCTCCTCGTTCAAGCCCCCCAGCCTCCTCTCCGGCCCCAATCGGCCCAAGAAATCCCTCCTGGAGGTCGACAGCAGCGGCCTCTCCGCCCTCTCCCTCACATCCCACGACGACGCCAATGGGAACGCGCCCCTCCACCCCCTCGAGATCGAACGGCGCCAAGCCGAAGAAGCCGCCATGGCGCAAGCGCTCAAGGAAGTCGAACGACTGCGCCTGCAAATGCAACGGGCGCAGGAACGCGTCGGCGGGGAGGACGATGACGACGAGGCGACGACGACAGTGGTCAAGCGGAAGAAACCCCGCAAGAAGAAAGTCCCTGCTGCCGACGACGAGGAAGGACAGCCCGCCGGGGAGGACAAGGAGAAGAAGAAGAAAAAGAAGAAAAAGAAGGTTTCGTCCGGAGACGGGGAGGAGCGCTCTGCCGCTGCTGGCGCGGCGGTTGTGTCAGAGAGATCTCATCGTGATGATGGTGGCCCTCCCACTGAAACTGCTGCTGCAGGCGAGGAGGAGGCGGCGAGACCTGCAACGAAGAAGAAGAAAAAGCGGCAGGTTGTATTCGATTGAGGCAATATCGGGGAGACTTTTTTATCCTCTTAGTTCTCTCTCTCTCTCTCAAAAAGGAAAAGAAACGAGTAACTCGCAAGCTCCCTTTTTTCTTTTCTGCGGATGGGCGATTCCCAATTACGATACGCTTTCATCGACGCCTGTCTTTTCCATATGCCCTTCCCCCTTCCCCCTCTACGAGCTATGTATGCACCCTGGAGATCTCGTCCCCACGCGCTATGCCGACTGTGATGATAGAAAAAACGATTCGACGTAAGGGTGATGTTCACGCCGATAAATTTGACGGAGGGGTTTCATATGGTAGATGGAACAACAACAATGATGATGATGATGATGGTGGTGGTGATGATGGTGGTATATACATAAGAATATTCGTGATTTCTTCCCCATGAAAGAGACAAGACCTGCCATCCCTTCCACCTCTTGGGACTGGTGTCAACCCAATGATGGCCACTATCGTAATGCTGATGAGGCGGGGAAACAAAGATCCGTGCCGGCTCCTGCTCCTCTGGTTTCCTGGGAAATGTCCATTATGCCTACCCCAGCGTCCATCTATCGGAGCAAGAGTGTCTTGGGACTGCGCCCCATGCGTACGAACGCCCTTGGAACGTTCGAGATGAGCTTGTATATTGTGCCTAAGCCTTGGTTGAGAACCCTTGACATTTCCCTTAAAAGCTTTGTAGCGACATTTCTCCAAGAGCCTTATGAACACCAAGCCCAGGCCATTGACCACGCCAGTGCTGATTTCCAAGCCATCGGCCCTGTGCCTGTGTGCTCGCATCAATCGAGATCGCCCAAAATTGCGACTCGAAGCCCACTGCTGACCTAGCTTCGAGGAGATGGACGTACTGGTGAGTGCCAGTGGAGCTTCTTTCCGTCATTTCCACAGCATCGCAAATGCCGTCTTCTGAGAATCCCATCCCTTCTTATCCCTCACGCTCGCTCGCCTTTGGCATACCGCCCGACATCCTGCGCCGCGAAGCTGAACGGACTCTTGGTCATCTCCGGACTGCGCGGGCTCATCGGTAACGCGAAGAGATCGTCGTCGTCATCCTCGTCGGCGGCTGTGGGGGCCGTAGATGAGGCCGGCGTCTGGAATGGCACGTCGCTGAACGCAGCGTCGAGTGACGCCATGCTGCCCGGCGCGCCACCTGCGCCAAATGAGTCAGGCGGCCGCGCCGCGACCATTCGCCGTGGCGCACCCGTGGGCTGCTGGGCGGGTTTGGCCGCGAGACTCGAGGTTGGTGCGGCGCCCTTCAGCTCGAGGAAGCTGCCGAAGCCGCCGCCGCCGACGGCGACATCGGAGGTCTCTGGGCTGAGCGGATTGTGCATGTCTGAGAAAGCTCCGGCGGCGGTCGATGTGGCCGTCAGAGGTGTTTGAAGCTCCCGATCACTGGTGCCGAGTTTCAGGCCCTTGAGCTTGTCCATCAGACGGCCGCCACCGGGACTGCGCGGGCTGCTCGGAGTGTTGAGATTGTTCACATCGCTGACGCCTGTCGTGGCGCCTGCGCCGGTGGTGTCAAGGGAGATGTTGACAGGCCGAGCCTGTACGCCGAAATTTTGCTCGATCCATTCCATCTCTGCGCGAGCCATTTCCAGGCCGACGCCTTCGGAGTTGTTGCGCTCCTCTGCCGATATCTCCGCCTGCAAGACCTGCAGGCGCTTCTTGGCCCAGTGGGTATGTAGAACGCCCTTCTTGCCGGATTCGAGCGCCGTGGCGCCGAGTTCTGGTGCGAAGATGGCAGGAAGCGGGTTGGTGCGCCAGGCGAGAGTCGGGCCCTTCTGCAAGCGGACGGTGGTAGGTATCGGCATGCCAGGAAGGAGGAGGAAATACATCCGGTTGATGGGCTCATCAGCAAGCTCACTGGCGGTCAGTGGGCGTTGCGATTGCGCCTGTTGTTTCTGAGAGTCCTTGGCGGGCAAGACTGTTTTCTTGCCGTCCCAGCTGATCTCCCAATCTGCCGAGATGGCGCGTGAAGTCGCATCCTCTTGCCATTCCACCATGAGCACCTTGGTGCCCTCCTTGCTCCTGCCCGGCTCGAATTCGAAACGTGCGAGGGCGTTGCTGCTGGACAGGGAGGGTGATTCGACGTCATCGCGGAAGCCGGTACCGAAGGATGTGTCAACGGGCTCGAAGCGCGGCCGGCCGCCGGTCGCGTCGGTGGCCGCCATCTTCTGAATTTGGTCGAAAGTAGCAACTATCGCAAGGGAAACAGTCGGACTCTGCAGTGAAGGTGTTTGATATTTGTCGCGTTGTGGCCCTTTGATGGGTCAATTGCACAAGCAGCCAGCCACGATGGGCTGTAACGCGGGAGGCGAGCGTCACAGTAGTGGTGCCCCAAAGCCAGATAGATGCAGCGCTGGCGACGGCAGCAGCAGCACGCAGCAGACTCACCCTTAATCAACGTTCAAGGCCGACACCAGGCGATGGAAAGGCGCCTTCGGTGAATATGGAGGTGAGTAGGGAGTATATAGATGATATGCGCAACGCGAAGGTAGAAGCAGAGAGTTCAACCGCGCGATCGCCTGGATCGGTCTGCAATTATAATAATAATTGGGAAAGAAACCTTGGAAATGGTCCAGCAGCAGTGTTGTGTTAGTGGCGGCGCGGTCGATCACAGGTGCGTTTTGGCCTGTGAATGACAGCGGGGCACACTAAAGGGAATCAGAGAAGAAGTCTAGTTGCGGCAGGTGCGTGTCAACCTTGGAACCCTGTAATTTTAGAGGGAACGGGGGTATTCTGGAGCGCATGGCTTCGAGAGTCGCGCTCGTCGTCGGGGAGCAATGATCGGCCAATGTGATCATCATCGTCGTCGTCGACGTTATCATCAACTTCGATGCTGGTGATAATGGTGACCAAGTGATTCATGATGTGCGCCTGTCACAAAGTGTATTGACTTACTTTGGTTGTCAATCAGTCAATCAGTCAGTCGGCATCAATCAAGCAAAGGCAGGCGGCGTTTGCCGGCGGAGGGGTTTTTCCTATGGAATAAACCACCGCAGATTGGATTGATTTGGTGATGTTCTAGAGGGGATCGTCTACATGTGCCGAGAAGAGTGGGAGAGGCATTTGTCTAGACGTCTCGTATTATCGTCGCCAGGATCGAACAAGAAAATTCACCAGCTGCACTACAGTACGCCTCCTCGCTCACCACTTGCCACTTGCTGTACTTATTGCCAAGATGATCGTGTTCAACGACTAGAACCGGTGTCGTCGTCATCATCATCATCATCATCAGGCGGTGGCGAGCGGCACACTGGACTCGAGCAAAGAAGAACGAGCATACAAGGCCGGCGGCCAGATGACAAGCAAGTCAGCACCGCGGCACAGCACGATCCTCCAGTCTTTTGGAGGAGGGATAAAGGCGACAGTCGCATCATCGGGATGGAAGGATGCTTCTTGTTTCCCGTAGAGCAGCGATCATCATGCAGCAATGTGGATCACTCATTCCAACCCGCTCAGGACTACGGACTTTCCAGGGCTGTCTGCGAAATGCCGACAATTCGTGCCGAGAAGCGACTCCAGTACATAATATATGATGATGATATACGATGCTTCGTACAGTGCCTATAATGACATCGGCGGGTTCTGCTATACACGGAAATGCCTCGAGCCCACGCGTGATGGGGACCACCTCACCCATGAACTACATGTACGAACGGCCTCTGTGCTAAGACATGTGAAACAAGCCGACAGTGTCCCTCATCTGTCGCACGGATGCAGTATCCCAGGTCGTCGAAAGGTAAACGGAAGTGGACGAGGGGAATAGGTACTTCGGGGAGGGAAGCACTGGAAGAATGAAGGGAGAAAGAGAGACAAGCGTGACAAGACGGATGCACATGCAGAAGCGCTTGCATAAAACTAATGTCGTCCATCGAACGGCAGTTATTTTTAGCCCCTCACTCCCTCCCTCCACCCGCATCCATCGCATCGTCCAGTCGAACGAGCGGGCGCGCGCGGGCAGCCTCCCCTTTTTCTCTTTCTTTCCAAGTTGTAGTGTTTACCCCTCGTTCATCCCGCAATCATTACACGGGCGGGCTTCATGCGGGATGTGGGAGACATGTGCTGAGTTCCATGGATCGTGATGACAATCTGCCTTTCACGTGCCTTTGACGTCCTGAACGATCCAGTAGATAGCATGAAGTCTCTGTACCATGGCGCTCTCGATCATGACTCGGTGAGCGCATGATCTGAGAGAGAGACAGACGTGACCTCACACGCCAGACTCCCTCCACTGTAAGACACGAGCTAGATCATAAAAGCTCCAAACCCACATAGATTGAATCCAATATTTACCTAGATAGTCGAAGAAGACCGCCGCGATCGTTTCCCAAATCGTAAACCAAATCCCCCAATCGGTCTAGAAAGGAATAAGGAAAAAAAATCAAACCCCGGAGTTGGACGTCCGAAACCACCAGCTCCCTCTCATTGCGCTTTCTGGCGCCTAGATCCCAGCCCTCATCATTTAGGCCACCTGCCGGCTTATCATCGTGAACGGCACAATTTCGCCGTTGGAATTTGCTGGGGAGCGGCTGGGCCCTGGGCATACAGTTCCAGAGTGAGGCTGAGTCGAAGATCGGAAAAAATGTCCCTCGGGAAAGTGTTAGATGGATTTACGGCACGGGAAGGTGAGATGTTGGTGGATCGATGCATGATGTATGATGTATGATGACGATAGGAGCGGAGTGGGCCTGAATATCACCCGTTATTTTTTGGAGATGATGTGTTGGTGGAATGACGGCGGCTAGGATGGAGAAGGCTCGAGAATTGCGTTTGCGCTGCTGGGTGTTTTGTCTCGCCGTGAGTGCATTCAGAGAGTGGACGACGAGGGAGAGATTGTGTTGAGGACCACATGTTGCCGGAGAATGAGGGCTTCACGCCGCCACATGATGAGATGGGCTACGCCTGTATATTCACGATATCGAGATCTAAACTATGCGAGAGAATTCTCTCAAACAAAGCAGCAAAGCAGCTGCCGAACTACATGGCCGCGGACCGAAAAAATGCCCAAAAAGAGTTATTGAACAAAACATCGACTGGATTGAAACGTCCCAAATAAATATTCGAACTCCTTCCATGGTTTTTAATTTGTTAAATTGAAAAAGAGGGAGAATTTGCGAGGCCGGCAAAGGGCCATCGCATTTTCTCTCTCCCAAATCTATGCTTCGCAGAACGCCATCCGTGGGTATCGTAGGAAGGGAGGGAAGAAGATCTCGGGCACTCCTCCCGAGACGATAGAAATCGCCTTCGGAGAAAATCTTGCAAGCTGTCGAAGTCATTGACGACCTGACCTTTTCTTTTTATCTTCCCGCTCCGATCAAAAAGTAGACTGTTAAATGAAAAGGAGTAAGAGAGAACTCGAGAGTGGCCCGAGTTTCGGTTTCAAGTGTGTGGTGTTTTTTTTTGGTTCCACCGGATCGGTAGTTCCCCAGGGGTTTCCCTCCCATATCGCATTCCCATCAGTACATAGCCGCCTCATCATCCAAAGCCGTCAGGTTCGTAGTGACGGGCGGATCGCTTCGAGAGCGGGGATCAAAAGATAAGCCCTCAGAAAGCCACAAAAAAAAATGATGGCAGGCTTCCTGCGCCGTCGCTATGCATCGCAAAGAGAAAAGAAAGAAAATGATGAATGGAGAAAGTGTCACAAGGCGGCGGTGTATTCGTAAGGTCATGTGCGCGCTGTGCAACGGCCTGGGTGATGATGACCAGGCGGCAGCAGCGGCGGCAGCAGCAGCGTGGGTGGTGCCGAAGCTTAGATCAGCAGGTATTCCCAGTTCTTCTGCTTCATGACATCGCGCCAGCGCACAGCCGGGAAGTTGGGTTGAAGTCCATCGTTCATGGCCCAGACATCGGCGAGGAGCTCGCGCACGCGGCCCAGTGAGCCGAAATTTGCGGCGTCGCCCAGCAACCCGCAGCGTTCCGCGAGCATGACGCGGAACGTTGAACCCGCGACGCTGTTGGCTCCCGCCATCAACAATGGCCAGGCCAGACTCCGATCGAAACCTTCGGGGCCGGCGGGGATGAAGTCCATGAGCTCGGTGAATTGTTGTACCAGGTGGCACATGCTGGCTTGCGCAGGGAAGTAGCCCGGTACAAGAGTGCACAGATAGATGCGAGCGGCGACACGGAAGACGGCGGTCAGGTTGGTGGTCAGCTGTCGCGGACGGATTGCGCCGGTTGTGTTGAAGCAGTTGGCGACGGGATCGGAAGCGGCTTCTGTTGCGCGGATTTCTTGCGCGAGATACTCGACGTACTTGCACAGAGACATGTCGTGGAGGCCGTCTGCCTTCTGCACATCCAAGCAGGCGATTTCCGAAATCAGGAACATGATTTTGTCTTCGCAACCCATAAGCTCCGCGAGCCCGACCGACTTGTCGGCAAGATTGAGTTCGCGATATGTGTCGGCGAAGTTAGGGTTCTCGCCCACGATGGTCGCACCGAGGATGTCGATCCAAGCGGACAACGTCATGTTGAAGGGAGGTCGCTGATCCAGTCGGGCGGCGCTGATTGCCGCCGAAGGCAATTCGAGCTTGTTCACGAGGTTCACAGCGGCGGCAAAGTGCGAGTACCAGGGAATATCGGCGACGGCGTCGCTGGGTCGACCGACAGTGGTCTGGAAGAAGATCATGGCCAGGGTCGCTTCGAGGGTCGATGTATGATTTGCGTCGGCTTGCAAAGCCGCACACAACTCCTGGATGGCGCCATAGCGATGACGGAGGATGTCGGCGTTGATCTGTTCGCCGTCAACATGCTCAGTCGCCTTCATGTGCTCGGCAGCGACGCTGAGGCAGCAATGTAGATATGCCTGATTTGATTCCAACGCAGGAAGAATCACGTCGGATCGTGCAGAGCCATGCTGATTGACGTCCAGGATCGGGAAGATCAACTTCATGTTCTTGTCGATGAAATGACTTAGCAGGTACTTGTCGTTGTCGTCGACATTGATGATGGTCTCGTGGTCTGGTCCTTGAGGCTCGTGAGGGTACTCGAAGAAATTGAAGTCGACAGGCTCCTCGGTGAACTGTTCTGTCATGCTCTCGAAGTGTTCTTGTTGAACCCAGCTGTCGCCAGAGAACGACTGCACGCCGTTTGCTAGCGGCGGCGAGTGATATGTGCTGAATGTGGAGATGGTCGAGTCTTTCCGGGTCGGGATGTCATTGACGTAAATTTGACGTTCGGTCTTGATGTCAACTTCGTATGGTGATATCGTGGGGTACTGGCCATGTGAGGGAAGGTAAGCTTGAGGTGGAGGAGGCATGGCAAATTGTCCTAGCTCAGGAGTATATTTGAAGTCGCATTCTGAGTAAGGCGAGTCGTGTGAGGGACGCCTGTTTGGAGGGAATGACTTTGCAAAGGGAACCTCTGCCGAGGTGGGTACCGAGTGAGTGAGGCCTGGAGGTGTGCTCGAAGGAAGAGGTAGAGGTTGTGGAGGAGCGGACTTCTTTGCTAATTGTGTTCGCTTGATGATGTTCTTGATGATTTCTTTTTGTTGTTTCCGCTGCTCGGAATTGCTCCACCACATGGGCCGCTTGTAGTCGCAACGAAGTCCCAGGTGAGTGCAGGCTTTACATGACGGCTTGCCCTCCTCACACTTCTTCCGTCGCAGACGACATGTGAAGCACCCTGTGAGTCCTGTCAGTCCCCTCATCCGACGCTGCAACGTTGCCAGCCGTCGCCCAGAAGTTCCCAACCGACGTACCTGATCGTGATCGACGGTGCATAGCTTTTGCCTCGGCAGCAGACATGCCCTTGGTCGAGGCCAACTTGGCCTTGGAAAGGGTCGGAGACACTGAAGGCGAAGACATGATGGCAATGAGGGAGGATGAAGATCAGAAAGAGAGACGTCAAAAAAGAGGCCCTCGAAATCGACAGACGACAGAAAAGAAGGGCAGGGCAAAGCGATATGTTTAATGAACAGGGTACAGAAGCTTGACCAGCAAGCGTGCGACAAACAATAGTGAACAAGAAAAAATGACGGCAAATTAATCAATCGATCAACGACTTGCTGGGCCAGTCCGAGGAATGAGACAGACGAAAGCACCAACCTTATAGTCCAGCGTACCGTGTCCACCTTCGATGTGTGCTGCACACCTAAGTACTGACCGGGAAAAGAAATGCACCATAAATGGCCCTCATTCTATTCTTAGTAGGTTTCGGCCGCATAGCCCATGGGAGGAGGGAGAAAGCCACTGGAGCAGCCCGGGTGGTGGATCCTTTCTTTTTTCCATTTGGGGAACTAAACTCTATGGAGGAAGGAAGATCCATATGTACTAGACTCCGGTACATGATCGTGGTGTGCACGCCTGATGATGATGATGATGAAGGTGGTGATGGTGGTGGTGGAGGAGGAGGAGGAGGAGTCGTATGTGTGTGTATGTGTGTGTGCGCATGAGGCCAGGGTGCTGTGAACGCGAGTGACTGAATGTATGTGCGTGTGTGTACTGTAACCGTGTGTGGAGCGAGAGGAGATCGAAGAAAAAAGGCTGCTAAATTCGTCGTCGGTTTGGAAGGGACAGGGCAGCCTGGAAGGTCACTCTCCACTTTCTCTCCCTCCCAGTGCCTCCCTCTACACCTCTCGAGTCGTGTACTGTAAGGTTATTGGCCGTTGTCCCTCATTATGATACCAGCCAAAAGTACTCTAGTCCTCCAAGTTCTTTCTGTTTGGTGGTGTTTTGTGGTGTTTTGTGGTGTGTCCGGTGGTGGCTGCAGATCTGTCCCGGCCCGCCCGCTCACATGGCCCGTGCCTGGTTCTCACACAACACGCAATTTAATGAAACCTAGTCCCGTGTGCATCCCGTCGACACCACGATCAGCCTAGGTTTCCCTCTAGTTCCTCTCGACTTGTATCGTCCTGTGCTATGTATGGACTATGGCTTGCTTGTGGAGTGCTCGAGGGAGCAGAACAGCCGAACTTAATCCTTGCACGGTAGGCGTGGGCATTTCCTTTGACTTCGGGAGGTTCACGCCTTCGCTCCGCCGCCGTATGTGCATTCCATTCCACCGTAATCTGTGATTGTGCGATTCGTTCGCCCTGCCCCAGACCCATTTTGATTACCTACCCCTGTGACCTCGATTCTGCGCCCCATTCATCTGCACGCATCGTTCTACAGGGCGGGCACGGGCGGCGACCACACGTCGACCACGGCGCACCAACTGAAGAACACTGACGTACTGGAGCATGAGCCAGGCAGCTGAGGCAGCTGAGGCCGCTCAGGCAGATGGGAGGCACGGGACAGTTGAACGAGAGATAGGTTCGGCTCGAGCAGGCATAACGCTGGTCCGCCTCCGCATAAGTTGCGTGCGATGGTCACGGGTGCGCTGGAAATCCCGTGCCCTCTGGCTGGATCGGCATCTCGACGGTTGAGTCCATGTCGCGGTGAAACAATGACTGGGCAGCAGCAGCGTGGCTCGAACCTTGAGGAAACGTTGACGGTGCGTGCGGACGATATCTGTTCGGAGCGTCCCGTGTCCGTCCGTCAACGTGGGGGAGGTCCGATAGAGAGAGCGAAGGTTATGGCGATATGGATTCACTGTGCGTACCTACTTTCACACTCCTGTGGCACGTACCTACGGACAACTGTGTCGGCTCTGCATGGCGGGGGCCAAAGTCCGGTCTCTAGCCCAGCTGTACATTCAGGTTTCAAGATCTGGCATTGACTTCCTGTGCTGCAAGCATGCGCGGCCAAGTGTTCCTCTCTAAAGGCTGTGCAATCTCTGCGCCCTGGCTGCCAGCGTGCAATGTTGTACGTCAGTGGAACGTTCAAGCCGGTCACGACTTGGGCCAGTCGACACAAAGTCGGGTATGTGCTGTGGGATATCTCGTGTGTATCGTACATAAGTGGATGTGGGTCTCACAGAAACAATTCCCCGCCAGGGCCGTCATCATTCTCGAATTGGAAGTCACGGTTCATTTCGAGACTGCTCCTGTCCTACAATAGAACTGGGAACAACGTGAATGTGATGTCAACGAAAGCACTGACCAAAGATGCGGTCGGAATGTGCACTGTGACACTGTGTATGGTCCATGGTCGACGGCGGAGAAAGTCCGTTCGGCCATTTTGTCCATGTGATGGAGAGGCGAAAGGCGTGACGAGTTCTAAAGACAGATGATGCTCCAAGCGCTGAGTGGTGGACAAGACATCCACACATCATAAGAGGTGTGATGAGATCGAAGCCTACATGCGATAGTGTGTGATCAAGCGGCGCCAAATTGGACTGTGATAACGAATCAGGAGACAAAGCCGACCGGGATCCACCGTGCCTACAGACTACGAAATACAGCCTGCATTCTACCATCACCACACACTCACACACACAGACAGACAGACACACACTCACGCACACACACCTCGCCAGACATCCCGGCAAAGGTCGCACGACTTGCTGAGTGCAAGTGCGTTGTGCGTCGTCAAATACCCGGAAGGCCAACAGTGATGACCGTCTCGCTGCAAGGGCCTTTCCTCGCCCGCCTCCACAATTTTCTCAACTCGGCCGATCGCGAGCAAGCGCCGGCGGCCGGTCGAGCGCAGCTCTTTCAAGCAGGGCATTGGTGGGTTTCATGTTTACAGAGTTTGGTCGACCATTTACGCCTTGCTGCACGAAATGTCTTACCACCATGTGAGCATTTTAGCACATGTCCCACTCCCATGTGAGATGCCAGTATCCGTTGGTTGAGAGCATGTGGGCAACCGGATTTCTGATCACCTCGTGTCGGCCTGTTGAGCGGTCGCGATCGAACAGTGGTACACAGTATGCGAATATCCGAGGGGACTGGCGGGCTATGCACAGAGCGACGATCTCCATTGACGCGAGCGCGCAAACATTCTGTGGAACAGATGCTTCCCGCTGACTCGCGGGCGCTACGACCGTGCAACTTTCGAGGCCGCATGTCCAGCGCAATAGTGGAACTCGACCTCGTCGTCATCCCTCGTCGATGTTCGTTGGTCTGCAGAGGACAGAAGGGTCGAGAGCGTTGTTGGCAGCGGGAGGACACGCCACGCCCGATGCTCGTGGCATACCATGTTAAAGCCATGCCCATGTGCTGTGATGTGATGCCAAATCATGGAACCCGCTCCTCAATGCGCCGTTCGAGAAGAAGCAACGAGAATGTTGTGCCACGCCTCACGACCCTACAGTATAGACTTCTTCCGGAAAGTGCTCACTTCTTCTATCACATGGTGGCGGTCTTGGTATTGTGCGCAACGACTCGATTGCTGGCATCGGAACAATGAACGGTGAGAGAAGGATCGCCGTCGTAAGCCATTGGTGGCCAGGCCGAGTTGGCCAACCAAACTTTCTCATCCTCTCACTTTGGTGGCACTACAGTAGTACCATCGTGAGTGGAGATTTCCTCTTGAAAGAGAGGCTGGTGGACGATCGTGCCAGTCAAATTTCTAAAAGCTAGCTCGTGGATCGTGCCCTCAAGGTCCTCGTCCAACGGAAGAGCGATGTCTGAGTGGTGATAGTTCGAAATTGTTCTCAACAGCACGATATTCGCTCAGGCAATAGCGGTCACAAAATCCGTCATGTCAGCGAACATGACATCTGAATTGTGAGGATTTGTCGTCTCCAATACACACATTCCGTCTCGCATTGCACTATGGCCGCACCGTGCTGCGTGACATGGCGTACCATATTCACCGGCACAAATTACTCATGAAATGGGATAGCGGCTAAGCCATTGGGTCAGGTGTCGTTAGTTGCCTGCCTGCCATGAACGGATTGTTCTTTCGTGGACCCTCAATGCGAGCCCGTCCGTCCGTGGTACCATTCGCGATAGACGAGGTCGCCTTCAAAGCGGCCGCGGCTCAAGGTAGTAGCTCGTATGTTGGCGGACACTACTACACCGCAATGAATGAATTCTTCCGGATGGTTTTTGATCTATCGCGTACGCTTGCAAAGTGCACGCCAACGTGGTGTAAGCAAGGCGACCGCTCAGGAAACCTTCCAACGACCGCCCAGAAAGCCTCCGGGCGACTCGTCGGAAGTCTGTTTTCATCGCATCACGCCGGCAATGACACTGCCGCGATCATGCCCTCCTCGGATCTTACCTGCAGCGAGCTGCTGTCGACTAAAGCATTGAACAGGGAAGCAATTTTAAATTGCCTACGCACTATGATGACTCGCTGCATAAGCAACGTGAATCATATCATGATATTGCATCATTAACCCGACGCATCGCGGGCTCCGCGGCTGCATGCAGCAGTCGGCAGCGTCAAGGAGAACCTCATTGTCGGCCGAGTGCCCCCGGCACCAAGTACAAAGTTTGTCTGCGACCGCCTAGTCCGTTGGTGACGATGAGGAGACTGCAGCGAATATGCATACGAAAACTACTGTCCTGTATCTAGGCTGACCTGCAGGTGAATGCCCGTGCATGGAAAGTCTCTTTTTGTCTTTCTGGCGGTCCAAATTAGGAGCAACGATCGTGCCAAAAGAGGGCTCGCATCGTGCCGATGCCCTGCCGAGAAGCCGCACGATGTATCGCATCGCGTACGTGCGTGCGTGCGCATTTCGGGATAGCTCATGTGTACACACAACGGAGTACAGTTTCTCGATAGCGTCCGTAGCGAGGAATGAGAGATATGTCGTACGCCATTGGACTCGGCATCCCTGCGTGAGGCGACTGATAATTTGTACTGCAAGTAGATTTTCGCGATGCGTTTCCTGCGCATGCATTCCACGATCTTTTTGACAGGGGAGGGTAGAAACAAATCAAACCTTCCTCGAGGACAGCAGAACATCGCTGACGGATGCAGTGATGAGGAGCCAAAGATAGCATCTCACCTGCAAAATGCAAACGAGCGACTAATCTCCATACGGCAAGGTGGACAAAATTGCAAGAGTAACTCCAGGCCAATGGTGTGTAGCCGCCGTGGAAGGAGTAACGCTGTGAGTGGCTGTCACCAGTTCCAAGCGGAAAAGCTTTCCAGTAGCACCAAAAGCACCGCCAACAGCACTGCAGACACGCACACCCACCTGCTCTCTGTCCCGTCCAGTCCTGACACGGTGCAGTACGCTACTGACTTCACATGCACACACACGCACACACACGCACACTCTCGCCCACTCGCCCACCACGGCCAAGTCGCATCCAGCTCGTGCAGCATGGAAGGAAGGAAGAGGGTCTGTGATGCGAGGGAAGATGGCCATGATCTATTTGGCGCCCAAAACGGTCTTTTGCACCGCTGCCGTTCTGCAGTCGAGCTCTCGACGACTTGACTGGTTCATGCAAGTGGGACACACTCGCAGGACGACAAACTGATTGGGATCTTCCCCATACAAAGGGCCTGCTCTGCACCCACCCGCACACGGAGACCTGCTGGCGACCCTCTCCATATACCCGTCTCTTTACATGTAACTGCTGGCTCTGCACCACCTTTGGATAGACCTTTAAGATCAGGTCTCCTCCCAAATCAGCCGCGGCGAACTCGTCTGATCGGTTTTTGTCGGACTGACCGTATTGAGCAAGAACAACCATTTTCGTGATGCAGGCCATCACTTCTCACGCGCCCTCGGAGATGCGCGGAATTCTCCGACACAAACCAAACATGCTACCATCACACATCAACCATACCCGTCCTAAATCCGACTTTTTCGAGACCGACTTCGAGGACGGAAGCGATGACGACGAATACTATGATGAGCCAGCATTTGGAAAAGCGAGCTTCGAATCGGTGAGCCGAACATTTTGCCACATACTTCCCTGGTCAATTACTGACACTACGACAGAATGATGACCGAAGGAGAAGTCAGACCACCGTCTCATCCTACAACGAGGTTCCAACACCGGATCCGGTCGTCACCGAAAATGACCAGTTCCAGATGAGATTCACACCCGTGCAAGGCCCTTCTGGTCCTCACCTCTTCCGCTTCTCCTCCGCGTCCGCCGAGTTTGACTTCAAGAATGCGCTACAGATGTCGCCTATTATCGGACCGAAATCCGACCCTTTCCCGCTTGATGATGATACATTTGTCCCGAATGCAACGCCAAGCACAGCCACATTTCTCGGTGGCCTGTCATTTGAAGCTGCCTTCGAACAGACTGTAGATGAGTTCCTAGATGACCCTGAGGCTCACATTAAGTCGTGGTCCACCCAAGAGGTCATCGACTGGATGTACGACACTGGTCTTGATGCAAGTCTCATCGAAAGCTTCGCGCATCACGACATCAACGGAACCGTCTTACTGGACTTGGAATTTGAAGATTTGAAGGAACTAGACATTCAATCATTTGGCAAGCGCCATCAGCTCTGGACTGCTATCTGTTCACTCCGGGGTGACGACGACAATGCTCGCCTTCTTCAGAACGCTAGCCACGACACAAGCAGACCCGGTAGCAAAGCCTCCAGACGATCAGCGAGCCGTACCCGAAGCCGACAAAGCGGCGGATCTCCCGTCGAGAGTGAGCCGCTATCAGCGACTCGACCCGAGTCGGCAGGCGCCAGCGCCCGCCGAGGGCGCATAGAGTCAGACGGCGTCGACAATGTTCTCCCAGCGCAAGCAGTCTCGATCGTCGCGATCGAACAACTTCTCCCGAAGGCGCATCAATGCGCAAAGGGCGAGAACTGCTCGAAATGGAGAAAGCAGCAAAGACAGCTCAAGCGGCTAAAAGAGGAATATGGGATCACTAGGCTCCCAACAGATACAGCTTACGACGGCCGCATTGTCGTTTCGGGCAATTGCGACAGCCCTGCGAGTAACGGAGAAGTTCACATCACCAACCCACATCTTTTACAGCCGTCAGTGCAGGAATGCATCGCCAACATTCCATTCCGCCCAACCTCCGAAGCCATGCCATCCGTGGTTGCGTCATCGGGTCTGTTCGGCCTCGATCAAACTCCAGAATTTGCCATTCACCAAGGCACGCTCGGCCAGCTAGGCAGCAGAGACCCGCAAGACAATGTCAAGCAATTCCTGAACTTTCAACACATGAATTCTCCGCTCGCACCACCAGTTGACGATTTCCCGCTCACTTCGCCGACCCTGGAGATGTTCCCGACGCACGTGCTTGCTCCCTTCCCAGCAGCACAGTCCTACATTCCTGAACCGTCACCGGCCTCGCGTGACCAACCTCGTGCCCTACCTAAGTTGAACATCCCTCGCTCCGCCAGTGCAGGACCACAGGTATCTCAGCCTTTACAGTCGGCTGAGTCGCTCTCATCGCAAGATGAATCACCGTCTCCCGTCGCCGCTTCCATTTACCGTCTCGGCACACCTGCGTCTGAGATGGACGTTCCGTATATCGCTGCGCCGATGGTCGCGCCTGCTCGGGACGCCTCGCAGTCAGTACCACCGAACATGCAGTTCAACCAACCAAAGCGCCTGAGCAATTCCCGCACAAGCAAACAAGATTGGCGCCGCCCCTCAATGACTCTTCCCGCCCTTAAGGAAGGCGAGGTCCTACCCTCCCAAGAGCAACGTAAACCTAGCAATGAGCTCGCCCGCTCCAAGTCGACAACACGGCGACGCACTTTAGACCCGGCCAAAGATGAGCCCGAGACCAAGCACTTTGGCTATGGACCGGATTGTAGCCATGCGGGATGGATGCGAAAGCGCAAGACCAAAATGCTCCGTCACGAATGGCAAGAGTCTCACTTCCGGCTCAAGGGCACTCAGTTGGCAATGCACGAGAACGCTCGTCTGTCGTCGCAGGCTCGCGAGACCATCGACGTCGATAAGTACGCTGTCGCCTGTGCTACCGTCGCCTCAAACAGCAAGCTCAGCGCTGCCATGAAGGTGTTCCACATCAAGATGGCGGACAGCGAGAAGAGCAAAGACAAAGACGACACCGCTTTCGCCTTCCAACTCGTGCCCAATGCCGAGCGTAAGCTGTTGGCAGGTCCCAGCCTGGCTAAGACCCACCACTTTGCCGTCAACTCCAAAGACGATCGCATCGACTGGATGCGTGAGCTCATGCTCGCCAAAGCCCGTCAGCAAAAGGGCAACGGCTACGAAGTCCAGGTCAACGGCCAGGCTGTTGAGGCCTAACCGAACATTTGGTCTTCTCGCTGTACGCAACAATCACGATGGCATCCCCCAACTCATCTTTCAGCGCATTGCATCATATTTTTTTTCTACTAGCCTGGTCTCCGATACCACGGCTGCTACATACCCGACTGCAAAGTCCCCACTTTTGTCACATCTTTGGCGCCATCACTATACCCCTATGCTTGATCTTTTTTTGCATTTATATCATTTACGTAGCTATCGGAAAGGAAGGGCACGGCAAATGGACACATGCCATTTTCATCATCTATCCTTGTTGGAATTCACAGTTGAATTGGGCGATTAGCGAATGCAGAAAAAGGACGAAAAACCTACAGCCCTGACTAGACGCCACCTCACGGTGGAACTCGGCTTGATGCGATTTGAGTTTGTACATACAGACGAATAAAAACAAGATGATCTTCTCCATTTGCTTCCACCATTCTACGCCAGACCCTCAATGTGATGCATGTCTTTGTAATGCGCAGGAGCCTCATCGGCCTTTGTCGAAAGCGCTTCAACGGGGGAGGGGCATCAGCAACTGTGCGTATTTTCGTCGCACGAATGATCCTGGTGGCGAACGATAATCGTGGATGATATCGCAAGCGCGCGCACACGCATTAGACTTCTGATGACGATCCTGACAACGGTGTGTGTATGTGTGGGCGATCACGGAATTTGAGAAAGTGGGTAATCTGTGTTGCGCTCAAAGATCGTCGTCGTGTGGGGTAGAGGAAGGGAGGGATCGAGCAGGGCGCTTAGCAGCGCGTGCGCACCCCGTGCGGCCCACGACAGGGCAAATCGTGAAACTTCGCTCACACACGCCATGTCGGAACCAGTGGAATTCCACTTGTTGTCGTATGACGATCCCTTGCTGCGTGATGCCGGCTGGACTGTTTGGTATGTATGCGGTCATCATCTTCCAAAAGAATGTCTCGCGAGGTGCGTCATGAGCAGTGCGCTCCGAGAGGCTTGGAGCGAATCGGATGCGAGTTTCGTGCAGCCGGGTAACATGGACTCCAGAGCTGTAAACCCATGCGCGTAGCCGCCCAGGGTTTTGGCATACCTCGCCTTTGGCCATACGAGTATGGGTATTTTGTGGTTCGAGGGATTTGCCCTGCGTTCTACGGAAAGTTGGGTCTGGAGCGATGACGAGTCATGGAGGCTACCAGATAATGGTTGGTGTATGGCTTGCAAGAATCATGCGCAAAACATGGGCGATCGTTTGAGAAATGGACCAGGGCTCGACTTCTCAGAATGCAATCTTTCGCTTACGTCCGGTGTATTTGGAACTCGTCTTGACCACTTTGCCCTTGGCTTCCATTTGGGCCTTCTTGCGCATGATCCAGGCCTTGCTGCCCTTCTTCTCTTCACCGCGTTTGCGTTGGCTGCGCATTTCCCGGCGTCGCGCGTCGAGCACGTCCACACCATCCATGCCCTGTACTGCTCCTGTGACGTCTGCACCGCCGACTGTGAGGTAGAGGTAGACCTTGACGTTCTTGGTCTCTGGGTCGTCCTCGAGAATACCGGCACCGAATCCTGCTTTGATAGCGGCGCTCGAGATCATCGTTCGCTGTTGGATGTTTTTGGGGTAGAATTGACAGACGGCACGACCGCCGCGGCGTAGGCTTGCGTAGAGTCCATCAAAGAAGCGTTTCAGTCGGCCTTCCGGCGACACGTCCGAGGTTTCGGCATTGCAGAGCCACTGTATCGCACTAATTGAAACTGCCGCGTCGAATGTTCCTGCACGGAATGGTATGCCTTGTCCAATATCTGCAAGCAACATGTCGCCCTCGACGTCTTTTTCCAATGCCTGTGCCAGCATCGATGCTGAAATGTCCATTCCTACCCAGGTGTGCGGTCCTCCGTCCTCTGGTTCTACGCCTGAGAGTATTTCTCCCGACAAGCCTGAGCCGCACCCAATGTCGAGAATGAAGGAAGGTTCCTGTAGATCGAGGAGTTCAAGAGCACGGTTGGTCATGTCCGCCTGGATGGATTTTATCCGTGAGGAAGTCGTGTATTTGCGAGATTCGACATCGTCGTAGAACAAATCTGGCGGGAGGATATCTTCAGGACGAGACATTCTTGCTATTGATGGCTTCGTGCAACGAGTATCTATTGCTTGCCGACCGCGTGGTGATTATATGGTCTGTTTGCTTGGGAATATCCTCGTAGCAGAAAATGGAAAATACTTATCGATAAGCTGGATAGTGGTGTCGCGCACCTTGCAGCTTTTGCGACCAGGCAAAATCCGGGGTCATCGAAGAACTTTTGCGACAGCTGCAGCTGTCGTCATTTATAGATTGCTTGCGCAGGTGCCTGCGCGTGCCGATATACGTTGCGATTTTGATCATCGCATTGATCATACTCTCTCGAGAAGCTGGACCTACTTCAAAAACACATAGCTGTGGTCTCGTACAGCCGCGATGTGGATATTACCGATCCTGGTAAGATATCCTTACATTGATACACCGAGGCGCTCTTCACTAATCACCATCTCTTATCGGTCCAAAGGGCTATGTCGGCCTCATTTTGGGCTTCATCTTCCTCACACTTGCCATCGCAAGTGGTCTTTATTACCTCTCTGAAGTCGTCGAGGAGCACTCCGTCTTCGCCAAGCGGATCCTGACTCGCTTGATATACGGTCTCATCGCAATTCAGACGCTGCTCCTGGTTGTGGATAGATTGCCGTGGCTACCCTCCCTCGTCAGCATCGCCAGTCACGCGATCTACCTACAAAACCTCCGCCGCTTCCCGGTCGTGAAGTTGACCGATCCGATCTTTGTATCATCCTGCGTACTGGTCTTGGTCAATCACTGGCTGTGGTTTCGACATTTCAGCCAGCCACCAAAATACGATTACAGCCCAGGCCGAGGCGGGAGGTATGACTACTACAACCCGGCGGCTACGGCACCCAACTTTACGGAGATAGCATCGTTCTTTGGCTTGATGGTCTGGTTGGTGCCTTTTGCCTTGTTCGTCAGTTTGAGTGCGGGAGAGAACGTTTTGCCGAGCATGGGGTCGGAGTATGCAACAGGAGCCGGGAGTAGTTTCACGAGTCCCGGTCTGGAGCCGAGCGGTGGCAGCTTGGATGGTGCGAGAAGAGGGCGCAAAAGGGCAGGCACGCACTCCCAAGGAATGGCCAAAGCAGCTGTACACGGAGTCAAGGAATGGATTGGAGAGACGGGAGAACTCTTTGGCTTGTGGAAAGGGGAGAGGACACGCCCCTTATGATAGTAACGATTCTGATGGATGATGGATGATGGGAAAGTTCTGATTTTTTAAAAGCGCGGAGATACCACGGATGCTGTAAGGGATGAACAAGAAATACCAGACTGAGACAAGAGACAGAATGAACAAATTCAGAATGTCGCTGCACCCGAAGAAGAATCACAGTCACAAATGGAATGGCTCACAAAGAAAGAACCCCCCACATTCCGCTCTTCACATTGTGCGATCAGCCCCGTGTTCGCCAGCATGCGCTACTATCGTTCTGCTCCATAAACACATCCCATTCCGGGCATTCCACAAGGGGAGGCCCTTCCTCTGCCAGTGACAGGCTCGCGGGGCATCGCCGCATCGAGTGAGGTTGAGCTTCCGGACGGATCTTCAGAGTCTCGCTTCGCTTTCTTGTAGTTGCAGCCCATGCCGGGCATACCACAGAAAGAGATTTTGAGCCTCAACGGGCCAGGCTCGCGCGGCTCCACTGCGTCGGCGGGAGCCAGAGTCTGAGGTAACTCCTCAAAGCTTCGCTTCGCTTTTCTGTAATTGCAGCCCATTCCGGGTATGCCACAGAACGAGATCTTCAGTCTTAGTGGTTGTGATTCCGAGTCTGGCGCCGGCCGCGAATTGAAGAAGCTCAGCAAATTCGACCACACATCTGATGAAACCGCCAGGTAATCGTCGTCACGTCTGTCAGTCGATACCGTACTGATCTTGCTCTCGGTGGCAAGATTGGCGTTGCCGGGCTCGGTGTTTGACGTTGTTGACTCGCGCTTGCCGACACAGGCAGCGCCGGGGACATCGCAAAATGGTCGATTTAAGAAATTGATGTCTTTGACCATATCGGCAGATGGATCCGGAATTGCTAGAGCTGCAGAGTTCGAGACGAAGCCTGATATAAGGAGCAGACAGGTGGAACATACTGGCAGCAGCATTGTGTGAAGTTTGATGTTGTATTGTTGTCGTTTCTAATGTACGAGTCTCTCATGCACGATGCTGCAGGGTTCCAGATGCTCTAATATATGATGTAAAGCTCTTGATAGAATGATTTCAGGGGAGGAATGTAGTAAAGACAAGCGCGCCTTTTATTGTGGCATGCGTATCGGTAGGCAAACATGTGTCGGCTTGTATGCGTATTTCATCAGGAATTTGGATGTATTGAGCATCTTTGAGAATGGGAAGCAGAAGCGACTATTTATCATTTAATTCCATTCTGAGAAGTGTTGAAATCCTGGTTGATGCCCAAGCTAGAGCATGTAGATAGTGATATCGATGATCGAGAAACATCAACAGACGTGAGATGACTCGAGATAAGCGAGGTAGACAATATCAGAGGGTGTGCGTAAGGTTAATCATTGGCCAGAAAATGTCCGGAACAAGGGGAGCTCTTGTTGAGTGTGGCACTGTCTCGAGTTTGGAAGGCCTCGTCCTTCGCGAAGAAGCAGAGCGTGAGAGCGAAGTCTATCATCTCCCACCTGCAGTCCGAGAGCACTCGATCTCAAGGCTCCGCACTCCGCGCCTTGTTCAGAACCACGACGTGAGCCAGGCTTGGCATAATGGAGCTTAGAATGGAGACTGTAGCACCATTTGCAGACGACAAGCCGTGTATCGTCACACGACATATAGCATTGAACCCTCGATGACTGCATGTGATCTTTCTCGATGGTTAAGTCAAGTCTTGAATGCAGAAGCGCGACTGCGCAGCGCAAGATTGCACATTCCTCGTCGATATTTTACCCTTCAAAATGTGCCTCGACAATTCGACGGGACTGCACATAATTGTGAGAATCCGGTCTTTCTAGCGAGAGAATCTTCACCCTTTGCTGAACTGAGGTTGGCCCCGTGGTATAACATCCGACATGGCAGTCATTAAGCGACGATATGTTTGATGCGAATTCGATTCCCCTGCGTTCCTCGAGTGGGTACGACTTGGGCTGCATTCCTACAACAAGCTCCTCCACGTCAGTAGCGACAGAGGAACACGGACGTCTTTGTCTATCCTCGTGGCCGCCACAACTAGAAAGCAGTATGCTTTGTTGCTCACTAGCCTTGTGAAACCTGTGCCGTGCTGTGTCAAAGGCGCTTATGGTCGCCAATAGGTCTGCAGTGCACGATACTATCTTCGACCCCAAGGACCGTGATCAGCAGGCTTGAGAAACCGGTCGTGGACTGTCGCCCATGAACCTGTTATCTCGTGCCACAAACATCATGCGAGTGAGAATGACTATTTGTACAACATACTCGTGCTTCATGTCGACACTTGAAATCACGATCATTTGAATATTAGCCACGAAATGATGTTCGACTACATGTGTAAGCTTCCCGTGTGCGGACTTCTTGATATCTTGTCAACGACCAGACTGAGTTGCGTGAAGCCATAACAGCTCATGATCTGGAAGCGCGGCCTCGACGACGGGTCTTCACACCATACAGTCGTATAGATCTTCCCGATGATGCCTCGAAACCAATGGTGAGGTCGTGTAGAGCGATAGACCATGAGGATGATGTGAAGTTTCGTGTCGTTCAAGCGAATGATTACGTAGCGGTACTTAGCTCCCCGTTTGGGCAGTTCGTCCGCGCGTGGGAGTGTGGAACAAAAGAGCGGGCAAAAGGCCCTTTCCCAGGCCCTAGAACAAAATTTGTATGAAGAAAAGCCGTCTGGTCTTGTTCTAGCAGCGGCAATGAACGGCGGTGGAGGAGGAATCGTCGTCAGGTCCGTGCTCAGCTGGTCGCCGACGCCATAGCGACAAAGCTGCGCAAGAAGCAAAAGCAACCTTAGATTGATACTGTCTATCCATATTCAACCACCACGACCACCACCATCAACACTCTCCATCTCTTGAAATCAGCTCTCGACACACCCTCGACCCTTTTCGCATATCACACACCATCATGTTGTCCACACGAGTCGCACAACAGACTCTGCGGGGTGCCTCTGCTGCACGATGTACGATCACTGGCCCCGTATCTCTGCGCTGGCACGGCTCATCAGCTTACTGACATTGACCTCGTCAACTCATAGCATACGCGACCATCTCGACTGACATCTTCAAGCCCACCAAGTTCGGTGGCAAGTACACTGTTACACTAATTCCTGGTGATGGTGTTGGCGCTGAGGTCTCAGAATCTGTCAAGACCATCTTCAAAGCCGACAACGTCCCGGTCGAATGGGAACAGGTGGATGTCTCTGGCGTCGAGACAGGTGATAAGCACAGTGAGGAGCTCTTCCGCGAGTCTCTTGCATCATTGAGGCGCAACAAGCTCGGTCTCAAGGGTATCCTCCACACTCCAGTTGAGCGCAGCGGTCACCAATCCTTCAACGTCGCCCTCCGTCAAGAGCTAGACATCTATGCTTCCATCGTCCTCATTAAGAACATCCCTGGCTACGAGACGCGACACAAAAATGTTGATTTGTGCATCATTCGTGAGAACACTGAAGGTGAATACTCTGGCCTGGAGCACCAGTCTGTCAGCGGCGTGGTCGAGTCCCTCAAGATCATCACCCGCGCTAAGAGTGAGCGCATTGCCAAATTCGCCTTTTCCTTTGCGCTTGCCAACAACCGCCGCAAGGTCACTTGCATCCACAAGGCCAACATCATGAAGCTGGCCGACGGTCTCTTCCGCAACACCGTGAAGAAGGTCGGCGAGGAATATCCCACCATTGAGACCAACGACATGATCGTCGACAACGCCAGCATGCAGTGTGTTTCACGCCCACAACAATTCGACGTCATGGTCATGCCCAACCTTTACGGTGGTATCCTTTCCAACATCGGAGCTGGTCTGGTTGGTGGCCCTGGTGTCATTCCCGGTTGCAACATGGGTCGTGAAGTTGCCGTATTCGAGCCTGGTTGCCGTCACGTCGGTTTGGACATCAAGGGTAAGGACCAGGCCAACCCGACTGCGCTTATCCTCTCCGGTGCCATGATGTTGCGTCACCTTGGCCTCGACGACCATGCCAACCGTATTGCAAAGGCCGTCTACGACGTCATCGCTGAGGGTCGTGTGCGCACCCGTGACATGGGTGGTGTCTCCACCACACACGAGTTCACAAGAGCAGTGTTGGACAGCATGGAGTCACAAGCCTAAATGCACAATGTTGGCGCCCAATTCGCCCAACCATCTTGCTTGACTTATGATATAAATATGATAGACGGGGCAAGAGGGACGACCAGAGCGAGAAAAGCCATAATTGAACTTGGCATTGATCGGTTGCGGGAGACTCAACTTGTATAGCGGGCGTTGGCATTTTATATATCCATTACTATGCATTTCCAAATTCGTATGACAAAATAGTTGCCGTTCATTGTTCTTGCCCGCAAACAGCTTCTCTACGCATAGTCGTAGCCCGATTGCCGATGATACTCACGCGGCTTTTCTGTTGACGAGCAGAATGGACCCAATGCTCGGATCAAGTGTGACAAGAAGATTGCACAATTGCCCAGGTGGGCAACATAATAAGCGTTTGGCCACATGGCAACACGTCGCTCCATTTCCAACATGTTCCGTCAATAATCTACATCTGCCCAGGTGTGCAAGCAAGCAGCATACAATAGTTTTACTCTTCCGACCACAGTCACAAAAATCGCTCCCTTGCCAACTCACGCCCTTCCTTTCCCTTTATCCCCAGCGCCGACCTTTCTCCTTTCCCAAATCATACAATAGCTCTCCTCGATCGTCAATAACTCCACGTTCAACTTCTCCACCCTGAGATCCTGCAGCGACCACCATTCCACTTCACCACCGTTCGCTATCGTGCCTTGCCGCACTTGCACCTTCCAGACCTTCCGCTCGGCCTCGCCCTCCACGCTGTCATCTCGCACGCGCACACCCTCGTAGGTGATGTTGGCCACGAGATCGTAAAGGATGGGCTCAGCAGGCGGATGGATCTTGGGATTTGGTTCAACGTACGGACTCATGTCCAGTGCGCGGGGATGGAATGTGACAATTGTTGGGTTCCGCTGCTCGGCGGCACCGGCGCCTGTATTAGAGCCTGCGCCAGGCTGTGTGGGGAGAAAAGAGTTGGCTGCGAAGCGTTTGATGTGCATGATCAGGTATGGAGGCAAAGGATGTTGCAGACGGTAGCGGAGGCGAGTGTTGAAGCGTTCTTGGGAGGTAAGGCCGTTATATTTCTGTAGGATGGTTGTGAGTGGGACTTGCGGAATGAAGTTCTTCTCCACGCTGTCTTGAAACAGCGGAGCGGAAGGTAAATCTAAAGTAAGGATCGTGAAAGGCTTGGTAGAGGAATTTATCTCAGCGTCTTCGAACCGAAGACGATCGCCTGCGTCGGCACGCGCGGTGATTGCTTGTGACTCCACCCGCATAGTTCCTTGGAAAATCTTCTGTATGAGGGAACTCTGGGGCTTGGTCTTGCTCCCGCCGAGAGCAAGATGGAGATTGTTGAGGAACCATCCCAGAAATTCCGCCGGGTCGGATTGTTGGGTTAATGAGTACTTCTTGTTACTTCGCATGGCTATTTCTTGTAGAAGCTCATGCGGCGACACGTGTGATTTGAACGCTCGAGCATTCCAGAGCTTGCGTACTAGGATGCTGAACCGTTGCGCAAGTTGCGATCTCTGGGACAAGTCCTCAAGCAGAAAGAAATTCCTGAGGGGCGCAACGTGCGCAAGCGCTTGCACAACTACGTTCAGATAGTCGTTGGCTTTGATGTTATTCAGACCGACAAATCCAGGGTTGTATTTCTTGCCCTGAAGGTCCCAGGCCTGCTTGAAGTCTTTGTCTAATCGTTTGACATCATCCAAGGGGAATCGTGGATCAACAACCACCTTGATGTCGTCAAGACTCTGATTTTGGACCTCGTAGCCCTCCGGTAGAATGTAAACCTTCTTTGTCTCCATGTTTATGTACACATGGTGATCCTCTTCCAATGCATGGAAATATGCAGGGGTCTTGGGACCGCGTCCCGAGAAGTATTTTCCACAGGTCAGACATGCGTAGACATTGAAATTGACCAAGGTTACCGAGCAAACTTTTTCAAAATCGAAGTCAAGTCGGATTCGTGAAATCGTATCGAGGTAGAGATCGGAGAAGCCTTGTAGCGCCGTCTTTTGTCGCATAGCAGGTTGGTCATCCTCATCCTCGTCTCCTTCTTCAAACTCTCCGTTCATCTCTTCGCCGATTTCTCCAATCTTTCGCTTTCCGTTCATCCTACCCGACGGCGACAGTGCAGTTTCCTCTCGCAAGGGAGGATTGCGCGTCTCGCCATGGTCAGTATGCGTCGAATATTGCTGCGCTATGTCATCAGGCGGAGGTGGTGGTGGTTCATCAGCACTTTGCATGCGGGACTTCTTGATTACAGGTGAGTTTGTTGTAGTGGCTTCGAGTGCGTCTTCTGCTCGCCTCTTCGACATGTTCGCGTGTTGAGTTCCAGCTGCTATGAACGCGGCTTGCAAGCTTCGAAAGTGACGTCCATTTGCATGCGAGCCAAAATTTGTATGGAGGCTGCTTACAATGGTCAGGCAGCTTCGTCACCAGCGAACAGAGCAGGGCACAGCAGCAGCAGCAGCACCGTCGCCGCAGTGAATATATTACAAGCCTTCACAGATCTTGCCACGGCGACATACCTACTGTTAATAAAAATAATATTACACCGCGATCAGAAACACCAGCATCAGAGCGTTCATCACGAGAAATATTCACGTGATGAACCCGATGGTTGCCCTGCTGCGATCGGCGCAATGAGGGCCCTGAATTCCAGCCGCTCGCCGCCCTGACTCGCGTGGTAGAAATTCGCGGGTCCGCCATAGTGGTGGTGTTGCTGTACAAGAAATTTGAAAAGCTCAAAGACCACCACGTGCACAACTCTCACCGAAAGTACAGACAAGATGGTACGTCAAAGCGGTCGTGACCGGTTACAAGATCTTCAGCTAACAAACACCACAGAGCATTTTCGCAGCCGATACACAAGAGGAGCGAGGCGAGCAGGCTCGTCTTTCCGCCTTCGTTGGTACGTAATGACCTTGTTACTGCTTCAATTCGACGAAATTTGCTGACGGTGATTAAAATTTAGGCGCCATTGCTATTGGTGATCTGGTGGGTTTATCAAAAATTGCAAACTGTCGGATACAAGCAAACTCTAACAACGGGATCGATTAGGTCAAGAGCACGTTGGGTCCGAAAGGTCAGGACAAGATTCTCCAGAGTGCTTCAACCGGCAGCATCCTTGTGACCAACGACGGCGCAACAATTCTTAAGAGCATAGCTTTGGACAATGCGGCAGCGAAGGTGCTTGTGAACATCAGCAAAGTACAGGATGACGAGGTTGGAGATGGCACAACGAGTGTGGCCGTTCTAGCAGCAGAGCTATTACGAGAAGCAGAAAAGCTCGTCGATCAGAAAATCCACCCACAAACGATCATCGAAGGCTACAGAATAGCCAGCGCCGCGGCGTTGAAAGCTTTGGAGGAGAGTGCAACCGATCACAGTGCCGACCCAGTGGCTTTCCGACAAGATCTAATCGCCATCGCGAGAACGACGCTGAGCTCGAAAGTGCTCAGCCAGGACCGAGAGTACTTTGCAGAGCTTGCCGTCGATGCAGTGCTCCGCATGAAGGGATCGACGGACCTGACACACATTCAGATCATCAAGAAGGCTGGCGGCAAACTCTCCGACTCATATCTTGACTCAGGTTTCATTCTTGACAAGAAATTCGGAGTAAACCAGCCCCGAAGGATCGAGAATGCCAAAATCCTCGTTGCAAACACTAGCATGGATACGGATAAAGTCAAGATCTTTGGCGCCCGAGTGAAGGTCGAAAGCACAGGCAAACTTGCGGAACTTGAGAAGGCCGAGCGGGAGAAGATGAAGTCAAAGGTTGAGAAGATCAAGGCCCATGGCATCAACTGCTTCGTGAACCGACAGTTGATCTACAATTGGCCTGAGCAGTTGTTTGCAGATGCTGGCATTGCATCAATCGAGCATGCGGACTTCGACGGTGTCGAGCGTCTGGCTCTAGTCACTGGCGCAGAAATCACAAGCACATTCGACCACCCTGAACACGTCAAGCTTGGGCATTGCGATCTGATCGAGGAAGTCATCATTGGCGAGGACTCTTTGATTCGTTTCTCCGGCGTCGCTGCCGGCCGTGCGTGCACAGTGGTTCTTCGCGGCTCGTCTGAGCAACTGCTTGACGAGGCGGACCGCAGTCTGCACGACGCTCTTGCCGTCCTGAGTCAAACTGTCAAGAACCCGAGGACCACCCTTGGTGGCGGTTGTGCAGAGATGCTCATGGCAAAGGCTGTGGACCAAGCTTCACAAAATGTTGCCGGCAAGAAAGCATTAGCAGTGGATGCATTCGCTAAAGCTCTGAGGCAGCTGCCCACGATTCTCGCCGACAACGCCGGTTTAGACTCAGCAGACCTTGTAGCTCGTCTACGTAAAGCCGTCTACTCGGGCATGTCATCATCCGGCCTAGATCTCATGAGCCCTGGCGGTGGCATTGCCGACATGCGACAGCTGGGTGTGATCGAAAGCTACAAATTGAAGAGGGCCGTGGTGAACAGCGCGAGCGAGGCGGCGGAGCTACTGCTTCGCGTGGACAACATCATCCGCGCAGCCCCCAGGAAACGAGAGCGGATGTAGAGACCTTTGAACGAGGTTAGTTAGGTACGAATCTGACGAATGAAAATGTCATGAACGATGCAGAGGAGCCGGGAGACTGCTGCAGATGCAGGGTCGTGTTCGTGGGGAGGCAATGTGTACTGAGCCATGAGCTCGGGAGCTGACCACACATGCGCGGTCCAGTCTCTTGCGTCGTAAAAATTTGTCAAATGGAGCTTAGTGGTTCCAACGTAGAAACACCTTCATGCATTGCGGAACGAGCAAATGATGTCCAAACTTCGCCCGGGAGAAACTCTCTCGTACCGACTGATACGAATACCGATCCAATCCATTAGCGTCCGCAGAGGAATTACCAATGATGTTGCGCGAGAGCGACTGACTGACTCGTTCGAGTCACGACAACATGCGCATGTGATATACGAGTCCGACAATCGTACGCCTTCGAACACCACTCGAACATCAGTATTTTACATACGACCTATCGCAAAAGATTTGGTAAGCTTGAAGTCGTGGCATGCAGGTGGTAACCAGTCACATAGTTTCGAAGGTTGCTAACGTTGGCTGACTAAAGACATCGTGGAACCTGGCCCTCGGCTGTCCTACAGAGGTCGACGTCTCCTCATACAAAGGACAAACAACAGATATCAAAATGGCGAAGAACAAGATCACGCTCTACCTCGACGTAGTCAGCCCGTTCGCGTATATTGCATTTCACGTCCTGAGGGTATGTCTATAGATGGTCCGTCGTAGCATATATGGCGCTTGGACATGGGTCGATGGCTGTCAGCACTGCTGCAGCGAAACTGGCTCTGCATGAGGGAAAAGCTCGGAAGCTTGACCTGGCAAAGACATTGCTGTAACAATCAGGGTTGAAATAAGGTGTTACCGCCATCGGCCTTGAAAATCAAGCTAATCTCGAAATCACAGACTTCACCGACATTCGCGCAATGCGAGATTAAGTATGTGCCAATGTTCCTGGGCGGCATTATGCAGGCAACTGGTAACACGCCGCCAGTTTCAATCAAGAGTACGTATTAGAGAGCCATCATATCTATCACACATATACTTGAGACGACGGGTGATCATCTGACAACTTCAAAAGACAAAGGTGAATATACCTCGAGAGAGCGCGAGCGATGGCAGAAGTACTTCAACGTACCCATGAGCTCAACGATGCCTTCTCCTTTTCCACAAGTGACCATCGTTCCCGATCGGGCGCTCTGTTACGTAGAAAGCAAACATCCTGAGAAGTTGCAGGATGCCATCCAAGCGCTCTACAAGGCCTTCTGGGTTGAGACCAAGACTATCAGTGACCCAAAGGTCGTCGCCGGGGCCTTGGAATCGGCGCTCGGCAAAGCTTTGGCTGAGGAAATCATGGCTGCGGTGGGCAGCGAGCCGGTCAAGGCTGCTCTGAAGGAGAATACCGATAAAGCGTTCAAGGATGGATGCTTCGGAATTCCCTTCTTTGTCGCGACCAACACCAAAGGCGAGACGGACACCTTCTGGGGCGTAGATCACATTGGTGTGCTGTGTGATCATCTTGGCCTCGAAGTCAAGAGAAAAGAGGGGGGGTTTCAGGCGTTGCTTTAAGCGTGATCGGCTCGTATGTAGCTTTTGAAACAGCAGTCCTGATAATGCATATTCCCATAAGCCAGTGACGAGAGTGTATGGTGTCGAATTCAATTTTCACATTGTGACGCCGGGTCGTTACATCGCCTGGTTCAAGTCGGGTATAGGCTAGACGACACCTCAGCCGTGCATGACAACCGTGATATGAAGGAATCCATCAGTATAGGCTGCTGCCTTTCCCAGATCTCCCAAACGCGCCACCATCGGTAGAACTGCGCCATGCAATACTGGACGAGCAAAGATAGGGTTTCGTTGACTGGGAAATATTGTAGGCAGGATGGTCTTTAATGCAGTCCCTAGCGTTTGGGGCTGTTTAGACGTCAACAAGAGCGGTACGAGAGACTGTACGACTCTCAGATGGCCCGGAGATGGCTCCTCCTGAATGGTCTCGGTCGCGGGTTGTCTTGCAGAGGTGGGTAGATAAATCTTGATGGGAACATGACGAAGTTCCATCCCAGGTGGGTTGAGGAGCTTGTTGTTTATTTTGTTATATAATTGCAGATCGTCTAGAAGAGTCGTGAGCTATGGTTTAATCACTATGATGATCGCCATGCAGCTTACGTTCCTGGACAGCTCGCCAAAGATCGTCCGAATCATCCTTGCTCAGCGACATGAATGTCCTCGCGGTACCGTTGCGAACGAAGTCGGCTTCTTTGACACTATTCACATAAGTGTCCTGTATCGTCTTGCCCTCGGCATCCAACGCTATCAATTGGTCGAAGGGAAAATCTGTGTAATGTATTGTCAGGCGCCATGGAATTGTGGAGGTCAGAGCAGCAGTCGAGTCGGCAGCAACATCAAGGCTGCCCACTTCATGTTGTTCGTCGAATCCAGCAGGCTCTGCACCAGCAAACAAATCGTAAAGAAGGCCAAGGGGATAATGCCATTTCAGAGGCACACCCTGAAACGAGAGCCATGCGTCATGCACCGACAGATCTGGATTTACCAGACTCGGCAGGAAGAATGCATGCAGACGCGGTAGCAGAAATGCCAGGTAAGATAGTCTTGGATATTGAATGAGATATGGCTTTGACTCTTCGAAGGTGCGGCAATCCGACGGTGACAATCTGATTTCTAGGGTCAACGATCCGTTCCACACTTTTGATTGCAGCTCGGTGATGCCGACGGGTGATTTCGGCATGATTTCACGTCACGATGCCGAAGTCGAGGGTACATTTACGGCTTCTCTGGCAGTGGCAATATCATTCTGTTGAGATGGCGCAGGTTTGTCTGTGTCTCCGAGTAGTCGAAGTTATGAAATCGCCAGTCGAGGTCATACTGTGGTACCCACTCATTCACCTGATTCACCAATGTGCCGTAGTGGGGACAAGCATTACAGTAGTGTGGCTGATGACTGCTGGGGACCTTGTTTTGCCTGAGGCATTCAGAGCAGCCATGGTGGACGTCGATCTCGCCACGTGCCCGCCAGTCCAGGCTCTCTCCCGAGGTGCTGCACTCTAGAGCCGCTGCCTCTGCGACACATGAAATCATCCCGGAATCAACGTCCGACAAGCTGGAAACTTCCAAAACGTCCTTCTTATGGGAATTAATGAGACCAACCTTGCACACACACCGATACTGGCGCTCAGATGCAGCTAGCTATGGTCTACATGTGTCGTCTGCGGGGACTTGCTGTTCTTTCGTGCGATCATTCTTGAACGTCGATTCGTCGCCAACATTCCCGATCCAGGCACTAGAAGAGTGATAATCGTGAACCACGTGCGTCTTCTTCAAAGAATCGAGGGGTACAGTGTCTCTGCGCGCACAGCGCTGTCTCCGTTCAAGCCCGTGGGGAAGGTTTTAGCGATTAAAGGCCGCACAGCCTTCAGACTTATCACTACTTCCTGGACACAGCAATAGAGCGCCAACACTGGTCTGAGATAAGTTGATATAAGTCTGGTAATATGCGTATCCGCGGGCCATTATATAGTTGTATGACTTCCAGGAATGCCATCGCATTAAAACAGCAACAGCTGGACTTGATCGGTACTCTACGGCTGCCACGCTGCAAAAGCGATGGGGTCTGTGCGTCGGTATCACATCATACTACTGCACCAACACTTCTTGCCTGTTACTAGTAGTATCGAACTGCGGCAGGAGGGTTTGATAATGATGATACCGCCCGGGATGATTTTCCTGCGATTTGTTCCTTAAGTCCTTGGAAGAGCGTGTGACACATGTACACGTACATCGGATCCGCTGCTCTGCGAGTCTCTATCACTGCTTTTCGCTCGGGACGGCGCCGCAAGGGATTACGAAAGCGCTTGCAGACCTCCCTGGACCGTCTGTGGGATCTCCATCTCCAAAATCCGCAGCATTCCACAGGACGATCGTCGTTCGCAACCCCCGAAAAGGATGAGCGGATATTGCTGACTGCACGTCACTTCACTGCTGTGCCGAGCTACGCAACGAGCAGATACAGATATAGATCATGGCAACAATGGTATTGCCCGCCCGACCTGACCCTGATGAATCGGCTTTCATTTGTGACAAGTGCCACAAGTGCTCTCCGCGACGTGAGTGCCCTTCCACTCACCGAATCTTACAAGCAGAGCAGGACACAGTTATTGATGACTGTTCGCAGGCGATCTTCTCGTCAGACACAGGCGTAGGTGTCAAGGTCCTCCGAAGCCACTCGCCAGGCGCAAGGCTTGCAATTCCTGTGTCCAAGCCAAAGCCAAGTGCTGCTACAGTCTCCCAACTTGCTCTCGTTGTGTGAAAAGGAATACACCTTGCCATTACGAATCGACAGCTTTGCACTCCGAAATTCTACCGAATAGGTCTACGATAGGGGACAGGAGTGAAAACAAGACCCCCATGCTTCTTGCCTACAGCGCAATGGATCCCCTCAATACACAGTTCTGGCCGCCCGGAATGACGCCCTGGGATGCGAACGCTTTCCATGTGCCGATCAACGTGCCTTCTGATGACGTCTCACTGACTGCACCTCTGGCTCAAGGGCCATTTGCCACAGGAGACTATCCTTATCTCATTGGAAAGTCCCTTTCTGAGATCGAAGATGGTTTGGCTCTATCTTCTGACCACGCCATTATGTCGAGTCTCTATTCGACAACATCTGATCTCCAGGACTTAGGGCCAACCGAGATTGTCCCTCTCCAATCATCCAATGGATCACATTCGCACTCACCTACAGACGATGAGTCCCGCGGTTCCCCGTCGAGCATGGATCGCATAATGTCCTCAACTAAACCCCGCGATCTTGTCATGATCCTTCACGAGTATACTTCTCTGTTGCTCAAGGACTCCTTCCAAACACCACTATTACATTTCACCATGTATGGCAACGAGAATGCCGACATCACCTTATTGCCCCTTACCACAATGGCAATCTCCTGTGGTCGATGTCTTGTCCACGGAGAGAGCATTGCGTTTATGAGGCGCGCTGTTGAAGGTGAGCAGCAACGACTCATCCAACAATATGTAAGTCATACACGTCCTTCCGCATTGTCCCGATGCTGGAGCACAAAGCAAGAAGATCCAGGAAAATCCATGCATGCCTAGGCCGGATCTCGTGCTGATCAAAACTGCAGTCGAGTTACAAATGCATGAAACAGTGGGATGCACTGCATGCTATGATTTTGTATGTGACCATCGAGCTACAAAACTCTCTTAGAGACATCGGTGAGAACTGGAAGCCTCGCCCTCGGGCTTTGGGCCTGCGTTTGCCATTCATTCGAAAAGTGAGTCGATGCCTTAGCGGATCCGGATCCGTGCTCATTGTTATCCAGTCGATACACAGTGTTGCGCCATGCTGACTTATTCGCAGATGGCTGAATGCTATGCTGCCAATTATCCGAAGCTTAATCGCTCAGACGTCCACGCTTTCGAAGAAGTTTCGAGCGCACCGGATACCACCAACAAGGGCCCCTGGCATCGATGGGTTATCACGGAAGCCGCAAGACGCACGCTGTTCATGCTCAATATGGCCAATTGGTTCAGCTGCTTCGACCTCACTACATGCACTCAATCACCATACTACGAGCCTCTTTGTGACGACATCGTCTTTGGCTTACCACTACCCTGCAGCGATGCTCAGTGGCTTGCGTGCAATGAGATGGAATGGCGGACTGCAATTCAGTCGGAAGAGCTGCGGTATTTCAATGGCGCAGAGACCAGTGCAAATGGCGTCCACGTTCGCCGGGCCGAGTACACACTCTCTGATGCGTTGAAGACCAACCCGGTTACTGATTTTGAACGCCATGCCTCTATCGGGCAGACCGGAGTCGATGCTCAGCTTGGCCGGAAGCCTGGATTTGCCAGTTCCGAGCAGCTGCGCAACCTCATTATTCTTGCTGCGCGCTATCAACGCCCGCAAGCAAATTCTTGAAGCTTAAGAATGACGAATTTGTGTTCGTTGCACTCGCTCGCAAAATGCCGCATGATTATGTGACATTGACGTGAAATTGGTCGGAAAGCAATCGAAAATGACCAATACGTTTGTCACGTGTACGTGACTTCGTCCTTCACACCAATTGAATACTGCATCCGTCAGTTCCACTTCGCAAGAATCTACCCGAAGTGAGCAAGATTGCCCACGAGGACAGCATGTTGCAGCACAACCAGAGTGGATGGCGACCCGCGAGGAGTATATACGTCTTGGACTTTGAGGCACGTTGTCGTCTTTCATGCATGAAGCCTGGACCCTGACCAAGAAGTCCGGTCGGAGCTCGGTGGACCATGGTAATCACAGGCTGGTCGACATTTATCGTCGCGAAGTATGCAGGCACGTGGGAAAGGAACTGATACTGTACGTACCTAGATAGTTGGGACGTTGGAGACTGATTGCCTGCAGTCCCCGAGGCCGGGGTTAGGTGTGTTTAGGGTTGCCAAACGATCTATCATCAACCCTATTCAGACATTGGGCTTAGCCCTCCAAGCTGGATTCCCATAAGCAATAGCTGTATAACACTGGCGTTCTGTATCTCATCAAAGTAGAAGCTCGGCAATTCTCGCTCAAACCCGCTTCTCTCCTTCAACAGTCGCGCAGCTTAAGTATATCGATAGCTTGCACGAAAATGGCGACCTCACTATTACAGGCTCCGACGAATGCGACACCAGAGGTCACCCTCAACCTCAAAGAGCACGCCCCCGAATTCTTCAAGTCGCAACGTAACTGGGGATTACCCTGGCCATTGAACCTCCTCCTCAACTCCGAGTCCCAAGAGAAATGGCAGATCTACGAGAACATCCTCCTCGCATGTCTGCGGACGGGCGATAATGAGTCTGCATACTTGTGTCTGGAAGAGCTCACGGATCGGTTTGGGGTGGAGAACGACCGCGTCTTGGCTCTACGAGCTTTGTACAAGGAGGCCACGGCGAACACACAACAAGAGCTGGCCACCGTCATGCAGCAATATCAGGACATGCTCAAGGAGGACCCATCAGTCATCTCGATTCGCAAGCGGAGAGCGGCGCTGCTGCGATCGACCGGGAAGATCCCTGAGGCCGTCACTGCGCTGACGAACTTGGTCGACACGCTCCCAACGGATCCCGAAGTCTGGTCCGAATTGAGCGACGTCTACCTCAGCCAGGGAGCTTTCGAGCAGGCAATTTACAGCTTGGAGGAGGTCCTTCTCATCTCACCTTACGCATGGAACGTGCATGCCAAGCTTGGAGAGGTGCTTTACTTGTCCGCCGACAGGCTCGAAGGCGAGGCGCAACGCAAGGCACTTGCCGAGAGCATGAGGAGATTTTGCCGTAGTCTTGAGCTATGCGATGATTACTTGCGTGGATTTTACGGTCTGAAACTGGTAAGCATTTTCGCTCATAACATATCTCTCCACCCGGATGTTTTGCTAACTGTATGTACCAGACGACAAGTCGCTTATTGCAGAGCGCTGAGTCAGCTACTAGCGGATCACCTGCACCTGCGACCGCTACAATTCAGAAGCTAAACGAACTTGCCACTGCGAAACTCGCCGAGATTGTGCGAAGAAGCACATCTGGCGAGAAAGATCGGGACGGCTACAATCAGACCGAGATCCTTGCCGCTCGTGCCCTGCTAGCCCAGTCCACCGCAGCGATTCAACGATGAAAAACCTCAAAACTTTGACCCGAACGCTTTAGTGGTATCTAGAGAACAGAATAAAGCGCTTATCGCGCCGATGGGTCTCCTCCCGGTGTCCCTGCAAACTCGGTAGCTCAGCTCATAGCATGTGCAAAGACCTTGGTTGCCAGTTCCGAGAGCAAACGCATCTTCTCCGGCTGCTCCAACTCCTGGAAGACCGCGTACACGCTCTTGCCCTTCTTATCTCTAATCGCACCGAGCCGATTGCCCGCGACAGCCCCAGCGACAGCTCCAGGGAAATTGGCCACAATGAAGCCCATGGCTCCTCCGCTGACACTTCCCACGACGGACCAAAACGCATTGTTCGGACGATTATCTCCTTCCGCCATTCCCTCGTCGCGCATCATCTCTTCAAAGACACTTCCGAATTGTTCGTTGCTGTAGGTGTTGGCCTCGGCTTCGGATTTCGCATTGCCACCAAATCCGAACGTCGACCATGGGAAGCCTCCTGCTGTCGAACCACCGCCCGCTTTCGGTCTCGGCACTTCTTCATCTGCCTCGAATGCCGATGGATTGGGTCTGCTGGTGCCGGCGCTACCGCCGAAACCATGGAATTGATTGCGGGAGAGGTCGTAGTCGCGTCGGCGACCTGGCTCGGAAAGAGTGTAGTAGGCATCGTTGATTTGCTGGAATTTTTTGGTGCGCGTGCTGCGTTCGGGACTGTTGGCGGGGACGCGATCAGGGTGGTGTCGCAGAGCTTGTCTAGAAGTCAGGTTAGAAAAGATATTATCTTCGATGCAACGTATAAACTTGGTATCGCACTTTTTGTAGGCGTCCCTGACTTGTTGCTGTGTCGCTTTTGCATCTATCTCGAGTGTCGCATCTATCTGCTTGTGAATAACTCGTCAATCTGGCCAGGATCGCAATTGACCTACAGTAGTCAACGGGTGGAGCTGTGGTACAAGTCAGTTTCTGTGTCTGATCACTTTCTTGCATCCCCGCATCGCCTTACCAGACATCTTTGCCAGACAGTCGCGGCGCAGTGTATGATAGATATAAGAGAAAGTATGCAGGAGTAGGAGGATTTACAGCCGACGTCGAGAATTAGGTATCCTGTGGTATTCTGAATTCCGATCATGCGCGACGCTGCTCGTGGTGGTGTCGCGCTGCTTTCTCGTCCAGGACGCCAAACTTACGTCATCGCTTGCAAGATGATCGCGTGCAAATGGTGGTGCCTGGCTGCGGAGCTTCGAAGGATTTCTCGTGGCTATGCCCAGGTGCCATTCGAACGGGCCTGGAATGAAGAATAACATATATGTCAAACAAAGGACTTTCACCTTCCAACTCTCTTACATTGCTAGCATTCACGTCATGTTTCGACGATCCCTCGACTCGAGACGGCGCAATCGTTCTACCTACAGCACAGAATAATCATACAGCCGAAGCAAAGTTCCTACAGCTCCTCGATGCCTTGAATCAATTTCTGCAAGCTGGCAGACTCGTCTTGAGTTCCACAACGGAGCTCTTGAGTGAGGCCAGCAAGATACCCAACTCTTCGTCTTCGTTCCTCCATCTCCATCATTTTGCTTCGTCTGCTGGCCTCCGCAAGTAAACTCTTAGGCAGCCCAACCATCCTCGCAACATTTAGGCCATAGCTACGATGAGCGACGCCTTCCGCAACTTCATAGAGAAAGGTGACATTGTCGTCTTCTTCCGTAAAGCTCATGTGCACATTCCGCAGCTCCCCGCTTGCAAAGGAGTCTTGCATGCGCGCGAGCGTCTGATAGTGCGTGATGAACATAGTGAGACACTTCTTTTCTGAAACGAAATGTTCAAGCACCGCCTGAGCAATAGCCACGCCGTCGTGGGTTGATGTGCCTCTGCCTAACTCGTCGAGAATGACTAGACTGCGCGGCGTAGCTTGTTTGAGGATGTCGCTGGTCTCTCCCACCTCGACCATGAAGGTGCTTTCACCCTTCATGAGGTTGTCTCCTGCACCCATTCGAGTGAAAATGGCGTCTAAGAGGCCCAACTCGACGGCCTCCGCCGGAACATAGGATCCGATCTGCGCCATGATTGAGATCAGAGCTACCGAACGAACGTAGGAAGATTTACCGCCCATGTTCGGCCCTGTAATCAGCAACGCGCGGTTGCGTGCTGCGTGAAGGTTGACGTCGTTGGGGACAAATGCACTGCTCGTGATGCTCTCAACCATAGGGTGCCGTCCCCGAGTAATCGAGATACTCGCTTCGGGAGAAGTAGTGAAGCACGGTTTGCAATAACCCGGTTGCTCTGCAACTTTGGCCAACGAGAGGAGACAATCGAGCAATGCAAGCGACTGAATGCAGTCGCGGAAGGATTGGTATTGCAGGGAAATCTCAGACAATAGATCGGTAAAGGCCGAGTCGCATGCATTTGAGAGCGCCTCCTTGTGTTGATCACGCTCCCTGATCCATTTCACAACCTCGGGCGCATGATATCGGCTCAGCTTTTTCGTACCGGAAATCTTCGACCAAGAAGCTGGAACCTTTCTAAGTTGAGTGTTGTCGACCTCAATCAGATAGTCAATCTGAGCGACTGTGGCGTATTCGACAGGCCTCTTGAGTTGCAGCTTCTGTGCTGCGACCGCTCGAAATTCATCGAGATCATGCTCGACTGCAACAATACCAGCTTCGTGCTTCTTCATATCTGCCGTCGCATACTCCGGGCGCAGAAAACCGTACTTGTCGTTCGATCTTGCCGCTTCCGCGTTGATCCTTTCCAGGTATTGTATAACGTCGTCCAAGATGCAAGGCAGAGAGAGAATGGCCTCAGAAAGTTGAGGAGAGTTGAATCCGGTGTCTTTCGCGGTCGTAATACCTGCGTACTCCTGTGCGATCGTTTGTAGAGACTGCAGGAATGCTAGAAGCTCCGGTCGAGTGCAGCGCTTATAGTAAATACGAACAAGGCTTCTCTCGAGGTCTGCCTTTGTCTTAAGCAAGAGACTGCCTATCCTTTCACGATTGGTAGCGTTGTCGACGTTCACAAGCTCTTCCACAGCAGCCACGCGCTCATCCAATCTGACTCGATCAAGCAGCGGTCTTCCAATCCATTTTCGTAAGAGACGATGACCGAAGCGCGTTTGTGTTTGATTCATGGACCAAAACAGACTTCCGTATTCGGTGTAGTCGTTTTGATTACGGTAGATCTCCAGGCTTGCGAGTGTGTTTCCGTTGAGCAGCATGTGAGAGCGCGAACTGAATGATTGGAAGTACTTTGTCAAGTCGAACACATGCTGTAGTCCATAATCTGACAGATGCGTGATCATTGCCGAAAGGCATATCGTGGCATTCTCGGAAAGCTTGTGTACTTTGTCCAAAAGTGCACCACTCTCCAACGACGATTGCAGCTCGGTGAGAGATTCGCCATCAGGTTTGATCTTGTCCGCATAAAAACGTGTTATGTGGGAATATGCTTGTGCCGCCATGGTCTTCGGCTTGTCTACCATTTCAATGCGAGCATCGCCGCCACCACATAAATGATCGATGATTTTCTTAGTGGAGGCCGATACTTCTCCGACGATGAGGAACTCGCAGGGCGATATGTGCAAGAGCCTGGTTTCGAGCTCGCTTCGCATCCACGCGTCTTCAAAGTCATCGTACACAATGTCTCCAGTCGCCGGCTGGACAGCAATGAGACCGATGCGGACCTTCTCGTCAGATCCGCTGCCCTTGGGATAACTCTCCGTAAGACATAACAGGAAGCCCGTCGTGGGCGCAGCCGCGCTGATAGCTGCCAGTTCTCCGTCTAGACTTTCTTCATCGTCTATGCCAAAGGTGCCCTTGGTGTAAAGATTGGTAAGCCCTCTTTGGAAAAGTTTGTTTCTTGTGCTACCGACCGCCTTCAGTGCAGCAGTCTCAAGCTGCCTCACGATTCCAACCTTGTGTCCTGCCAGGACCAGACGCTTCGCATGGACCTGAAGACGATGCGTAGGGAAGCTTGCCGACGCAAATCGCACAGACTTATTTTCGTCGAAATGCTCATTGAGGTTAAATTTACCCGGTATGCATACGATCGAAAGCTCTTTTGCGGCCTTGCGCGCATCCTCACCGTAAATTTGAAACTTGTATCCCACTTCAATGATCAACAGGGTATCCCGATATTTTCGTTTCAGCTCCAAAACCTCCTTCTGTAGAGGCGTGAGTTTCCCAGGGGTTTTCCTAGCTGGACGACGAGAATTCCCACGGTATTTCCCAGAACTCTCCTCTTCTTCCTCATCGTCCTCCTCTTCATCTTGATTCTCGGTGGAGTGGTCGTCGATGGGCTCATCTTGAACAGCACTGGTCTGACGTTTTAAAATTGCAAGACTAGCCGAACCTCCTAGCTTCCTGACAAACTTCTCGTGCAGCTTTTCTTTTGTCCGTCGAACTGCTTCATCTTCGTCCAGCCTTATCTCCGTTCCATGACCCCGAGCATTGTTGGAACCGGTAAATAGGTATTTGGACGTTCGGTCGGTAGCATTCGTTTGCTTGCCAATTCCTATCGCAACGTCCTCTTTTGTTGAGCTTGGTTGTGCATGTGACGTTCCAGCTCGAGATCCGTTGCAGCTGGGCTTGCGACGTTTGTTGACTGGTGCGCCGTCGCTTTCTTCGCCATCATCAAGCTCCAATACAGGTCGCTTGGATACTACGAATCGTGATAGATCAAGCGAATTCTCAAGCTCAGGTTCTGGCGGACTCAAAACTTCATGATTGTTGGCAGTCTTTGAAGACCCCTTCGACGGTGTGGCAGGCGAGATCTGACTACTCGATGCAACCTTAGGAGAAGCGGCTGGTTTTGTTGTGAAGAAGTTAGCGATGCTCTGCTGCTTCTTCTGTGATTGATTTGGAACCACGGAAGGCATATTCGCATAGGTACAAAACCTCACAATGGCCTGCCTGTGATAGCATGAATTGAATGCACTTTACGCGAACGCGCGCGTGCTTACGCGAACGATACTCTGACGTCACATGATCACTCCGATGCCGAACTCAAGTTCTGTGCCGATCAAACACCACCTGTGGGACTGCCACACATTTCAAGTGGCGAGTAAGGTTCATATCAAAAAGTGTAATATCGTATCTAATGGGTATCATAGACTATGCATCAAGGCTGGAGGCCAAATCCGACTCCTTAAGCATATGCACCATAGCCGTGCTTGAGCAAAACAAAAGGAAATTGTGTACAAATGCATTGAATGTCGTTCAATCGTCCAACATAAATCGAGCACCCACGCTCTTTCTCTTCGCTTCGATGAGTTTGAGCATGTCCTTTCTTTCGGCTTTGACGTCAACGGCCCGGGCCAAGATCGAGGCGTCGGTTTTCTCAGACACATGGGTGGCTTGCAGCTTCTTGATGAGATGCTGCATGTAGAAGTTCACCATTACGCCTGAGTCCTTGGTGTTGATTTGTTGTGGGACGTTTGGAACACTATAGTAGGTGAATTGCTTGTTCAGAATGGTGGATATCTTTCCTGTGACGCGTTCCGAGGCACTGCGGTTCATTGGGATCTGGGGGTCATAATGGCAAGCCACCCCGTCCTGAATAGAGACCAGCAGCAGAGACCAGTGCGGGTTCATTCGAGTTCGAAGAGGAATAAACAGATGCATAGTCTGCGCGGAGATTGCGCCCTGCATGATATCGGCAGCATCTTCTGAATCATGCAAGAGCCGCATTCCAGCGGAAGGTCGGAGGAGAATATACTTTTGGCTACCGTTCAGGATGCTGTTTTCTAGATGCTCCTGCCAGAACGCCATTGCATCATCGGAGAGTATTTCGGACTTGACAGATGCGAGGTCCTTCTTCGAGAGGCGAACACCATCGTAGTCAGTGTCGCTCATTGACTGATTCTCGTTCATCGGATGAGCTGCCCGGAACATCCTGAGCAGCGATCGTCTCCTTAAATGAAATTCCTCCGAATGCTTCCATGGCACGTTCTGTGGCGAAAATTCTTGAGGCACCGGCGAGACAACGTGCTCCGACGCGAACGAGTTCCGGCTCGACGATAGACTTTGTCGTTCTGCGGGGTGGATTGACGGCGGCAGAGCAAAGGATTCGTACATGGGCGGGGTTTTGATGTCGTTAGTAGGGGTCGCGGGACCCGATAGAGAGATTGAGGAAGGCGCTCTTGAATGGGAAGACGATGGCGAGCCGCTGCTGCCATCCACAGACGAATTGTTGATGGAAGATGGCCTCGAATCCTCGTATGATGGGGGACTGACGTCGTATTCGGAGATTTCCGCAAAATTTGCGGGTCTTTGCGTCCGGAGCGGAAACGGTACAAGCTCTGCGAAGCGTTCCGAACGTTGCACGTGGTAAGGTTGCTCATCTATGATGGGCATAAGTGCGACTGACGACCGATCTGACATTTCCGAGGAGACGGCGTTCTCGTGGTGTGGCTCGTAGAAACTGACTGATCTCGACAGTGGCATATGAGGGTGCGATGTGGGTCTCATGGGTCGGTAAGTCTGAGGTACGAAACAGGAGCTAGATCTGGCGAGATCTGGTCGCACGACGCTGGCCCTGTTATCGATTGCACGTGAGGCGAGTCTACGCATCGCTGATGCTCTGTGCCCCGAAGCGGACTTGGTCTCATCGTCGAATAGTCCTGGACTTGGGCATGTCGCTGGAGCCGTGGACGCCAATGAGCTTGGCTCGCTGTAATTGCTCGACACACCACTGTGGAATGAAGATCTGCTGACCACAGAGTGGAAGCTGTCACGTTTGTGAGGCTGTTCCTGTACAGTAATCGGCAGCGACATGATGTTACTTGTACGTGTAGATCTTCTCGACGACTTCGCTGGCGGTGGCGGCGGGACAGCATCTTCTACAGGCTCTGTGGTCAGAGGCAAGAGCCCTTCGAAAATAGTTGAGAATGTATTCTCTCGATCTTGAGGAAGCATTTTGAGGAATGATTCCCTACGCTCCGGGCTTTCTTGCAGTTCGAGAATGTGAAGAACGAGTGCAACCGATTCATAGCTCAAGTAATTTGTCTTCCCAAGGACCCTCCGGCGGCCTTTGAGTGAAAATTCGCCGTAGGCCAGGGCTTTCTCCAGATTCCCAAGTTTGACCTCGACTTGAACAAGGAGATGAACAGTCTCGAATATTTGGAGCCTGACAGATCGAGTCTGTAAGTCAACTTCGGGGGCATTCGCAAGAACATCTTGAAGAGTGAGCTCGGCATCGACTGGCGCTCGAGAGTGAAACGCTGCTACGCCATGCATGTATCGCAGGCTCCAAATGTCGCAGGCCTGCTGTTGTCTCTTGGATAAGTCCTTGGCCATCCGAAGGGCTTCGGAGAAGTACGCGAATGCGCTTAAGAAATCCCTCTCTTCGTAGAATGTCTGACCGGTCTTCTTAGCATTCTGTGCTGCCTCGACATATAGGTCTACATCTTCTGAAGTCTCTTTGTCTGACGATGAAGATTGGTGACGGTCTGAATTGCGCTTCGTACGAGGCACCTGGTTTGGCTTCGAGTTGTCTTGCTCATCGGCTGAGGCCTCCCCATCATCACTTGACTTTAGAGAAGCGACTTCGGGTAGTTGCACAGATGTGAACAGTCCGCTGTCGACATGGTCGATCCAGGCGTGTATATTTTCGCAAGTTGGCGATTCGGACTCGGACGAGGCGCTGGACGCGTTCTCTTTGATCGTAGTCGAAGCACATAAGTTGTTTCCGTCTTCAATCGCTCTCGCGCTGATGTCGAGGATGTCTGTCTCATGTGAAGTTTCGAGAGTATCAGGATCAGCGCGCTGTGCTTGCAGTGTCCGTAACTGTTCCACATATTGACGAGTTTGGTCGAGCAAGACTGGCAAATGTTCATCAATGCGTTGCGGGAACAAATAGCATGCCTCGCTGTTGGACGTTAGTGCTGCTCTCCATCATGGATATTCTAGCATGCTCGTTCTACTTACATAACGATTGTTAATAGGCTTATTTGCGAGACTGCGATTTGAGATTGGATGCGATTTCGTGCCTCTCCAAGACCCAGGACTTGCATATGACGCCGAATCTGTCGTAAGATCTGTGCAAAAAGATCGGCTCCTTCCTTGTCGATGTTTCGCAGAGCGGCCTGGAGCTGTCTGACTGTGTCTAAGCTGCACGCAACTTGCGTGTACAAGCAAGTCCAGAATAGATCCGACCCGGGTTTTCTGGATTGCCCGTCGTAGCCATCGAGGAATTTCTTCAATCGATCGTTGACGGAGCTGCAGGCAACCCCGAGGTCCTGGATGTCGTCTGCCAATCCCTTGGTAGCTACGGTATCTACCTTAACATCGTAGAAGAATGCACGGAAGGCCTCGCCCGCAATCGAGGCTTCTGCCGCCACGTTGTCTGCGATTTCTGCGATACTCAGTACCAAGTCCATTTCGGCGAACAGGTTGTCTGGAAGGAAATGTTCCTGGCGATGGATCACAGGATACTTGAGCACAAAGCAGCCACGGCAGCACTCAATGTGGCGAAAGTGTATCCAGGTCGGAAACGCATAGGTGGTACAACGAAATCGGCAAGAAAATGATGTGCTCGAGTGATCGACATACCGGGGAGTCAAAGTGATATATCTCGAGTACAGCGCGGCTGTATCCAATATCAAGAGGGTCTTGCTGCATCGACGTGCAGGTCACTTCCCGTCATCAACCAAAATGGGCTAGCGAGCCCGAGGAAAGGCAACAAAAGCCGTCACACCTGATGTTCGGGTGGGATGATGTCCTTCGAATGCTGCCAGGCCAGCTGACACGTGTAGGAGGATTTTGGGCCATCCAGAGATCTACGCTCTGGTCAAAAAGCAGCGATGGACTGTGCCAGATGGTGGCATGCATGTGAAAAGGACCCTTGTGAGTAGTCGAGAAGCCAAAATGTGTGGGCGCGCTCTTTCTAGAACTCCACAAGACGGCTGGGGCGTCGGAGCTACCGGGCGCAATACGTTTGCAGGGTAGTCGCCACGATCGCTCACACGCCGCTTTTTCGTGCTCTCCGGCTGTCCGATGGGCCCACGCTGCAAGTCTGGATGTCCAGTCACACTTTTACCATTAGGTCAACTGCGGTCTCTATGTCCACGCAGGATTTGTCCCGCTGAGCGTTCGTGCATAGTGGCGCGATTCGTAGCGAATGAGGACTCTACATATATCAGCCCACCGGAGAGCGCCGATTATCCTTACCATCCCAGCACGAAAGGTCGAGACCCTGTGTGTAAACAGGGTGCGCACCATACAGTACAATATGATTCGAGTTGGTGTGTGGCGTGATGTCTGGGGAGTATGATAAAAATTCACATTTTACAACAACTTGTAAACTCAATATCGGCACAAGCCAGTATCAGGCGATAGGTGCGTACAATGCAGTGACATGTAGCTCAACTCGCGAGGCGCTACCTGTCGTTCTTGCGCATGCTTCACTTGCGTGGGAGACCAAAAGCCGGCGACATCGTTCCAGCGGTCAAGGTTCAAGGCCGCTCGCAACCGGTCGCATCAGCAGGTGACAAGATTGCTGATTGGCGGATTGGGCATTGAGCCCAACGGGAGAATGTCATGCAGACAGCCATTAGCGTGGGACAAGATGTTGTCGAAGCGTACGAGCCTAGACACTGTCACGTGATGATGCCTGAGGCTCCAATGTGAAGCTCCACAGAAGCCCAGAGCTGCATAGTAAATAATCATAATCAATGCTCGCCTGTACCACCCGTTCTCTCACGTGCATATAACGCACTCCGATATCATGAGCTGTAGCGCTTGGGAGGTTGTCGACGAGACGATCGCCCGGATGGCTTATCTCAATCACATCCGGTCGGGAACTGCTTCAGGGAACAACACGTAGATGCATATCCTGCGAGGCCAGCGCGTTCATGCTGTCGATCATGCGATCATCATACCTGGCGGTCTAATTAAATCACAGAAAGAGAAATGCACACTGCTGTGGCGTTTCCAGTCCAGCGATTTTCCTTTGCGATAGCAGCAGATGATCTACGGGATAACTCACGAAGCGGTAAATGCACTCATGTGGGCACGGTGGGGCATCGTCAGAACTGCCACCTTCGATTGCAGTACCAGTCGATCACGATGACTGTCAATCCTGGCATCTCGGTTTCAACAAGGAAAAGTAAATGCACATTCACGACATCGTTCACATAGTGATGGCTTTCAAGTGCATTGTCGTGGATTGGTAGCGATCTTCGCTTGAAAGACGAGCAGATGGGGTGTGAGACAAAGACACTGTGCAGTTTGGTAGCGATCTTCGCTACCTAGGTACTAGATACCTAGGCTTCGCTACCTAGGTATATAGGTACCTAAGATGGATGAACAGATGGGGTGAGAGACGAAATAATACAGAGGTATAGTGAGTGCTGAAAAGTCTTCGCAATCTAGAGTGATTTCTAGCGTTTTGTTACATGTAGTGTCGAGTGATGATACACGTGGGAAATCCGGGCAGAGGAGCTGTCTCTGTCAGAGAAATATCCAACATGTTTGTCTCCCGAGATTCCATCTCGAGATATGTATTGCCATTCGAGAAAGACATGTTTGAGTGAGCAAAGTGCGGATCGCCCAGACTTTTTGACAGATGCTCGGGGAAAGGCGTTGGGATTGCAATCTTCAATCATAGGCAGATGATCGACGGGCGTTATTATCACTTACGCCTCACGAAATTGTGCGGGATATCGAACATCTCCGGGTCATGAATGTTTCGTCATGCGTGGGAGCGAGTGATCGCAAGCGACGAAAGCTGAGTCATCTTGTCTGGCGAAGAGCGGGGCACGGGCACTTGGGGGACGAGATGGTGCCAAGCCTCCACCGCGTCGACGCGTCGATGCGTCAACGCGTAAAGTGCGACGCGTGCTACCGCTAAAGTTGTTCCTTCCTCAGGTCGTCCATGGAGACAACGATTGCGACTTCCACATCAGCAGTGAGACCAGGCCCAAGACACACGCCTGCCACAGTCAGTACTTCGCAATGTCCGCTACAGTTCTCGGCAAGCGCTCTCGAGCGATAGAAACGACAGGTACGATACAATCGAATTGCGACCGTCACGCATCTGCTGATTCTCCTTGTCCAGACACTTCAAATGAAAATGCATGCACGAAGCGACGAATTACGATCGCATCTTCGAATGACGAGAACTTCAATCCTTTTGTGACCCGGGGTCAACATGAAAATATCGATGGTCAAGACGACGAGTTGTTGGGTGGTGAACATAGTCGCAAAAGGACTCGAAACATAATAATAGCATCAGTACGAAAGAGTCCTGCCAAGTTGAATACGCACGAAGCACTAGATGTTGTCTCTCCTTCTCGAAGGGATGCTTCGTCTCGCAAGAGGTCAAGATCAATTGTGGACATTTATCAGGACGGCAACTCCGAACGGGACGCCTTCCCCCGGACTCCAAGACACCGTGATGCATTGCAGAAGGTTGCAGTCACGCCGCGACACCGAGTCCTTGTTGCCGGAGATCAGAATACACCTCGTTCGGCAAAGAAGCTGGGCACGCCATCCCACACTTCCACCTCGATATTCAATCAAGCGCGCCAACTCTTTGCTCGCTGCTCAAATCCTGGCAAAATCGTGGGTCGCGATGCCGAGCGGGCGGAGCTCGCACAATTCGTTCAATCACGCGTCAAATCACAATCTGGCGGTTGCCTATATATTTCCGGGCCACCAGGAACTGGCAAGAGTGCATTACTCGGCGATGAGATATCGCAATGGTCAAAGGACGAAAACATCAAAGTCTCCGTCATCAACTGTATGAGCGTTCGGAGCACAAAAGACCTTAGCCAAAAACTGGCAGACGATCTCGACCTGCTAGACGGAACCGGTTTCGATTACATACGCTCAAACTTTATGCAACGCAAAAATGCAGCCCATAAACAATTCTTGGTGGTGTTGGACGAGGTCGATTGCCTCGTGGATCTGGACCTGGCGCTACTTTACAGCCTTTTCGAATGGTCTCTTGAAGCCGAATCGCGCCTGATTCTGATTGGTATCGCCAATGCCCTGGATCTCACTGACCGTCTATTACCCAGACTCAAAACACGGAATCTGAAGCCAGATCTTTTACCTTTTATGCCATATACCGCTACTCAGATCGCGGAGGTTCTGACGGCAAAATTGAGAAGTTTGGTTGGTGAGGAATCACAGTCTGTTCCTTTCCTCCAACCTGCAGCCATTCAGTTTTGCGCGAAGAAAGTCGCCGCTCAGACTGGTGACCTCCGTAAAGCATTTGACATTTGCCAGAGGGCCATCGACCTCGTCGCGAGTGAGACCCGTGATCGCCAAGAGGAGAAAAGTCTCCACGATAGCCCTTCCAAGATACCACTTATGGAAAACTGCAATCTGGCGTCCCCTCACTCGCCCGCAACACCCTCGAAAACGCAATCCGCTTTCACAATCGAGACAGCACCGAAGGCCACAATCGCACACATCGCCCGTGTCACTGCGCAAGCCTTTGGCAACGGAGCTACACAACGCCTTGTGGGCCTCAATCTTCAACAAAAGGCCGTGCTCTGTGCTCTTGCTGCGCTTGAAAAGCGGAAACGCGATGCACAGATGCAAAAAGTCATGTTCTCTACCCCATCAAAGACCGGCCACAGCACCGCTCCGACGATCAAACAGCTGTTCGAAACCTATTCGGCACTATGCAAGCGCGAGAGACTGTTCCACGGGCTTTCCATTCTCGAATTCCGCGATGTGGTCTCGGGTTTGGAGGGCTTGAATCTGATCTCGCCAGCGGATGGGCGCAGTGGAAGTTTCGGTACACCACTTACTCCATCCCGAACGCCGAGCCGCAGAGGCAAGAATGCTTTCGCAGGCCCGACAGCTATGGGGGATGAGCGACGAATGGCAAGTGCTGTGTCGAAGAAGGAAATTGAATCTGCCATCCAGGGTGGACCAGGTGGAGAGCTCTTGAAGGAAATGTTGGAGGGTGAGGTGACATTATGAGCGGAAAGATCAGGCAAGCATGTCGGTTTCATGAGATAGATTTGCGGCGCATTGTTTTGAGCATGTTCACGCCTTTATGATGAGGACTTGATTGTAGTCACGAATACCCCTCTTGAATTGATGGCATCACAGTAGATAGGTATCTCAAATCCTTTACTCATACGCAACTTCACATTTCATCAATCTTGTCGTACCTAGGTATTCAATGAAGTAAAAGGCAGGGCATCAACTGAGAGCATGCCACTATATCGTCTGCCAGGATCGATCAGACTCTGCCACTCAGATATTCAAAGTGTAATGAGTCTGACGACGCGGATTGCAGGTCATTCTCACAGCTTATAGAGACTATTGTGCTGTTGATCAAATCTCGTCAACGAATCGTTCAGGCCACTCCAAACACACCTGGGCAACCTTGGAAGGCTCATGAAGGGTCCCATCAACTCGCTGAAAACATTCGGCACGATCCGCCACGGATGCCGGCGATCTGTGATGTAATTGCCCGAGACATCCCGCGTTATGTTTTCCACGAGCACATCTATAGCAGGGCCGATTCGGATGGTCTCGGCGTAATTTCACGCGCCTGGGCTAGTGCTCAGCGTGGAGAGTAAAGATACCTCCGGCAGCGGCGGCCAAATCGTGTCAAACTACATGCTCACCTCCAGCTGCCGTACAAAGAGCACTGGCGGTTATGTTGTTGTCCTAGAAACGCGTGGGCAGAATTGTGTTGAAGCCACTGTTGAGCAACGTGGATCGGGCCAGCGCTTTGCCCCACTACCGCGAATCCAATGCCTCTTCCTTGTCAGAGGTGGGGCAATGCGGGCAATACTGTAGAATGATGTACACAATTAGAGAACAGTACGCGGATGATTTGATGAGAGACTTTCTATTGTTCGATGCGTTTCCAAGCACCAGTACCTTGCTGGCTATCGTGATTGACCTTGATTTCTTCTTTTGCTCTTATCACGCTTCTTCAAACTTACCTTCACCACTCTCTTTCCATTGAATCGCATATCATGTAAGTTCACGGTCTTTCATCCGAACATTCCTCATCCCAGGCAGCGTTCCGTGCAACAGCTTTGGTGTGCGGCAAGACTCTCAACAGGCCCCGACAAAACCTGTTCGCGATAGATCCTCGCCATCGAACTCGATCCGAAATTCTTCCTTCCAACATTCTGGCTGATCACTTCATCAGAACACAAACAAAGATGGCAATCACCAAGATCCACGCCCGCTCGGTCTACGACTCTCGTGGTAACCCCACCGTCGAGGTCGATATTGTTACCGAGACTGGTCTTCACCGCGCCATCGTTCCCTCAGGTGCCTCCACCGGCTCCCACGAGGCATGCGAGCTCCGCGATGGTGACAAGAGCAAGTGGGCCGGCAAGGGTAAGTATTCGTGGATAGCGATAGCCGGAGAATGAAAGCTGATCGCGTGGCTATAGGTGTCACCAAGGCCGTTGCCAACGTGAACGAGAAGATCGCCCCGGCTCTCATCAAGGAGAACCTTGACGTCAAGGACCAATCCGCCATTGACAACTTCCTCAACAAGCTCGACGGCACTGAGAACAAGACTACCCTTGGTGCCAACGCCATCCTCGGTGTTTCCATGGCTGTCGCTAAGGCCGCCGCTGCCGAGAAGCGCGTCCCTCTCTACGCACACATCAGCGACCTTGCTGGCACCAAGAAGCCCTACGTCCTGCCTGTTCCATTCATGAACGTGCTTAACGGTGGCTCACACGCCGGCGGTCGTCTTGCCTTCCAGGAGTTCATGATCGTTCCCACGTAAGTCTATCCTTTTCCGACGGCTTGCTCCTCTTCATAGCTGACTGGTCACGTCAGTGGTGCTCCCACCTTCAGCGAGGCCATGCGCCAGGGTGCTGAGGTCTACCAAAAGCTCAAGTCGCTCGCCAAGCAGAAGTACGGCCAGTCCGCTGGCAACGTTGGTGACGAGGGTGGTGTCGCTCCTGACATCCAGACTGCCGACGAGGCCCTCACCCTTATCACCGATGCTATTGAGCAGGCTGGCTACACCGGTCAGGTCAAGATCGCCATGGATGTCGCCTCATCCGAATTCTACAAGGCCGAGGAGAAGAAGTACGACCTGGACTTCAAGAACCCTGACAGCGACAAGAGCAAGTGGGTCACATACGAGCAGCTTGCCGACCAATACCGAGAACTCGCCCAGAAATACCCCATCGTCTCGATCGAGGACCCCTTCGCTGAGGATGACTGGGAAGCTTGGAGCTACTTCTACAAGAACTCCGACTTCCAGCTCGTCGGTGATGACTTGACCGTCACCAACCCTGTCTTCATCAAGAAGGCCATCGAGACCAAGGCTTGCAACGCGCTCCTGCTCAAGGTCAACCAAATTGGCACCATCACTGAGGCTATCCAGGCAGCCAAGGATGCTTACGGTGCCGGCTGGGGTGTCATGGTTTCTCACCGTTCGGGAGAGACCGAAGATGTCACCATCGCTGACATCGCTGTCGGTCTCCGCTCGGGACAGATCAAGGCTGGTGCGCCTGCGCGTTCCGAGCGTCTTGCCAAGCTGAACCAGATTCTTCGCATCGAGGAGGAGCTTGGTGCCAACGCCGTCTACGCTGGCGCAAACTTCCGCACTGCTGTCCAACTGTAAACATGTCACCCAGCAAAATTCTTGTCATGAACCATGCATATTGATGCGGTCCATAAGCCTACTGGAGGACGCAAGATATCTCCAGTCGAACGCGGGACGTATTCATGTCGATGATGCAATAACAATCATATAGCAAAAAAAGAAGAATTGAAACATCGAACTGAAGCGAGTACCCGTGGACGTGTGTAGAACTTTGCGTGGCGCCATTTCCGTGAACTCAAATGGTCAAAGCGACCAGCACTGTATCTTCGTGGTTTGTTCCAGCAGAGCGCGTGTCGCCGGCAATCACGGCTTCAGAATGACTAATAAACACAGACTAAACTCAAGTAGCTTGGGCTCGGTTTCGGAACGACTGGTTCCGATGATACTCGCGACCCTCAAGGTCGAAGCTGGAAGATGCGTTATCATTGGATCGATCGTCACCACTGATATGCATGTGGCTTGATGTACAGTATGGTCTGAGGCATTATGCACAGTGCAGATGAAGCGTCAGACGGAACGTTCCAAGGTTACCATCGTGGATTCTCTGCGCTAAGCAGAATAGCACTCAAAATGCTTGCCTTCATTCCTGCCCATCATGAGTCCTTCATGATTGTCCACTGAGATGTCCTCACAGTGCTAACGCCTCCACAGCAGTGAGTCGCTGCATCTATTCGTAAGCCTCGGAAGCTCATCTGTCTGGCGAAGTGGGTAAGATGGCACACGATAATGTCAAACATGTAGTAATCACAGGAGGTGCCGGATTTTTGGGTCGACACACTGTCCGCGATTTGAAGAGCCGACATCCGTCATGGACGATCACAATTCTAGACATCATCGCGCCAGACCCAGACGTTGTGTCCAGCAACGATGTTAAGTTCATCCCTGTAGACATCACCTCGCAGTCAAGCGTCACCGAAGCCTTTGCTCGAATCACTTCGTCACTCAATGGCCAACCGCCAGACATCGTCGTCCACTCTGCCGGCATCGTCCCTGCTCGAGCACTCCGCTACTCCGCCTCCAAGACACAGTGGACAAAAGTCCACGCGGTAAACTACATCGGAACCACACACGTCCTCGCCGCAACCCTCCAAAGCGGCTGTCAGCGCCTCGTCTACACATCCAGCTGCACCGCCATCATCGATGACCTCGAGCACGACTACCACCACATGAACGAAGATGTTCCCCTCGGTCGTGCCACGCTACATTACGGCAAGTCCAAAGCCCTAGCCGAACGCCACGTGCTGGATCCCAGGTGGCGCATGGAGTCCGGACTCCTTGCCTGTGCCCTGCGGCCCTGCACGATCGTCGGACGCGGCGACATCGCGGTCATCGGCGTCATGCACGACCTCATCGCTAAGAAGGAGACCGGTTTCATCGTGGGCGACGGTACGAATATTTACGATTTTATGTGTATCGAGAACGCAGCGCGCGCGCATTGCCTGGCGGTGGAGAATCTCTTGGGCGATGCGTCGGCTGCGGGCCAGGCTTTCTTCCTCTCGAATGATGAGCCGGTTTACTTTTGGGACTTTCTCGCGGCGGTCTGGGCGGAGTTCGGACATTACCCTCCGTCGCGCGTTAGGATCCCAATGGTCGTTGCGTGGTTGGTCGGAGTGCTTTTGGAGTGGATCACTTGGTTGACTGGGGCGGCGAGTACGTTAGATTCGGGCAGTGTCAAGGACGGGGTGAGGACGCAGTACGCGGATATACACAAGGCGAGAGAGATTTTGGGATATGAACCCTTGGTGAAGCTGAGAGATGGTGTCAAGGCGAATTGCGATGTAAGCTTTTTTCCTTACCCCTATTTGGATCAATGGCTACGTCGCTCATCGTCTTGGTCTTCCCTGGATCCGCGCAGATGCTGACTGAATATGGTAGTATTATAAAGAATACTTAGAGCAGCAGTCCAAGGCTAAGAGGAAGCCAATGCCTTGATCAAACCACCTCGGCGAGGCCAGCCGCCCACAGATCCACGTTAGAGACTGCGATACATCTCCAATATTACAGCCATCTGGAATAGAAATTGAATAGCTATGTTTCGTTTGGCCTTTCACGACAATATTGACAGAGATTGTGGATATACGACGACGGCGTTGTCCACCTCTCGCGGTATGTTGTCGCAGCGTCACATCCAGCATCTTGCTGATCGTAAAAACCACCTTTCGTGGATCTTGCATCACGACAGACGTTGCACGTCGACGGCCTGAGGTCCGGAGCAATCGACGCTGGACATCAAGTCGACTAGCGCGACGCGTCCGATCAATCGCGCTTAGCAATGTTGCCGAGCTTGGTGAGTTCCTAGGTATGTTTCATGGTCTGGCCGACCCATATTCCCTTTCGAAACGATTCTCGTGAACCAAGGCGTGCACATCGCGAACACTCCGAGTGCCATTGTGAACAATTTGCGCCTCTTTGGCTTTCAAATAAATCAAAATGTGACGTCGGTCACGGACCATTGCCTGAACGCACACATCCATGGCCTAATAACCTTGGAAAGCTTGCTGTATGATCAATCTTGGTAGTCCGGCCCGCGTCCACCCAAAGATCGTCTCATGGTGCATGATCGAACCAGAAATGATTGAAGCCCATTTTCAGCAGGCCCTGTAGATTCTATGTTGCCAACCTTGGAAATTTTAAGCGTCGGAGGCATTCGAGCGAAAGTCCGAGTACAGCCATTGCATGCCCAGGTGGACAATGAACGTCGGCCGACACTTGAAATTTGGCACGAGCAGCTATGTGCCAGTGCTACCCTCCATTCAAATGACGTTTCGACGTAACATAATCGTCGATTCGACGTTCGAGCTGAGCGAGATTGGGACATTGCTCGCATAGACGTCCATTGTTCAATGAGATGACAGTCAATAAAGCCAGAGGCGGAACGGGGCAGGATAGGTCTTCCTCAAATTACTGTACGGGTGATCCGTACGTGTGTGATATCATTGTCCAAAGAAGAGTAACGCTAATCTGCTCACAATGATGGTGAAAACAAGAAGATAGAACGACGATTGTTCTATGACAGGAGGGAATCAAAACAGACAGTTCTTCAAATCGGCGCTTTCGTATACTCGTGAACGGAATAAAAGGTAAACACAGAGAGTCCGGGCAAAGTTGTCCAGAACACTTCCCATGTCATGCATCCTACTCTTGCCATCGATTTCCATGAATGGGCGCCGATGCCGCGCCTACGGACATGAGATAACTCTTCTCAGGTCATCAAAAGTGAATTGCTTCACAAAGCGAGGCCGAGGAGGGCGGCCATACCACCAGCAATGGCGATGTGTCCGTAGTTTTGAGCGGCAGCCAAAGTAGCGGCAGCATTGGGGCGAGTGCTGGTGGTAGCAGTGCCTGCGGGGGTGGTGGCGGCAGCGCCGTTTGCAGTGTTGGATCCGCCGGTGGTTGTTGGAGAGTTGGTAGAGCTTGAGGCGGTCGTAGTGACGGAGCTGGAGCGGACCAATTTGGTGCCGCACTGGAGTGCCTTGCAACCACTTTGGCCATCGGCGTCATCGGGGTGCGCAGCAATGCAGTTGATAAACCACGTGCGACAGATCTGGCCAGGCACGGTCTGCTCATAGTCGGAGATGTTGGGCTGGTTACCATTGGAGCAGCTGCAGTTCCAGGCCAAGGTGCTCTAGAGGTCCGTCAGCGATAAGATCTATGCCATGATGAATCATTTGCTGGTCAGTCGTTCACTCACGTCGTCACATGTGTTCTTGGTAGCAAGTCCGCCACAGATCTGCGGGCATTGCTGCGTCTGAGCAAGACAGATCTTGCGCTTGTAGCCGACGTCAAGGTTCTGGGGTGGCACAGCGATTGGGCCCGAGATCGAGTAGTTCTGACCGTTGAAGACGGCACCGTCAAGGTTCTGTGCAACAGCGAAACCGGCGAATGCCGCAACAGCGACGAGAATCGACGAGGCGTGCATCTTGAAGGTGTGAGGATAGTGTTTGGTGTGAAGGTAGTGATGAGAAGATATCGGTTCTGTCAATAGTTGGGAACGCGTCAGCCTCGCATTGACTCTTTGCTGGTGAAGATCGCCTTCAGTACCACCAACAGCGTACCGCTCAAGCAAATACACGTTGGCTACGCGATGTTCACGTACCGTCTACACTCTTTGCGAACACTTGCGATGCAGTATCAATGAACCTGTTGCGCGTGCGTGGATGGGAATACACGGATCTGCTGGGATGATGAGATGGATGCGATGGGGGACGGAGCGAGGAAGGAACTGACGATGGGGGACGGGCGTCACGAGCAATTTAAAATGTCACACACAAAGGTTGCAAGAGTGATGAGTCGGCGTGGAGTGGAGGAACATCCATGCTCACGGTGCCTTGATTGATGCTGCCGCAACATAGTAACGCTCCGAAACGGTTCCTAGCAACCATACTAGGTAGGCAGAACACTAGCTCGAACGCCAGCTCCGGGAATTGTCTGTGCTGTTACACACTAGCTAAACCACTCCTCAGGTGCGGGCAAGATTTCACTCATCGTGATGCGAAACACGATAAAAATCTTGGTCACAAACGGGCACCGAGCAGGCAGACTGTCATCAGTGAGCACATGCGTACACCGAACCCTCCAACGGCGCCGCAGAGACAACCACGAAGAGAGCACAAGCCCTATTTTGTCTTGATAGCACATCCCAGCAACAATTGAGTCTTTTCATCACGAGACAGCTCGCTTTCACACCATGGCATTCTGTAATCCTACCGTGCCCGTGAGCAGTGGGACCTCCAGCTGGTTACAATCTGCGTGCCTAGGTAGCTACTCCTCGCAGGTGACATTGTCCTGCGGTGGCGGCGGCGGTGGCCATGTTCGTATTCATCAGCTTACCTGAGTCGCATTAGACATCAGTATCTTCTGTCCTCGTCAGCAAGAACGGCATCCATCGCTGATAAATAGCCTTTTATCTCGTCTCTCCGCTCCACGTTCTTGTCGTTAGACATTCCGCTAATCCCGATCAAGCAGCAGAAGTCGCTTCAAGCGAGATGTTCCTTAGGGGAAAAAGTCATTGGGAGCTGCAGGTCGGGACTGGAGTCTGCAGGACACGCGTTTTATGCCGTGGCATGCGCGTTGATTGGTCGGCACGCGCATCTCGCGCATCGCCGTATTCGTAAGACGTCCATGTTGGGAGATGCACTAGACGAATCGCTGATATCCACGAATCTGGAGCATGATGCCCTCGCCACTTGTGTATCACCTCTCTTGCGATGGCATAATGTTGACATTTCGCGCAGTCATTGTTTGTGTCTCTGCCTTGGCTTCCCGGCACGATTGTACCTCGGAGTGTCGGTGGCGCCCAAGCACAGATAACGAAATTGGATTCGGGTGTACCGGGTGCGCCTGATAAATTTGATGGTCGGCATGGACCACGACCGTTGCGGTTTCGTGGGGTCGCATTTGATTTTATACAGCGAGGAATGCGCTCCCAGCGACCATATGATTCACATTTCCGCGATTAATACACCTACATATCATATCGCACATCCGTCCGCCTGCATAATTCAGAGTTACTGTATGTTTTGTGCTACAATGGGACGGTGACGATCTTGCATCAAGTGCCCTCATCCCCGCCATTTCCCGTGTCCGTCAAGTGTTTAGGAATCTTCATGACACCAATAAAGCTTCGATTTATTTGAGAACACGGCCTCTATCGGGATGTCGATGCAGATCAAGGCTGCGATTGATTCATTGTGGTGTGTTGCAGTCTCTCATGTCGAGAAGGATAAGTTCGGAGGCCAGAGCTTCTACGACGCGTCAACAACTCTCTATTTTATATTATATGTATAATATCCTGGGCTCATAAATGCTGCTTGATATCCTGTCTCCGCAACGCCCGCGGCGTACGCGGTGCAGCACATTTCCTGTTCATCGAATCCATACCGTTCACGAGAAACTTGTGCCTCGTGCAAGCGATGACGACATCGGTCACTCTTGGACGATATTTCCTTCCAATTCGTGCTTCTGTCAGTCACACATGCTGCCTATCTGGTTGTATTCGTGTCATGATTTATAGATGACAGCTCTGGACGCACTGCTATCCAGACGATAGAATCACTCTTGTCGCGTTTCGTTTCCATCTACAACACTCCATGGCAATTCTGCCATTGAAGATCTCCTGCCGCCATGGAGCCCTGGGGTGTGCAAATTGATCGATTCCAAGGTTCTTTCCGTGCTCCGTACATCGTCGCTTCATCGGAAGGTGATACAACAAAAATGCGCACGACAGATACGCAAGCTATTCCCCACCCACACTCAAGATAAGCCGTGACTGCATAGCAGTGGTCTACGCATGAAGCATCATAGCACAGCAGTAATCCAATCTGCTCAATCTTCTAAGCAATCATCGTTTCATCAAGGGATTTGACAATAGCTGCTATGACGAGGAAATGCGTTTTAGCTACTTGTCAGCTTAATCAATGGTCGCTCGATTATGATGGCAATCGGTAGGAGCAGCAAGCTCCGCACAAGCACTGTGACAAATTTGTGACTGACAGTGAGGTATTCAGTGACCGTATTGTTGAAGCGATCAAGACCGCAAAAGAGGCGGGCGCCACGCTTCTTCTGACTCCGGAACTTTGTATCCCAGGCTATGGTCTTCTGGACCATTGGCTTGAGAATGACGTTTACAACAACTCTTGGGACGTTGTTGCCGAAATCATTACTCGTCCAGATTGTCAGGATATCATCATCGATCTCGGTTTACCCATTCAACATCGGGGATGTAGCTATAATGCGAGATTAATCGCACTCAACGGCGAGATTCTCGCGATCAGACCGAAGCTCGACCTTTGCAATGATGGCAACTTTCGGGAGATGAGATATTTCTCACCATGGCCTCGCCAACGCGTGGATGATTATCATCTACCAAAAGTGATCCAAGCTCTGTCTAGGAAACAAAAGATCTGCAGGATTGGAGAAGTGGCGTTCGAGGCCAATGATGCGTCATTCGCTTCAGAGACATGCGAGGAGCTATGGACGCCTAATTCACCACATTCATTGTACTCGTTGGCAGGAATTGAAATCGTTCTCAACTCGAGTGGAAGTCACCACGAACTCCGTAAGCTCGATACCCGGATTAACCTCATCAAGGAAGCCACAGATAAAACTGGAGGTGTCTACATGTACTCGAATCAGCGTGGATGCGATGGTGATCGATTGTATTACGATGGCTGTGCTCTGATTTTGAATTCTGGAAAGGTTCTGGCCCAAGGATCACAATTCTCCTTGCTCGATGTCGAAGTGAAGACTGCTGTGGTTGACCTGGACGAAATATGGGCATGGCGAACATCTCGCAGCCGTGGCATGCAAGCCAATGACCCGGCGGTACATCGGCTTGAGCGGATACAGGTCGACTTCAACCTCTGTCGGTCATCGACAGTCTTAGATCCCAAAGCGCGATTGACAGAAGCAATCGAGCCGCGTTACCACTTGCCGGAGGAAGAGATTGCCCTTGGGCCGGCGTGTTGGCTATGGGATTATCTCCGTCGATCGCGAGCCGCCGGATACCTTGTTCCTCTGAGTGGTGGCATTGACAGTTGCGCGACAGCGACCATCGTCTTTAGCATGTGTCGCCTCGTTGTGGAAGCGATCAAGAACGGCAACGACGTTGTGATCGCAGACGCTACGCGCCTTTGTGGTGGTCAGCTTCCCGCGGGACTAACTGCCGAAGCATTCTGTGGGAAGATCTTCAGCACAGTCTTTATGGGTATGAAGCAGCAATCGTCCAAGGAGACTCGTACTCGGGCTATCGAACTCGCAACAGCCATTGGGGCGCATCACATTGACACGAACATTGACGATATGGTTAAGGCTCTTCATCAGCTGACTGCGTCGATTCTCAATTTTGAGCCAAAGTTCAAGGTCCATGGCGGCTCACAAGCCGAGAATCTCGCCCTGCAGAACTTTCAATCTCGATCACGTATGGTCCTGGCCTATGCGTTGGGCCAACTCATTCCCACTGCGCGCGGCAAGACAGGCGGTCTGTTAATCCTCGGATCCGCAAACGTTGACGAATGTCTTCGCGGCTACCTTACCAAATACGATTGCTCTTCCGCCGACATCAATCCCATCGGTGGCATCTCCAAGACTGACCTCAAACGCTTCATTGGCTGGGCCGAGACGCACTTTGACTTGCCAATCTTACGAGAATTCCTCGACGCCGTGCCCACCGCCGAGCTTGAGCCGATCACCGAGACATATGTGCAGAGCGACGAGATCGACATGGGCTTCACCTACGACGAATTATCGATCCTCGGACGCTTGCGCAAGACATTCAAACTCGGCACTGTTGGCATGTTCGAGCGGCTCGTGGTCGATTGGGGCGACCACATGGGTCCTCGCGCGGTGTACAAAAAGGTTCGCGACTTCATGTATTACTACGCTGCCAATCGGCATAAGATGACGACCATGACCCCCGGACTTTATCTTGAGTCGTATACTCCGGATGATAACCGGTATGATCTGCGGCCGTTCCTATACCCTCGGTTTACTTTCGAATACCGCAAGATTGAAGACATGATTGATAAGGTATGCAACCCTCCACATCCTCCATGCTATGCCGCGGCGCCTTGATCATATGCTGACTGGTTTGATCGCACAGATGGAGAAGGGCGAGGCTGGGAAAACTACAAAGAATTGAGCAAGCTCGGTCTTTTTGCTGTGGACAAATTTTACGATCAAGCGAGAGAATGAAGTCAGATTGACACAGTACATTGATTGCCTCGCCGCAGACGGGACATGCTTCAAATATTGAAAGAGGGCAAACAGATGCCGTCTACCGAATACCTAGCCATGGGTTTCGAAGTGATGACCGCGTTCTTGCGCGACTTTCCAACGAGGCCACACGCGTGGCCTGTGCGATTCGGACACCGCCGACTGCAGTACGTCGTCCGAAGATAAAAGGCTAGCACGCAGCATCATGCACGCAATACTGTACACGTCATAAAGTTTCCTTGTGCAGCACAAAGGGTCGTCTAAGACACATGCCGACATGGGCTTTCGTTGTTCAGCGTGAACTTCTCCACTACTTAGCTCCGACGATGGTAGGCGTCCACGGCTTCGCTCCGGTTCGATCAGCGTTTTAATCAAAAGCTCTCGCAACCTGTCAATGGTTCTATAATGTAGTTGCGCACTTGCGCTATATTTGCAACAGGCCCGATGTGCGGCCGGCGTGGACTTTCTCGTCTCCCCGAAATGCGATCAGGCTGGGAACGAAAGGGCCGGACGGCCGAGCGAGCACTGGCGAGGTACTGTACTGTACTGTACAGTACCTGGATAGGAGAGGAGAGAAACCGCATGCACCAGGCCGTTCGGCGAGATGGGAACACACCTGGGCAGGGAGAGTATAGCTGCACGAAGGAAGAAAGGAACCACGGGCGGGGATTGCCGGGCGTCAGCAGCCGATGAACAAGGGTGCTTTCTTTGGTTGGGCAGCGAAGGTGATCAGGCGAATGCATGCATATCCGCCATCTCTTTGCTGTCGACTTCGAGCCTCTTTCATAATTATCATTGTCGCCATCATCATGCATATACACAATTGCGTAGAAAGGTTCCAAATTACTACTACCATGGACAGACATCAACGACCCCAGTCGCCAACCCCAAGGCCACAGATACGGTCGCTCTCAGACTTGCACCATTTTCGGGTATTCGTCTGATCCCCGTGTGGGATTGCGTGGTCGCACATTCGTCCGTGGCTCCATGCAGACTCTGACCGATCGGATTTGGGGGCGGCGGTGATGGTGAAAGCGGAGGATTGGAGTGGCGGCCTCCGATACATACCCTGTTCTCATCGTGGATGCATGCATGTTTCTTTTCTGTGCTTTCTCCGATGTATGGCAGGGGTTTTCGTACGCCACATGTGAGATCTCGCCTCGCGTGGAAAGTCCACAGGGACCATATCTGCCGCTCGCGATTTCCATCCACATTTTTGGTTGGTGACGACGACGACGACGACGATGATGAAGTGGATCTGAGAGTTATATGATGTTCTCGTATCTCATTTGTAATTTGTGCTGATGATGTGTATTTACGAGGGGGACTGGATGAAAGGAAGCCCTAGAGTGCGCCAGTAATATTGGCAGAGACATGCGTCTGACGATGAGTGGGTTCCGCTTGCCGCAGTGCTTTCTTTGATATTGTTATAATTATTACCATTACCACTGGACTGTACTATCTCTATTAGTTTGGTTCTGGGAGAAACGGAAACCCCCAGGCTGTGGCCTTGCAACACTGCCATACCTACCTCAGTAACACATGCGACGGCGACCACTGCAACAGGTCCACGGGTGGTAAAGATAGAGTGCACCCAGGCCCTGGTTGATAACCTTGGAATGATCCCAGGTCTGATGAGTCGTCACGTACTCCCTTCACTTGGAGGAGTGCGCTGTTGGCTGGAAGGAGCAGCACTGTGCATACTGTAGTGCAGGTGTACTGCAAAAAGCGCGCGCAGACACGCACAAGCTCAGCACACATACCACCAACACACACGTCCACACCCTCCCACAGCACAGCTGCCTCTTCTGCCGCTCCCGTCGAACGCTTCCATACCGTACCAAAATCCGTTCACACCTGCAACCTGGACATATTGCCTTCTCGCTAGACGACCTCTCTCCACCGCCTCACGCGTACGCCCGTGACCAGTCAATCATCCCTTGGTCGCCATTATTCTACAATCGACCGCTCCACAACACGCAGACACACACGCCTACGCCCGTACACATTCCAGTTACCGCATCGGACGTCGCGTTATGTCATGATCGGACGTGCTCTTTTATGGACCTCTACGGCCAACAGCAAAGCCACGCCCGTCAGGCACCGCTCAACGACTCATCCGCCGTCATGTCTCCAGGAGGCATTGCACCCGCCGACCCACAGGACTATTACACGAATCTCGAAAGTCCAACATTGTCGGAGGTTGACGAAGCGACCGCTATGACCCCGCCGGTCATCAGAGATCAGCAAAATCCACCTTATGCAACCTCCGCGCGTTCAATATCACAGGCTTCGTTTCGAAGTCAAAATCGAGCATTCTCCGACTCTATAGGATCGAACGGGCACTCCCTCAGCAATGCGCGCTCATCCCCCGTCATCCTCTCATCGCGGCAACCTGGGAACGTAAAGGACATCGCAAATAAAATTGACCGGGAAGAGGCCGAGAGCACTAGTCCAACGATGCCAATCCAATACAACTCTCGCGACCGCTACAGAGGTACTCGAAGTGGAACCGGAGAGATCAGGTTGCAAAAGAAGAGGTCAGGACAGCTCGGGTCGCCGCGTAAATCCCCATCAATGTCGGTCGATTCGTCTTTCGGCTCTGCCACCTCGAATAAGAGCTCGCGAAGTCAGCCTTACGCCCAGCAAGCAGCAATGATGGGAATTCCTCAGCCTCTGTTTGGAGAGGTCACGGCGACCGGACAGTGGATTGGTGATCTCGACACATACGATCTGTCGTCGGCGGAGAGGGCTCGGCGGCGCGGGAGCGAGGGAAGCCTTGCGCTCGGGCACGGACGCAGTGCATCTCATCAGGACTTCCGATACTCCATGCAGTACACGAACGGACATCGCCCTGGCCACGAACGCACTCAGAGTGGGATGGAATCTCCCAACACATCACAAATCTCCGACTCCGCGAAGCAACAGATCGCGGAAATAGCCGCGACTTTCCTCGACACCGAACATGTCCCTGCGCGCTCAGAGCCACATGGCCATGCGTCGCGGATACCCGTCCGCTCACGACAAGGCTCCATTGGGTCTTCGTCTTCGCCATACTCCTCACGGTCGCGGTCACAATCGGCGATACCGAATCCGAGCAGTCGCAAGCGCATGACCAAGTCTCCTACTCCCAAACCTGGAAAAGAGAATGCATCATCCTACTCAGCCTCGAGGAATAGATACAACGCGCCTCCAATCACCACCGGCCAGACTCTGTCAGCAAAGATCGTAGTACCTGAACCACCGACCTCCCCGCCGCTGCGCTCTTCCCGGCCTAGGCAGCCCGTCAGCGCAGCTACGACGTCGGCAAGTCGAGCTCGTGCGGCCGAACGATTCAAGGGTGCACCTTCGAGAGTCGGCGCAAATTCGACGGAAGTGTGGTTGGATAAACCCTACGACGCACAAAAAGAACGTTCGAGGCGGAAGATACCAGAATTGCAAAAGATCGACTTTGAGGAGCGTCGTGCGAGGATTCAACGTGCGATATCTCAAAACTTGGAGTCGAGTCGCTCACAGGAGAGGATGCGCAGTAAATCACGTGGGAGTCAATCGCGGAGCACGTCTCGTGCAGAATCGCGGACGGCCTCTGGGGAGCAAGCTCGCGAAGATGAGCCAACAATGCCGACTATATCACCTATTGTCATCGCAAACATTGCCGATGGAATTGAAAGCAGGGTACATGCTTCACCAACCTCAATAGAGACCCCAACACGTGGGTTGAGTCTCAATACGACCGATCTGCCTGGTCCATCTCCCCATAATGTCGATCCTCTCACTACACATACCCTTTTTGAAGACGACAGCCCGTTGCTCCACGAAGCGTCTGAAACGGCGCCGGATACACCCACTCCCGGGGCTGATCAAACGTTTACACTGTCACCAGCAAAATATCAGGTGCCGGGCAAAAGTGGAAAGGTTGTACATACTGCAGGAACCATCACACAGGTTGCTCCCGCTGAAAACGATCACCACGCAGCTTTTGCGTCACGAGCAACAGTATCGGGTGATTTTTCGCGTGAACAGTTACAAGCTGCTGAAACCGTTCAAGCCGGTACGGATGGCGTTTCAGAAATTGATCCAATCATGCCTCGATCGGTTGATAATATCTTTGGCGAACGGTGGAATCTTGGCAACGAACCTGACGATCAAGGCTCCATTCGTATCATGCTCGATGATGCGCCCAATTTCTCTCAGCGCAACCCGTTATGGTCACATGATTCCGATCAACGGTTAGAGAATCAAGAAGTGCATGCCGGATCGGGAACAACAATGCACCCTGATCAGGACTCCGATCTACACTCGTATAGCAACGTTGGCTATGTTGTTCCATCGAGCGATACACTCCATAGTATTGCACCTGACAATGCTATTCTCTCCACCACCACGCCGCGGAAGAGACAGCGCGAAACACTGCGACTCGCGTCCTTTCATCCCGATTCTGCCTATGTCCCACCAAATGATTCTCTCGCTTCTGACTCTACCATCAGCCGGGTCCTGAATTACTATCAGTCTACTGGCACTCTGACTGACGAGATGTTGCAGGAGATGCAGCAGCATGTCGACCTCAATCGAATGTCCGCAAATGGTGGCTCCGATGCCATGATGGTCCAAAGTTTGTTGGAGAGCATACTGGCAACCCAGAAGCCTAAAGATGAAATCGTGCATCGCGAGCTGCTCATCCCTAGTAATCTTAACATGCCGAGCGTGACTCCGGACACACCTGTCGGCGAGGAATTTGTACCAGGTACCGTGACCGTGTTCAGTCAGAGCACTCCGACCGTCAAGGAGGAAGATTCCTTCGAGGATAGTATTCGCAGAGCCGACGAGGAGTGGGAGCGACAACGGAATGGTCACGATCTTGGAGCAACCGAAGCAGTGGGCTTCACGCCTCCGCCACCTCCTCCGCCAAAGGACGTTGGCTATACACCAAGATCAAGCGCCGGTGCTAACAGCACGGTGTTTCCATCATCACACTTCCGCGAAGGTCTACGGATATCGACGTCTAGTCAGAATGTGTCGTCAGAGCGGCACTCGAATAGCAGCTTTGCCCCTCAGGATCAGCAGACGTCGGCACAGGAGAACTCGGCGCCAACATCCGCACAGGCGCTTCCTCCACCAACACCAGTATCGCCGCCCGAGCCGGTGTTGCGACAACCATTCAGCGCCCCGGACTTTAGCGCGATGGCATTTAACGATACAGATGCCGGTGAAACCTCTCCGAATGCACACAAATCTCCTTGGGCCGTATCACAATCATCAAGGAACTCTTTTGATGGTCAAAGTCAACAGACAGCAGTACCCGGGGCTCAGTCCACAACATCATTCGGCGACACGACAACTCGTCAAGGATCATTCGAGACAGACATCGATCGTGAGAAGCTTGCTAAGACAACTTCCCCAGCCGCACCAGCTCCCGAACAGAAACGATTGTCAAAACGAAGACACATCATCAAAGAACTGATCGATACCGAAAACTCTTATCATCAGGACTTGAAGATTATTGAGGATATTTACAAGGCAACGTGCACGCCGGAACTTGTGGCACCAGAAGACAAGAAGATCCTTTTCGGAAATTGTGATGAAATCGAAAAGTTTGCAATTTACTTTTATGATGAATTGCGCAAGGCTGCCACACAGGTCTATGTTCCTCCGAAATCACAACGATGGGGCACACGGCGGAATAGTTTCTCAACTACACAGAGTGACAATACTACGAATGCGTTCACAGACGCCGTAGATGATGAGAAAGATCGCACGTCACTCATTGGAAGCGTGTTCCTGGCGAACATGGTCACAATGGAGCAGGTTTACGGCACTTATCTCAAAAACCATGATGCTGCGAACCAGCGTTTGGCCGCTCTGCAGGGCACGCCCACTGTCAAGTGTTGGCTTGATGAGTGCCACGCCAACGCCAGCGATATTACGGCGGCTTGGGACTTGGACTCGTTACTTGTGAAGCCAACTCAACGTGTTGCCAAATATCCTATGCTACTGCAGCAATTACTCGAGACAACGCCTGCAGACCACCCTGATCACGAGAATCTCAAGACGGCCGTCAAGGATTCGATCGCTATGCTCACACGCATCAACGATGCAAAGAAACGAGCCGACCTTGTGGATTCGATTGTGAACGGGCGAAGACGCAAGGAATCGGACCTGCGTGGCGGTCTGGTCAAAGCCTTCGGACGTCGTACGGACAGACTCAAGGAACGTGTGGGTCTTCAAGAAGCTTTCCAGGATCCTGATTTCGACGATCTCGCGCACAAATTCGGCGGTCACTTTATTCGTCTGCAGATCTGCATGCGTGACGTCCAAGATTACATGAATCGCACCGACAAGGCTGTAGAGATCATCAACAACTACGCTAGTGCACTTGAGCTTTTCACCGATGTCGCGCCAAGCAGTCTGCCGGAGATTGAGAGCAAATGGCGCCGCTATGGTCAGACCATTCGTGATCTCAATCTCGTCGCTTTCACGGAACACAAGACTGCTGTGCAGAAACGTGTGCTTACCCCCATGATCGCATGCATCAAACTTCACGAGGGCCCTCAAAATGCCATTGCTAAGCGCAAGAAGCGCATTGTTGATTACGCCAAATGCAAAGGTGACGAGAAACGTGGCATCAAGCCTGACAAGAAGACATTGGAAGCTGCGGAAATCTATGTGGCATTGAACGACCAGCTCAAGATCGAGCTACCCAAGCTCTACAGCCTCACTGCAAGTCTTGTACAAAGATGTCTGCACTGTTTCTTGGACATTCAATTGCAATGGAACAGCACTTGGGAGCGCAAGCTTCGTCCTCTGCTTGAGGCCAGCGATATTCCCGTTGATGTGTCGCAGATCGAGCATGCATTCAAAGCCGATTATGGAGAAATTGAAAGGAAGTGCATGGAGCTTTCAGTTTGCAATGGCAACCTCAAACGCGAAGCCATGTCATATCTGTCACCTTCGGCCACCGGCTCCGAATCAATCCATGAGAAACGGAGGACATCGACGTTGGATGGTTCGAAACGGACAATGTCTGTGGGGAGCGAATCTTCCACGAATCCACACTCGCGCCGTCACAGCGGTATTTACACGCCTGGCATGGATGTACAGTACGATTACCGGTTACGCTCCGATTCTCAACTTTCCGGAAGACAACAGTCGTACTCTTCGACCAACACTAACAACAATAACAACCGACCATGGTCCAACTCAACCGCCACGAACACACCAAATTCAACATTCCCGCCAGCAACCAGCAGACCCAGCACCTCAAATCAATCTCACCAGCCCTACAATCCCTCACAACCATACTCGCAATCACACTCACAATCACACTCACAACGACAGAGCGCCGATGTGCCGCGTAGTCCGCGTCCTCTCTCGGGCGGTACTGCCTACTACACGCCCCGCCTCGATGCCGACAACGGTCGCTTCTCCGGAATCTTCAACTCCGCCGTTCCTCCCGACGTCCTCCAGAGCAGCAGCTCCAACTACCACGACAACTACGCCTCAGCAGCCAGCATCTCACGTCCCGCCTCCCCGCCCAAGACCGCACCCCGGGATACCCGCGTGCTCTTTGTCTGCGCCAGTCTCTTCGAATTCAGCATCGACAAGACGCGCCGCGAAGGCGGATACCCCTACCTCACATACGTGCAGGGCGAAGTCTTCGACGTCATCGCCCAGAAGGGCGAGCTCTGGTTGGCGAAGAATCAGGACGACGATACGAATAGTCTCGGCTGGATCTGGGAGCAACATTTCGTCATCCTCTCATCTGAAGGCTGAGATCTCTTTCTCTACAATCCGCCCCTTATTCCCCTTCTTGGTCTCTTCAGAACTACTGTCTTATATTGCTTCCTGCTCGCGTTCAGAGCGAGTTCGTCCACCACCACCCGTCGCTCGAGCGAATTTTTCCTTGTTTTGTTCCATCTCATTTTGCGTGTAAGCGACCTCGCTCCGCAGTACTGTCCAAACTTTTTCCTTTATTGTTGATACTCTGACATGATATGCGCTTCGGAGACCGGCGAACAAAGGGAGGAAATGGCGCACGATGGGCGGAATTGCATCGGATTTTCCGATCCCGTCAAAAGATCTTGTAGCCGATCACAGGCGATGGGAATTTCACTTTTCCTTTTCTTTTCACTATTTCACATATATCAACGACGGGCCCGGCTTCTCTCGGCCCAATTATGCGAAAAACGGTCTATGCGCTTGTTATGAGTACTATTGTTTTCAATTCTGTAAGGGACGTTTCTTTCATTAAAGTTGACCCTCTCTGTCTTCGCACCGCGATACAGAATTATTTGTATAATTACTTATTGGTGCAGGGAGAGTCCTTCGCGAGAGACTGTCGTCGCTGTCGCACATTCTGAGTCGAGCTTTGCTCTCTCTTTCTCTCTCTTTCTCGCTCTCTCTATTCATGATCAATTCGTTGTTTGACGGATGAGGATATGATTATGTGCTCCCGAATGAACCAATCCTGTCGTTCCCGATGAGGTTTCCTCATGGTGCATGTGTTTGATCAAGGTAACCGCGGTGGATCATCGCTCATCTCCCGACATGATCAATCCCCCAGAGTTTTGTGATGAAGGATGTCGATGCCGTCGTCGCTGTGCTGCTCCACAGCTCCTGGACCTCTCTAGACATGTTCTCTTAGCTTGCAGCTTCGATTGACGACCGAAGGCCTCTTGAAGAAGAAGCGGCGAGAATTACTTGCGCCAGCGAGAAATGTCCGGTCCAGCGTCAGGGCGCAACCGTCCCTTCGTTCTTGACGGGAGAGCGATCAATGATACCCATCGATCCACCACCGCATGAATGGCGCCATGGAGCATGACTTTTGTTATCCTCGCATGCGGGGCATACCACATCAAGGGTCATAAAACATTACACATATATACACAACAATCTCACATTCCCCTCGCCTCACCTTGCTCAACCTTTGCCCGTCGCCGTAGTCTTCTTATCGTCATGCTCATCATCCGCACAGCCACAGTCATAGAAATCCCCGATGTTCGCACAATCGAAAATCTCCTTCTTCAAACTCTTATTCACCTCGTTATGCACATGACACGCCCACACGGCCGCGCTGCTCCGCGAAGACGTCTGCGGAGGGAACTCCCCCAGGATCTTCCCGAAATGCTCCGCGCATTCGCCGCAGGGATACAACCGCTGGAACAAGTAGACGTAGTCGCGGAGAGCCGCGCTCTCGTCGGCGGACGGTTTGTCGGGGAAACGCGCCATGATCGTGTGGAAGAGCTTCCAGGAAGCTCGGCCTAACTCGGCTTTGGCGGTTTCGTTGCCGAGCTTGGGCGCGATGGGACTGCCATGGGTGAGGGGACTTCTGGCCTGCTGCTGCTGCTGCTGCTGCAAGGCTGAAGGCGTGAGAGCCGCGGTGATTGTGGAGGCGTGTGGCGTGTGCGAGGAGCTGAGCAGGATGAAGGCGCAGATGATGAGGAAGATGGCGATGAGGAATGGGGTACGCCGGGGCGCTGCTGCGGTCAGCATTGGATGTGTCCCGATGGTGGTGGCGACGAGCGGCGGTGAAAGGCAGATGCGCTTTGTCGTTCTCGTCTTTTTGGTGATGTAGAGGATTGTTTCAGCTCATCGGGCGTGTGGTGAGGTCATTGTGTAGTCGATCGGCTCGCTTAATTATCCAAGCGAGCGAGATGTGCTGCGGTGGTGTAAACTGTAAACGCAGGTGAAGCTGCTGTGCAGTAGATTACTGCCCAGGTGTACGGTAATAAATTGATGATAGAGCTTCGGCCTATTTTTGGGAGCGGGCTATGGTTTCGTGGCCCTGGCTAGCGTGGCAGACGGCCGGAGACAAGTGCGTGCGTTGGTGCGGGCGGGCGTGCTGTTGGGGGCATTTCCACCTGATCTGATTTGCGCCCCAGCTTTTGCGCACCCATGCCGCCGATCAGGCTTATCGATCGCGACCCTCCTCTTTTTGGTTTTTGCGAGATCTAACCTCAACAGGGCGGTGTTGATCCAGAGTCACATGCTGGACATGGCCTGAGAGCTTTGACATCAGAAGAAGCACGGGGGAACGTCTTTCTCTATCCTCGGGGCCGAATACCGAGAAATCTGAAGGTTTCATACACTGGCTAGTGCCTAAACAATGACAAGCAATGGCCATAACCTTGGAATGTTGGAACTCATTGCTGTTTTGTGTCGGGTCCAGGATTCGCCCAGAGTCTGTGCGTTGGCTCTGAATACGCCAAACATGCTGTGTACCAATACAGATCGGACATTGGTACACACAGTAATCTGGAATCCGCCATCCTCGTCTTGTGCAAGCATAAGTCAGAGGAGCCTGTCCGGTGAGGGGAGCAAAGCCATCGAGGGCACGTGCAAGCATCCATCAAAATCAGCGATGCCCGGGTGAAGTCGTGACACGAACAGTGCGAATCGCCAATTTGAAAAATACCCAGGCGGCATGTCTTCGTGATCTAAAGTAGCGCAAAGTGTCATCGCTGACCGCCTGCAGCCATTGTTCATACCCAATCTCCGGGCTCGAGGCTGGCTCGTTGGAGATCGTCAGCCTGGTTTCATTGCAAGCAGCCCTGGAGCTGCTTGAAGAGGCAGAATCTATGTATATGATATTTGGCTGTGAGCATCATCATACTGTAGTCGAGATAGAGCTGCCATGTGATATATACGCCAGAGAGCTGGCTTAGGTTTTGGGTAAAGGGAGAATGTATAACCCTAAGCATCATTACCCCTCAACATTCGTCACTCCTAGTCCATAGACGATAGCATGTGGTGAATGAAATACAGTCTCGAAGAAAATATCAAAAGCGTTGGAGCCATGTCACTCGAAGCGATCAGATACAAGGATGGGCGCCTGACCATCCTTGACCAGCTCAAGCTCCCACATCAAGAGGAATATGACGAAATCCACAACGCACAGGATGGCTGGCATGCAATCAAGGAGATGCGGACTCGAGGAGCACCCGCCATTGCCATAGTCGCCGCCCTCGCATTGGCTGTAGAGCTTCAATCAACCCAGCTGTCGGAGCAGCCTGAGGAGGTTTCGGTGTTTATCCTCGAAAAGCTCGACTACTTGGTGACCAGTCGACCAACCGCCGTCAACCTCGCCGATGCCGCCAGGAAGCTCAGAAAAATCACAGAGACCGCCGCCAAATCCCAAGGCGCTACTGGTTCCTCAGTCGCCAAGGCTTACTGTGATGCTGCTGCGCAGATGCTGATCGATGATGTCTCTGACAACAAAGGCATTGGCAAGTACGGGGCCGAATGGATCACCAAAGTTGCGGGCGGTGGTCAAGTCAGCGTGCTCACGCATTGCAATACTGGGTGAGACAACACTCCAAGTCCATTTCTCTGCCAACCTTCCACCAATTGACTGAATACCAACCTAACCATTATTGTAGATCGTTGGCGACCGCAGGCTACGGCACAGCGTTGGGAGTGATCCGATCCCTCCACGCCAACGGATCCCTCAAGCATGCATTCTGCACCGAGACCCGACCATACAACCAAGGATCACGACTGACATCATTCGAGCTCGTCCACGACAAGATTCCCGCAACACTCATCACCGACTCCATGGCCTCCGCCCTGCTCCGCCTCCGCGGGCCCACCGAACGCATCGCCGCCATCGTCGTGGGAGCCGACCGCGTCGCCGCCAACGGCGACACCGCCAACAAAATCGGCACCTACCAACTCGCCATCACGGCAAAGCACCACGGGGTGAAATTCCTCGTCGCAGCACCGCGCACGACCATCGACCTGGACACCAAAACCGGCGACGACATCATCATCGAAGAACGGCCCGGCAGCGAGATGACGTACCTCAAAGGCCCGCGATTCGACGGCGCCGAATTGGACGTCAGCAGTGTCGAAACCATCAGCATCGCGGCCCGTGGGATCAACGTGTGGAACCCGGCCTTTGATGTCACGCCCGCGGCGCTGATCGATGGGATCATCACGGAGGTGGGCGTGGTCGAGAAGGATTCCAGTGGCGTTTTCGACCTCGGGGTGGCTATGAAGGTGCATCATGAAGGGATCAAGCCTACCACTGTGGGCGGCCTTTAGTGTGTTTGATCGGATTCCTTGCCCGCCTCGCCTTGCTGCTTCCGCTCCCTCGTTCCTCTCTTTTGGCCCCCAAATGCGAGAATTTGGAAGGAAATATGCACGATGGATCCTTTGGCCTCCCCTTTCGCTCTCTAGTCGACCATCTCGCCGGTCGCCGCCGATGTTTCGAAATCGTTTCTGATCATGGTCTTGCATTCTGGGGGGCAACAAGCCACCTCCTTTGACATTTCTTTTTGGCGCAACTCATTTCCCCATTCTTTCCCCCCTCCCTCTCCGGGCAGCAGCTCAACGCGTGTCTGTTCCGAATTGCGTTCTCGTTCTCAAAAAGAAACGAACAAACTTGGGATATAGACTTTGGCTTTAGATTACGAACCGTTCCTTCAACACGAGTGATTATAATTAAACGATCGTGATGACGACGGCGATGATGATGATGATGAATGGTGATCTTCCTTTTTAGATTTCTCTGTCTCTTAGTCTGTCTCTATAGGTCTATCAAAATATGTTCATGGCTAAATTTAAAAAAAAGGATTCCCCCCCACGCTGGTGTCAACGGGAAAAATCTAGAAGAAGATGCGAATAAGCGGGAGATTTCCCCTTTCCTATTTCACTTTTGAATGCTCCGCGGCGCCCCCTCCATGGCCTGTCCGGAAACAGTGCCTTTCCCATTCCCTTTCAGGATCCCTTCCCAATAATCCCCCCAAAAGTCAAAAAGCGTGAAAAACCTCGTGGAGATCATGAGGACTTCCGTAGAACGTCGCTGAGACCCCTGCAGCGGCCCTTGGCAATGTGCGTGTCGCGGTTGCTCTTCCGGCTGAAGGAGATGGAGCAGTGCTGGCATTGGGTCGTGCTGGAGCGGTCGCGCTCGCGCATGTGGCGCCGGTAGTTCTCCGCGCAGGAGAAGACTTTGCCGCCGCAGCCGTGGTCGTAGCAGCGCGGACGTGTGTCGTTGGAGTAGGAGTTGAGTTCGTCGATGATGATGCTGCTGCTGCTGCTCTCTTGAGAGGCTGCCCGGCTGAGAGGCGTGTAGAGGGAGGATGTGCTGCTGTGGCTGCTGTGCACCGAGTGGCAGGGGGAGCGCGGTGAGGGGCGCTTGGTCTTGTGGGTGGTGGTGTGGCGGTGCTTGGTGATGGCGCTGCGGGAGGAGGAGAGGGCGCTATCGGCGCGGGACCGGCAGGGTGAGGGGAGTTGTTGTGGGCTTGTTTGGGAGAGAGGGTCGATGAAGTGGTCGGGTTGTTGCTGGGGTTGGGACCATGTGAATCTTGGGTTGAACATCGAAGACCAGGCTTCTAGCTCTTCAGGTTGGAAATCGACGGGCATCGAGGTCGGTGATGACCATGATGAGCCGCCGCCGCCGTATGTGAGGTATTCGGGAGTCGGCAGAGGCGCAGGGTTGTAGGGCGGGAGACAGTCCCATTGCCATACTGGTGATGAATAGTCCATTGTGAAACGATGTGATGTGATTTGTACTTGTGATTGATTGACGATGTAGAAGAATGTAGATGATGTTGGTGATGTTGGTGATTCATAATCTGCATTTGGGTCATGTGGGTGGACTCTATATGTATTCCATCTGCCAGTCGGTCGGCGTCATGCTTGGTATGCTTGCTCGCACTTTAGCCTTGATGCGATGAAGCATGTATCCCAAGGTTCTCTAGCCATCCAGGTCGAAGGATCTAGCACAGCTAGGGCAGAGGGTGGTGGGAGCATACTTTATTTCTGGGTGTGTGAAGCGATCGGACAGTACAGTACATAGCGAAACATCAGCGAGCACATGGCGGGAGCACGTTCTCGCATGGCGATTGGGTCGCTTGCGAGGAGGCCGACGAGCTATGACAGTCGCCAAGGACGATCATAGCCTCACAGAGACCTGGTTTCATCCTGTGCAGAGGTTTCCATGCCTGATACAGTCAGGAGCCACGTGGAAACCCACGTTGATATGCTTCATCGTGTCGATCCTCACTGACGGCCGACAAGGGTGGATGACAAGCGTCATGATGGGACGACGATGCCATACTATACAGTAGTGGTGAAGATAGTCGGGAGGATTGACGATGGTGGTGGTGGTGTTTAGTGTAGCCGACGCCGAGGTGGTGGGTGTGTGTGGTGGTGAAATGTGGTGAATCGGGTGGTGAATGTGCGAGGGAACCTTGGAAGTGAGTGACGGACTGAGCGGGAGGGTGTGTGTGAGAAAATAGCACAGGAGGACAACACCGCCATCGACATCGACATCAAGACACGATTGGCAACGATCTGAACTGTAATCACGACAAGCTTGTCCCGGGCGCAGCTGCTACGGTTTGCGCGCAGCGAACGTCGCTTCCTTCGCCTGCTGCTGCGACGATGGCGTGGAATATTAAAAGTTGTCCATGTGTGAACTAATGAATTGAGGTAGACTGCGGACAACATACCTAGCACTACTGTACTGTACTGTGCTGTACTGTGCTGTACTGTGCTGTACTGTAATAAATTGTAATGAAAGCGCCTGGCGTGTAGCCGATAGTGCGTGAGCGTAGTGAGCGTAGTCCTGATCGGGAATTTCTGCGCAGTTCTTGCAGCGGGAGGTGATGTATGGGCTATTAGCTAATAAAAGATGACTAACTCCCTGTAGTGCAGATATGCATCTCACAGTATTCCAGCTGGAGGTTCATACAATACTACTAGGCGTATATATCATACCAGGGGCTACTGTCTAGCATCTACCGACCACACATGCATTTATTACGCCCGTCTATGAACCACCACCACCATCATCACCACCACTACTACTGATTCTACTCCTCCTCCTACTACTAGCACGCGCTGGACCGGGAATTGGCCACGAGAGGAGCGGCGACGATCATCATCCTCCCACTCTTTCAGACTTTCAAAGGATCCATCGAGCATGAAGGGCACGACGAAGCTCATCCTCCAACAAGTCGTCACCGGCGCACACCGAGGATCAAGCGTCGACACCTTCATCTCCAGCTGACAGCCACAGATTCATCATAGTGTAGATCGCTAGACCCCAAACAGTACCCAACTCTACGAACCCCGTGCGCTCATGGCGGCCTCGTGGTTTGATTATGGTTGGGGGCTGAAATAAAGTTTTCATGCTTGATTCCCACCTCGACGCTTGGCCAACGCTGGGCTTGGTATTGCGCTGTTTCTATATTCTGTCTTCGATGAGGTCGCTACATGATTATTCCATCGTGGCCGTGGTGCTCGTGCTTAGTCGTTCTACACATTCACCATCATCGCCTGTTCTTGGTTAGACCTCGCATAATAACTCGAGTACCTACCTAGCCTAGGGAATCTCACACAGTACTGACATAGCAACGACCAGCGTTTAGGTCTGGCAATTGCCTGGCAGTGTATGGACCCATGTGCATTGGATCCAAGACAGAACGTGCTGCAAAACCGGGAGGGCGGAACGACAATGCTCCGATGATGCGCTCTGCACGCGGGCTAAATCTTTGTCTGTCGAGGGCGTCGCATTTGCGTCGCGCACCTGGGGAATTAACGACGCTGATGTTTTGTGGCGGCGTGGGCGGCAGCCCTGACAACGCCAAAGGATTCTTGCCCGCCGATCACTCCAGCATTCACTCGAGGGCTGCACTTGTGAGAGCGACCGTAATGTAAGAAGTGCTGGACAACCAACGCCACCACCACCACCATCACCCCCCCACACACGTGCTTGCGTAAACACACTGCACCCACAAGAGCGCTCTGCTCGGAACCGGCACAATGGTTACGTGACTCTCCCTGACGATCGGCCCCAGGCATAAGCCGCTGAAGTCATCTGCTGGATAATTTCTCTTCCGTCCAGATCACGTGCGAGTGATAATCTCGGCCGAGCATGACGATCTGATACGTAATGCGGGCGGAGCTGGGACGGCACGCGCCTTTCCATCTATCCCTCTTCAGGCTTGAAAAGTGCGATCCAATCACGATGAATGCACTCCGACGACAGCATTGTGCTATTATTGACACATTGCGACGAATGAGTGCTCACTGTCATGGCTTGCCTCCATCCCCGATGAAATAAAACGACTATGACACGCAAACGAAAGTCAAGGGTGGGCTATGCTGAAAGTGAGCCAAAGAGACCGACGCTAGACCGAGCTCTGCTCAAACAAGTCTGCACAACACAGCTTCCACAACCACCAATCAAGCAATGGCCCGACTCGGGCAGAGTAAGGCCGCCCACAAGCGAGCTCTCCAGGACGACTCCATCTAGCTGTCGTGATGCTTTGCCCGAAGTTCTGCAGAAGGATTCCACCTGCATGGCAGTGAACGGACAAGGTGCCCAAATTGCCAGTAGGCTGCCAATGCCAGTAGTACAAAGTCCGAAATGCAGTCATCATGCTCTAGCGCCTCAGCCGGAATCCCAAACAGAACCACGTGCTTCATGCACACAACTGACAAATTATTCAAAACATCGAGCGTCGTCAAAGAGACCATCCTCCACGCGCTTTACAGCGAGCCTATCCTCGACGCCGTTCCAAGAAGCAACATATGACGATCGGGCAGTGGTCGATGGGTTGCTCTCGCTGCAAAATGGTAGTGATGAAGACAGCGACGATTCAAGTGACAGTGATGACAGTGTAAGCGCTTTCGACCCAAGGTCGATCGTTCGTGGTTCGTTTGCGGAGAGCTTTGCATCACAAATCCCTGCCGAAGCGCATATTGCCACGGGTGAGGTTGGGATCTCTGTTGCTAGAAGTCCTACCGAAGTCGGTCAATCGAGAGAGCTTCTCTCATCAGGGGGTATACCCGATGCGCTGCAGGACCAAGCAGCCTCCACCTCACGTCCCTCAAATATACTATCGTCGCCTGTGACTTTAGCTCTGCGCGGTTCAGATCGTCGATCATCGCTTCATGGTATAATGAAGACGGGTCAAGCAAAGAGATCACGTGTGACATTCTCATCCAACGAAGGAGTTGAAGATGACCGAACAAGCCAAGACGAGATGTCAAACATCAAGGCCACGTCCGATTCCTGCGATACCCAAAGCGGCATAGACGGGACTGTTCTATATCATGACAAATTTCCACGCAGCACAAACGATGATGGACCAGGCAGTCGTCAGGAGCCCTCATCATCAACAAAGCTAAGTTTAGGCATATCGTCAAATGTCAACAGGCCTCCGCTAGATCAAGAGGATTCCCAGAACAGCCTTTACGCCGAAATGAATCAGATTGTCAGTGATGTCCTAAATGTGACTCGTCCACTGCCCAAAAGTAAGCCTTCGTATCCCTCCGATGCTCCCGGCTCTAACGCCACGGAAAGGTTTATAACGAACAATCATAGCGGTGAATGCATAGATTCATTAGTGGTCTGCCGTGATGATCTCATGTCATCAGCTCGCACTTTAACTCAGCCGAGGAGCGAGTTTCAACACGTCACACAGTCATCTGAGAAATCGCAAACACATCAGCACGAGTCCAATCACGAAACAAACAGCTGTCATCTCGACGATGATCATTGCAACCTCAGCGAGTCCTCTAGTGAATTGAGCTGCTTGAGTCGATCTCCAAGTTTACCAGACATTCCTGCAGAGCATCTACACACGCACCCGGAAAGCATTACCGATGAAGGGTCAAATCAACCCGCTCCACTACTTTGCCCGGAGCCCTCAGGAAAGAGGAAAGCCGTTCGATTAAAACGCCAGACTACCGGCACCAAGAGCAAACATTTTTCGCCTATCAAGCGCAGAGTGACAGAGGTCTTGGTCGACACTCCTCAGCGCACTCACAAGCTTAGAGTACAATCGGCTGATAAACTACATGAGGCAGCCGAAGACTCCGCGCCATCAATAAATCAGGCAGATGCAACTGCCACGGACTCTGCATCGAACGAAGTAGAGCATACGGCACTGCTGGTTGAGTCGGGAATCGCTCAGGACGATGATCAATCTGCCGAGCAAGTCAGCAATGCAAAAAGGCAGTCTACGAGACTCAAACGCAAGACCACTGGATGTAAAAGCAACCACTTCTCTCCTCGACCCAAAACCGACCCAGCACTTTTCGATAGAGTTGATCTGTACAATCCTCATGGCGGCGTCAGGAAGAAGTCAACCGCCGGCATGTCCGCCAATCCCGTCCCATCCATCCTCGAGGATAAATTTGGAATCGTGCAAGAGAGGCTATGGCAGGAGCCATTCTGGCTTATCATCGCCGTAGTATTCCTAAACCAGACCACCGGCCGAGCCGCAATGCCCGTCTTCTGGGCCCTAAAGGCAAGATACATCACCATCGAGAACATCGCCAACGCCGACGTCACCGAGCTCAGAACTATGATTGAACATCTCGGCCTCGGAAATCAACGTTCTAAGCGAATCGTCGAAATCGCCAAAGTCTGGCTCACAAATCCTCCGACACGCAGTCGCCGCTACCGAACGCTACACTATCCCTCCCCCGGCGACGGCAAATCAATGAAGAGCGCCGACATCCTCGAAGACGACGTGGAGATCACCCCCGGCGCCCTCGAACTTGGCCACATGCCAGGTTGCAAACAATATGCCTATGACAGCTGGCGAATCTTCTGCCGCGACGTCCTCCGCGGCGTGGCGGATGACTATCGCGGCTTGAACGCCAAGGACTTCGAAAACTTCGAGCCGGAATGGAAACGTGTGGTCCCCCTCGACAAGGAACTGCGGGCTTGTCTCCGATGGATGTGGTTACGCGAAGGCTACATTTGGGATCCCCTGACGGGCGAGAAACGGTTCGCCACGAGCGAGGAGATGGCTCAGGCGATTCGGGGACAGATGGAAATTGAGGATCCACAGGAGAGGAAGTTTGCACGCCAGGCTGTGGAGAATTCTGCGGCGGATGCTGGTAAGTATCATCGCGAGGTTACCGATGTTGGTAATGATGCTGATCCGGTGACGGAAACTTTGGCACAATAACGAGTTGGATATGGCGTCTTGGACATGAGACGGCCGATCTTGCTGAATATTTTGGCTGTGTACACTATTGTATATCAATACGGAAGGACAGATCGTGCTGGTCACAGTCGTCGTTCCCGAACCAGAGTGTTGCAATTTCTTTACGTGCTTCCATGTTTGATTCATTTCATGCATTGCGTATGTGATTGATAGTATACATCACTGGCCTCAAAAGGGCCATATTTCCCATCCGAATCATTTGACATCAACGTCGTACGCGTGTTTCATAGAAACATGGCCTAGTAAGGCGCAACACCTGGCCTCCACCCTATACCGTCTGGGTGCCATAACCCTTGATCCGATCCGCAAAATCCCAGCTCTGGTTCTCCAGCTTCTCATTCTGCTTCAGCTCGACGCCCTTCTCGTCAATCACCGCAATGCTGTACTCATTCATACTCCTCGCGTCACGGTAGAACAAGACCTTCATGCAATCCTGCACCACCTTCACCGCCGTCGCCCGATCCAACGCCTTACTCGCCTCCTCATCCGGCACCACCTTCCGCAGAATCGGCTGGGCCAAATGCGCCCCGAACCCCGTCGCCAGCGTCGGCGCACTGAAGGTCGTCCCCAGCAGATCCGCCGATGCCAGGAACGGCACATTCTTCTCGTCCAGCCCCGCCACGAGCAGGGCGTTCCACAGCGGGTTGAAATCCGTCCGGCGCTTGTACATGACTTTGCTGAGGTAGGTGTGCAGGTTCTTGGCGCTCATCAACACGTGCTCCAGCTCGCCGCTGGCGTCCCGCCCGCTGCCCACGGCGTAGTTCTCCTCGACGTCGAGCGAGTTGAGCAGCCGGTCGAGGTATTGCATGTCGCTGACATCGCCGCCGAAGCCGACTACCGCTTTGCGGTTGAACGGTTTCAGACGCTTGACGTCGGTGAAGCGGGCGAGGGAGCCGTACGAGGCGAGGTTGTCGGCGGCGATTACGACGCCCGTGGAGAATTTGATCGCGATGACCGATGTGCCGGTGACCACGGGCGATTGGGTGTGTGTGATGGGTTGTTGGGTGCCGCCGTGGGATTGCGGGAGATATGTGGGATTGTAGCTGCCGTAGACATCATCGCGAGGCTGGTCTTGTGTATCAGTTTGGCTGCCTCATGATTGAACGCTCGCTGCAACGTACTCTGCCCCAGGCTTGTGGTAGGTGGTTCATGTTGACGGGTCTGGTGAAAGTCGTGATATATCTAGATCGGTTTTAATGGTCCGGTCTTTTGTCAAAGATCGAGGTGGATAATTGAGGTTTCTTTGTAAGGGTGTTGATATCGTGCCGCTACTCTATTGGGAAGGCATGTTGCCGCAGCGAGCTTAGAAGCACATGAAGCTTAGGCGACGAGCACTGACGCGTGCTGACGATATGATCACGTGATATTCACTTCCATTGCTCCAGGACTTCCCCAATTCCTCCACAAGTTCCTTTCGCAACAACGTCCCAGTTCGCTGAACGCATCATGAGTGGACTCGTTGGGTATGACAGCAGTGAGGATGAAGATAACATACAGCCTGAAAAATCGACCAAGGTAGGAGGTTGCCCTCCAAATCGTGAAGGACAGAGTCATGGATCACTACTCATAGGTGCAAATACGTCTAGATAGCGGAGCTCGAAATATCAAAGACTGCCACTGTAACTGATTCATGTGCGTGATGATCGATGATACGATTTACTTGACACTCTCCTGACTCCCACAGCCCAAGTGAAAGCATCCCGCAGCCAGCAAGATGTTCCCGATCGATCAATTCCACAAGCCGATGCTCAAGTGACTCGAGGAAATCCCGAAGACTTTCAATCAAACAAAGTCTCATCACAACCCCCAGGGCAAGTTCCAAGTGAAAGCCCACCTTCAGGCCCAGCTCAAGGACCGAGTCAAATCCCCACCTCCGCCGTCGACGAAGACGCACTGACTTCACCGCCCTCTTCGCCCTACACCACGGAGCGCCAAAGACTCCGCGACCTCACCATGCCCACAAACCCCTCGTTCCTTATCCCGGACGCCCCTCCGCCACCAGCCTCAAACAGCGAAGAAGCCCTGACTCTCTCCCAAACGACCAAAAAATTCGAACGTTTCCTCACTCTTAAAAAGCAAAACATCCATTTCAACGAGCGTCTCGCCAAACACCCAGCTCTGGAGAACCCCGGCTTTCTCACCAATCTGATGAATGTAGCGGGCATCACCCTGGAGCAGAGCTATGCTAGTTCGCTGGCACCCGAGTCGGCGGTGAGGACCAATTGGCCGGAGAGTTGCTTTGTGGAGAAATTGGTGTGGCAGAATGAGCGGAGGGAGAAGAAGAGGTTGGGGGAGAGAGGGAAGGTGGATTTCGTTCCTTCGTCGTCGAGGGAGCTTTGAGGACGTCTTTGTAACTACGTACGATATCGACGAATTCTGCGTTTGCTATTGAATTCGCCTTACGGGAATTGAGTCTCGGTCCGTCTGAGACGATATGCCCTGGATGAAGAGCATAGTTTGATGACAGGTGTGAAAACGCAGCATGTCGATTTCAACATTTCGGGACTCATGATGTTTGCTCTGTTCATTCGACATCTATCTAGAATGTTTCCGACACGTCTTGCAGTCTCGTGTCTAAATTCACGAATCGAAAGTTTTCCGTGGCTACGTCTCAAAACAGAGTCCTATAATTATTCAGATCGATCCTTCCCCAGCGTTGACTTAATCGCTCAAACCGCTCACAGCACTCTGCCCGCCGTTGATGATTGACTGCGATCCTTGGTTTGCACCTTCTTCAATCCCTTTCCGGCCTGAATTTCACCCAATAGTCCGCCCACATTAGGTCTGGCGGCCGGTGCACTTGCCGCGGGCATCGGTGGCGGCGGAGGTGCACCCGTTCCTGGCATCGGCGGTGGTGGAGGAGCGCCCATGTTTGGCATTGGTGGGGGTGGTGGAGCACCCAGGTTGGGCATTGGCGGTGGTGGTGGAGCACTGCTCGTCGGGAACGGTGGCGGTGGAGGCGCGCCTCCAGTTGGCATTGGCGGAGCAGGTGGTGGCGAAGCGAAACGGGTTGGTGCAGGAGAACCCGTCGCAGAAGCTGGGCTGTCCATGGCGGAAAGTGGACGCGGCGGCGCCATTGTGCCGAAAAGAATAGAAGCAAGTTGCTTGGCGCTACCGCCTTGAGGCTTATCTTCGTCATCATCGTCGTCGTCATCGTCGTCGGACTCCATGACCGACCAGTCGTCTTCATCGGCGGGTTTCTTGGAGCGGCTGCGGTTCACTGCCTGCACGGGATCCGGCAGAGCAGTCTGCTGTTTAGCGACTTCCTGTGAAGTGATGCGATGGAACGGATTGGTGTCGAGTTTGGTCTCGCTGTTGCTGTCAGGTGAAACAATAGAAGGCGCAGCGGAGGATTGGGCGGAGGGTTGGCTCAGATTGCGATAGAACGGGTTCTTCGACTGTTCTGGAGGGCTTGTCACAACTTCAGGCACAGGTGCAGCTGTCGGAGGCAAAGGTGGAGCGGCAGGTGGCTCGGATACTGTAGGTAGCGACACTTGCGGCACTGCGGGAGCCGACGATGGCTCTGCACGGCTTTTCCAAGCATCGACCGGGCCCTCATCATTATCATCACTGGAATCGTCATCGTCACCCATGCTTTCGAGCTGAAGTCGCAGCTGTCGTTCCTTCTCCTTTGCAGCTTCAATCTCGGCGCGCTGAGCCGTAAGGCGAGTCTCCTTCTCTTGAGTCTCTTTCTTGGCAGCCTCGCGACGCTTCTTCTCCTCAGCCTTTTTGAGCTTGCCTGCCTTGACTTGCTCCTCTAAGGCTCGTAGAGATGCTTCTGCCTCTGCACGTTGGGCTTGCAGCTCGCGCTCCTGGCGAGCTTCCTCGTCCCTAGTTATTGTCAGTGAATGCGAAGTTGTAGCAAGTTTGGGGGAGATACATACTCTAATTGCTTGGTCTCTTCAGCGATCGCCGCTCCTTGCTCCTTCAACGCCTGCTCTTCAGCTCGCTTAGTGTCCGCTTGCCATGGATTGCTACTTGAACCTTGCGTTCCCTCGCTTGCTTTGTTTCTCGGGGCAGGAGGCGGAGGTTTAGCCTTAGATGCAGCGGCGGCGGCAGGCGCAGGCGGCGCGATGGACTCTCCTTCAAGTCTTGCGCGTCTTTCCTCCTCGCGTCGAGCATCTTCAGCCTCGGCCTGTTTCCGGCGATCTTCGCGTTCCTTGCTTTCGCGCTCGGCACGCTGTGCAGCAGTCTCTCCACCTTTAGCTGGGGTTCTGATTCCAAGGGCTGCGAGACGCTCGGCCATGCGCTGTTCTGCTTGCTGCTTGATGAAAGCTGCTCGTTCCTCTGCTGTTTTGTAGCTGGCATAGGACGATCCACTGGTCTGTGGAGTCGATGTAACAAACTTGCTTGAGGCCGGACTGTCCGTGCGCGAGATAGGTGAATTCGTACGGCTTTCATCGTCCGCCAATCCAGCTGCCCTAGACTTTGGTTGTGTCTTCTCCTGGGTACGAATGCGAGCTGCGCGGGAGCTTCGCTGGAGATCGAAAATGAAATCCTTGACCTCATCTTCTACACCGAGACCATCCTCCCAACGGCGCCTCTCATGATCATCCGCAGCTGATGGCGCGCCCTCCTTCAGACTGGACTCTAGACTCTTGCTGTATTCCGTGACGCTCTCCTCAACTTCTCGAACCATTTTTTCGTTATCCTCGCGCTCGCGAGTAACGCGCTTGCTCTCGTCCTCGAGACGTCGTGCAGCAGCGCTACCGTCATCTGCGACATCAATCTTCTTGCCAGTCAGTGCTGCGGAACGTTGTTGCATCATGGCTTTGGCTCTTGCTTTCAACCTGTCGCTTTCGGTCACTGCACCACCAGGACCAGTGCCAATGATGGGGGTGGCCGTTCCAGGGTGTGCTTTAGCGTCCTTCAGTCTGAACAATTCGAGTTGAGCATCTGCAATCGCACGCTCACAACGCCTGACGTGGCTGGCAAGCTCCGGGAGACGGTCCTGCAATGTGCGCAGCTGCCGTTGAAATGTCCGGGTCTCGGCATCAGAGCTACCGTTTTTGAAGGCGCTGGCAGGATGGCTGTCGATGTCTTCTTGTATCCTGCGGATGCGTCGGAACAAATCCTCGCTCTCCTTTCTATCCTTTCGATCAAGTGCATCCTCCTGGTCTTGACTATTTTCATCTTCAAAGTCCATCGCGTCCAGGAGAACCTGCTTCTCTCTGATGGTCTTCTTTAGCTGGTCAATGCTCATGTCGTCAGCGTTGAGACTACTGGTTTCGCTGTGGGCAGGAGACGAGCTTCTAGCACCATCTTGTCCGACTCTGCGCCTAGCCGATGAGCGATAACCGACATCGTTGTCATCGTTTTTGAATACTGTAGCATCTTTGCGTCCTAATTCCGAGCCGGCGCCGCTCTTGAACGAACGTGATTTCAAGTAGCTTACTCCAGTCTTCTGTGGCTGCAAGAACGCGCCACTAGATTTACGCTCTTGCGCGTCTTGGCTGAGAAGGCCCTTCATAGTTCCAATGCTGTCGTTGAGATGGCGCGTCGAAGGGGGAATCAACTCCGGCGGGAGCTGATTGGGCACAGGGTATCCGTTCAATCGCCGATAGATGAGATGCATAGCGACCGCGAACTCATCGAGGTTCAACCGACCTTTGTTATGCGGATCACTGAGCGTCCAAATTTGCTCCAGTTCTGGCTTGTCTAACCCTGACTGGCTGAAAATCTCAATGGCTTGATTGCCCGTGATGAATCCCTTCCCGAATCCGTCCCATGCTTTAAACATGTCGTCATAAATCTTTTTCTCGTCTTTGGTCACCGCCCAGGGAACTGTGGCGTTACCCCTGAGCCCCTGTGTGGTGAAGCCGGTCTCCCTTCCAGCTTGCGGCATCATTTGCTGCTGCAGAGCCTGCAAATTGGGTAGGCCACTCGCTGGTGCATTGACTAGACCCCACTGACCTGGCATGCCGGTTGGCTGAGCATTGAGAGGTGCAGGCATGGAGCCTGGATAGCCAGTCTGTTGCGGCATCAATCCAGTGCTCTGGCCGAAGCCAGTCGGCATTGGCGGCATCGGAGGTCGTGGCCCTGAGTATCCTGTGGCTTGAGGCATACCGCCCGGATAACCTGTCGCCTGTGGCTGCATAGATTGTTGATAACCTGTCGCTTGCGGGACCTGGAATCCTGTTGGTTGTGCTGTCAGGGCCGAAAGTAATTGCTGGTTGGAAGGGTTCTGCGCCTGGGGTTGTTGAATCTGTGGGACCTCAGTGAAGCTCGGCGCGTTTGACTGCTGCGGTGGTCGAGGAGCATCATCAGGAATGCCGAAAGAGATGATGTCGACCATGCTGGAAACTTCATTGCGAACCTTCTCAGGCAGAGTGGCAGGCAAATCCTTTCCTGTGAGCCTCAGATTGCACAAGTACATGGACAGTGCGAACTCCGGGAAGAGCAGCTGACCGGACTTCGTTGTGTCTGATAGTGTCCAAATTTGTGCCAGGCTATTCCCATCCAGTTTACTCCTGATCAACAAATCTTTCGCCTTCTCTCCAGTCAGAGCTTGAGCACCACCCGTCGCGCTTTTGAACAACTGCTCGAACTTGGCCTGATCCTGTGCTGTGATGAAGCTCAGCCTGATGTTGGGAATCTTGTTACCCGTAGCTGGGGCTGCGGACGGCGGTTGAGAGGATGGCGCAGATGCCCTGAATGAATTGGCCATGTCTGCACTCGTCATGCCGGTTGGCTGTGGTGCTTGTGCGGGTGCCGGCGCTTGAAGTGTCGCCTGTGGCATTGGTGGGTAGCCAGTCGGTTGCGCTTGTTGCTGTGGCTGAGGCTGAAAGCCTGTCGGCTGAGGTTGTTGGAAGCCTCCATATTGGGGCTGTTGCAAGAATTGCTGAGGTTGCTGTTGCTGTGGTTGCGAAGGGTATCCAGTCGCTTGAGGCAAGACGCCTCCTCCCGGATATCCGGTGTATTGCTGCTGCAGAGGAGCTTGACCATAGCCAGGCTGCTGCGCGCCAAATGGGGTTTGACTTTGAGGTGGTTGTTGCGGTTGCTGACCATACTGAGGCTGGCCAGCGCGCCCGGCGTTTGCGCCGCCTAGGTACGAGCTCGACCCAGAGAACATGATCAATGGATGATCTCAAGAGCTCAGTACCGACGGTTAGGAATGATGGACAACCTGATTCGTGTCGGAGAGATGAATGCTGGCTTTGTTGGCCGCTCCAGCTCCGCAATCACTTAGCAGCATAAGGATATTCTTGGCGTCAAGTAGGGCGGCGTTGAGCAGGGCTGCGTCACCACACAGCTACAATGCTGTAGCCTCCGTGAATCTCAATGGACATGAGTGACATTTAGTAGCTCCGGCTCATTCGGCTGCACCAATCAATGACTACACACAATACTCAAACGGAGGATATTCGACACACGCAGATGAGCTGGAAACATGCCCGAGAACGCTTTGTTTGGTGGAAACATGGATGCGAGCGTTGGTTCAGCATCGTGAACGAATGACCGCACCCTTGCAGGAGCGCCGGAAGGCCAGGCCATGCTAGGGTTGGTGATAACCTTGTGCTTATCACCTAGGTATGCACACGTGCCGGTCAATCCGAACAATGAACCACGGATGCAGGCGTTGAACGTCTTTGGAACCTGTGATACCTTGCTTCTTACCGCAGGCGAGCGGAATTCCAACAACTGGCGGAGAGGATCACGGTCAGTCATATTTTGTCTTCGTTACGCGACCGCGACACGAACCTCCCCGTGGTTGCCGCGACGTCCCGGCTGGACGGCGCTGACTCGGGGAGTCTGCCATGATGACTCCTGCAGATGGACGATTGATGTCACAAGCAAAATCACAATGGCAGACTCGAAGCTATGGCTATTTCTGTGCAGACGCGCTCACTTTGAAATTTCAAATTCTTGAGAACCCACAGTATTCCGGTTTTGTACAATATGGAGCTCTTTCGAAAACCGGCTAGAACAGCATTCAATCGCCAATGGCGACTGTCTTTGACAGCTACATCGAGACCAAACCTCCTGCATATTTCCCGACGGGCCCTTTCAATCAAGCAACTCGATGAGCAGCGAAATGGCCGTGAAAGAATTGTGATCCTTGGGTCTGGCTGGGCAGGCTTCTCCATGTCTCGCGAGCTCGATGCGCGCAAATATCAAATTGTCGTCGTGAGCCCTCGCTCATATTTTGTCTTCACTCCGCTACTCGCCAGTACAGCCGTAGGTACGCTGGAATTTCGGACTGCGCTGGAGCCCGTCCGATCATTCAAAGGCCGTGGTGCGGGAGCGGAATTCTTCCAGGCATGGGCTGAGCAGGTCGACTTTGACAAAAAGACTTTGACTGTCGAGGAAGCTGTGCAGAATCCATTGCAAAGCAGAGCTCTTGCTGCGTCGAAATCGGATCTGGAAAGTGCCTACAAAGCCAAGGGACAATTGTTCGAGCTTGCATGGGACAAACTCGTTGTAGCTGTTGGATGCTACGTCCAAACATTCAACACGAAGGGTGTCAAAGAACATGCTTATTTTCTGAAAGATGTTGGCGATGCTCGCAAAATTCGGAACCGCCTACTGACATGCTTCGAGACTGCTGCATTACCAACGACTTCCGAGGAAATGAGGAAACAGATCCTCAACTTTGCCATCGTAGGAGGCGGACCAACTGGCGTTGAATTCGCGGCCGAGCTGCATGACACGGTGTACGAGGATATGAAACGACTATATCCTGAGCTCTTCGAACACTTTCGCATCACAATCTACGATGTCGCTCCGAAAGTCTTGAGCATGTTCGACGAAAAGTTAGGACAATACGCCATGAAACATTTCCAACGAGCAAGCATTCATATTCGCACAAGTCACCATGTCGAGGAGCTACGAATTGGAACACCAGGATCGAACAACGGTAAACCCGAAGCAGGACAAGCGCCGCTCTCGTATACATTGAAAGTCAAAGAAGATGGCGAAGTAGGCGTAGGCATGTGCGTATGGTCCACAGGCCTGATGATGAATCCGTTCGTTGCGAATGCTCTTGATGGCAAAGTCAAGCGCGACCAACGGACGGGAGGAATCGTCACCAACGACAAGATGCAGATTCAACGTTGTGACGGCTCTATCATCGAGAATGTCTTTGCGCTCGGAGATTGCGCTTCCATTGAGGACCTTCCATACCCTGCTACAGCACAAGTTGCCAACCAAAAGGCCAATTGGTTGTCGAAACGACTAAACAAGGAAGACCTCGCCAGTCGACACTTCAAGTACAAAGATTTGGGTATCATGGCCTATATTGGAGATCACAACGCGCTTGTCCAGAGCGCTGGAGGCAATATCTCGGGCAGAGTAGCTTGGCTCATATGGCGTGGAGCCTATCTTGCAAAGAGTGTCAGCTGGCGTAACCGTATGCTAATACCGATATACTGGTGAGTTGAAAATTCATTTGACCCGGCAGCGTATTTACTAATTTATCAACAGGACCATCAATTACATCTTTGGCCGAGACATTTCGCGCTTTTGAGAATAGTCAATTGGGATGCTGTGTGCTAATTTTTCCAAGATCTGTTCATAACCCATACATGCTAGAGATCGTGTCTAACAAGCTAAATAAAAACGCCAGTAATACTCGAGGAAAACAATACGGAAGTTTTACAAGACACGCTCAGAGCTTGCTACTCCTGCCTGCCTCCAGATAAGTCTGCTGGTGACGGAGCGAGTCAATGCACTCCTGAACCATCTCTTGGACGATCTGTCCAGCAGGCTTGATGTCCTTGATGACACCAGCGACCTGACCCATCAAGTAGGGAAAGTCAACCTCACGGTCCTCATCCATATCGTGCTGCATTGGCACGATTCCTTGGTCACAGAGCCTCTTGATCTCTTCAGGCCTCTTCTCCCATTCCTTGATGTAGTCGTTGACCCTGACTCGCAGCGGTCTACCCGAGATAACAAGCGTCCGCTGAGTCTCTTCGAAGGTCGCGGCGACGACCGCCTCCTTGTGCAGCTTCGAGCACCCGGCCTCTTCGGCAGCGACGAATCGTGTTCCGACCCAGGCGCCAACCGCACCGAACGACAGCATCGCCGCCAACGACCGTCCGTTGTAAATACCACCCGCGGCGACCACCATTCCAGGCTTTCCCGTCAACGGGCTCTTGTACTGCTGTGCAACATCCACACACTCGGGAATGAGAATGCTCGTGGCGATATCACCAGTGTGTCCACCACCCTCACCACCCTGCGCACAGACAATATCGACACCCGCCTTGAACGCCTTGTGCGCATGCTTCGGGTGTCCCACCATGTTCATGACCAGAATCCCCGCCTCATGGAGCCTCTTGATGACATGCGCTGGCGGAATCCCCACCGCCGAAACGAACAACTTCGCACCCTCCTCAATCACCACCGAGATCAACTCATCCAGCTGGCCGTGGGTGTAGTCATGGTTGGTCTTGCGCGCTGATCCGCCGACCTGTGGCAACGCGAGATCTACTCCGAAGGGAAGTTTCGGGTCGCGAAGGTTCTGCTTGATTTCGTGGATGATCTCGCGCATCTGCGTGGGCGTGTAGCCCAGGCCACCGATCACGCCGAGACCGCCGGCGTTGGAAACTGCGGCGGCGAGAGGGCCGGAGGAGGTGCGCGCCATGCCGGCGAGGATGATGGGGTATTCGATGTCGAGGAGCTCGCAGATCTCGGTTCGGAGGGTTGGTCGAGGCATGATCACGGTATTGCGATGTGTGTGAGAACGTGTTAATGTGTTATATCAAGCCGCAGAGTAGAATTTCGTGTTGTCGAATAGATGATCTTCTGATGTTCAATGACGTCTCCGAATCCTTATATCCGAGCTCGGTCCAGAGGATAAACCGATCAGAATGGTGATGCAGTGGAAGATTCACAAATGCAAAGAAGAAACGAACTTCTAATCAAAGACACTCAAAGAGAAAGAAATCTCAATTGATGCTGTACAAACCGTATATAATTGTACGCCATTGAGACCTGCGCCACGACTCGCACATGCGATTATCCCGCCAAAAGGTTAATGAAATCGCATCTGACTGCACCCCAGCTTCGTATCGCCCCTCGTATCGGACTCGCGCACCAACGAGAAAGTGGCGGGCGACGCACACATGCATGCGTTTGCGCGAACGTTGCCCTTTTTTGCGGGGAAGAGCGAGTCGATGATGGGCGGAAGAGAGAGTCGAGCCGCACGAGTCGCCTCTTTTTCATCTGCATCTGACTTGAGGCTCGGAAGCAGCCGAATTTGCGGGGGAAATGCTTGTGATACAGAGGCACGACGAGAGGGTGGTGTGAGATATTTCAATCATGATGCTTACAGGATTTATCATTGGAAGATAGAGATCTCGTGATCGTCGGACAATCTCGCGGAGTGTTCGTACACAGGCGACTGTGAGGAGCGATATGTCTCCTCCATGTATACAGGCCATCTGACGATCTGACAGTTTGGTCGGAACATGTTCTCTGGGCAATTAAGAGCCGGGACACATTCACGTAGTCTGAGAGTTCTCACAAGTGTCACGGTAAATGATAGCGATAGAGATGCATACCATACTGTCGACTTAATAAAGTTGTGCGATGCAAAAGAGAAAAAGCAGCGGTTACCATGATCAATGAAACCTTCCAAGAAGGCTCAGTAAATAAAGAAAAGGCCAGCAACGGGGGTATGAAGAACAACAGCACAACAACAAAATCAACGAAAAATCGGGGGCAAAGAAAAGGCATGTGGGAAAGCATCAGACATCAGAGGAAGTCTCGCTGGGATGCGAGCACCAAGTGCGGAAGAACAAAACAAAGAAGCCAAACATCCACCCCGTTTCTGCCCGTTCATCAGGAAACTGTTCCCTCACATGCGCTTCCTCATGACTCTTGAGACTCTTGGCATCAGAAGCTGGTGCTACTCTCCTCCTCGCGCAGTCGTGACATGCTAGGCTTCTTGCCTGGGCTCATCATCTGTCCGGCCGCTAGCATACCACTCTCGCGGCGTTTGGCCTTGACATCGCGAGGCGTCATGAGGTGTTGGTTGCTTCCTCCGCCATTGCTGTAATCCGAGGAGGTGTAATCGCCACCACTCTGCTGCTGGCGCGAATCACCAGGATGCGATGAAGAGGATGAGGGACTAGTGGTGGATAGGTATGAGGATGGTGCGCGCAAAGCGTCGTTTAGGCTTCCGAAACCGCCTTCACCGTGAGGCGCCATTTGGTACGGCGCGTAGGTTTGTGGGTGTACGGGGACCATGCCCATGTTGTTCTCGGAAGCCGAAGCTGCGAGGTTGCCGGCAGATGTGTAGTGTGGGCCCCTGCTACTGTTGCCGCCGAAATGCATAGGCTGGAAGGTGGTCTGGTTGTAGGCGGGAGTGGGAAGGTCGGAGAACATTTGCTTGCGAGGAGAGCGAAGGTCCGTGGGGGTTGAATTTTGGGAGGCTTGCGCGGACTGGTGTGCAATGGGAGAAGATGCTTCATCATATGCCAGGCCGAAGATCCGGGACTTCTCCTCGACGAAGAGGGAAATCAATGGACCAGGGAGATTCAATGTTGGAGCGAAGACGACACCGACTAGTGAGAGGGCTTGGTTAGTATGTGTGTATGCAAAACTCGCGGCATTCCTCATCGTTATATGATGGGGTGAACCAGAAAGACTTACGATTGCGGACATTCATCCGGTTGACGGCGACATTGTCGACAATCAACAACATGAAGCCAGAAAGGGCTTCCACCAACGCACGATTAGCAGGTGGCAGTTTGTTGACCAAAATGTTGACAGCGACGACCTTGTCTTCATGTGCCAATTCCAAGGAGCGGAGAAATTCAAGATGCAGCTCGCGCGTCAAGATACTCGAGGGAAGCTCACGCAGGTATAGCTTGAGCAGACTCGCAACGGCGTGGATGTCGTAGTAGTTATCCTCGGCGAGAAGGTCGATATCACCTTCGGTGTTGAAGCGCTCTTTGAGAGATTTGATGATGGTGTTTGATCCAGAAAGTCGGAAGATGCCTTCCTCAGCCACGGCGTTCTGAGCAGTGAGATATTCAATGCAGCGATACACGACAGCGGGCAGATCTGTCACGACATCGGCAGGTTGAGCATACTCCACTGCAAGCGCCAACTCCACGCCAAATACAGCACGCACACCTGCCGTCGATGGTCGGTCAGAGGCCGGCAAGTCTGACGACGATCTGCCTTTGCTGCTGAAAGGCAACGTGAAGACACTGCGCTTCTTGTCCTTGAAACCGGGTGTTGGTGGCTGCTTATTGCCCCAATCGCCGGCATTCTGGATCACCTGGAGATTGCTTGGTTTAGAAATGGTGGGGTGAGTGCCGTTCGTATGTTCAAGTCGGTCGAAGCCAGGGGACGACGGCTCGGGAATTCGAGGACTCAAGGGAGGACCCATTGTAGGCGCATCACCAGCAGTGAGTTCGTTGTATTGCACGGCCCGCAAATCTGACGGCCGAGAGCCGCCATTGGATCGAAGGTCGTTCAAAGACTTCTGCAGGCGTGGGCTCCGAGGGCCCGTGATCTCCGATTTCAAGAGTTGTGCTTGCAGGGAGGGATGGGCCTCGTTGTCCTTGAAATCGACATACTGTAAAAGCGATTCAACCCAGGCATCTCGCTCCTCATCACTTTCAGCACATAGCACATGTCGAACCAAACTGTTTGAGTCCTTCTTCTTCGGCTCCAAGATGAGGAAGGCATGCCGATACTGATTCTCCTCATCCTCCGTCGACGATGCAGCAGTGGTCGATTGTTTGCCAATCTGTGCATTCTGAAGTTTGATTGAGCCGAGCTGAGCTCCACCAGGTCCTTCGAAGTACTTCAGGTTCGGCCCATCGAGTACGAAGAACCTGGCTTTCCAGCCACCAAAGTTCTTTCCACGCTTCGTAAGGTATCCGGAACGATTCTGTCTCAATTTCTGGACTGGAGCATTGGTCTGAGGCTCTGCTGGAGCTCCGAAATATTCGCTCGCTTCAGCTCCAAACGCATCGCTGGATAAAAATAAACAAACGATCTTGGCAGCGCGCTCCTCGTAGACGGATTCGAGCAAAATTCCAAGATATTGGTCGATTGCATGTCTGCGTGCATCGATCTTTGCAGGAGCATGACCGACAAACAATGCCCGATCGGGAAGACTTGCTTGAATCGTGCAGACCGCCTTGACTTGCTGATCCAAGGAGGCTAGACTCTGGTAGGTCTTCTCTGTGCGCCAGAGCTGTTTATTGGCAGATCGTTCGTACACGGCCACTGTGAAGACTGGGTTTTCCTCACCTGGCCTGGGAGCAATAAAACTCTGCCGGGAGGGCTTCATGCGCGGCGATGTTGTTTTGACATAGATTGAGGGCAGAGCGTTGGGCGGCAGTAGCAGGCCGGGATAAGCATCGGATACGAAGCCTGTGAAAATTTCGCCTGGCGACTGATCATTGGGAGCGCGAGCAAGGTCTGGGCTCGCATTGGGCGACATTTTGTTCTGCTCAGACACCGGAGCTGCAGCCTGCTGTGAGGGCGCCTGGATTTGCTGATGATACGCGGCAGCGCGATCTAGGTGTGGGTAGCTCATGGCACTGGGTGTTTGTGGTGGCAACGGAATGGCATGTCGGGGTGCACGTGGTGACAGAGGGAATGCCGCCATACCAGGCTTGGGTGACATTGGCATAGCGCCCAGACCATTGAACGCCCGCGGCATGGGCGAAAGGAGCGGTCGATCACCAGGACGAGGGCTCATTGGAAGTCCAGGACTCAAGATCGATGGCGCATTCAAGTTCCGTTGCATGTCGGAGACGACGCGATTGCGCACGATGTCGGCCGGATTTACCATGCTCTGAAATGCGGGTATCTTCGCCTTCGCGACACCTGTGGCCTGTACCTCAACAGGTGCCACAGGTACCGGCGGTTGCTCTACTGCAGGCTTGCTCTGACTTTGTTTGTTGTCCTTCTTCGATCGACTTCTGTGCTCCTCTTCTGCTTGGTAAGATTTCTCGCGCACGCGATCATCTTCTTCGCGAGTCTTCCTACGACCCCGCTCTTGATATTCGACACGCGCGCCGTCCGCATCTAGTTCGTAGTCGGAGTCTGATGCATCCACAATCTCCTGAGGCGCATCATTGGTAGGTCGTCGTTCCAGTTTGAGCGGCGCAGGCGGCGCTTTCCTCGTTTTGGGGCTAGACAGCACGGATTGCGGACTATTGGGCATAGGCGACAACGTGCCGGGCTCTTGTTCACTGTGACCTCCCCGGCCCGATTGATCGAGACTCTTCGAGGGTGCATACGTATTGTTGGCTGCCCTGATGTTCAGCGGCGCTGGCGAACTGACCGGCGCGTTCGCTGACGATCGTTCCAGCTCTGGCGAGGCCGCCAGAGCACTGACGTTTGCCGAATGTAGTACACCAGACCGGCCCAGTGGCTGATATGTTGTCGCATCCTGTGGGGTATCGGAGCGACCAACATTCGACGAATCCACCTCTGATATATCGCTCGACTTACGTAGACCTTTGCTGCTCTCACTCGGAGAGACCCGCTGGCCGTCCAACAGCGCGGGTGATTGACTGTCGTCACGATCCAGGAGTTCGTCAGTTTGTGCAGACTGGCCAGTCATGATTGAACTCATGGAGGTTCCATGGGCGAGTTGTTCCTTGAGTTTCCGCTTGTATCTCTCCTTCTCTTTCGTCATCTTCTCTAAATCCTTCCCGAGACCGAGCAGCATCGATCTCTGCTTCTCTACCAGTCGCCATAATTGCGCGTTATGTGAGGTGAGCTGCTGCTTCTCCGCGAGCACTTTTTGTAAGGCTGCCTCGGCGGATCCGGTCGACGCAATGAGAGCAGCGGCACTGGGTTGGCTGGCCGCATCCTGTGGGGCACGCAGAGCGCTATTCGGAGCCGGTCGCAACGCGGCAGAAGCGGCCGATATCGAAGAAATGTTCGAGTCGATCGAAGCCGTTCGTTGCGTCATATTGCTGTGGGCGATGTTGTTTGCGCGAGGATTCGCGATCGGGCTGGACATGTTGCTCGTCGGAGACACGTTCAAGGGATACCGCACGGTCGATCCCGGCGAGCTGGACGTGCTGTGAGTGGGTGATTGCAGGGATGGGTTCCTGGCGTTGGCCCTGCGCGACTCCGCTAAGGCTTGGCGCGATATGGCTGAGTGCAATTCATCGTTGTCCCTCGTGACTTTCTTGGTTGGGTCGGGTGCGCGCACACGAGTCGAGAGAGGTAGAGACCCAGGCGTAGGCGAAGATGGTGATGAGTTGGATGATGGCTGTTGATCTTCTTGCCGGACGAGGAAGGGATCGTGGAGAGCAGGGTGAAAATGCAGCGACTGATTGGGCACGCGAGGGTCCGGTATCACACCCACGACACCCTCTTCGATGCGTCGGCCTGGCGAGAAGGAAGAGACATGAGCGCCGGCGTCGTGCAGCGGTAGTGGCCGCGAGATTTGTATTGGCTTGACACTATTACTAGTGCCTCCTCCGCCTGACATGATTCTCTCTGCGCCCTCCCTTTGGACCTTCACTCTCCGGAGGGAGAAGCTTCAGTGTGCTCCACTAGTACTTTGAGAGACAAGTCACCAACTCTTTTTGATCAGGCATCGGCGCCTGGCCGAGCCTCTTTGCGACGCTGATTTGATGGGACAAGATGCCCCTTGGTGTGCTCGGAACCGGCCGCGCTTGGCCGCTTCATTAGCTGAGCGCTTAGCATGCGACTCCCATCAGTCACATCAATGAATATGTGACACCACGACCGTCGCTATTTTACAATATTGCTTGTGGCGGTATGAGGAAAGCTTGGCGAGAGAGTGATTTTGTACAGTATCGTATGCATGGGCGTAAGAGATAGCGGGTGATTTTGTCGCGCAGGCGAAAACGAACCGACCCAGCCGCCAGCGTTTCTGTCGAAGTCGAGTTCGATGAGTTCGATCAGCGGTATGAGATTGTAATAAGTCACAGTTGAGCAGCACAGTGTTGTCCTAACCGGGCGGTGTTGGTGGCATGCATGTGCGAGAGAGCACAAGTGCTATCCATATGGATAGATCCATTTTTTGACCTGCATCTGCTTGTTTCAAAGTCACTTCCTGCCGTCCCCGAGAAGCGTAGGTAAGCAGCAGTCGCCAATCAGCTGACCGCACAGCGCTTCGGTGGAGCATAGTGACGATAAATGTGCAGGACTTGCAGAATGCACCACGGCACGAAGCATCCTAGACGCCCTCTTCCTGCAGGCATGTCGCTCCCTGGATTCCAGTGCAGTGATTTCTAATCTCTCATTTCGCATCCAAATGCAATACACCTGCAGGCAATGAGCCACCAACACAGACTATAATCACGAGAATGGAAAATTGGAAAGATCTGTCCGATGCTTCTGGAATCGCATGCTCGCATGGATATTGTGGACATAACTGCAAGAGCACGTACACATTGTGACGAAGACCTCAATAGGTGCCCACAATGCTTCTTCAGAGTATGACCTTGCATTGCCGCGTCCATCTACCACCACAACCCAGAGCCTGTGAATTACCTGTAGCATCTATCTCCATACAAACACATTCTCCCAAAGATGGCCAGGGATCGAGAAGAGGGTGCAGCTCTGTCAGAGTGTTTAAAATGGAAGACACCCAACTCTCGCAACGTGAGGAGTCGGACGAGTCGGACGGTCTTTACCGCGCACGGCCTCCCCACGCGATATCGCGCATCGGCGAAACCATTCAATAGCGCCCCGTGCTGCACTATTGTTGTCAAGCTATGACCGTTTTCATATTGGAGTAGAGTTGAGCGGCCAGTCAACGCTTCCCGGACAGTCGGTTATTTGTCCATTCGTTCAGTATGACAATCATCATTCCGGATGTCGCAAATACTGTGAGAAGGACATCATTCTCTCCTTTCGCCATAGCTCGCACAGTTTCAAAGCACCCGCCGCTCCTTTCACCTGAGCACCTGCATGTAAGACGAAGCGCGCATGAACTTTATGCCCCGTTGTCCCTGATACGGTACTTTGGTAAAGTGTAGCCCTCTGCATGCGGCTTGAAGCGGGTTTCGATACTTGATTGTACATACCGAGCTCTCCTGAAAGGCACATTTAGGGAAAATCTCACAAGCCGGTCTTTGAGGAATCGTCTAACCTATGATTACCATTTGCTTGTCAAAAAGCAGATCGCCGATGGGTTATTGCACCGTGGTGCTCTACATCTGGCGCAAGGTGGGAAGCACATGTCCGTCGGGCTAGTCCTCGGGCGGTCACCTAGAGTTTCTGCGCGGATTGGGCTCGACAGCGCCGAGATGATATGCTGAATATTTAGGACAACAGTTCGGGCGGTAAAGTATTTGCTACGGAAACGAAGGATCTAGAAAGGGCTTTCCGTTGATGATGACAATTATGCAGACTGATCGATGAATGGATGAAAAACATTGGCCGAACAGTATGGCAAGGTCTGGACCCTTACGCAATTTTGGATGAAGAGTTATGGTGGAGCACCAACATTGGCTCTAATAACTGGCGAATTTTCGAAAATTTGACAAGGAGTCAAGTCGCGTGGTGGCGTCCACTTTATGCTTGGTAGTATCCGAACCTCCCGGTACCATCTCCGTGTGTGTTCTGTGATGAATCAGTGTTGCCGTGATGATTTCGAATTAGGGTTCCTCCATCTCCGAGTGTCTGCACGTGCTCGCCTGTGAGTCTCTCCCTCTCGCTCCCCACGCGGTGCGTGCTCAGTGCTAGGGTTATAGTTTGCTGCGGGTACCTGACGCTAGGCGATCGTGCGGTAGCATTAGCTCAATCGGGTCGACTAACGAGATGCATCATTTTAGTGACATGCAGGACACCGATTCATCATCTCACAGCCCGACGGCATGCGTGGTTTCATACACGTTCAAACGTACACGACGAGATGTGCTCCATCTGTATATACCTGTATCGTATGTGTTTCACACATGTTCCTGTGTCTCTGCCGAGACTGTGTCGCTCTGATTTGATCATTGTGTGTACTTGTACACCGGTAGAGCATTCATACCACACAAAGTACCTGGGTAGGCGCATACGATCTGTATCGGCTAACCTGTACGACGCCGAAGTAAGTATGACATGGCTTTCGCATCTGTTGTGTCTATACCTGATTTTATGTCTGCCGATGAGAGTGTGTCGTTATGAGCTTGACGAAATGTGTCTTATGCTCAGCGTTATCTGCGTAGTAATGTTGACTCGAGCATTTGACATTCAGGCACCTGGTGAAAGTTCAACTGCTGTGGCCTCGTGCTGCATCATCTGATTATCGTAGGGCATAGTCTACATTGGTGTTTGATCAATGCTCATAATCACGATCAATATGCTCTACCAAGAAGTCCTACGGTAGCCTAGAACTGTCTTCGAAGAACGTATTCCTGTGCAAAATGCTTATCAACGAGATGTGCAAGTCTATGCTATTCAGTATCAGCCTCGCATCACAGAATCGATGTATCGAGATGACCTTCGTAATTGGATATCGCGATGAAGTCCAATGTCTCCATATTCATGAACAACTTGCTTGTTCCCACCTTGTTGTGACCTCGGAATCGTCTCGTCGGGGCCATGACGTACTTTTCTGCTCCACAATTATTCTAAATCGCATCCACAAAGGCCACATGCCGAGTGGAACTCATTTCGGAGAAATAGCCAAGCCATGGGCTACCGTAGTCTGGATTGTGCCATCACCTGGCAAGCTTCGCGGATTGAGAGGAACAGCAGTTGCGTGTCCGAGACATACGCAGAGCGAATGGCCTTCCGTTGGCTACGGTGCAGGGTCTTGCAAATCCGAACGGCACTGTTCAGCCGAGGTCATCATGGCATGCTGGAGATCGAATTCATTTTTGGCAATCGCAGTGGACATCGACGCTGGAGGCCGTGTGCGGAGACCACAGCGCCAATGGGACGCGCGAAAGTGCAGTCATGGTGCGAGCAATTCGGAAATTCGAAAATGGAAGTGAGGTGCGCAAGGTCCAGAGTTTCGATGGGTAGAACTCTAGATTTATGCGCGCGATCTATGTGCTATTCCGGGGAGGTCACGGCGATCGCGAGGCATTTCCAGAGAAGACTCGTGATCAGTGCAAACTTTCACCGAAATCGTTTCTCAGACTGAGCCGGAAGTTCGTTGCTAGCGTCAATGGTGGCGGACGGTTTTACTGTCACTATGCAGCCGTCGAAGTAACGGTAGAGGCAGGGGAGTAAAGCTGACAAGGCAGGTACTCCATGTGATCCTAAGATGAGGCTCTAATCGCAGCGCATGGCTGCTCGAGAGCAATGAAGGTCATCTTTGGATACCGAAAATGTGACCAACTGTGCCTAAATCGGAAGTGATCATCGTTATCTGGCGCGCTTCAATGCGACGATGATCCCGAGCAATCAACCTCTCACGGAAAATGCACATCAGAAATGTCGGCAGATGGGACCCTGCATGTGTCTTGCCCTGTCGGACCCCATCTGTACAGATGCGGGCGTTGGCAGTACCGTAAAAATTCCGGACGTCGAATTGCCCAGAATCAGGTCTCGTAGTGTCCGTAAAAGGAGACTCCCGGAGTTGATGTGGTACAAATGCTCCGAGATTGTCATTGCTGAGCGTAGTAAATATGATATTGGGTAACGGCTTCACCATGGTCCATGGGAATTGACCAAGGTAGCGTTCCCATCCAGCACGATTGTCGATATTCTACCCATTTCGACCATTCTGGCCAGACAGATCCGTCGGTAGAGATATATGAAGCGCCGGAATTCCAATGCCATCTGGGCGTGCTGCAGGGTCCTGCAACGACAGGCAACGAGAAACCATGGCTTTCAGGGTCAACGCGCGCAGCGAAGACCTCGCCCTGGTCCGCAGCGAAGATTCGATGCCGGATACTGATCATGCCATCCAAGTGCCACGGATATCATCTGGAATCGTCGTGGACCGGTAAGCGCAACTGACGACCATGGCCCGGATCTGCCACGCTTCCATTCCGCCAATGGGCTCGGGGCATGGACGCTTCGGAACCGGCCAATCAATCCGCGGGAGCAGTACTAGGACTATTCAGCAACGGGATCGTTCAATAGAGGTTTGAGTGGTTGACCTGTCTTGACATTATCCTAACATAAGTGAACATCGTAATGCTTCTGTGCTAGTCCTGAATGCAGGCTTATTTTCATAATTTGCACTGAGTATGGCAAACGCTCTGTTCGGCAATCAGTGCATGACACTCTAGTCTTCCGTATCAAAATCGATATTTCATTTTCGTCTGGAGCCCAATCTCACTTTGTTGAATCACACCGGTACGACCGAACTCTCTATGCCTAGGTAGGTTTCTTGTTGTTTTTGATGCGACGGCAATATCCGTTACGCCGCGGAACATCCCGTGCCCGTTGTTCAGGACCGCACGTTGTAGCTCGCCCAGCGATCGACACGCCCTTTGGCAAAGGAAACTGCGATCGCTGCATTCTCATGGGCTTTGATGTGGTTGTTCTTGCGAATAATGCTGGACACGCATTACTCTATCTTTTTGAGATCAAGGAACAATTCGATGACACAGATCAATCTAGAATCCTGAGCTCGCCATGAATTTGAAGGCATCTCGAAGGCGCGTGAGGTCGCCAGTCGCCAGAATTTAGTGTATTATCGTGCCCGCAAAATATTTTGTGCAATTGAAGTGGGACAGTGTGATAATACCGTGAGCATCCTGTGAGACACGCTTTGGCCGCGAAGTCATCGGAGATGCCTCGCCGGGTCCAAGATATTCTGAGCAACTTTATTGTTTGGCAATTCGCACTGGACGACGTCTGCCACGGCCTGTAGTCAAGCTCAAAGTCGCAACGCGCGACTCTTACACTGTTGACAATAGACAAAATCATACCACTATGAATACTACAGTCACGGTGCTCCGTACAGCCATCGGATTCGACTACGGAGTGTCCAAGCAATATGAACTCGCATAAAAGCGAGATCGGAGAGCATAAAGATCTCACACATTTAATCAATCTATCGAGGTTTTGGGAAAAATACCGATGCCGAGTCAAGCTTTCCGCAGAGCGTGTGTGTCGGAGCATGATAGGCTGCCGGCATCTCAGATCGGCGATGCGAGGCACGATGGTGGTTCAATGATTGTGGTCGGGAGAAAGGCGTTGCAGCGTGTGGGTGGATGACCAGGAAAGCTCCGACGAGATTCCCGGCTTCAAATCTCAGAAGCATTGGCTGAATTCGAAGCTTGCAGCTCACCTTGCCGCCTGGGTTAGCATCGGGCTGAGGTCCGTCCACTGGTTGAGAGTGCAGGACCAACAAATGCTTGCATGTCTCGCCGTCTCTCCCACGAGATTATCAAAGGATATCGCTTCAGGATGCACATTTTGTCTTCCCACATGTAGCACGCTATTGTCCACACTTGCTGCAGGGTATCTCCTCCCGAGCCGGTAGACAACTTAACTCGGAACTTTTGGTCGAGCAGGTGCTGCGTTCAAAGTGTGTGACTCGGGAACCAAGTAGATTCCACCCTGTCTCTCCATTGTGGCCGCCGCCTAGGATTCGCGTCCTCCCAATTTGCGAACATGATCAGCCGTCTTGAGAAGATTAGCATCCCAAGACAAGGTTGATACTACAACCGGGCGGTCGCGCGGAGGATCCGACTCCTTCAACCACATATGCATCATACAGTGCCTCGCTGTCACGATCGCTGCGAGAAAAAATATATTTGCAGACATCGCCCTTGAATCGACGATCGAAGCATCCCAGCAACCATTAGCTTTTTTTTCCTGCACATCGACAAGCACCCTCTTACTCAATCAGCCAAGCGGCAGTCCTCAGCAGTTTGGCGTTTGCTTCACCCTACTCTACTACTCCGTCATTTTCCCGTACTTAGCAGGGATCTGCAGGCACACGCACACAACAAGTCTTGCCTTCGACATTATCCCATCGGAGGGAGAGCGCCGAGACCCACAACAGCATTTGCCTGATTGAGTCAACAGCCCATATGGCGTCCGTGCTCAGGCAGAAGCAGTCAGCTGCAGGCCACCTAAACCAGGCTGAATACTCCACATATCCTTCATCGTTGTCTTCATACCTCAACCGCCCTCTACCCCCCCTGCCCACCAACATCTCATCACACATTAACCACATTGATGCATCATCAAGATGGTCTCACTCCAGCTCCAACAACACTGTCTCATCGAGCTCGGCATTTCTCTTCACTACCAACGATGAAGGTTATGATGTGGCTGAATTTCACCGTAGCGCAGCCCTCATGCTCGCGGGCCATGGTTCCATGCCACGTGCTGACCACGCGGCGGTGATATCAGCAGACCGCCTACACCCGTGCCACGCATCTCGCGAGGTTGAATCCGAGTCCGAGTCCGTTTCCGGTCAGGTCAGGTCCTTTCCTTGCTCACGTGGAAAGTCGTGCTCCACACGATTCTGTCTACGACGCCATAGCGAGACATGCGTCGAAGCCGACCAGGGTCTTGATCTCTCAAGCGACGTGATATACACTCCTTCAGTCCAGCTCGAATGCAATAATTCCCTTGCCTCTGGCGACGACGCCGTTCTGTCCATTCTAGACGGCACAACTGTCTCGCGGCAGTTCTGGATTCATCATGGCGATCACACTTGGCACCATCCTGCGAGTAGCCCGCGAGATTCTGGTCCCCACACCAGCAATGCTATAATGGACACTGTGAGCAATGCCATGAGCTGCGTCACGCGGCCTGGCTTCCAACCATCCTTCATCCAGTGCGAGCTGTGCGGCGACTGTTTCAACTCTCACAGTGAGGAGGATTTTGCCAACCACATTGGACAACATTCGCTTGATTTTGCCGAAAAGCGTCATGAGTGTGACGAGTGTAAGATATTCTTCGCCAGCAAAAGGGATCTACGGCGACATTTGCAATCTGCGCTTCTCACCCAGCATTGCGGCTTGAATTTTGTTCACACCAATGATAAAGGAGACGATGAGTCCTGCTGTACTGGTCATCACCCACCAACATACTTCAAGGCATGCTTGCCCAGCGATCACGAGTTGATGGCGGGTCATCTTTGGGCGTGGGAGTCGTCCCAACTAGAAGCACATCGACGCATTGTTGCTGAGGTACTGACAGCGAAGCTGCATTATCAGAAGCGATCTGCGCCGCCTACCCTCAATGTCATCTCGACGTCACCTCCTTCACCAACATGTTCCTTGGCGTCATCTACTTCAGAATACTCGGTCGAATCATTTACACCATCGAGACTTTCTTCGCTATCCGTATCAGCATCGCTGACATCTACATCAATTCCTCCACTTCAATTTTCCTCTAAAAGCAAGCGTGCAGCCATCATTCCGCACAGAGTGTCCATCATCCAAGATGAGTCTCGTCCTGAAGAGCTTCGCCGGCCATCATCTGCACTCTCATTTGCTCCATCGCCTCAACTATCTGCGCTTTGCGTTTCTACTTCGACAGATGATTCCTTCCGCAACAGTCTAGAACGAGACAGCACACGATGCGACTCGTTACTCGTCGACGACTTTCTTTACAAACAAATACTTCTCGACATTTACGCTGGAAACCGCACACACATCACCGATGATGATGCGAATGACGACTTTATCCCAACGCCCGCAATGACTTACTACACCAACGAAGTGGACGCTCGTCCTGATTCAGGAGTTCTTCCGAATGATTCTATGTCCTACTATGCCATTTCATCACAATTCTTCGCCGTTGACACACATTCAACATTCTTGTCGCGACCGTCGACTTCTTCTTCCAACCCAATCTCTTCCGTTGCACACAACATCAAGAAGGAAATTTTTCCTCAGCAGAGCAGTCTGCGTAACCTGGCTCGATTTTATCGCCGCAAGACAAAACACAGGCTCGCACCCGCAGATTCACTGTTCGACTCCGCCTCTGCATCAAGTTCTTCTTCACTCTCGAGCAGCCTCATCGAGGACGAAAAGCCCTTTTCAGGTGAAGAGAGGATATTTCAGGACCGAGAGAATACGGTTCGTGGGAATGGCATGCAATCCGCATCCCATGCCGTCCTCGGTGCGGCATGAGCCTGCTCGCACAATTTTCCCTTCCGTTCCATTATCATTTCAATTCTTTTTCTGCCCTTGCCGGCTGCACCTTTGCTTTTTATGCCATTTAATATACAACAAATTCGGGCAATGCCCTTGACGGGCCCTACGAAAATCTCTCACTCTCTTTCTTTCATCTGCGCAGATCGGCGCACTGTACTCCACTTTCTGGACCTTTCCTTTACTGCCAATACACTTTCCAAGCCACAAGGCTGTTCTTCTTATCATGTATATATATAATCCTTTCATGGAATGAACAAAAGTTTTTCACCCCAACCAACACTCGGCTGTATCGCTCGTCGCCGCTGCATCGTGAGAAAAGTGTTCCGATTAGGAGCGTGTGATCTCCTCATCTCCACGGGCCACATACCGTATCATGCCGGGCTCGATTCTGGTACCGAGTTTCAAGCCATCCATGGATTGCTTAGACGTCTCTGAAAACATCGTCCCGACGGGCCGATGTTCACCGCGCATCATTAGCTACCGACTTTCTCGTAGTCTTCGGCCCAGGGAAGCAAAGGCGAAATAGGGATCTTCCATGTAAAACATGGGATTCACAGACCCAATTCTACTTTGTATCCATAATCGGAGGGCCTGAGATTACAACAAACACGTACATCGTTTCAGTTGGAAGTAAATATAGCAATATATTCGACTAAGAGGGGAAAGTGGGTAACCGAAGAATGAAGCGAAGAATTCGGGCCGACAAAAAGAGAATTGATTTGAAACCAGTGACATTTGCACATATTCTTGCGGTCCGAAATGCCCCCATACCCGTTGCAACAACGACCAGAAAAAAATTCCCTCGCCGATGGTTGAGAAACACCACCCGCATTAAAGACTGGTCGTCACCTCATTACTCCCCGACAAAGGACAGTCACCCTCCTCCCACGCCAACACGGAACAGAAAAGATCAAATGCAAAGATGCTCGCTTCACCTAACACCAAATCTCGCACTCAAGCCCGAAAACGCATCAGGACTATGCCGGCCCGCTCCCGCGAAGCCTCCACCGCTCTGGAAATCCCGACTCTCGGCGCTGACATGGCGAGTCGTGGAGACGGGCATGCTAGCGCTTCGTTGTTGAGATGCGAGTGGCTGTGGTTGATATTGGGCAGATGCGGAGTTTGCAATGGAGTCCTCGGGAAGTGATTGGAGGAAGGGGCGAGGGGCTTGCTGTTGTTGCGAGTAGAGGGCGAGGATTGAGGACTTGTCGTGGCGGGGTTGTTGGGTCGGTTGGTATTGGTATTGCGGTTGGGAGGGGAATTGCTGTTGAGGTTGGTACTGTGGTTGCGCTTGTTGTGGTTGCTGCTGTGAGAAATGGTTGACGAATTGTGGTTGTTGTTGTTGCTGCTGCTGTTGCTGCTGTTGCTGCTGTTGCTGCTCCTGCTGGTAGTATTGAGACTGCTGTGTGGCTTGTTGCATCTGTAATTGCTGCTGCTGCTGCTGACTCGGCGAAGGCGTTGCAAAGAGATCCGCCTGCGGACCGTATATTGAGGTCGGAGATGCGTAGACAGAAGTTGTCGGCGGCTGCTGCGGCTGCTGCCAAGCTGTCCCGAAAGGATTGCTCGATGTGTTTTGCTGTGATAGTGGCTGCTGCTGCTGCTGCTGTTGTTGCTGTTGCAGCTGTGGTTGCGATGATGCCCAAGGGTTTCCAACATTCGTAGTCCATGGGTTAGGCAATTGTTGCTGGGTCTGCTGCTGCGGCTGTTGGTATTGTTGTTGGGGAGCATGTTGTAATGATTGTGGCTGATATGGCTGCTGTTGATACATGGTCTGCTGCTGTGGCTGCTGTGATACATTCATTGTTTGTGCTAAAAATGGATTATGCGTATTACTGGGGTTAGATGCTGGGAGCCCAGCTCCCCCTTGATCTTGAAACTGATATTGATAGTTAATTTGATTTTGTTGAACTGCCCCAGTCTGCTGCCAAGGGTTTGTCGATACTTGTTGCTGTGGAGCCATCTGCTGGAAATCTTGCTGCACGGGAGCCGCAGAAACTGACATCTGTCCAAAGCTCTGCTCGAGAGAATACTGCGCCGCCGGTGCGCTTTGCTCCACAGGTGTTGATTGCTGGTTCGCCAAGAAAGGATTCCAAGACATGCTAGGAGGAACAGATTGTGCACGAGGAATCTCGGGCACTGCCGGCGAGAACGTCGTCGCCGAGATGGGCTGGGTCGAGGCAGGCGAAGCAGTTTCCCGAATTTCCCATGGATTTGATGCGGGTCGCACTGGAGTCGCCGGAGACACGTCCGCCGCAAATGCAGATGCTGGTGTCAGACGGGAAGCCGCTGCAACAGCCGGAGTGATGTTCCTCGAGGTCATAGTCCGATTGGCACCACTCCTGTGGCCCTCGCCTAGTCGTATGAGCGACTCAACCGTTTTGTCTAGGTTTCCGTTCATGCTCTTGAGGATGTCCGTGTTCTTAACAGGATCGTCGAAGCCCATATCGCGGAGTTGGCCGAGTTTCGAATTGAAATTGTTATCAATGGTACTGATCTTCATGCCGAACATCTGACTTGGCTTGTTACTTTTGGCGACTGGATGGAGGTGCGGAGTGGTCGAGCGTCGATCCTCGGGTTCTCCGTCATCGATGCCGGATCGCGAAGGGGAGATGGGAGGCGTTGCGCGGTCCATGCGCGGTCGAGGCATTGTCGAGCTCGAACTCCGTAGGCTGAAACCGAAGCGCTTTGGCTTAGGTGGTAAGGTGCCGACAGCGTCCTCTGAATATGAACCACCCGTTGCAGTACTTCCTGTGTTCTGCCGGGTGGCAGGTGCGCTCCTCACGCCGCCCGCCAGTGTCCGAAGCTCATATTTCTGTCGAATGTGCTTCTCTAATGCCGCGTCGACCTCGTCCACATCAGTTGGAATATCCGGGCGTGTACTCTTCGGGTTGTACTTGGTATTGCTGGCCAGATTGCCAACGGTTTTCATGTGATCAACCTGTTCAGTAGTCCAACTATCCAAAGACAGAGATTTCACTTTCGAAATATGAGTTCCCAGCTTTCGGTGGAGACCTGCACAGCGCATGCATAGGAATATTCCCAAATTCCAGCTAGCCCAGCCTGGGTTTTTGGCACCGCAGTCTGCACAGCGATCGTTGCCGGGCGTGGTGCGTATAAGATCTTCCAATGTGCGCTCGTTACGCGCCTGCTGGCGCTTGGTGACGTTACTTGCCATAATGAAGAGATCGCTCGTTGGCGAGGCCGTTGAATGGCTACCGAGAAGTATGCAAGAGAAAAGTTCAGCGGTGGTCGCGTGTCGCGCTCATGTGGGTGGTGGACGGAGAATTTGGCCGTGTCGAGGGGTCCCTTCAATGGACGAGACGAAGCAGGACGTTATTCCGACGATTTGCACGATCCATGGGGCGAAAGCGAATGTCTGCAGGTCAAGGAACGTCCGAATTGTATCTGGTTGGGCGGCAAATCTTCGACGCGCGTGTGAGGAAGGATGGAGGCGAGAGAGCGTGTAGTGTATGTAGCAACCTTAGCCCTGGAGGAGCATGGCGGATTTGTTATTTGCGTCGTCGTCATTTGTCCGCGCGCTTCCCAGAAATCGCAAATTGGACGTGCCGCCCAACTTGAACGTGTGATGGCCTTAGGTAAGCAGCCCCTTATATGAGTTTACTAGGTACTGTAGGTGGGCGGACAATCTAAAGACGACATGTAAATTACAGGTTGGGCGTCGACGTTTCCACGCAACAACAACACTACGTCCGGTATGATAATAACACGACTGGTTGTTTTGCACGTGCAGCATTACTTCTGTAGGTACCGTGCATATACGCCATGACTGCATCTGCCACAATGATTAATCAACACTGTGATGAGGTGTGGTGACACCAGGTGAGCAATAACGTCACGGCGACGCCTGTCACGACCACGACCTACGTGCCTGATCCCTGAACATGATTTGCTGTCATGTCCAAGATAGACATGGCCTCGTGGCTTTTATCTGAGGCTCCGGAGACAATACTGTAATGCCTCTGCTAGGACCGGCATATCAAAAAGCAAGTAATGCCCATATCAAACGAAAAGATAGCAGACCGATCCTGCGGTCGCCCAGACGGTATCGGGATGAAACGTCGGCACTCGAGCAAGAGATTTGTCGCAGAAGGTACTATGGACCGGTCAGAGCGCATATACAATGTGACTCCACAGTGCACGACCAGGACCACCATCACGAGAACGTACTTCTCATGCCGAGGCCTCCAACTCAGCACACATGCCTGCATACCACGTCATACGTCGAGCAAGATACGTATTCAAGCCACACGGACTACGTACCGCGTCACATACATGGAGTGATTGCTTGCAGAGGTACCATGTCGAGTTGAAGGGGTACGTATTCATCTATTGCTTCTGTGTAACCTTTCAGGGATTCATGAAGTACCGTCTATATCAGCCTGTTGCAAGGGATGAAGTCTCGTCCTTCGCTGTGCAGCGTCAATCACCGTCCAGTCAACGTCGACAGCAACTGCCTAGTAAGCGCCGCCATGTTTGTTGTCGTCGAGCATGACGAGCCATATACCGCCCCTCATGGCACCTGCCTCCGTCCACTTCCTGTTCTCGAGTTCACTGCATGTGTCCCTTCTCGGAGTCTCATATCCGATATCTGTGAAAGACCAAGATGTTTCAAACATGGCTGCCCTCTCGCGCCGAGTTCCACTCCCAGCTCGAACGGGATGACCCGGAGCAGTGTCCGATATGTATGGAGGATCTCAAGAACACCTTCCACACCCCCTGCGGCCACGTCCTCTGTCGAGACTGTGCTCGTGAGTGGTTTAAGCAATCCCATTCTTGTCCGACATGCCGTCAATCGGTCTACGGCAGCACCGAGGGATCCGAGACGAGCCTGCCTCCACCACCAGGCTATCGCCGCATGAGACGTCGGGGGCTTGACCCGAGTGCGGATGAAGCCCTGAGAGCGCGTACGAATGGAGTCTTGATCGCAAGGGATCATCAAATCGCCCAAGAGCTGCTCCGCCAGGAATTGCAGATCGATGAAGTCCTGCCGCGTTTGATTGAATATGCTGAGGATCAGGAGAGACTTCAGTATCTGGAATATATGAGGCGTCACGGTCGACGAAATGTCAGTCCCAGTCAAGGTGAGAACGGAACCCTATCGCCACTCGCAGACCTTGTCAGCCGCAGAGATCGATTCTTGCCAGCGTCCAGCCAACCACATCTCCACCAATGGCTAGCGGACCAACCTCCAGCAGAAGCACAAGAGCCCGTGCCCGATAGTTACCGACCAGTGTCATTCCTAGAACGACGACGACGGCAAGAGATCAGCGAAACATTACCAGGAGGCAGTCGGGCTTCGGGCATGAGTCCCACAGGAGGCAGTACAAGGCCACTCAGCCGAAGGGAGACATTTCCCGACCATCGCCGAGGACGTCAAACCGCCCACGACGACAACGACGACATCCGCCCACGAGACCGACGGCCCACGCAACACCATCCCGAGGAACTAAATCTCCCAGCACGACCGACACGCACCCCATCCGGCCGCCGACCCACCAACACCCAGCAAACCCCCTCCGCCGCCCTCCGGCGCTCCCGAGACCAACGTTCCAGTTCCGGAGGAGACATCCATATGTCGCTCCTCAGCGACGACGACGAATTTCCCTCCCGGCTGGCCTTCGGCGGGATGGAACCCTCCACCCTCCAAATCCTCTCCCCGGACCGTCGCCGACGGTCCTCCACCAACACCGGAAGAACGTCGTCCCCGCTGTCGACGTTCAGACCTCGCGTGGCATTCACCCATCAACATCTCCACAACCATCAGCACCAGCACCACCAGCGTGATCGAGGAGGCGGAGGCGGAGGCGGGAGTAGGTCATCCGGGCCGATCAACCCTCTCACCACTTCTGCTTCGGCGGCGGCGGCGCAGTCGAGGGATTATCACCGTCTTGGGCAAGGCGGTGGAGGACTCGCGTTGTCACGGAGTCGGGACGGGGCGGCGGGGGCGGGGGCAGGGGGAGGAGATCACCGTCGACGATGCAGCATCGCGGCAGTCGGCGGATGGACTATTTCTTCGGGCCGCCGAGATGAGATGGGACGGAATGGAATGGAACGGAGTGCCTTGTCGAATCGAAGGAGGGGAGAGTTTTGTGGGCGAGGGAAGAAGTTTCGTGAGAACGGTATGTTGAGAAGCTATTGGCCTTGGTCAGGAGGTCGTCCGCCTCATTGGGCTCGGTAAGGTGGACTGGATTGAAGGGAGGAGCCGATGTCCTTTTCCGTTGTCAGAGATGAGTGTGGATGGTTCGAGGTGGCGCTGTGCGCCTGGACAAGTAGTCTAAGCCCTGGAGTGAATGGAAAGACGAACAACTCAGCAGGAAAAAGGCAAACAGCGGGCGAAGAATGTCGATGGGTGAGAAGGATTTATGTTTTGAATAACGTAATCTATCACCGAGCGGGCCAAATCACCGAACGGGCCATTTTGTCTTGG